CATACACTCATCGCTCCACTTGACACGGCTCCAATCCAGCTGCTCATAGCGATGTGCCCATTGAAGCCTCTTCTGGGCTTGGAGCGGCGTTAAGGCGACGCGTTTTTTTTTTTTTAGCTACTTCCTCTTATCCATCTCGCGAAGGAGGTATCGTAAGGAACGTTCTTTAACGACTTTATCGACAGATTCGAGGAGGTCTCGGTGCGTAAGGTTAGGGTTGGTTGTGATAGCACCATATATCTGATCGCGTTGCTCTTCTGTGAGCTTTCGTGGGGCCCCCGGGCGCGGCACAGAGTGGTTTTCGGCACCGCGTTTTTCTTCGCGATAAATCGTGGTTTTGATCGTGCCAAGAGGGACTTCTGGGTGTATTTTTTGGATCTGCTTAAACGTATAGTCTTGCTTTCGTAGCTCGCAAAGGCGCGACCGTAACGACGGCGATAGTTCTTTGCCGCGAGGCATCGTGATGTCGTGTTGAAAGGAGGAAAAGCGGTTGTGAAAGCGGCACTGAAAGAGCCGGCCAAAACGGGCTAGGCTAGGTGGGGTCGGTACAGCAAAAAAGCTTCATATCTTTTTGCCGGCCACTGTATAATTTGGGTGGTACCCAAAATGACTCGAGACATGAGAGCTGAGAGGCAATCAGCGTCCCAATTTCCTTCCTTGGATTCAAGCACTAAGACTAAATTTAACTTGACCAGTACTATGACTGCGGGTGGTTGGAACAATTTCCCCGGTTCCTACAACAGCCTGCAAGGATTACGGAGCAACTCAGGAGACAAGGAATCATCTGCCGACACCCTTGCTTTCGCGCAACCTTGAAACGCTTTGTCTCAGCCCATCGTCATAGCCATTGATTGTACAGGAATTTTCATCGAGTAATAGTGCAACCCCGCAATCTTACTCCTATACCTCTAGGGGATATCTACAGGGCCATGCGGAGACTGTGATGTCGCCAATCGAAGCATGTCCTGTAATGTTAATATGCCCGCCTCGTAGCGCTGCTGTTCAGCAAAATTTCAAGGTTAGGATATCAGCCCAGTCAACCTCCGATGTCGACGAGTCAGCTCATCCAGAATGGATGCGTGGAGCCCTGAGAATGCCAAAGCCTGCCGTGATTAGAGATTATATATATCCCAGATGGAGAGCTCTACAGTTCTCAGAAATCATGTTTGTTTCGGTCCCAGAACACTCATTCCAACGCACGCATCCACTATGAAATCATCTACTCACTTTACCTGTTTCATGCTTGCGTACTTTCGTTTTCCAAGATGCAGCTCCTAGCCACTCTCGTCTTCGTCGGGACAGCCTCCGCACACATTCCCCTGGTGGCCGGACGATCATCGGCGTTCTTGGCGTTGAAGGGAGTCATGGAGCGACAGGTTGACTCCTGTGAACCGATTCCCGCACCCTACACATGCGAGAGATCTTGTGGTCTTGGATTTGTCGAGTGTATTAATTTCCCTACCTGCTACAACCCTGGCAGAGGAGATACTTGCTGCTCCGATGGATGTTAGCCCCCTAACCTGAGGAAGTATTCTGCGTTTTGAAGTAACTAACCTATGTTTTTAGCCTTCTGCCCCGCGGGTTACTGCTGCACCGACGCTGGTTGCTGCCCGGATGAAAACTCTATCGAGGAATGCGGCGCCACGGCAACCTTGAGTGTCATTCCGCCGCCGGCTAAGGAAGAGCCCAGCACGTCGACGAACCCTCTCGAACCTGCTGCCACCGATAAGGCAACATCGGAGGCAGAGCCCATCATTTCGACTGATGCCCTGTCCGTGATTACGACTAATGCCATTTCCACCACGACTCCTGCATCCAACAGCATCATAGCCACCACTTCGTTGCCCCCTCATGTCACTGCCGCTGGCGCCGGAAGGAATGCGCAATTCCGTGTCTTGGCTGCTATCGGAGGTCTCGGGGCGATCTTGATGGTCGTGTGATCGAACCATACCTGCGACGCCTTGGGATTTGGGATGTGTTAAATGGCACTGGGGTATATTACTGTAACTTCTGAAGTAACAGACGAAGTGGGAGGCGGCTTTGTTCCACTTTCGTCACAGGATCTATTGCCTGACTCCTCGCTCGGATGGCCCTTTCTTCCCCCCCTTTTTTTCCTTGGCGGTGGCCAGACTTGGTTACTGCATGAACACCTTCGACCAGTCTACAAGGGTGCCTACAACGGGGTGTTCAAGGACAGATTGCTGCAAAGACTCGAAGCAAGAGGCATCCCCAAGGGGCTTGTGAAGTGGATAGATGCGTTTTGCTCGAACCGCACGGCCACCATCGTGGTGAACGGCTACACTTCTGAGCGACGGGAGCTGCCACAGGCCGGCCTTCCACAAGGGTCGCCACTGTCGCCTGTGCTCTTCCTCTTCTTCAACGCAGACCTAGTGCAGAGCAGGATCGACTCGAAAGGAGGCTCGATCGCGTTCGTTGACGACTACTCAGCCTGGGTCACAGGGCCGACGGCGGAGGCGAACAAGGACGGCATACAGGCCATCATTGACCGAGCACTAGCATGGGAGAGACGCAGTGGAGCGACGTTTGAATGTGACAAGACGGCTATCATCCACTTCACACGCGTCGCTGAACGCACCAGTGATGCGCCGTTCATGATCAAAGGTGAGGAAGTCGAGCCGAAGCAGAAGGTCAAGATCTTGGGAGTGGTTATGGATACGAAGCTCAGGTTCAAGCAACATATAGCTGAGGCCGCTTCCAAAGGTCTCTCGGCAGCTACCATCCACGACCACTAAATGGACACCCCCACTTAATGGACCACCAAAATTTCAATCTTCCCATAAAAAATCCGAATTTTTAATGACACCGCATTTGGCCGAGAATGAAGATACTCATAAACTAAGACATGTACTATATTGCTTTTTCCATGGAAATTTTATATCGGGTTGCTTTTTCCCCGTTCCGCGGCATGGCTTAGTTCTCTAACCCTTTAAAAATTTTTCATTTTCACCTCATCTAATCTACGCGACTACATCCACTCAAGTAGGCATATCACCAAATTTACTCGTGGAACTCCTGCAACAATGGTTCGGGGTGATTATACCGAAGACGACGTAGCTGAGGCTATACTAGATATTACTGATAGAGGCCTATCGCCGACTGAGGCGGCCCAGAAACGTGGAGTGCCTCGATCGACCATTTATAGACGACTCTCCGGTCAGGCGAGCAGGAAGGAACGTATCCATGCCCAGCAGCGTATTTCCAAGAGCCAGGAGGAGACTCTCGTCCGTTGGGTGCTGCGACAAGAGTCTCTGGGATATGCTCCCTCGCACAGCCAACTCCACGCCTGTGTCGAGGCCATCCTCAAACAACAAGGCGATAACAAGCCTCTGGGCAAGCACTGGACCACCAGGTTTGTCAAACGTCACCTACAACTATCTACCAAGCTGGGAAGACGTCAGGAAGCCGCCAGATTTGACGGGTTTACGCCGAAGGCGGTCAATTGGTACTTCGATATCCGGGAGAACGAGTACGGCTGGATCAAGCCCGAGAACACGGTTAACGTAGACGAGGGTGGCATAATGGCGGGTTTCGGTAAGTCCTCCACAAGTTCTCTATGGGGTTTTATAGGGTATAACTAATTGGTTGTCCATAAGGCCTGGATAGCCTCGTAATCGGGAGCTCTGACCCGAAGAAGAAGGCGTTGTTGAAGGGCGTTCAGTCGCGCGCGTGGACCTCGTTTATTGAGGCTATCACCGCAACTTGTTGAAACAAAAAGGGTTAGGACCTAGGAGCCTGTTGGGTCTTATATTTCAACACAACTGGCCGTGCTTTAAAACCAGGAATTATCTTCAAAGGAAAAGAGCTGCAGAAGCAGTGGTTCCTTAAGGAATTCGAGTTGATAGCAGACGGGCACTACATCACATCACCGAACGGCTGGACCGATGACCATATAGCTCTCGAGTGGCTGAAAGACGTCTATCTACCTCAAACGGAGCCTCGTGATGCATCGGATGCGAGACTTATTATCCTTGACGGTCACGGGAGCCATGCGCAGGTGAGAATTTTGGTGTTTTCGCCACAGAGTCACCTGCTATAGGGTCGCTAACGAGCAGTCAGGATGAGTGGATGGCCACGTGCTTTCTGAACAACGTCTACTGCTGTTACCTACCAGCACATTGTTCTCATGGTTTGCAACCGCCAGATAATGGAATTTTTAATGTCATCAAAGGTGCGTATCGGAAAGAACTCCAAAAGCTGGCTAGTTTGACCGATTCTGCGCCGGTTGATAAAGTCAACTTTATTCGGGCGTACGCGAAAGCCAGGGAGGCAGGCATGAGGAAAGAGATTATCCTATTTGGCTGGAGGTTTACTGGAAATTGGCCGATAAACCGTCGCAAAGCTCTAGCACACCCGGAAATTCAACCGGACAAAGAAAAAGTACTAGAACGGTTCAAGACGCCGAGCCCTCCTCAGTTGCACTCAGATGATACGCCGAAAACGAGCCGCCAGGTGAGAGATTTGGCCAAACACCGAAGTCGTCCAACCAGGCAGAAGTACAGTAAGATCGCGAAGAGGCTGGAAGCTTTAGAGATGAAGGTGGCCGTTCAGAATGCGCGGATTACTGGGCTAGAGGAGCAGGTGTCCCAGCTGCGGCGAGGGAAGAAAAGAAAGGCGGTACCGAACCCGAACCGACGATTCATGGCTCTGGCGGAGGCTCTAGCGGCTGGAGAAGCTCTTCTTGACTCAAAGGAGGCAGAAATCGAGGTGGATGTGGATGAGGAGGTCGAGTCGGTGATTGAGGTGGGTGTCAGATCAGAGGATGAAAGTGACGACTTTAGGGTCGTAACAAAGCACTGCCAGCGCACACGGAGCGGTCGGGAGGTCAAAAAACCACGCAGAGAGTAAAAATTGATCAATTTTCTAGAGTCTCTCTCCAAGGCTTCGCTTTTTAATTGACGACCTGGTCTTTTGTGCACGCATTAAAATTTGGATTTTGTGTGGGCGGAGCGAAATTTTGGTTATCCATTAGGTGGTCCTGGATGGTATATCAAGCCGTCTGCGAAAAGTTCCTCACAACCAAGTCGTATCCATACTACGGCAACCGAGATGTGCTGAATGTGTCACCACCTCAGGTGAACAACACCATCGCATTCTCCGTCCGACCCGGCAACAGCTATAACCAGCCACTCCACCGAGACGACGACATCTACTACGCGGATCGCCCTCGCATCGACAAGTACCCCGATCAGACTAATGCATGCGAGTACGGCATAGGCTTCTTTGTTGCGGGTACCAAGACTACCAAAGCCAATGGTGCCCCACGTTTCATCCCCGGGAGTCACCTCGAGTCCACGCTGCAGCCGCCCGATGAGTCTTTCGTGCAGTATGCCGAGCTAAACCCTGGAGACGGCTTCATCATGTTGGCAAGCTGCTATTACGGGGGCAGCGCCAACACCACTCAAGATGAGGAGCGTCCGGTCTTCAGCTGCTTCATGACCCGCGGCTGGTTGCGCCAGGAAGAGAACCAGTATCTCGCCGTTCCCTTGGAGATTGCCAAGACCCTGACACTTCGCATTCAGAAGTTGATGGGCTATGCGACCAGTGAGGTATGATTGACACTCGGACTGCTTGACTGTAATTGACCGATGCATGATCACATGCTAACCCACCCACCTGTAGCCAATGCTCGGTTGGGTAGACTTTAAGGACCCCATTGTAGTAATTAATCCCGAACATGCAAAGCGTGTTGCGCATAAAGAGGGCTAAATAGTAGTCCAAGTTAGACCACGATCTATATAGAGACGTAGGGCTTAATAAAATCTTACGCTTCTCAACTTGATTGTTTGCTACTAGTGATAACCAATGGCGTTCCTGAGTTACGGGTAATGTCACATCGTATCACTAAGGCTGCTCTGACACACGAGTTGTGTGACCTACGGTATCAGACTTAGATGAAACAGATCGTGAGGAACACCCCATCACAGCTGGCAAATACGACCCTATCCAAGGAAGGATACCAGACCAACTTCAGTCATTCATTGAGTTAGAAAGGAAGAGCTTCAACGCAGTCAAAATCCCCAGCTGAATGTGGCAGGTAGGTAGTAATAATTATGGCTTGGTCCCCCGTAAGCGATAAAGGCTCTATGCATTTCCATATGATCCATCTTAAACAACTCAGCCGTGCCCGGGTTGCAAGTAATGGCTGGCATTGGCTGCCGCATATGCTCTATTCAATACTCACTCAAGAGTCGCCCACACCTATTGCAGCACAGGTTCATTCTCCCTGATCGATTGCATCGTCTCCCGCAACTTCTTCTATCAAACTTATCTAAATAACATGGCCATCCGACCTGTTTTAACCGCTTATCTACCTCCTACCTATCCGCTGTCCCGTATCATCGACTTGGCCTCACCCTCAAACACTTCCTCAATCTCTCGATAGACTTAGGTCAAAAACTTAGCTATTTTATCCACCCCCTTGGTTTCCTGTTCTGCCTCTAGACAGGCCTGCGTAACGCGGCGGACCTAAAACCACTACTGGCCACGCGTAGCAAGCCAGCAGAAGAGGGTGTGCATAGGCGCAGATATGGCGATACGTTCAGTGGGACGCGTCATACTTGCAGAGCCCAAATGTTGCGAACCCAATCTGCGATGGGGTGTTGCTAACATGCAAGTCGGCCCGGGTCATCGTTATCTCAAAACAGAGACTGCAAGTCTAGTCCCGCAGGCCCCGTGATGTAGTAGATCGCCTCGACCTGGGTCTGCCCGCCGACGGTTCTAGACAATCAGTGGCGGGATCGGGCTGGGTATATGCTGGTTTGAACCGCCGGGGTAAGGGTCCAGCAGACCGACGACTGCACCTGAGGTTAGTATATGGATAATATGTTCCAGACGGATTGCTGCTGGTGATGCGGCATATAATGGTGAGAATGGGACGTGCCGGGCTGCAGCGGAGGATTGCTGAGGTGGGATCCGTCGTCCATACACTGAGTGTGGCTGGCCTCCCCGCCAGGCCTCACGTCGAGCTAAGGAAATCCTTGGGGATCGTACCGTGATTGTCCGCCACGTTATAACCCATCTTGATAACGCCCTTGTAGCCCACAGCGCTGATGCTTGAGGAGCCGGTGTTGTTTTGGAGGAGAATCGAGATGGGCTCGCTGGTTGGGGGGTATCTAGCGCTGTAGTCGTCGGCTGATGATGCTGGGCTGGAAAAGTCGGAGGGGACAGGGTAGGGGACGGTGCTTGCCCAGGATTCGCAATTATGAGGTAGAGGGACATAATGTTGGTTGTAGTCAGGGAAAGTCTTGTAATCACTAGGGAATAGTGATCCCCGGGGACTAGAAATGGCATCGCTACCAGCGCTGAGGTTGTTGTCGTAGACTATTAGCGTTAACGGGCGCTTATTTAGTGATGAAAGGAATCATGGAGTTATACCTAGTATGGACTGAGGCGACAGAGCCATTGACACTCGTATGTTCTCCTTGAGCTGCATCAGCTCTTCCTCGAGCGCCTTATTGCGGCATAGCAGCTCTTGGACAGTCTGGTCGTGGCTCTGCTTGCTCTTGAGCTCCTTCAACTCGCGCTCCAACCGCTCGATGTGTTCCTTAGTGCGGGCGCGGATGGCTCTTTGGGCTTCTCGATCGTTGGCTCTCTTGCGAGCGAGTTGTGAGGGAGAGAGGGCAGAAACACTTCGGGGGCCTGAATAATGTTACGTTAGGATAGCAGGAGTAGGTTTCTTGCCTTGCTTTGCTTTGTTCCTATCTACTGCGATGCGTCGCAGATGTATACCTGGGGGTAATAAACCCAGACAAATAAGCAAACAAAATAGAAAAAGAAAAAAAACCTACCCTTTCGCTTGTGCGTGGCGGGCTTTATACCGGCTGATCGGGTTGTATTAGCCACACGTGATGGGGCAGAAGAGGCGGGTCGATTGAAGGGAGAGGCGGAGGAGGAAAACGAGGATGCAGTGGTGATGCTAACAATAGTCATCGAGGTCGGTTGGGTCATATCAAGCCAAATCTACGCAAGCCTTGATAGACAAGAAGTACGGAAGATAAAATGCCTTATCTTCCTAACCCAAGTAGAAGGAGCAAAAGAAGTGAAGCAGAAGAGGAAGAAGAGGGAAAGTATTTGGATGATGCAGGCAGGGTATTGGTATTGGGTGGAGCAAATTTGGGTCAAGGGTTTGCATAGCCATCGACCCGATCGATCTTTGGGCTCATCGTTTGTGAGCGGGGCTAGGGGCGTTAGATATAGTAATTATCTGATCTGTCTCTTGATCAGTGTTCATGTGTGCCTCTCTCTTGCTTCCGCAACAGTGAAGTTCCCTACCAGCGGTAGTAGACTACCAGCAGCCTCCATCCCAAGACTTCAAGAGTGTGTGTGAGCCCGAAGCAGTTAGTATGCTTTGCTTACAAGGTAGACGCAACAATGACAAGGGTGCATACTAGGAGATCCGTTGGTTAAAAATATGTGCCGGGTTCCGGCCTATTGTGGGAACCGGCGCATTTCCGTCCCTCCATGTCGTCAATAGAAAGGCGGGTCCCACCGCAACCGCCACCCCCTTTTCGACCGCCAACTTTTTTCGCGTCACCGCCACCATCATGAGGAAACAAATCTGTGCGATATCTTAGGATACATCCATCCAATTCTAATTCTAATTATATTTCGATCTAAACGATGCTGAAGTATACGATATTCCAACTCCAACAAAGAGGACGTGATGGAAACCAGCGGTTGACTTGATGCTCAGTTTAGATGATCGGATAAGGCTAATATCGGTACAGCTTTGTCAAGAGATTAGTAGTATTTGAATCCAATGACATGGACCGGTTACAGGAGAATAGGATAGGAATGGTGTCCCGAGTATTGGGCATGTTTTGGCCTATGGCAACCGTGCTCTTCTCCAGCACTGACGAGGATATGAAGATGTGGGTGCAAGCGAACGCTTCATACGTTGGGCGGAACAACTGGGTTTGGCCTGGCTGCATTGGCGGCTCAAAGCGCCACCCCAGTTCCGTCGCAACCCCGAGTAGGTCCGGTAAGATCTATCAACTCTCTCCCCTGTAAAAATTCTTCCTTCCCCGCAGCTGTTAGCAGTTTGCTCGTGGAGAGACATTTTTCAGGCCACCCGACCACGCTTTTGCCTTTGAGGCCCCATCGGGGCCTTCAATAGCACACACACAGGGAGAGAGAAAGAGAGATGTACCGTAAGAACTCGGTAAATTCGCGCTTTTTTGAGTTCAACCGTCGGTCTTGGCGCATTACTTCCCGGATGATCACTTCCTCATACAGTTAGTATGTGGAAGTGATCATTCGAGGGGTAATACCGTATCGACTCGACAAATTGATAAAACCTGGTGGGTCTTAGCACCCCTGCACAATGCAAGTTCTATTCCTCATACAGTTAGTATGAGAATCAGAACACAACGTCAGCTCATCTCCCCCTCTTCCTTGATTTTGGTAAATTCCTCGCGTCACGGCCGCCGGCATGCCCCAATCGAGGCCATCGCCGGTATGCGGCCTCATTGACATCGTCTGTATGTGCAGAAGTGAGGGCATTCCCAACGGAAGCTAACCAGGGCCAAATAGACGTCACACACGACTTTGAACGCGCCGAACCCTTCGAGATCGGACAGACCTACCGCCTCGAGTACAGGCCGCCCTCCTCGCCCGGTCAAAATACGGGGATTTCCCTAGCAAAAGAAGGCTATCACTACGGTTAGGTTAGGGTGCGAAGTAGTCAGCCTGTTGACGATGTCTTGAGCCGGGGAAAGGTGTGTTTTTGCAAGGTCGATATAGGCGACGAAGGACAAGTCAATAGCTAAGGTACAACTACAATACATGATTCAGGCTCTTCCTCCACTGTAATCGGGGCCTCGGCAGTAGTCCCATCGGTATATCTCTTCATCAGCCGTCTCACAATATCATCCTTATTCCCACCTACCAAAAGCCCAAGCCCCTTGGCCATTGTCTTCAGCTGTTCCTTCTTTAGTTGCATGAGACCGATATAAAGGTCTTCTGGGGTGTTGTCTTCGTCCCCGGTTAACATAAGCTCCTCAAAGTCCGTGAGGGCATTCACAACTTCTTCCTCCTTGACGATAATCTCCTCAGCAGTCTCCCAACCCGTAAAATCGATCTCGTCGATGTCTTTGATGTGTATGAGGTGGTCCTGGCTCCCGTCGGGCTTCACACTAATACCGCAGCTTATAAATGACTTGGCAATCATCTCAGGGCGTTGGGCAAGTCGTTGGATAGCCCGTGAGACGACCCACGTTGTCATTATCCTCTTATCCTTGACGGACCACTCTGTCTGCCCTTGGGCCTCCTTATTCATCATGTAAATAAGGGTTTCTTCTCGTAGCAAGTCCTTCAATGGTCTGTTGACGGACACGTCAAGCGGTTGAAGCTGACCCGTACAGCCCGGCGGGATAAGCGCCCTCGTCACCTTCTGTTGCCGTAGCTGGTCTGTGACTTTGTCAGTCTTGTGAAATGTGGCGACGTCCATCACGAGAAGGAAGTCTCGTGTTTTCGCCTGTACGTCCGCCAATTCGTCCTTAATCCAGTCATAAAATAAGTCCTCATTATTGTACGCTGTCTCATTATACGCGACAGTCACGTCTGGTGCGTAAAGATGGCCCTCATCAGCGAAAATCCTGCCTGTTGGACCGGCGGTGCCGTGGAAGATGATCTTGGGCTTTAGTCGGAAGGACCCGTCGGCGAAGATATACATAATAAGGGTGGCCTGTCTCTTGCTCCACCCGCTACGGTCGGTCTTGCCGGCCACGGTTTTTGCCCCACGTAATTCCCACGTACTTCCATCGAGATATCCGAATGGAATCGGGGTCTCATCGATATTTAAAGTCCATTTCTTCTCAAAGCGACGGACGGGCGAGTCGAGGATATAATTTATAGTCATTTTGGGTGACTGGTTGTGGCGTAATTGCAGTGTATTGGTGTTGTTGGATACCCGGCGGATAAAGCAGAGGAAGTTATTCGTGACAGCCTTGTATTCCTCAGGGCGACGACTCGACTCCTTAGTGATCCGACGCTTGACGATGCCTCGCCGCCGCTTAAAGCCTAACCACCAACCATTTGAGAATGTGAATACCTTCATTGACTGAGGATATTTGTCTTCCCAGATAATCTGGGCCTGTCTCCTGAACCATCCAGTCGTCACGATAAGCTTCTTGTCCCGGGCCTTAAGAAACCGCCGGAAAAGCTCCTCCTCGAGGTCCGGCCAGTGGGGGGAATAGCTTCGTTTCTTGATGTCAAGGACGGCCTCCTTGTCCCGTTTCCAACGGTATATTGTAGGCTCAGGAATTAGGAACTGTATTGAGGCTTCTCTGGCCAGTGGATGACGATAACCATTCACAGAAAAGTAGTGATCCGGATCATATATCCTATGATGCTCTAGGAACATAAGGACCTCGACTTTCTTACGTGGTGAGTACGTATTCTCACGGCGTTGCAGTGGCTTTGGAGGAGTATATTTGCGATGGGACAGCGGCTTCTTCTTTGGTCCTGATTTCCGAGGCGTAATATTAACTGACCGCTCCACAAGTGTCATTTTGACGAAAAAACGGCCTCGTGATAGCTTCACATCGGATGAAAAAACAGGTGATTTGCATTGGAAGGGGGAAAATCCCTCAACATTGCAAAACCCTCGTCTGATATTGCGGGGAAGAGCCTCGAGAGTTCGCTATCACATACTAACTATATGAGGAATAGAACTTGCATGAAGCAGGGGTGCCAGGACCCACCAGGTTTTATCAATTTGTCGAGTCGATACGGTATCAGAAGATCAGATGTTCCCCCCGGCCAGGATTTTTGCAGTCTCTCTTTCATCCGATCTGAAGCTATCGCCACCGCGTTTTTCACACAATGCCGCCGCTTGATGAGGTTGATCCTAATGCCGGCTGGACTGTGGCCTCAACACCAAGGAAAAAGCCCGGCCCAAAGCCCAAGCCTCTTGCAGAGCGGAAACCAAGGAGGATCCTGCCAATCCAACGCCCGGAAAGAAGCTATTCACCGGAGCAGAAGGCGGAAGTCCTCGTGTGGCTGATCCACGGCCACGTTATAAAGAAGGGTTGGAAAAGGAAGCCTACGGTTTATGATGCCTCGAGGCACTTCAAAATACCAGAAGGAACGATCCGTGGATGGCGACAAAAGCGTGAGTTTTTCCTCGAAGAACATCATCGGAAACTCTGCCCCAAGTGGCCAGGCCTCGAAGATCAAGTGTACCTCTCTTTCTTAGAGCGCCGCGCCCAAGGGAAAGTAGCTACGACCTCTTGGTTCCGCCGGAAGGCACAGGCTATTTACAAGGAGTTATACCCGGACCAAAGCTCCCGGTTCCCTTTCTCCACCGGTTGGTGGCGAGGCTTCCTTCGGCGTCACAACATCGTAAAGCGACGAGTGACAAAGCAGTCAACCAAGAGGCCAGAGGATTACATCGACGTCGTGAATAGGTTCTTACGATTCATCAGGCGCATCTCTACATTACGATTCCAATCTCGGGCCATCACGATGATCTTGAACTCGCCAAAACGCCGGTTTTATCGGCGCCTTATACTCAACCTAGACGAGACCCCAATCCCATTTGAGTATCTTGATGGCTTCACTTGGGAAATACGCGGCGCAAAATCAGTCTCCGGGAAAAGCGACCGCAGCGGGTGGAATAAACGGCAGGCCACCTTGATTCTTTATATATTCGCAGATGGCGAATTTAGGCTTCGACCGACTATTATATTTCATGGTACCCCTACCGATGAAGGCGGCCAGAATTACGAGAAGGAGCAGCATCTTTATTCCCCTGACGTCGACGTAGAGTTCAATAAGACAGCATACAATAACGAGGAGCTTTTTTCTTCCTGGATTGACAACAAGCTTCTTCCCCTTATTAAGGATGAAGAAGAGGATATATTGCTCGTGATGGATGCAGCCACATTCCACAAGACTGAAGGGATCAAGAAGAAACTAAGGGATAACGGTATTTCCCTTGCACTTATCCCTCCCGGCTGTACGAGTCTTTTGCAACCCCTTGACACCGCTATCAATGCTCCTTTTAAGCGGTGGTTACAGGAGGCAACTGACGAGTATATTGAGCAGATAGAAAGAGAGAAAGGAGAGGATTTCAAGTGGTCAGTTAGTGATAAGAGAGTTATGGTTACTCATGTAGTTGCTTCTGCTTTAAAGCGTCTTAGCGCAAAGTCAGAGATGGTCAAAAAAGCGTTCTTGAACTGCGGAATAAGCATACGCCCTGACGGGGCTGAGGACTGGCTGATCCGGATCAAGGATATACCTTCTGATCAGATTGACTTTACTGGGTGGGAAGAAGCCGAGGAAGTCATCGTCAAAGACGAGGACCCCGTGGATCCCCTGTGTGACGACGAGGAATTCCTCGTTGCCGACGATGACGAGCTTCTTCTGCATACACAATATCACGAAGAAGTCATCAAGCAGCTGCAAGAGCGGCTGCGGAAGAGGGGCCTCAGGGTATCAGGGAAGAAGGCAGATCTGATCCAACGACTGCGAGATGATGATGACTCCCAGAAATGTCGAGAAGGAGATACAATATACATTAGCTGACTAGACCATCAGAATCAGCGCCTTCAGAAGTCTCATTGACCTTATTATCTTGCCAAAAGAAGGCTATTCCCTCCTGCTATTTACGTTCCTTTCTTAACCTCCAGTCCGTCTTCAACACCAAAAAAACACACATATGATATCTATGAAGCCGGCGGCGGCGGCGGCCATCTTCGTTATCACGATGTCGGAGGGCAGCTTCAATAGAAGGCGGAGGTTGGAAGTGGGAACAAGCCGCCTACCTATTTTTGGTGGGGGATCCGTTCTGCCGCCCATCCCCGCCCTCTGTGTGGCTTGCCAAGAGACGCCGGTTGAACTCAGAAAAGCGCGAATTTACCGAGTTCTTACGGTATTTTATCCCTTCAATTGTGCGAAGCCTCCCTGATGTAACTTGACCCAGTGTTACTGCGCTAGCAGGAACCTAGTTTTGTCGCCGCGATAACGTCTTATCTGTTATAATCTTACGCGTAGTTGACTCAAGGTGTCGTTGAAAATCAGTGCTGATACAGGTATAGGCTAGAGAGCTAGTTCTTATTGGGTTAGATCCTTGCCAATGACCACTTGGGAGGCTTCGCACAATTGAAGGGATACTGTGGGGGAAGCGAAGCTCTCCAAGTCACTCAATGGACACGCGGCGTGCAAGAAATTATCTGTTGCACTATGTCCATATACAAAGTGGACTATCTAGAATATCCTGCAAATCAAGCCCAGTGGAACAGGCACAGAGAAGACCTTAGGAGAGATCATCTTCACCTGCAAACGCTGGTCTCGACACTCAGCCGGACCTCGTCACTGCCTTCAGAACCAAGGCAGATCGAGGTATTGGAGGGTGGCAGACAATTGGCTCCACAGGGATCATTAATGGCACCGGTGAATTGATAAGAATTATCTAAAGAACAAACGAAATTAAACAGGCTTGTGTTCGGGCACAGCTATTTAGGCTTCACGTCCTTCATCAATGAGTGGATCAAATCAGTGAGTGGATCACTTGTACGGTACAGCTAAAAGTAAAAATATTACCCGTTGGCTCATGTGGGGCTAGGTGTCACGGCCCATGCCGCGATCGAATGCGTGTCGCCACACGGCACGGATCAACGTATTCCGCTCACTCGGTGCGAGTGAGCGGGACCTATTTTCTCACTCCGGGCAAGTGAGAGTGTAACACTATCTCACGATGGGCATCGTGAGATGCTCCCTAGACCCTGCCTATAAAAAACCACATAACATCCCTTAGACAGATACTCTCGCTACCTCAGCTTTCAATACAATTTGATTACTCAAGAATACTTCTTGACATTATCAGACGTGATTCGCCACCCCACGCTCAGTACGACGCCCCGTCACAACTGCCAACATAAACCAATTGGGTTACGGTTTACTACGTTGGGAACCTTGACCGTCACACTAGGGCCCTAGGCGAGCCAACCTAGCAAGCTAGGTTGGCCACAAAATTATGAGACAGTAACAAAATTTGAGACAGCCCCTCATATCGTGACGTCTTCAAATTATATGTAATTGCCACCTAATTTACGACATCAATCGGTGAAAAACATCACTCTTGTGACTATCTCAAGTCAATCTTCATAATGCCGAGCGAAGCGAATCTCAAGGCCGCCCGGGAAGTCGTACAATGACGTGCGCGTTATGCCCGAGGCCGCCATCGCAGCGCCTCCATCACCACGACCAAACCTCTCTCAATTCGCGATGCGGCTGCACGCTTTCCTGGCTCTTCTTCTGCCTCCGTTCAACGACTCGTGAAGCTGCTAGAGACCGGTGATACGCCTCGTCAAGTCGGCCGGCCGCGGCTCCTCACAGACGAGGAAGAAGAAGCTATTGCCGCCTTCGTCATCTGGATGGAAAGATCAGGATTACCCGCCTCCAAGCCTGAAATCGAAGATGCCGCCACAACCCTCCTTCGCCGCAGGAACCTTGATGCAGCCCCGGTCCATAAGATGTGGTATTCACGCTTCCGTGATGATCATCCTAAGCTCGAGCAGGCATTCCTCAAAGCTGCTTAGAAGTCTCGTGAGTCTTGGGAAGCCGGCGGTCTCCATGACCTCAAGAAATGGTTCAAACAACTTACTGAGGCCATCCGGAAATATAGGATCAACGCTTCTGAGTGCTAGAACACCGACCAGGCCGGTATTAGGATTGGCATCCTTAAGGAGAGTATCAAGGTCCTCATCGTACGGACGAAGAGACGATCAAGGAAGCAGGTTCTCTCTCCTTCCAACCGCGAGACCTGTACCGTCATCGGTACAGGAAGCGCTGCGGGTGATACGACGCCGCCGTGGCTCATCTTCAAGTCATTCCTAATGCTAGATTAGGCGTACATTAAGGCCGATCCGGATACCTGCTTTGCAAAGTCAGAAACAGCTTTTCCCAACAGCGAGGTCACCCTCGAGTGTGGGATACACTTTAACCAGTATTCCTAGGGCAAGTTAGCTACGATATAGAGCCGCGGGCTTATCGATGGTGCCCGCAATCACGTCGTAATTCGCTTAGACCACGTGACAACTTATCCCCCGCAAAAGGCGGCCGTGAAATCGTGTGCGTGACGCCTGATAAGTTCTGCTTATCAAGTACGTTAAGCAATCTTATAACGGAATTGCCAGCAATTAAAATCCTGCTTCATATTACAATGTAAACCTACGCTAGAGTCTAGCTTACACATGGTAATAATCCACAAGTTACAAATCATTAAGAGTCTTTAAAAAAGACCTTCAAAGCCTGGTCCACCCCACTCCCTCATTAAATCCGCAAAAGCTTCCTGAGCAATACCTGCACCTTCTGGAGAAAGTCCCGGAAAGAGAAGAAGATCTAGAAATTCAGCAAAACTTCCTCCTTGCTGCTGCTCGGGCTGGGGTAGATGCTTATCGCGGATGATGTCCTGACCACCATCTAATCCCAGTAATGGTAGATTACCATCACCTTGTGCCACAGGGACCGCTGTCTTAAGTGTTGTTAATCGTCTGCGGAGTACCTGGAAAAGATGTTGCCCTAGCAACGCGGGGATGCCGAATCGATGGTTGGGGACTGTTCCTGCTCTCTCTAGCTGCAACGCAACCTCCGCGAGCAAAGCCAGGAGTTCAACTTCCTGGCCAGGTCGATCACCGTAGAGCTGTGAAAACAGTTTCAGGGCAAGGACTGCTGCGTAGGAGCTCATGGCCCAGGTTGGAGTCATCATGCAATACATTGGCTGACCAATCTCACGAAGATCCCTGACAGTGACCTCGCAACAGTTGACGGCAGCCTCAAAGCAGTCGTAAGCAGTTACATCAGTTCCCTGTCCGCTGCTTGCATGACTGTGCAAAGCCGCCGAGAGCGCCCATAGTCGACCATGTAAATACACGAAGCGCAAGAACGCACCTCGCATGACTTCAGGCGTCTCGGAGTGGGCGTCCGGGTTAGTCAGCCATGTTTCTGCCCATGGATCCAAGGCTGAGTCCACGAGGTCTCTTACCCAATGTGGTCCATGATGCGGTAGTCCAAAATGACGTTTGACTTCATGATGAAGCATATACAAATGGCGACGCAAGAGAACAAAAGCCGAAGTATACCTATCTGTGGGGTCAGCCAAGGGATGCTGCCACCATTCGTTTATGCGTAAAATGAGCTCGTTTTCGGGGAAAAAGGTAACTCTGCCACGCGAGGCATTATGTGCTTGTTCCCAGATCAATAGTCGGAGTGACGTCCGTTCTCGGTTTCGAACCAGTCTTGCTTCAAGGGATGATATCGCAACAGTTGATCCATTGCTTGGGTCTGTAACGGGATGTCTGGGCGATGAAGCCAAAGGGCCTTGTCGGCTATCGGAACCCAAGTCTGAAATCATACCAAGGGCGTACGTCGTGTATGTCCATGAGTTGTCCTCCGCCAAGGTATTCGTGGGGACAGCGGCTAGGAGTGATAGGTAATAACCTTGTGCGATTTCCACAGATCTGTAGCCACACGCATGAACATGCCTCGACAGCTTTTCGCCGTGCAAGCGCAATCGCTTCATTAGAGACGCTGAGGCCGGATCAAACTGTGCGGTGATGGCCAGAATCCAAGTGAACAGGAGCGCCGAGCGTGATCTCACAAAATCGGGTGTGTGTAAAGCTAGATCAAGAATGCCGTGTATAGGATGTTGCCACTCAAAGTAGCTGGAGAGCTCTTAATAAGTGGTTTAGAGACGGACTCGGAAAAGTCTACTTACATAAGGAATAGATATAGGACCTCTTCGAGAGATATCAACCCTAGATCGACCGGGTCAAGATCTGGGCCTGTATCCAGGGCTCGGTTTTCGTTTGCTGCTTTGAAGTAGTTTGCATAGCGAATATCGACACTACTCCGGTTGAGGAGCTACCCAAGTGCATCCTCCAGAACCCCTCGATCTAGCTTGAGGCCGAGGGAAACGTATCCAGGGCGTTCAAAAAGGGATCGGGCCGTAACCAAAGAACTAGAATCCGTCGTCATAGATATGGCGTCACCAGGCGAAGTGTCATGGCCAAAATCTGATGAGGACTCAGGTCTAAAGGGCTCCCCTGCCTCCCGAGCCTCCCCGGACGCGTCAGCTAAAAGCCCCAGAGGGTTACACACAGACCGCTCAAACCGGCCAGCAGCCACGGCATCTGCGTTAGACTGCTCAAATTGAGAAAGCTCTGAAGGTGCATCAGGCATACTCGAGAATATATTTTAAGCTAAAGGGACTAGGTCTTGAGATAATTCATTGGCCGCGAGCTACTACGGCGAGAGGGCATCGCCGCGCAAGAAGAGACCAAGAATTTCGCTCTCGCTAGGGACGGGATTCTTAGGAAACCCCTTTGACAGCCGCGCCGCCTTGCGAACTTCGGTCTGGATTTGGCGCACGGCCTTCTCGACGCCATGATAGCGACCAAGAGCACCCGGTCTACGGCCTGGGGCACGTCTCTGAGGGATGTGGCAAGGGCGGTTGTTGCGTTGACACCTGTCGCAGGGAGCTCTTGATCCGTCGGGGTTCCGCTCGGAACTAGTGCATCGCATCTTTTCCACTGTGGTGTCAACAAAACTTCATGTTGCCAGGCACAACATCGGTGGTTGTTCCTCACCTTCTGTTTGCGGCAGGCTTCGCACGCGACGGCCGGTTGAGGCCCAAACCTGCGCTGGCGCTCACAGTTTTGAGGTGAAGGCGCCGAAGCCATTGTCATGGTCTTGGGGATCTGAACAAATGCAGGCGCAGGGTGGAAAATGCGGCATCTCTGCCGAAGGCCTTTGCGGGGAACAACGATCTGCAGAGCGGGGAAGCGATTTTCCAAAACCGATTCCAGTCTGGGGGGGATTGATTAGACCCGGAGTTTGCCGCAAGAATGTAAGAGAGGGGCAGGGCAAACTTTCACTGGTAGCATGTCGTGCATGACAAATGATTTAGTGACCTCAGTTAGACCGTAGCGTCAGAGAAGGCCCGTCCGCGCTCCCCTGTAGGGAGGCAAGTGTCTGTATATTGCAGTAGTTCTATATACAGAGGGAAGGTGGGAGGGGAAAAGTCGAGTCTTGACTGCGTGAGAGATGACGAGCAACTTGCGGAGGCGAGCAATTGGCTCCCGTGAGGCAGTTGCAGGAGGGAAGAAACCCCTCAGGAAGCCCTCCGAAGCCGGGAAGCCTATTCTGCAGTGTGGTCGTCACGTGAGGCAACCCCAATAAAACTACTCCCTGATTTGGTGCTTCATTTTATGGGGCTTCGATTTCCTGTTGGCACTGACCACCCAGTCTAACCCCCCTTCCACAGTGCCAAAGGTCACTTTTTTTGGTTGTTGGACATGGCCACAGCTCCCCGGGCCGAAGGAGAACACAAGGCATACCCTTCGGAGTCCTGCCAGTCGCGAGCAGGTAAAGGATATCATTCGAGGCAGTCAATGCCGAGAATTCTGCTCCGTACTTAGAGCGTAACACGCAGCCATTGATGGTAGTGCATGCGCATGTGCATGGAAATGCCTCTAATCCCCTGGTTAACAGTGACTGCTGCTGCATCTGTCACTGTTTGACTTGCGGACATGTGTCGAAGCTCTCATGCTGCTTAAACCAAAAAGCTTACAAGAGGATAACGGTCAAGGTCACATCAAATATCGCTTGGCAAGTATGGAAAAAGCAAAGCCCAGAAGGCTACGAAGTGAAGGGCTCATATCAATGCTGCTGCCACCGAGGAATGCACTGCAATCTGTAATTTATGCATGACGTGCAGCTACGTGCCTTAATGGTCGTGCTGATCAAGCTTGGACTCCCTGCTCAGTATATACCTTTAGATACCTCGGCCGCCATCTACTTCAATCGTTGTGCCAGTAAGGAAAGACCCCTGGTCTGAACCGAGGAACCACGCCGCGTTCGCGATATCGGTCGGCTTAGTAAGCCTTTTCAATGGCAGAGCGTCTTCAATTTTGCGACGCTTTTCGGCTAATTGATTATCATTTCCGATGCTTCTCTCGAGCCTACAGCGAACAGCAGATGACGTTAGACTAGCACATAAGGTAGGTAATAGCAGACTCCAACACATACATGGCCGTGTCGCCAATCGCGGGACATATGCAATTGAATCGAATGGTTAGGGCATATTCCAGCGCCATGGTCTTCGAGGCGAGCTGAATCAATAGTCAATATTGGCAGTTCACCAAGGACGGGCAGTAGTTTCCAACATTTACTCCCGCCTTAGCGGCGTTATAGAAGGCGAATCCTGGCCGCGGGCGCGTGCATCCAGTGCTAGGATATCGATATCAGTGCTAGTCCAACCACCAGGTTGCCTCATTTTGCCCACCTCGTCAGGTTAATAAAGATACCACCTCCTTGCTTCAGCATAAAAGGGCAGATGACTTATGCACTCAGGAAAACAGGCTTGTATCAAATGTCAGCGGATGCACAGGTAATCCAGCAACATGGACGTAGCGTGGCTTACTCTAAGGTTGACGTTGAGGATCTTGTCGTATAGGTCCATTGACAATGTGTGGACAGGCTTCGGCTTCAGTTAGTTTACGCCTGGCGGGGCTATCAGGGGCCATCTGAACTTACCGAGGGCACGAGCGTGATGCCTATCAAGTCTCAGCGTGCTGTGATAGGCACCAAAGGGAGAAGCAGCATATTTGCTTACCCGCGTTATTGACCACGACATCCAGCCGACCGTACTCTTTTTCGGCAACAGCCAGAGCTTGCTCCCAAATTGCCACGCTTGTTACATCTCCATGGATGAAGGTAAGGTCGGGACTTATGGCTGCTTTTGCGCTTCCTTTGACATCGTTCAGATCGATGAAGATGACTTTGCTCCCCTCCTGATGAAAACGGTCGACTATCGCAGCGCCGAAGCCATCAGCGCCACCTGTGTGAGAGACGTCAACGCTGACTCCGGCCCAAGGTCAAGACTTGCAAACCTATCACAAGAACGACTCGCGATTCGGAAGGCGCCATGATGAAACTACACGTGAGTTGGTCCACGGTTTCTAACCATGTTGATGATCTGGTCGCGATATTTAAGGGGCTGGCTCGGGCGGGGTCGAAATACCGGAGGTAACATTCTCGGCATTAGTCCCACGCCGTTCTCTTCCCGTCCTCCACGCGACCATGGAGTACAGCCGGAGCTTTCGGCTGTCGGAATGTTAATCTAAGGTCCGGGATCTCACGCCAAAATGCCGGCTAAATCAATCGATAAAACATAGACATGGCCGGCAGTACAGGACTACCTCTTTGTGGCCCATGACATGCACAAGCCAGTCGATAAGGGCAGCAACCAACAACGACCATGGCTCAACAAGGGATCAGTATCGCCATTTGCTCTAATGCTATGGGAAAATCAAGAGCTGGTCATAGTATTGCTATGAAGCTGGAAGCTGCGAAGCGACATGGCTTTGACGGCATCGAACTTGTCATAGAATGCCTCGAAAGCCATTCCGAGTCTGAAAAGTTTGCCAGTCACAAGTCTCGTGCCGACCGTTTGCGCGCTGCGGCCCTGGACATTCGCAAGAGCGCAAGTGCTCTATCGTTGGACATCGTTACGCTGAACCCCTTTGGAGCCTTCGATGGGCTTGCGAAAGAGGAGGATATTGAGGTGCGCCTCCAAGAGGCCGAGCTTTGGCTCCAGATCTATCAGGTCTTACAGGCCCCGATCCTTCAGGTACTAATCCCATACACTCGAGCTCCGGCACTCCAGATAGATCGCTAAACCCAGACCAGCTTGCCTCATGCATCTATCCCCTACAAAAGCATCTCACCGCGGACCCACTCAAGATCGCAGCCAACCTAAAGCGGCTGGGGCTTCTAGCTCAGAAATACAACATAATCGTGGCATTTAAGGGAGTAGCCTGGGGTATTAATATAAATACCTAGCAGCAGGTTCGAGATATCCTTGGCCATATTGATCTACCTAACGTTCGCCATTATATCGACACCTTTCACATTGCGGCTAAAGAAGCGGGAGACCCATTCAATTTATCATCGCCCGTCAAGGCTGATAGTATCGCCAGACTACGAAACAGCATGGCAGAGTTCTCGCGGACGGTCAAAGTCAGTAATATCAGATATTTTCAGTTAAGTGACGCCACGGCCGCAGACAAGGAACAAAGAGGTTACCCGATCCGAGACCTAAAGCAACCACCGTTCATAACACAGTCCCGGAATTGTCGAATATTCCCTTGTGAACATAGAGTATTGCCAGTCCTAGAAGTGGCCAAAACCGTGTTTGAGATGGGGTACCGGGGCTAGGTATCCATAGAGGTTTTTCACCCCGACGTGTGGAAGAGAGACCCCGGGTAAGTATCTGAGAGTTATAACGACAAATCGCGAGACTAAGACATCATCACGGCTAACTAACGCTATTGTTATAGCATCCCGGACGAGTGGGCGAGGCGAGGTATGCAGTCTTGGGCCAGGGTGGCAAAACACTGTTCTATATACTCGGATAAACCTCGTTTATGAGCTTATTTATAGTGTGTTTATGCTGTATTGCTTAGTTCTTTTAAGAAGGGCATATGTATTAGAGAAGTGGCATGCATGATGATGTTACACAGGCAGCCACCTCAAGGGAAGATGTCACCCCATGATACCTTCATTGTCAGAACAGCGTTACGGATCTGTTGCAGGATCAGCAGGTCTAGTATCTTGGCCTTGCCCCCTCAGATACAAAGACAACGAGGGAGAACGAAGAACAAGGAGGACGAACACAACGAACATCATCAATACACTCAAGATCATCCCAATATCATCTTTCATCATCAGTGACCTAGTGAGGGCGCGCTGTCTAACACCAGGTGACTACTCTAGACGCATTGCAACATCTATCATTCTTCCGGTGAACACACTCATTGTGCCGAGCGCGCTATCAAAGCCCGCGCTCTTGGCCCGAACGGTTAATGGGCTGTTGCAAGGGGGATCCACTACGGTTGGATGGATTTTATTTCGCCCGGAGGGAAGTCCCTATAGGGCCTTGGCACAGTGTCGCACTGAGCGTGCTGAAAGGATCAAGGATCAGGTAAAGAATAATGAGCAGCAGCAGTGTGTTGATTGATTGTTGTCTGAGGTTTTCTCTTGTGCGGGGTATTCCATCCCGCAGAGTTACTTAAAGCATACGGCTAGATTACTAACGCAGTTGTTTCATGAGGCCGTGAAGATCATGCCTACCCTGCGACACACAGTCTAGTTCACATCTCAGTACATTTGGTACCTGACACCCCAAGCCCCACGGATCGTCGTCTCATCACTTGCTGCTCAACCTCGTCGCTGCTTGTTCCATGACAGGCCTGCTTGAAGGCCAAATTCTGCAAGTGTTCAGCATCCTATCCTCGGCAGCTGAAGCACGGTCTGCCAAAATCGAGGCTGCTTTTTGTTAGTATAGTCGCACGCTAGAGATTAGTTTGCCGAAGGCCGCTGGTCCGCATCGAGCCTGTTTGTCGCGATAGCAAATTTGATTGCCGCACGCACGGCCTGCATGTTTGGCTTCCACTTTTCGTTATCCGACGCAGCTTTTCCTCCCAAGAAGAACGATAAATTCCCAATCTTTGTTCGTGAGCATTTAAACATGACTTCCCGTTGCATTTCCCACTTTTTGCATCGGAAGAGGAAGTGCTCAGTCGTCTCTGCTGCTTGTCCACAATCGCATATGTCCGATTCCGCTGCCCCTATCCGGTGAAGATAACTGTTCAGTCGCGCCATCCCGGTCCGAAGCTGGGCTATCACGTCCGATTCTTTTCTTTTTAGCGAGTCGTATAGTGCACGGGTGTGCTTGCCCGGCAGCGCCTTGTCGATGCGCTTAGAGTACTGTCCAACCCCTTCCGGAAGTCGCCCACACTGCCGTTGTTGGAGGAGCGCCAGTCGAAGTGCCGTAGACCTTGCTTGGTACGACGGTGTCTCTACCATGCACTCTGCTTTGGTAGCTCTCTGCGCTGCTGCCTTGGCCTTCGGTCCCAATGCAAAACCTTCGGCCTTAGCCGGCACCCACATGACTCTAACGGAACAGCCTCTTTTCCGAAGGCACTTGGTGCGGTCGTATATCTGACGGATAGTGCATTGACCGGATTGCTGCCGAGGCCTCCTGATCACTTCCACGGCCGAGCGGTTGCTCGTCATGACCGTTACGTCCCGAAAAGGAAGCCTGGGCGGCATCCACTACGGTGGGCGATAGGGGTCACTGTTGCAAAACTCCCTGTCACTTCCTTTTGGGCTTAGGCGCTCTGGCCCTTAGTCATCCGAGTACTTCATGTCAGCACGAGATATGTACCGCGGACTAGCAGCGGGCCCGCGCGGTGGCCTTCTCCAGTCCGATTGACAGCTCGCAGCATCAGGTCCACAAAGGTATCCGGTTTGCAAACCACCCGCTACCATCTTGACGCGCACAACGCGATATCTGGAACTTGGTTCCGACGAGCTGAATTGATTCTTCCAAAACGAGTTCACCAAACGTCTTTAGTTTGCCATTATCCTGGCCGAAGGCGCGCCTGTACCAGAAACAAGGAAAGCCGAGTCGCAGCCCCTACCCTGGATGGTGCTGGAAATTTGTAAATGTCGACGCCCTATGGAGTAGGAAGAAAATATATATATATATGGAAGCGACTTTGAGAGCTTGACCTTTTTTGTTATATGATGGTACTGGGTCGAAATTTGGTGTTCAAAGTCTTAACTCTGCGTTCGTAGCCACGACCATTGTGTAGTCTTTATCTTAACGTACCCCCAACTCAGAATGAGGAGCGGCACACTGAGGCAGCAGAGGATTACCGCAGTAATCCCGCGTCTGGTCAGCAGCGGACTAGCATAGCATCCTCCTGCTTAAATGGGCCTAGCGACTTTATCCGCTGCGACAAAGGGGGATATTGTTTTGTTTTGCTTAAATTAAAATCTTGTTCTTAAACCAGATTCTATTTCTTCTCTCCTTTTCCTACTTTCACCGTCTCTCTTCAACTGAAATGGGCCCTCCAAAGATTCCCCCTGAGCATGTCTATTGCGTCCAAGCTGGAAAGAAGCACTATGACCTCTTCACCACCATATATGTTGGCGCGAACTATTGCGGCCGTTGCGGCTTGGTCAATCCCTTTCGGCCCCAGCGTCGAGCCAGGTCAAAAACTCCAGCACTTCCTGGCCCATATGATGAGGTGGTGGAGCTCGAGGACTCTCCGCCACGGCCTGTGAGTCCAGCAAGTCAGCTGATGCGTGACAGACCGAAACCAGTGTCATCCATCGGCATTGAACGTGCCGCCCAACTACTCCCCAACGAACTTTCTGCCCCTGGCACGGTGAATACACGGGCACGCATACCGACGTCGAGCAATTCTCAGTTCATGACTGTCGCTTCAGCGGCCAGTCGAGCCATTCAGAACTCCAAAGGCAGCACCAGAAAGCCTGCGAGGCAACGAACTGGCTACCAATGGGTCCATATAAGTCTTCTGCTTGTGAGCTTGGAGACCAAGTACTTCAATGGGCTTGCAGTGGAGGTCCCAGAGACGGTGCTGCCTTTGAAGGATACGGTGATCAAGTTTTCCTCGGCGGATCTTCTGACTTGGCCCTCGTTCACTGAGATTTTAATCGATCACCTCCGTCCGCTTCCGCCCTCAATCGATCCTACGAACAAGGATCTCTGGAGCCTTTCTTACGCTTCGACGGTCTCTGGCAAGAAGATCGTTACCGTTCCAAATACCGACAAGTACACGACACCGTCGAGCATGCTCGCTTCGGGGCACTTTTCGAACAACCAAGCTGGGCAGTTAAAGGTGCTAGTCGTCCTGACATCCACGGATGTAGTCGATAAGCAGGAGCCGGCCACACCGCTGAGGCCAGATGAGTATTCAACGCCAGCCAAGGAAGACAAGAAGCGGAAGGTCAAGCAAGAGGACACAAGTCCATACTCCGGGCGCAAGAAGCGTATCAAGCAAGAGGCGCAGGTCAAGGAAGAGAGGGGCACTGTGGAGACGGATCAGGTCGAGCAGGAGATACACGTCAAGATCAAGCAGGAAACGCCTGTTCCGGCTTCCTCCTTCCAGAGCCCAACACAGGACGAGCTTGGAGATACTGCTAAAGATACCGTTGGACATAGGGATATGGCAGATCTTAGTGAAGTAGAAGATCCACCCTGCGATCTAGGGTTTGACAGTCTGCCTGATGGGAAAGGAGGGGAGGGCGTGTTCGACGACGAAGATGAAGTGGATGAAGAATATTGTGAGGAAGAGACAAGTTTTGTTCCAGAGTTCGTAAGAAACCAGACCACCTCACCACTAGGCTAAGAACTGACCCTAACAGGTAAACCCGGAATTGATTCGTCGAACCGTGGGGGAAACTCAAGCACAACTATTCGACACTGATACTGCTAGAGCCCTTCCACCGGCCCACTCTACACGCTTCAAAGGCACTAAAATCCCCACAACGTTTGCCGTTCGCTATGGGAGAAGGAAGGATTGACTACTCAGGCTCCCCATTTGAACTATCGCTATCCTCTCCGTCATCACTTATTCCCTTAATGTCGTTTCCTTCCTCATCTTCAAATCCCAGTTCCACCAGTGGCTGCTCTGCTGGTTCCCCGTCTCCAAGCTCTTCTCCTCGGGCTTGATTTGCTCGTTCAAGCAATGCTTGCTATATGCGTTTAGATTGGTTTACTAGCAAACAAATAGTGTGGCTTACATATTCGGCAACGCCCCCCGTTGGCGCTTTACGGTATGCCAGCACAGGTTGTTAACCACTTTCGATGTGTTGAATGATTCTATCTCGAAGACCAAGGTAGAAGCGCTTGAAAGGCCGCAACTTATCCGGCTCCTAGCGAGTTCCAAGGACTACCTAATCGTAGCCCATTTCGAGAAGAACTTAGCGACACCAATTCTTTATCTCCGGCTCCAAACATGTGCTAATGTCGATATCAGCCAATGGTCGCTCCATTTCACCTAGAACTGAGCGGTCAATGGGGATACCCCAGTTGCATGCCTTGTCTGGATCGGGGTAATGGTAATTCATCCAGGGCTGGCCGTGAATCACGTGTGGACGGTTCTTCTGAAGGCGAATTCGATGAAGATTCCACGCCTCCACAAAGTCGAAGAGTTCTTGGCGTAATACATCTTCGAAGACGGCGTAGATGGCAATCTGATCCTCCAACATATCGCTGTCAAAGTCCCCGTCCCTGGCGAGCTCCCCAAAGTAGTCTACCCACTGCCGGGACGAGACATGCAGCATGCGCTCCCACCAACTCTCAATCTTAACATTCTTCGTACTTAGAGCCGCCTTGTACGAATCTTTCAGGCGCTTCCCTTGCTAGAACACTTACCCATGCCATTCCACTCGCCCGTCTGTTGCCAAAACAAAGTTCCAATGTGCTGCTGCGACCAATGGCATTTCGCTGCCCCTATCTACTTGCAAATACCATGGCCGAAAGCCGTAGGCATCACATACGGCCAAGTACTGCTTCAACACGCTCAAAGCAGTTGTAGCAGTGTGGCCAACATAGAACCAGATAATATTGCGCGAGTAGGCGTCTATTGCGGCATATATCTCGAATCCATACGCCTTGAGCTTATCATGACCGTCAATGCACCACTGGTAGTTTAGTCCTGGGACAAGGAACTGTCCCTTCTTCCTCCGAAACATCCTTTTCCGGAGTTCGACCTCATTTGGGAACATGATTTTGTACATCGCAAAGAGAGGGTCTCTTGGTACCCAGAGCTGCTTTTTCTGACGAAGATAAGGCTGGAGAAGGCTTTTGCCATATCCCGAAATAGCATTAGAGCGCCGCGTCATTTCGATGATGACTTGCTCTGTCTTTTCCAGCAACGCAAGGCGCTCCTCGTCGCTATTGATCCTGCGTACCCAGCGGCGGTCCGGGTGAAGCCTGATGCGCTTTAGACCTCGTTTCGTGATCGGCCAGCCCTGTCTCTGCAGAACGCTCAGCGTCTGCTTCTCGGTAAGCCCAACGCGAAAGATCAGGTCGCGGGTGGCCTCTATCAGCTCTGGGGTTTCTTTGGTACGGGCTTGCTGGCGCAGGAGACCCCAGCTTGCGATTCGGCGAGAGATTGTACTGAGATTGACTGCGACATGATATTGCTTCCGAAGCTTATACTGAATCCTGCTTCGCGAGACACCGTTAAGGTAGAGATAAGTGACATAGTCACGGTAGTGATCGATTGGATTGGGCGGACGTGCCATTGTTGGCGGTAATGTCGAAGGCGTGGGCGATTTTCTTGGTCCTCACGACAGGAAAAAGGGGGGGGGGGGACGGCGATGGCCTGGTCTCACTATACCCTAGCACGTTGACTCACCGCAATACCCCGCAGCGGTGTTGCAACTGGCCCGCTGCGGCTTAGTGTCAGGGGTTTACTGCTGGAACGTTGCCAAACCGGGAACAGGATCGACGCTGCTGACCTGCACATATTTACACAACCCACATCCCTTACAACCCTGGTTCCTACCTTCCCTTCTGTATCGTCGTATCCGTTGGAAAAGCCAATGGTCAACAGCGTTGTCATGCCCACAACCGATCCCGTCATTGTAAGTGAAACTGGTGCCGGTGACCTGACGGAAGGGGACTCGCCCAGCAGGAGTTAACATAGTCAAGAAGGGCAGAGGATTGGTCCGACCCAACGCCCGCAAATCCACGGCCAAGGTTACCGTACGATCCAATAAGTCCTCATGTGGCGAAGAGACGGCTGCTAACACGCTCGTCCGAGCAGAAGAAGAAGCAGACGAAAAAGGCCCCTCCCATCGGCTCGGTGCGTGACTTCCCATGCCGCCCCTGCGTCACACGCGCCACCAAAGCCCCCGGCCATGAATGTGCCTCCCAAGACAGTATGTTGGGTTGCCCCAGGATCATACACCTGCTACGCTGACATGCACGGAATAGATACTGGTGCTGCGTGCTGGGACTGCGCAAAGAACGCTCACACCTGCAGGCCGGTAAGGCATATCTGCTTGCTCTCAGGTATCGAGCCACTGACAAAGCTGCATCTCTAGGTCCCGGTTGGTGCTCTTGCTGCTGTGCGCGCCTTTTGGGAGCTGAATCGGCAGCTCAAGCGTGCGAATTCCGATCCAGACGATGCCTGGCGGACTGCTGCACAGCGCGCAGCACAACAATTACGAGCTTGCGGTAGTGGTGCGGCTCTTCCTGCCGCTCCAGGACCAGCTCCCGCTTTGGCTTCGTTCGGCGAGATAGCTGAGAAGAGCCCCGAGGAGCGAAAGATCATGGCGCTGGAGACCATCGCTGAGGCTGCTCGGCTCTGGATTGTGAGCGGGATCAAGTCGTCAGATACATTTCCACTACTAACTCGATGCTCAGCAGCTCAATAAGCCGGACGAGGAGGACGAGGAGGACGAGGAAGAGGTAGAAGAGGACAATTGAGCGTTGGTGTTGCCCAGTTCGACCGCCATGGTGGCGGCCGATGTCTGTAGGACGTGATAGAAATCTGCTTTGCTGGTCCGCTGCGGTCCCGCTGCTTTGATTACATTTTCCGTAACGCGAAAAAAATCCAAGAATCTACGCTGAGGTACACGGAGCAATGTCCTGCGGGGTGGGTTGCCCATCTCGCTAACCCGTTTCGTCTCTCTTGCGGTGGTTTTTGGGGTTTTGCAACAGTGACCCCTATAGTCTGCCGTAATCCACATCATGACGTGGAGCAATTCCTATGCCGACGAGCGGACCCGGTGGTTAAATTTAGCCACCGGCTGCTTCCCCCAGACGCCGAGGGTTCTACTTCACAACTCCCAGGATGCCGAAGAAACATGGCCGGGTCGCATGCATGTCAAATGGCCCAACTATAAAGACAAAAAAAAAAAAGGTTAAATATCGCCTGTGATCTGTTGATATTGGCGGAGGTCTTAGCAAATTGCTTTTATCGAAACAATTGGATTCATCATTGACAATGGAAACTATCGAAGTTGACGTCCTTATTTGTGGTGGAGGCATGTCCGGCATGTCTTGCGCCAACCATGCGACCGGAGCTGGCGCCAAGGTGCTTGTCGCAGAGAAGCAGGGCCATGTCGGTGGCTCATCTGCCTATTCGGCCGGGATGTTGTAAGTGTCGAGGACAACTGACAAAGCTGTGTTGTAGACTGAGCTGACAATCCTCTAGCTGGGGACCGGAGACGTATGAGAAGCTACGTTCCTGGGTTCCAGACGGCGATGCCAACTTGCAGCGCGCATGGCTCGATGACTATCCCAAGGCTGTGCAGTGGATGCGAGATTCTGGAATCCCTACTGCGGACAAGTTTGCTCCCATTATGACGATTAGTAACATGACATATCCCCTTCTGCCCACTCGATGCTAGAGAACACCGAGTAATGTTGAATGCAGGCATTAGATACCCAATTAAAATTCCCGACTTATATCGCCTGCATGCGAAACGAATTAAAGAGAGCTCGACTAGGTCCAAAGTTTGGATTAACACCAAAGTCATCAAGCTCCTACAGCAAGAGCCTGGAGTCCCCGGTTCTCGTATTACTAGCGCCATCCTAGAGCATACATCTCCCGACGGAACACAAACAAAACTAGTCCAAGTTAATACCAGATGGGTGGTTTTGGCCACAGGAGGATTTCAAGGATCGTCTGAGCTCAAGGCGAGATACCTTAGCCCCGGTCAAGACAACTTATTTATGCGGTCCAACAGTGGGTCTGTGGGAGATAGCCTAAGGCTTGCAACATCTATTGGTGCTAACACGAGCCGTGGCATGGCGACTTACTACGGGCACCTCTTGGCTGCTCCTCTGCGACAAGAGGATGTTTCCCCAAAGGAGTATCTTCCTTTGGCACAGTTTCGTCAGTATCCCTTTAAGGGAAACGACCGTTGCAGTGTTTCTGGCTAACTCTTCTGCAGAGAGCCGCCGGTGCCTTTTACTCAACGAGCGTGGTAAGCGGTTTGCCGACGAGACGACCGGCGATGAGATCATCAATCAGCATTTAGCCAAGCAAGACAATCGCCGAGGCTTCCTTATTTTCAAGTAAGAGAGAACCTAGGTGGGAGGGGAAACCACGGATTCCGAACTCGGCACCACTAACCAGCCGCGATATAGTGAGGAAACGAGACTCAAGTATACCACCAAGGCCCTCTTCCCCAATAGCGGAGACATTAACCGAGTCGAGAAAGCTCGCCAAAGGGGATATAATGTTGCACAATCGCAGTCATTGGAAGGAATACTCCAAGCTCTGGGTCAATGGGGCGTAGATATTGCACAAGCACGGCAAACAATCGAGCAATACAACCGCCGCGTTGGTCTCGGCGACCGGTCTATCATCCTCGATGCTTCTGTAGGCCGCGGAGGCGAGCCACCCAAGCCACTCATTGAAGGAGATGGGCCTTTTTGTGCCATGGAAGTCCAGCCATCGTGAGTCTGCGGAGCTACTAAAGTTGGGCAGAAGTCACTAACGCGGCGCGTAGCATCACGTTCACCTACGGTGGCATTAAAATTGATTCCTTGGGTCGCGCCCTGGGCCCTGACAAAGCTCCCATTCCTGGACTGCTTGTTGCTGGTGTCGATGCTGGAGGTTTCAGCAACCTCGGATATGCTGGTGGCCTTGCTCTTGCCTTTGTAACTGGTTACTGGGCAGCTCGTGAAATCTGTGCCGAGCTCAAGCTACCTCTGCCTCTCTTGCCAAAGGCGGCTTCGACAGACCACGCCGTATTGCCATCAGGATCGTCGCGGAGTAATCTGTGACAATGCCTGGCTTAAGAAGTCCGTGTTCGGCGAGATTCGTTGATACAAGAGACAATTTTAAACGAATCAATGCATGTAGATAATAGGTCTATCACCAATAGCATAGATATAGTGTCTAGACAAAGATGTTGAGATGATAGGACATAAAGGCCTTGTCGGACATGACTTAATAAAGCTGCCAACCTAGGCGACGGCCATTCAAGCTTTGACTTCGGCTCCTGGCTGGGAACAAAGCCAAAGGCGATAACTAATTTATATCCATAGACGAACCACACATTGCGCTGCGATCGTACTATAAAGATCACAAGTTCAAAGTCTATCCTAGGACTGAGCGCTTTGTACTGCAAGGTAGTAAGCTATAAGTTAACATATTAGAAAGTAAGATAACATAACTAGAGTTATACTAGAGACATCTATAGAATACTGTCTCACTGAGCGTGCTAAAAGGATTAATGGTTAGGTAAATAATAATAAGTAATAGCAGTAACGATTTAATTAGATGTTCTATAACCCACGTTTCGAAGACCGAGTTCTTTCCGGCCTTTTACGCCGCATATCAAGCCGCGATGACAGAAAGAAATATCAAGGGAGGCTTTTAAAGGAGCCGGGCTTGTTCCTCTTGATCCGGAAACTGTGGTCTCAAAGCTTGATGCGCAGCTACGGACTCCAACGCCGGTTGAGGAGGAGGCTAACTAACCGTTGGGTCTCAAAGACCCCAAAGACCGTACTTGAGGCTGAATCTCAGTCTGAACACCTTGAAAGACGAATCAGAAGGCAACAAAGCAGCTCTCCGGAATCTATTCTTGAGGCGCTTAAGTCTCTTTCTAAGGGAACAAAGGCCGTTATGCGTGAGATGGCATTAATGAGGTCTGAGATCCAAGACTTTCGACAGGCGAATGAGACACTAAGCCGGCGCCGGAGGGCAAAAAGGACCCGCCTATAGAAAAAAAGGGAAGATGACTCTAGATGAAGGCAGGCAAGCAATTGATCAGATGGATGTTGATGCGCAGGTAGTGGCCGAATCGTCGAGAAGTGGTGGTCAAGGAAGGTCGGCGCGACCGAGGGAAAGGCGCTGTGGAATATGCGGTAAGCCCGGTCATAATTCAAGAACGTGCTAGGTAGTAATTGAGATATGTGGGGAAGAGTAGAGTGAGTAGTTTTAATTGATCAAATAGTGTGTTGTGTTTTTATAGCGATTTTTATCTTAGAGTTTGAGATTTTTGATCGGCATGCTTGTCTGATCGGCATGCTTATCAAGTACGTTATCCAGTGCATACATATAGCGACAGGATCCAGGTGCCACAGTGAGTTAAATACGATCCGCGCAAAAGGGGCCGTGGACGTGCACGGTCCACTAACTCTGAACCTAATAAAGTCCTAAGTGGAGTAGAGTGGATAAGCATTAGGATTCGCTCGAGGACCGCTTATCTTTGTGCTACGGTTTACATACAACGGTGTCAAATCCAATATGCGGCGCAGACCTGAGGGCCGAGCCTTGGTACCCTTAAGACCGGAAGTGGAGCTCCGGTAGCCAAATTTATGCTCCGGGTCCGGCCTGTTTTCTCTGCCGACGCTTTCTTACGAAATCCTTTGGCCTGGGGCCGGGAGGTCGGAATTCTCCGTCTAATCTGGGGCCCCGCAAATGCCCAGAATCCAAGTGGGACAAAAAACGTGCGAGGCAGTTCTCTCAAGCTCAGGAAGGGGACGAATAAATAGGTCAAGTCACCTCTCAGTATTATAAGCTTCAACAACATCTCACCATTCACCTAGTAATCTTCTCCTCCTCCAACATTATCTTTGCACGACATGGCAGTCGCGGAACAAGATCCCAAAAGGCTTCGAGAATCCAAAGTCGAGATGGTTGAGAACGCGCAGGATGGTGGGGACGTCCGCTCCACTCAGGACAAGAGCGATCTCCAAATGAGCCATGTCCAGTACACCGAGAAAGGTAGAGATCATGTACCTTGCGTCACATGTTGGCACGTCAGGGGGCTAACAAAAGACAGAGAAGTCAGCCATTCGCCGCAAGATTGACTGGCGCATTATGCCTCTTGCCGCTTGGGCGTGCGGCCTGCAGTTCGTCGACAAGGTTTGAGCCCCGTGGCCGACGCTATATTCTCCCCTGTAGATGGGTAGCATCTCGCTAATTGCCGATCCATCACCAGTCTGCCCTTAGTGCTGCCGCAACCTATGGTCTCCGAGATGACCTCAACCTTCACGGCCAGGAATATTCTTAGTGCGTTTCGGTATGTCCTTCCGTCGATAGCCAGCACGAGTAACTCAAGCTCAAATAAGCTTAACCTACCGTATTAGATCTTCTATTTCGGCTATCTCGTTGGGTCCTTTGTCTCCGGTCGCGGTCTCCAGTACTTCCACTATGGCCGATTCATTGGAACTGCATACTTCTTCTGGGGCGGAACGTTACTCGGATGCATAGGCGCGAATAGTTTCGCCAGCCTGATGGTGCTCCGATTCCTTCTTAGGTATGGCAGCTTTTATTAATGACCCAGGGGCCACTAACTAATATAGAAAACAGAATCGCCGAGTCTTATCTGGTCCCCGGACTTCTACTCATGTGAGCCCCCTGAATGGATCCTAATCCTGGAATAACGCCCTTTTCTAACCCCCATCGCAGCACAACCATGTGGTATTTCAATTGCCCTACGCCTCTCTATACAGACCAAGAAATATCTGATGCAGCTGACAGGTACACTCAAAAGGAGCAGCCGCTGCGATTTAGCTTATGGACTGCACTGAACGGATTCTTGCCCGTCCCCTTCCTCATCATTTACTATGGTAAGGGCGTCATAATTCCGCAATGGGAGACACGATCTAACATTCATAGGTCTTAGGCATATCACCAGCGGCCCTCTCGTGAGTACACCATTATCGCCTTCGTCCCAGATACCTAGTTTCATAACCAATTTCGCCTAGGTATCTTAGAAATTAATCTTCCTGCTTCTTAGAATCCTTAGTTACATCACGGGTATCCTCCTTATAAGTTCTGCGGCATAAAGAATATGAGCTATGCTATACTGACCCAAAACTATCAGTGGCTTATTATGCCTGACTCTCCCGAGACCGCCACATGGCTAACCGAGAAGGAACGGGCTATTGCTATAGCACGAATGGCTGAAGACCAACTTGGTATCAAAAATAGTAAGCTTTCCTGTCCCACATGCCTTATATAGGCCCTGGATATTAATGCTGCGTGTAAGATACCTTCAAATGGGACCAGGTTTAACTTACACCGTTGCAATTCCAACACATAAGCTTACCAAGCAAACCAGCTCAAGGAGGCTCTTCTCGATTATCGTTGCTGGATGATCGTGCTGCAGATGTTCTTTTCTCAGGCCATAGGGAACGTAACGACAAACTTTTTAGGTATCATCATCAAGGTAAGAGCTTAGAAAACTAGGTGCCCTGGGTGCCAACGCTCCAGTCTGGCAGATAGCAGTACGACTAACAATACTCCAACGGTATAGGGTTTCGGTTACTCCCAACTCAAGGCCCAGTTGCTCACGGCACCCAATTACGCCTGCCAGGTAAGGCCTTCGCCCCATAGGTGCCCTGAAGTACTTAGGCCCAGCTGCCACCTACGCCGTGCATCCTATAAACTCCGAACTCACATCCCGTAGGGTATCACGCAACTCATCGTTTCCGGCCTGCCCACTTATTCGAAGCGTTTTCGCAACATGAAACAGCCTCTCACGGCAGTGGCAAGTATCATATCTCTCATTGGAGTTATCATCTTGCATATTACGCCTCCAGAACCCGAATATCAAAATCGCCGACTGGGCGCCTACATTCTTCTATCATGTGCCGGTATTAACTATACCGTCATCATATCTGTGATTGGAAGCAACATCACTGGATTTACTAAGAAGCAGCTTATAACCTCCATGTCGTTCTTTCTGTACTGCGTTGTCAACATCATCACACCCCAGACCTTTATCGGCACCGAGTCGCCTCGATATCCTACTGGCATGATCTTTATTATAGCGTGAGTCTCGCGTTCTGCTTTTCTTGATCGTCATGACCGTGGCATGATCTAACCACGTATTTTAGCGCAGATTTATCTCGATCTTCATTGCCCTGACTCTTTCTACATGGATGACCATGAGACTAGAGAACGCGCGAAGGGACAAGAAGGCCAAGGCCGATCCCAGCTATGCCCCTCTACGTCCTAAAGAATACGCGAGCAACATTACGTAAGTAGACCCTCCGGAAGCGTCCGATCGGACGCATCCCTGCCTTTGTGAAGCAAGTCACGCTACTAATCTGGCCTTCAGGGATGACACCGATAAGCAGAACAAACGATTCCGATACTCGCCGTAATTGGTATTCAGCGACCAAGGAAATTATTGTGGAGTAAACCATAGAGCATTTGTTAGATTACCTAATAGGCTATCGTGGGAAGGCTTAGCACCGACCGAAGGCATTCGTAACTTCAAGTGGTGGCAACAACGACCCCTTCTTGACTAATTGGTGGCAAATAAGGACTTAGGCGGTTTGGGACAGTGTGTACCTGTTTGTTTCTGCGTCTTTAAGCCTTATTTTCACTCTCAAGTTATATATCTCGTTCGTATCCCTAGCTACCTTACCTTGCTCATGCTTTCACAACGTGTAGACACGCGAGGATTCTCGCAGCTAGTGAGTGGATTAGGATATTCAACCTAAGAATAGTACCTCTTTAGTATCAGTTGCTAAAATATGACTATGATTGACTCTTACCTCATTAGCCCAGATGTTGTGTTTAACTATGGATAACAAGCGTGGTTCACTCGTGATTTTCTTCTATAATACACATCGATCCTTTTCCAAGATATATCCTTATTATTTTAACTGTACTCTACTATTAAAATCTCTAGTTATTTGCGTATGTTATTTCTTAGCACGCAAAGTTATGAAAGAGAGAAAGGCATAACTGTATCCTCATCGAGACAAGCCGATATAATGCAATGTCCGCCTTAAATATTAATAATAAAGCCTGCTCTTAACCGGTGAACTCGCAAGTGTTCCCATTCTTTATTCCAAGATTGATATTGGATGACCCGAGTCCCGAACTTGTGGTGACTTTGTGCCCCTTGGTTCTATTCCTATGCGGATAATCATACAACCAGTAGTCCACCGGATATAGTTTCATGAACGTGAATTCAGACTGTCCGGTACTGCCGGAGCTTTATTTTATAGACCGGACAACGAGATTCCGAGTGTCTCGCGCCCCAGCAACTATTCCCCGCATTACGTTTGGGGCGCTAAGAAAAGCTTAAATAGAAAGGCGAGCGAAAGCACTGCCAGCTTGATTGAAATATTCTCTACTCCTCATTCACCACTAAAATTCCCCCTACAAAAATCTGCTTGCCCCATACTTTAAACAGGGAAAATACGCTCCCGAGAATCTGGCGATGGCTTCCAATACCCATGATTCGGCATTCTCAAGTCGCTTTAGAACGGCAACTGTCTCACTGGGCGCACCTACCCAACACGATCTCTCAAAGAAACTCAAAGCTACTGCAAGGGCTGGCTTCAAATATATCGATCTCTTCGATGAGTGCTGGGCATTTTACCTCAAGTCTCACGGACAAGACGAGACGAAGTTATGGGATGCTACTCCTATCAATTTATCTTTGGCGAGAAACCTGGGCATGGAAGTTAAGGGTCTGGGTATGCAAATTGTGTGTACCCAGCCTCTGCGTATGATCGAAGGTCGACGAGATCCTAGAGAGAGAAAGGAACAGCTTGAGCTAGTCGCCAAGCGATTTCCTTTTATGCGTGCTTTCGACACAGACCTGGTTTTCATGTGCTCCAGCATAGACAAGGAGCCATCATCCACGCTGGACTACAAGACTATGGCGAAAGACTTGGCGGAGATGGGAAGGATGGCAGAGGAGTTTTCTGTCGCTGATGGAGGTCGAATGCTCAGAATCGGTTACGAAAACTTATCGTGGGCGCAGCGCAATACCTGGTCCTCGACCTGGGAAGTCGTACGCGCAGCCAACAGGCATAACGTTGGGCTCATTATAGACTCCTTCAACCTCTTAGCCGTGGAGTTTGCGGATCCATACAATCCGGAGGGGCATAGTAGAATCTACTCAACCCCGAGGGAATCCCTGGATGTTTTGCGCATGTCACTTGCATCCTTGGTTGCAACTGTTCCGGGCGAGCGCATCTTCCTCGTCCAGTTGGGTGACGCAGAGCGAATGAACCCTGCCACATTTCACCCGCCGACCAATCCTAACATCCCCAGACTTTTGCCATAGTCACGAAACCACAGACTCTATCCGCTAGAGACCGAGAGAGGAGGATACATGCCGGTAGATTTGGTTGTGGCTGCAATTTTGGCAACTGGTTATCAGGGTCCGCTCTCCATTGAGGTTTTCGCTAGCTCCCTCCATTCTATGGACCCTCAAGTACCAGGACAGCATGCTGAAAGAGGAATTAAGAGTTTAAAGAGACTTTGCGAGGCTGCTACTCGCGTTGAACCTTTCTGGTCGACAAAGGCGGCGGACTCTCCGGCATATAAGCTATAGAAACAAGGCAAAACCTCATTGTCCAGCACGACGACCTCTTCGAGGATATAGCACCTGAAATTTATGTCATGTATAGAATAATAAGATAACTATGCTTTCCCATCCGATACCGGTAGAACATCCGGCGAGCACAATTAGCCTTGCCTTAACGATCATAACCAGAGACGTAGTATAGAGCTTCTAGTCTTAGTTATCAGCCCCATCGAAGGGTAGCCCCAAGGCCCTACTCAGGAATGTAGACCAGAAGTGCGCCGCACTTCCACTTCTACACCAACCAGCATCCCTACATCTTGCCCCCTTAATTTCCCTTTAGAAATACGCCGCACTTCCGGTCTAGGCCTATTTAGCATGAACGAGAAATGCGCCGCATTTCTCTACACGAGGGACCGTGCTAACACTATTGAGATTATTATCTCGACCGTGTTATATGAATACAAGTAATTTCCTTTTATATATATAAAGCATACTTAGTTATGGCTTCAGCATTGTATTTTACCTATATAGATAACCCGATATTAGTATGCCCGACTATGTGACACATGCCGTGGCCGAAGCCGACACTATCGCTCTATTGCGGCCAAACTAGCTTCAGAAGCTCGAAAAACTCGGCCTATACCGCAATATACCGGAGCCAGCTATTATCTGCGTTCAATGCGGCTTCGCTATCAACCCCAAGCGCGCTTCACGGCACCCAAGTAATAAACACCATGTTCCCAAGTCCGCCCGCTACGGACTAAAGCCCCTAATTTGCTCTCTGAACCTCCCGGATCCAGAGACACTTCCATTGCGACCTAATAGCTCACGACCACACCCGCACCTTTCGATCCAGAGAGGGTCAGCATGCAAGCACTGCGGCCTTCGCTCCGTCAGTGAGAAGGTCCTCACAAACCACTTACGGGCTGAGCACTGGGATAAGGTCAGGCCTGCGGCCCAGCGGCAGACGCGTCACTGGCTGCGCGACCATATTCAGCAGGGCCTTCCTTCCAAAGCTGGGCCGCCAGCGACATCAAGAGGTCATGGATCGTGGTTACAGACGATCCCCTCGAGCTTAGACATCACGATACCAACGTCCTTCTCCAGGCTAGCCCCGACGTCATCCAGCATTTCGCGCAGGAGCTATTCGCGCAGGAGCGTACCCGGCTGGCGAGTAAGGAAAATCGTCGTCAAACATTACATCAGAGCTCAGCAATGGTACCTTCTGCCCTGCTGACAAACCGGTTGCGCCGCACTGGCTGGCCGACGGTGTTTAAAGATGCCCGGCGTGATATCATCGTCTCTCTGACCGAGCTGCCCGCCCGCGAGCCTGTCCGGCCCTTATCGCTCGGTATCATCGACGGCGAAGCCAGCCAGAGTCCAGCGAGTGATGAAAAGAAGTTGGCGTCTATGTTATCGGCACGACCGACTTCTAGACCAGTGCGGCGAGACCGTCAGGTGGACTGATGTCTGCTTGAGGAGGTGGCTCCGCGGCAAGTTTCCAGACCACCCCTACAAGGCACCCTTTGAGCTAGTCTCTAGGTCATCTTCTGAGAAGCTCTATGGGGCGCCTGTTTGATCAACTCGTGTCGCACTGAGCGTGCTAAAAGGATCAAGGGTCAGGTAAACGATAATAAGTAGCAGCAGTGTGTTAATTGATTGTTGTCTGAGGTTATATCAACCTAGCAGTGATACACGAATGCAGACATTGAAATAAAAGATCAGTATAGATTACATTGCCCCCCCCCTTCATATCTAAGGAGCGACGAAGGTTGGTCTCTTATACTTGTGTTCAATCTGTTAATCTCATAGGCAGCAGCCTGATGCTAGTTAAGCTCGTTCACATTCATCGTGAACAAGTTCACGATAATCGTGATCCTTGCCAAATTTTGGCCTCATTCCAACAACCTAATCTTAACAAGTTTCCTCCAACAGTAAGTAAAGGTCTCCGGCGCTTGACATATTATCATTGACTACTAGGATTCAGACTAACAGTCTAAAAGTCCTAGGGTTAGAGCTTAAAGTATCAGACACGCGTTATTCCTATAATGATAGAGATAGGTGATCAGAGGATAGAGAAGTATATATAGAGTATACAGAACCGAGAACGATTAATTTAGGATAAGGATCATGTCTGTGACTGATCTGTAGATGTATTATCTCCTTCTTATTCTTCGTTCTCCCTCCTCGTCTCTATATCTAAAGAGGCGAGGCCAAGATACTAGATCTACTGATCCTGCAATAGGTCTATAACGCTATTCAGACAATTCTTATATCATCGTAAGACATCTTCCCTTGAGGTGGCTGCCTATGTAACACTATCATGCATACCACTTCTCCAACACAAAGTCCTAGATAAAATCATTTAGAGATATAAACCCGAGAAGAACTCTGGTTTCAATAATTAACAACAAAGTTTTTAAATATATATATTTTTTCACTTAGCACTACTATGCAATATAAACAACAAGTAAGATCAAGAGATTGTTTTCTTATCCACATACTTCTTATACCAAGGTAAACCCTAAACAAATATTCCTAATTCTCGAAGGTTAAGAGTATGCAACATTGGGTGTAGCCAGAAGAGATTGAATTAAAGCTGCTTCTTCTATCTAAGGAATGACGAAGGTCGGTCTCTTATACTTGTGTTTATCCTGCCGATCTTCCAGGCAGCAGGCTGTTGCCTGCGATCTGGCGTTCACGCTGACCGTGAAGCTATTCACGATGGTCGTGATCCTTGCCCCACTTCTAACACTAATTTCCCCAGAACCTAGCCCAGGCTCTCACCGCAACGTTCTTCTGCCTAAGCTCCTCTCTCACTCTCTCGTCATCAAGTCCCTCTTCCCAGATACGGCATTCATCGTCGACAGCCTGCTTCCTTCCATCCGCATAGATGTCAACTGTGGCTAGGTTAACAAATTTAGTCCGTTTGAAAATCTTCCAAAGGACGAACATGCCCAAAAACCAAGCCACACCAAAGTAGCTTATAATAAATCCCCTAGTGGACCATGGATGAAATATATCAAAGCCGATAAAGATGCTAATAAGACCGCCAAGAAGTATGCACGAGTATGGAGTCCAGGAGGAAGCAGGGGCGATGTAGGGGAATAAGATTCCGTCGGTCGGTTTTTTGTCGGAACTGGACTTTTCACGACGGAAAATATTCCAGGAATTCCTGCTGATCGTGTTTTTCCCCTAAAGACGAATTCCCTGTGCTTTCAGAGCCCGACGCCAACCAAGGAAGACCCAAGATATAGCCGTAAAGAAGACGATATTCGATAACGTAGTAAGATCCACAAACCAGCCGAACACCACGATCGCGTCGTTCGACGCAACAAGGAAGGCCAACATAGAGATGAAAGTAACAGTAGTCACAGCCACCCATGGAACGCCAGATTTTATGCACTTTAAAAAGAACTTGGGAGCTTATCCATCTTGAGCGAGTGAGTAGAGCGTACGACTTGAGGCATAGAGGTAGGCGTTTCCACACGACCAGCCGGACAAAAGAATGAGAACGTTGATGAAGCCGGGAAGAAATCCAGTAATGCCTAGGTTCAACAGACCCAAGACCCAAGGAGATGCAGCTGCACCAGCGTCGCCTGACTCGATCGCCCCCATGAGCCGAGGATCACGAGAATTGCAGAGAATGCCGACAGCCAGGACGCCAATAACGTAGAAGAATAAGAGACGGGCAATAATCATCCTTGCCACATTTGGGATAGTCTTTCGGGGGTTTCGGATCTCCCCGGAGGCCATACAGATCATTTCAGGTCCCCCTACTGTGAAGACGGCATATCGCACTGAGATGCAAACACTCAGGAATATTCCTGCCGCGCCGCTTGTGTAGTAGGGATGGGCAAGGTCGCCGTTCGTCCAGTTTCGGAAGCCGTAAGCATCATGGCGAGGATTGCCTCCTACCATCGTGATAAAGGTGGCCAGTATGAGGCCTAGGATAAGAAGAACCTTGGTGGAGCCCATGATGAACTCAGACTCTCCATACCACCTATCCTGATCAGCATAATTGATGCGCGGTGTGAAATCTGCGAATTATACTTACCTCACTGCCACCATATTAAGAAAGTAGCATACACTCATGGCCATAGCGACCCAAACTGCTGGATTGATGGTTGTGTTCCAATATTGCATGACCGTAGCCACGGCCGAGTACTCGGTGCAGACAAGCATCACACCACCATAGAAGTATGTCCAGCCCATAGCAAAACCAAGCGCAGGATCCACAAAACGAGCGGCTAATTCATAGATGGAGCCACGGATAGGGAGCCAGGCTACCATCTCTGCAGTGTTCAGGGTGGTGGGCCAAATGAACCCAAGCCCATAAATCACATAGCCGGTGACCAGAGGCAGTGGGCCAGCTGATGCCAAGATGCCGCCAACACCCACGAAAAGACCGACGCCGATACTACCTGCAATTGCCATGAGCTGAAGATGGCGAGGAGATAAGCCTCGTTGAGTCTGCAGTAAATCCATGTCGGCTTGCTCGCCTAGTCGTGACGTCGCTCTGTCATCGCCGGCATCCTTTTCAGCCAATAAGACCGTCATACTTAGTAGACTATGGGTAAAAGGATGATGATTGCTTTAGCTGGTTTGATGGTTGATTGCCCTAGAATGAGAAAGGAGGACAAAAGGGATAAGGCGTTCTTAAATAAGATTAGAGGAAGAGGACAAAAGTGATAAGGCGTTGTTGAATAAGATCAGAGGAAGATTCACAGTTTATATAATAACCAGGAAGGTGAGCCCCTTGGGAAAGCTACAACCAGTTCTTGGTACTCGGGGGTCTCAAAATCAACCCCCCTCCCTTCCCCCCAAGTACTATGGTATCTCTATCTATGCTAAGAAACTACTACTCTAGGCTGTTCTGCGGGGAAATACGCTGATTTCGAGGAGAGGGCGGGGCCCCGCATCCAGAAGGCCAGGCGGGTGGGCCTAGGGTGATCCATGGAGAGATGTGTCGAGTCAGTTTGACAAGAGGTACAGTAAAAGTGGTTTTAGGGACCGGCCCGGCTTCTTTCCTAGGGACCGGCCCAGTGTGGCTAACAAACCGACCGACCTAGACCGGCCCCTTCGGTCGGTCGGTCTGGGTTGGTCAAGGCTCCCGGTCGGTCGGTCTAGGTCGGTCTAGATTAGCAGCCCGGTCGGTCTAGGCTACCTGCGTCACGCCCCACTTATTTTGTGAAGCGGGTTCGAGAGTGCCAAAATAAGTGGGACGTGGCACGGGTACCTTAAGGCGGAGCCGACCAATGGCGGCCCTGGCAACACCCAACCCAGACCGACTCAGACCACCCAATCCGACCGGCAGCTCCGGTCTGAAGGTGGTCTGTCAGACGGTCTGTCAGACGGTCGGTTTATTAGCCACACTGGACCGGCCCCGCTTCTTTCCGTGGACCCTTTTGCTGCCCTTTGGATACTCAAATTGCATAGCATCTCTGTACATGGTTGCATAGAGGATGACGGAAGTCATGAACCCTGGGCAGTAACTAATCTGATGGTAGCCCAAAGCTGCCCGTCTTTAACTGCGTGGCTCGTGGCATCTATGGAGGTGGAATTGCATCGCCGTGTCTCGCCATCGACTGTTCGTCGCAGACTCCTGCTGGGCGATCTGATGGCACGGTTGCCACCCAGTGTCAGCCACGTGTTCATATATGGCCGAAACTCGGCAATGATGGGAAGACTAGGCACGAGAAGGGCGAGGTGGTCGTCGAAGTCGTCGACGTAATCGCCGTGAATGGCGCGGTTGGCATGCCGGAACAATTCCCACGCGGAGCTGGTCGGAGCCAGGGCATGTCTGGCAGTCCGAGGACCACAATGGCGCTGGGCTGGTTTAACCAAAGGGCCAATGCATCAAGGTAAAGCTGTTCGCATAAGAAGCCGATGGTGTGGCGGGTATCACGGGCCTCGGGGCGCATAGTGTAGATCCAGTTTCCGCGATGGGCAGGATATACGCCTCTGGATTACCCCGGGGGAGGACGACGATGCGGGCCATGGCCAAGCGTACTCGCACCGGCCTTGACGCATGCAATGCCCGTAAGCCAGCTACTACTCATTACACTTCTTCTTAGTGCGGCGACCTAGTAGGGTTAAGAGACTGCGGCCAAGACGCTGGGTTTACCACAATTACATATGAGACAGGCCCGGTTGGACCGCGGTCGGCGGGACTTAGCCGAGTGCTCGACCATGCCGCCTAACCACAGCTAAAAGTTGGCAAACATGATATTGTCTGGTGCTCCTTTGCTGGCAAAACGGCTTGGCCAGCTGAGCGTCTATGTACATTGTACGGCTAAGTTGTCGCTGACGGGTGGAAGTTAGAGATGCTAAGTGTGTGGAGGTTAGGGCGGCGGCTGTCCTTATTTGGATTAGTGCGGCGGCTCTCCTTATCTAGATTAGTGCGGCGGCTCTCCTTATCTCGATTAATGGCACTCGTGAGGCGCAAGTGTGACTTCCCCCGTAGAGACAAAAGCTGCCGTGCTATTACCATATTATCTCGCGTACTTTGCGTACTTTCCTATGTCCTTTGACAAGTACGCATTACTATTCCCCGCTATTGTCAGGCGGTATCCATATTTCGCTCTAGCGACGCATGCCCCACGGGTCCGATTAAGGTTTTATAACTTTTGTTATTGACTCTGGTCGAGCAAGCCGCCTTATGCCAGGGGGACGAGGGTTAAGGTTAGGGTTAGAGTTACTTCCCCGCGTTCCGCGGACCGCCTGATTGATGAGGGTCCATAATACATTGCGACGTCAGGCGACGATGCTTCAACGATCAGTTAATGCGCACATTCCCTACTAGTGGTCAACTGGTTCTCAAAATGGGAATTGAAAGGTTACATTATAGGGCGGCTAGACCAATTGGTCTTAGCACAAAGCCGGCCCGCCGTTGTTATCGTTTCGTGAGTGCCTGGGGAGAAGGTGATGGCGGCGTGCGCAAAGGATGGAGCATGATGCAAGCAGGTGCCGAGGGACAAAAGCGGACTCTCGCGGTCCCCAAGACCATTCTGGTAGTGGTCTCCCTGACCGGAAATATAGCCGGTGACCTTTTATCACCTTCCTAACATCCGACGCGCTTCGGCCAGCTGGGAGAGATGAGAAAACAGTTGGAGGCCTACACCGAGTGGCAATGAGACATTGGCTGGCGCAAGGAGGATATGTCTCCTTCCCCGTTTTCTTTTTTTTTTTTTTGTTTTGAGTCGGTTCACCACGATTGACATAGCATCTCACAGGCCGAGCACCTGGCAGGAGCACTCCATATGGAAACATCCATCCCATCACGCGTTTTCGGCCAGTGTCGACTCTCCCTTGGTTAGTGACTTGACGAGAGCTTTTTTTTTTTACTTTACTGCCTTGAGTTCTTTACAGCTGTTGCGCGACTCAGAAACTGGCATCCTTCGAACAGATAATCAACAACCACTATGCCTTATCGCCTGGATACTCATGTCCCGATCGTGGATGCAAACGTTATTCACAAGGTCGATGCTGGGAATGGCTCTGACTTGTATTCCATGTGGACGGGTAAGTCGCACGCCTGCTGCGTTGGCTACTTCGATATCGCCTCGACAGTCTTTTCTCGATGCGCGGACTCTATTAAGCAAGGTAGAAGACTAGAGAACCTCAGCTGGCGCCTTTGGCAACGAGAGACCTCTGTCGTCGAGAACGAGGAAAAGACCACCCCAGATGCTCTCCCTCAGATCATCCCTACAGAGACGCGGATACCCGATCTTCCTCGACTCTCTGGCAGCGTCGGGTCCCTGGTAGACCAAGGGGCCGTCGACCTCGATTCCGTGTTATCCCCCCTCGAGATTGCTCGCCCTTGCGTGCGGCGCCAGGACTCGTGTACAAGCACCCACAGCAAACGCGGCCGCCACATTAGCTCCGGCGACTTTGAGAAGATGATCGTCTCGATTGTCAATGACCAGATTCTTCTGCCCGCTCCCCCTCAGCTGGCTCTCGTGTCTAAGGGCTCGCAGCCTGCGCCACCGCCATTCGAACGCTCCGCATCTCCTACCACCGGGCCGCAATTATCTGCAAAGTCTGCTGCCGAGGCGTGTGGGGCCTCGCCACGACCTTCGCCTCAGAGCAAGTTACGAACCGCCGCCGTTCGCGGCTTCGAGCTTTCCCAGCTGCCCGTTCCGCAAACCATTGCCAGGGCTACCCAATTCTCGCCAGATGCGATTCCCGAGCTCACATCCTCGCCAGTTGCCAGGCCTATGCAGTCAAAGAAGCCCCCCCGGGTTGCGCCCGGAGGCTCTCGTTCTGCTAGTGAGCAGGATCAGAGTTTGGACGATGGCAACGAGCCCGCCAAATTCGAGATTGGGGTTTCATCTGAAGAGGACGGCTCCCCCAAGAGCGTAATGGCTTCGTCGCAGCCCAGCGCCCTCGTGTCACGGTTCGGGAAACACGCCTCTTCAAGCAAGAACGTCACGAACCAGACCACTCTCGATCACGATGCCATAGGCTCGAATACGGACTACATTGACGAGAGTGCTATCGATGACGACGACCCGTCTAACTGGGCGGACTCGGATGGGGACAGCGACGAACCTAACATGGATGACAAGCTCTTTCGGCGGGTGGACTCCAAGCCCAACTTGACATCGTGCCGGTCCCTCGTCGCTCTCATGCTGGCTCAGAACGAGCGCGCACGCACTCATTCTAACCGTGCATCGCAATCCACATCCACCGCCGACAGTCCTTCACTGGGAGCCTCGCCAAACGACTCAGATGAGGCACCTCTCACGATGAAGGGCATGCGCGGACCCGGTCTTGAGCCAATCCATGAGGCGCCTTGGTCTACGGCCCAACCAATCATGATAAGCACCGACCATATGCAGGCCCAGGCCGCCCTATCACCTCGGACGACACGCCGCAACATGTTGGCGACCGAGCTCACCGAGTCTCTGCGCCGCCATCTCCTCTGGGAGCGACAGCAAAAGTCATCGACGGCCAATGCGGTTCTCAAGCGGCGGCACATGTTGCACGACGAAGCCAACCTGAAGCAGTGCCCAAAGAAGCCATGCATGAAGAGTAAGGACGACAACACGAGCAGCTAGGACATATGTTCTTCCAGGGAGGGCTACAACGATTACAACTCCAAGGGCTAGTGAGCGCCGACGAGAACATTCCCTTGATAAATTTAGGAAGCAACATTGTCGCTCCAGAGTGATAAAGTTATCGAGTGCTGGGCTTCGTCTCATCCGTATGATCGCCTCATTGCGAACTGAACGTCATTTCTGCCTTTTTACGCGTGTCTATTGAAGCATTTCCCTCCTGTGAGGCAAGCATCTGCATCAAATAACCGACTGCCTCGGGGCTACTTAGTGAGGCCGATCGAAGTTGCCTGCGGCTGGAAATCGATCGTGATCGAGCCGCTCGTTATCGGTATCGGGTGGGCATCGGCATTGGAGTCGCAACTTTCGGAGCCCGATCCCGGCTAGCGGAGGACAAAAACCATGAGACTGAACTGGCTGTGCCTTCACCTCTCCGAGCCTCATATTTTATATCCCCCGTTATTCTGCCCGGGTCTGAGGGGCGGGGTCGTCATCCATAGACCTCTCCACCGGGACCACGGCCGGCATCGAGTTGCTATCCTGGTGAGCCCCAGGAGAGAGGACATGGTAGATGCGAAAAGACGAGGGGCCACTGAGATCTCCTGGCGTGGCCTGGGATGACGTTCAGCTCATCATGACAAGGATGGCTGGTCCAGCGCAGCATGGGGTCCGTGAGTGCGTGTGCCAGCCCTGCCACGATCCCGGTTCCCCGCCCACACAGACGGGGAACGCTGTTTCTCGATTTTTCTCCGGCGGGCGTTCCATGAGGTCAGCTCGTCCTCTCAAGCCGATCCTGGGGCCGACTCCCTCCTCACAAGCCTAGTCAGTGAGTGGCCGGATCGCCCGAATCCGCGACAGGCTCTGATCCCTGCGTCGAACCAACAGCGCCATCCCCGTCATGAACATTGATCCGTCATCTACCATACCACTCGAATATCGCCCGTATCTAGCTGGATCCGTAGGCGAGGCCGCGCCGAACAGTAAGAGCAGGGTTTCTGTCTGTTCAACGGCACCCCCGTTCAAGAAGCTCCGTCTCGACTGAGCTGTTCCAAGCTCTCTGATTACCAACAATCCTAGACCGTTACCCTCTGCTCTGTGGTTCGATGCGACTGCCCAGGGATGGGATTCGACCCATACCAAAGCGGCAACTTCCCTCTGAGCAGTGAGGCCCTTGGAGTGTCCCGTCGCCAATGTCGCATTTGCCGCCAACACCACCCTCTGTGCGCGTAATTATCTTTGCTGGTGCAGCTTAGGTCGCATCGCCTGGTAGGCCACATCAGGGGCACAGCTGGCAGGCCAGGGGCCGGTTGGCGAGGGCATCCTGCTCTCAAACGAAAACTCCCAGTATCTCCCGTCCTTAGTGAAACTCTTCCCACGCACCCAAGCCAGCATCTCGGCAGCTGCTCGCTCACTTCTTGCCTTGCAACGATCAAATTATTATCTTTACGCCCCACGAACCGCCATCACTAGAACCCTCCTGACCTCTCTTTGATTCCTATCTGGCTGCCCCAAAGCCCGAAGTCCTTTCACTCATCTACAAAGTCAGCACGGCCGTACCAATCTAGTTATCCTTGCGTGGGGTTCAACTCCTCACCTTAACGACATCAGCAACAACTGCCCCCTTCGATTCTTCAAGATGGCCATCGCATGCACGCATTCATTTCGAATGATCAAGTCAGACAGCACCCTGATTCAATGGGTCTGTCAACACTGTCGCTCAGGGCCTCACTGGATGATATTCGAGTGCACATATTGCAAGCTCCATTTATGCCGACCCTGCACGCAGGCCGCTTGAGATATCGGATACCTGCTGGAGTGCTTTTCACGAAAGTGGCCCATCGTTGAGCCGCATAAATGACCCAATTGCCTTGGTACCTGTTGAAAGGTATCTTTGACTTCTGCCTTTGGCATAGTAGTATTTTTTGTGCGACACTCATCAATCCGTTCCTCTTTAACCTCCAGAATCAAAATGAAAATGGGTTTTGAATCGGGCTCTTTTGACAGTCACAAAAGAGCTAATGTGGAACACAATAAACCACTATGCCAACAGCAAAAGTCAAAGATACCTTACAACAGATACCGAGGCAAACTAGCGCCATATTGCTGCACGACAGCTATTCACTAATGTACTCCCGAGCGAAGAACTCCGATATTGGCTGAGCTACGCTCTGACAAATCTCAAAAGAAGGCCGCAGTCGATTTCCACATACAACAAGGCGCGATCTCCAAGACAAAGAGACGCTGGGGAAACCACCATGGCCTGCGATCGAGGCCTCGAAAGGGGCGTCCAGAGAAGCTCTCAGATATACAGGTGGAACGTGCCGGAAGGCGGCTGTCCTTGCAGAGGATGAGAACATCTCACTTGATCGACTAGAGACTTGGCTGTGGGAACTTGCACGTTACCTTTGACCTCGTTGTCCTCTGGTACCATGGATAGATGTAAATAATACTTAATGCAGTGACTTAATCACCACGTTGATGTCTGCCTCATAGCTTCATGAGAACGCGGATCTGGCGTGAACAAACAATTATGCACCATGCCGTTTGACGCCGCCAGATGCAGCTGACCTTCCGTTCTAGGGCATCACAGAGGCGATTGTATTAAGGAGCCTTTAGCTTCCAGTTCAGGCCCGAAAGGGACGATGCAAGCGCAAGCTCATTGCCGTATGGCCTGATTGACCGCCCGCCTGCGTAGCCGGCTCCAATTCGTTCGGCCGAGCATCAGAATGGGCTCTGTCCCTTCACGCTCTGCGCGTCTGGTCTCGAACCCCGAGACCACACGTTGCAAGCGAGACATCTTGAAATAGAAAACTGCAGCCGGGACTGTTCGTGGCATGATAAATAGCGTATAATTTTGACGTGGACACTTGAGAAAAATGGCCGATGAAGTAGAAATGAATCTATACCCGAGAGTACACCATAAACTTGCTGACTGCATATTATCCTACAGACATGAGGGCCTTGGAGCAGCGCTCGCAATAGTCCAGACCATTTGGACTATTAGTCCAGACTGCAGATCAGGGCAGGGAATACGGACGCCGGTGTGGACGCTAAGTCCGCTAGGTTGTTGGCATGGTGTTACAAAACCAGGGTGCCCATGATTGTTGCTGTGCCAACTATTTTGTTTTGGATATTCCTGATCAATTTACTGGTGCGATCCAGATCAACACTGCTCGTTTCAAGGGACGCATCATCCTAGTCGTAAATCCACGAACGCCCGTCGTGGATTGATTATTGATCTTGGATTGTAGTCTGGACTAATAGTCCAAATGGTCTGGACTATTGCGAGCGCTGCCTTGGAGCTTCCTTCGGAGCAAAGGATGCGCGAATGAGACGTATTATGCAGTCTCCCATTCGTCACCACCGACAAAGGATCTCAAAGAGCGCCTGCCTTTCAGAGTTGCCCAGTCAAGAAGCCGAACGGGCCAACGCCGACGAGGGCGGCCTCTAGCTTGACAACCAACGATCACAGGCTTCGATCCCAACCTTGACTCCTGATTTGCCACCCCAGCCCAAGGGCATCGAGTCCTTACGATGGAATCATGGCAGCCATATCGCCTCCCCCAACCATATTCTGCCGGGCATGGGACAGTTCCATGCTCCCAAAGATCTCATGCCTAAGATGGGGCGGCCACGTCCTGACGACGGGTCAACCAGTAACGACACTTTCAGGGATGGCTACCAAGTCTGATCCAAAGTCGAATCCTGGGTGGCCAGGGCCTCAACGGCATCCTCTGCCAGACACGACCAGATAGAGAAGCCGGCCAAGGCTAGACACGAGGAGTGGATGGATATGCAGGCAATTGACCGCCAGCATCGAGCTCTCCCGAAGAGCAAAGTAACAGTGAGTGTTATACACTGGGAGGGATGCGGATAGGGGTTGTTTGGCCGCAGGTCGGAGATTGGAGACAGGCAGGCATACAACGACCGGACGAGAAGGGTTATTACGTAGCATTCGTTGCCTAGGAAAAGTTGTTTTGAGGCCACCTCTCTTGGAAAGTATGTGGGTGATAAGTATGAAACAGCTACCGACGATACACACAGCCTTTTCTTAAGGATATTATCAAAGACAACATCCTCCATGCCTCAACCCGACCCAACCTCATGACCAAGCCATGGAAGAACAAGGGCACCGAGCTCATCAGCAACAAAAGGTATCGTGGAGCCCATCGTAGATGAGTTAAATGGCTCCTAGGCTGAAACTAAATGACAAGGCAGATTCTTTGACGGCCTCAAGGTTACCTATTCGAGACCACCCACGCTGAATGCCTCGAGTTCAAGGAGGTTGTGGAAGAGTGAGCTGCAGGTGAACTGCAGGTGAGCAAGCATGGAAACTTGTTCATCGGGCAAGTTTGAGTGGCTCGCTGTGTAATGGGTTTCGATTTCGTCAGAGAAGAGGCCAAGGGGTGGCCCGTCGAGGACTTTGTTCCAGATCTTCTCGGGTTCCAGGAAACCAGGATGGTTGTTAGAGTGGCAACCCCGTTCCTATTCCACAACTGCCACTCCATGTAGTTTAGTGATACCATGCATGACAGGGCATACAGCATAAGACGCCTCTACCCTTTTGGGGCCGAGGGTAGGCTCCGTTGGAAGCTGCAGCGGCACCAGTTTGGACCGAGGAGTTGATAGCTGAAAAAGGTGTCGCAATTGATATGCGGTGTAGCCGACTCCTATGAAAAGGTAATTATCATCATTATCATCATCGCTTTGCCGTAGGGATGCTTTAACAACTTACCATACCATCGTCCTAGACAAGGGTCGGAACCACTACATCCACTCCACTTTTGGACCAAGTAGAGTGGATGTACGATTTTTTGGGCAATTACATAGTGGATGTAACACATATTCGACCGGAGTGGAATGGATGTACACACGTGGATTTATAAGTGGATTTATAAGTGGATTTTTGAGGCTATTCACAGCTTTGTCGGTGCCTATTCAGCCTCACTTTCAGAGGTTGACACTAACTCTTCAGCCTGTTGCTTCTGTGTTGAATCGTCAACCTCGCTGGCGCTGTCCTCGCCCTCCAATAGCCATTTTGACTCAGCAAGCGCCAGCTCGTCGTCGCTTAGAGTCCCACAGCCGGCATCCAGCTTACTTTCAAGGTGTGACTTAAGCAATGGATCCAGGTCCTTGATAACCCTAGCACGGTACCAAGAGCGTAAAACCTAACAAATGGCGATAATCTCAGCATCTAGGTTCGTACGCAACCCCGAGACCATTTTGCCAGCAGCTGAAAATAACCTCTCACACTCGGCTGACATCGGCTGGATCGTCAGGAAGTCCAAGGCCATCCTGGATAACCGAGGATATCTGCTTTTCTTAGTGATCCAGTAACCAATTGGATCACGAACGTTGCCGTCGCCGGCCTCCCGATCCGTCTGCCACGCTTGGTACTCGTCACCAACAATAGGTGCTGCGGAGGCTGGTGTTGAGCTTGGCAGACGGCTGTTCTTCTCGAAGGGGTTGAAAAACCGAGGTCTTTTTGCCGGTGGCTCGTCGTCGCCTCTGCTGCTGCTGGTTCTACCCTCGAGACGAGCGTAATCAGACAGCCAGACATCGGCAACCATCTCTTTGCCTTTTCAACCCAACTAGGCGGTTATACTCTTGAATGGCCTTATATCGGACAGACCTGGCACTCAAGTTGGCGCGCTGGATCGAAACGGAGGGATTCAAATAGTCGAAGATTTCTCGGAGGATGGGGTTCTCGGCGAAGGAAAAGGACTGGTTGCTACTGACGACTAACTCGACTAGCATACGCTGAAAGTGTTGCTTATCAAAGCGTGAGATGAAGCTATTCGCGTTATTCTGTTCCGTAGGCTTGTTGACGTCCAGTTTCAAAACAGAGGCAATAGTCGGCTGGTTCGATTTCAGTGCGCCTTCGGATTTGAGCTGTGCTGTGCTCTTTTTCTCTCCCTCTGGCGCTGGTGTTTTGTGCTCACGCCATAGATGATTTGCCGCGTTCTGGAGACCCGAAGAGGTAAAACTCGCGATAATGGGACGATTTCCGAGGATACAGTCCTTGCAAGCCCATTTGCGTAAGCCATGACGTTGAATATCATAGCCAAAGTCCCACAGCCAAGAGCTAGTATCACGAGCGCGTTCTGACCAAGTCCAGCCTCTGAAATGGTGAAAAAGACGGTCTTCGAGGTGCTGCTGTTGGCCTGGCTGGGCTGGCTGGTTGGCTGACATCGTCAAAAAAATTTTTTAGCAAAAACAACAGCAGGAAATCTTCGAAAACGCGCTCAATAGGGGCAGTTTCTCGTATCACGTTATAAGATTAGTTATGGGGGTGATCGACCTTGGCTAACTTGAGTCTAGATACCTCGATTTAAGAGGCAACTATATACAAAAATAAGTACTATCGACCGTACAGGGTCAGGGAATATCCCACTATACCTAAATCCACCTAAATCCACTCCATTACATCCACTTTCAAGTCCGAATGTAGTGGATTATTACGTAACTGAGCGCCGGCAAAGTGGATGTAATAGAGATGGGCCACTTATATGTGGTCCACGTGGATATGCAGTGTAGTTGGTCCGACCCTTGGTCCTAGATACTCGCTATATAGGCGGGTCCTCCTCGATGGGAGAGTGGCTCTGCATTGGGATAAGCAGGCTATCGAACAACATGATCGCCATGCCGAGCATGTTTGTCCCCATTCATCTAAGCAACCGCCAGCCTACAAGCTCGAGCATCCGAGATCCTACTACCGGTGGGAGCAGGAATATCTTTGTCGACTAAGGGTTCGCTGTTTTCGTCACCCTCCAACTTAGTTGCTGCCCCTGTTGCGTCTTGCCTTCCCTACTCTGTTTCCCAAGGAGCGACAGTACTCGTCCGTGCCGACCTGCATGTTATCATTGTTCAGAGCCATGCCTTGCTTGGGTATCTGTGGGGCAGTGGTAACAGGACTACAAATCGTAGTTGGAGCAAGAATCTCCCCTGACCGGCGGTCTAACGAGGGATAGGGTCAGTAAAATAGGCATGTTACTCTTCCTCACTTGCTGTCTGTAATTACATTCTGACTACGGCTTATCTATGGCAACTCGCAGGCTGGTCATCAATTCAATTCCATCAATTTCGCCTTCGCGTGGCGTTGCGTTGACAGCTTACTCAGCATTTGGCCCGTGAGGGGAGCCCATAGGCTCGCGGTACCCGCGAATTTAACATTTCACGGGTACCGCGAAAATGACTAAGCACAGTGCATTCGCAGAATTGGCAATACAAAATATTGGCTATTGGCACTATCTCCGCTGGTAAAGCAAAGCCCACTAACTTACACATTCAACGGAGCCGACAACTACCTTTCGCTTATAATTGTTGAGATGGGAAGGTTCAAGTGTTTAATCCATATAAGAGCTACCTAAATTATATACAGGACGTGACAGCCGTAGAATGTCCAAGGGCTTTGCCACCGAGTCGATCGTCTAACACCCATGACTGCCAACAATGATACAGTCGTCTGTTTTACGGCTAGCCGAGTGCAAAGCTTCTTGTTCCCTGCTGTCCGTTTCTATTCTCCTCCAAATATCTTTGACTCCCCTTCTTGTATTAGCCAAAGGATTGTCTCCCATCTCTTCAGCGACCTGGGCTTCAATTCGCTCATCCTCGGCCTTGGTCCAGTCTAGATATGCCATCATCTCTTCTTTCGTCCATTGCCTTGACCCTGTTGACGTGGTACAGCGATTGGACATCTGTTTGTAGTCCAGGCACCACTCGTAGCTCTGCTTGTCATACCTGAGGGGGAGCCCCATCGCCCTGCGATATTGTTGGTTCGTCTTGATGCTGCCGGCCGGCTGCACTGCGTACCACGCGCTTCTTGCGGCGACATATCTTCCATATATGGCCTGTGGTGAGTCGTACCTCGGCAGCGATGGCGGTGGCGGGCGAGGCGAAGGAGATGGTTCATGAACAAGGGGTCCTGGCTGCTGAGAGGCGCCACAGGGAGAGTCTTGCAAGGCCCCAGTCACAGTCTCTGGCTGATCGCCGAGGACTGCGGCCAGGAAACCATCTGCCGGCGCTGGCGCTGATTCTTCCTCGGGTACATCCACCAAAGGTCGGATTTGGGGCGGCTCGGGTTCAGTATCCGATGCTTCAACCGACTGCGAAAGTCCCGGGCCCAGAGCTTCTTGTTGAAGCAACTCTCCAAACCTCATTGGGCAGGCCCTTGCCGTCCTGGTATGACCAACCGTGTGGCATCTGCTGCACGTAGGCGGCGCTTTGCGCGCCATCCCAACACTCTCAAACGCACTGGGTTCTCTTCGGGTGCTCTGTTTTGGGATATTGGAGTGTGTAAACGTCGACTCAATTCGTTGGCGAGGCTCTAGAAGTGGTTGCGGAGCTCCCTTGCGCTGCAGGCGCCAGTGCTGGTGGAAGTGTTCAAGTGAAAGGACTTGGCCCTGCTCTTGCAAGGATTTCAGAGTGTGGAGGCAAGGCAGCCCATAGGATCTGGTGAAAGATCCCGTGCAAGTCAATGGCGGGGGAGGATCTTTCCTACTCAGCAACTTCCGTTGCTCCTCCACCTTTCTCAGGGCTTCATGTGATACCCAGCCATGCACTGCAGCGTACAGCGGCCCCGAAAGTTCAATAGGAAGTCGAATCTGCTGTCGGGCTTGGTTCGATCTCAACTCCGACAACTGGTTGAGTAGTGCATGCTTCATTGCCCTCCAAGCTTCAAAGAGATCCAACGTGGACTTTCTGAGATGGGATTTCATCAGTGCATGTATGCCCTCGACTCGGGACGTGGCTGTATTACCGAAATGAGCATGCTGATCGACCCAGGCCTTGACAAGCTTCTCTTTGTACTGCTCAAGCCAGAAAGTCTGGACATATCCGACCTGCTCGAGATACTCTGGTAGGTACTTCTTCTCGAATTGCGAAACTTGGTGCTTGAACTCTTCCTCGTTCGGCGCACCCATGATCGAGTGCCAAAACTGGTAGAATTCGGACCAACCACTGGTCTCCACAGCATCGTTTGTTGCTGGGTCGGTGCAGCCCGGTTGGTCTTGGCGGACGAAAGCTGGCCGGCAGTAACGGAGGACTGCCTTATTCGCGTGCCAGCGGCAGAGCAGTGAGCAAGACGTAGGGAAGGAGGTCTCAACAGCATTCATGCAGGCGACGCAGCGGTCCGTCAGAATAACAGAGGGCAGTCTGGCGCTATGGTGTTCGTATAGTGACCTCAACCGATCCAACGCCCATAGAAAATCGTCTTCCGTCTCCCCACTGAGGAATGCAAACGCTATGCAGAAAGATCGCTGGCAGGCATCGACTCCAATCATGTCGAGCAGCGGCATGCCATGCTTATTCGTCTTGTATGTGCAGTCTAGTAAGAGTATATCCGGGTAGGCCTGAAGATACGCCAATGAATCTGGATGAGCGAATAAGACAGCGGTAACCCGGCCGTCTTCACCGAACTGTATTCGACTCCAAAAGCCTTCTTTATCGAGCTGGCTGGCGAGCGCATGAATAGAGCTTTGCCCTTCGCATACTTCTCTCCTGGTAGCTGCAATCCCGTTGTAGATGTCCTGCTGGGTCGCCAAGGAATCGCAATTCTGTCGTATATATGTTCGGATATCTCTGGGAGCTATACCGGCATGGGACAAGCGTGACAGATCCGCTACAACTTCTTCTCCCAGCTTGCGATGTGCTGGGTGGGCAGAGGGATGCTAGCTTGGTGCATGATTATGCTTAGAGAATCGCTTATCCGGGCGATGTCGGACAGTCCATGTACTTTTATCCAGGGATTCCTTGGCCAACAGTGAGAACTCACAGCCAGTTCCTCGAGTGGCCGTCTTCCGCTAGCGCTCTATCGACGCACTAGGAGGATGACAGGATCGATCACAAGCGTATGTGACTGTTTGCCTGCCGCTCTTCCCTCTAGTGGACTTCCCGGTGGTGAAGGCGTAGCCCCTCGTAGCCGCCCATGTATTAATGGACCTGAAAAGGGCATCTCGTGACTCATAGCTCCGTTCTGGAGGGAGACAGTCTTCGGGAAAACTCACGTTCTCTGCACGCGATGCTGGAAACATCTGAGTTGCAGCACGGAGAGGGATGACTGAAGAAGGAAGAACGTAACCGCGTCGTGACGCACGCCGCCAGGTCAGTGGTTGAAAATCGCTACGGCAACGGTGCTTAGTCATTTTCGCGGTACCCGTGAAATGTTAAATTCGCGGGTACCGCGAGCCTATGGGCTCCCGCCGTGAGTGTACGGACCCGTGCATCTATGGTGCCCCGTGGTTGTGCCTCGAGACTCTCTACTGTGACAGACAGCTTCTGCCGTACAGGGGGCCGTTAACCGTCAAGTGAAGCATTGAGAGCGGCTTGTTGGAGTGAAAATGAGGGCATCGACTAATGCGGAAGTTACACAGAGCACAGCCCCGATTGTGGGAACCGCTATAGCCACTCAGAAGGTGCCGATATTCAGCATCTTCCCTTGCGGAGAGGCTCCAATACTTTGTCCTTCCTCGTCGGCCTCCATCTCCGCCTCGGGTCTGACCGAGGCGGGGGCGCATGGGGATTCAAGGTAAGGTGGGGTGAAATCTCCCACAGCCCGGGATTCGAGGCGAGGCGTGGCGGTGCCTGGAGTCTCCAGATACCTCGGAACTCAGCCGGGTACAGCTCGGTGGGGAGTAACTATCCCATCCTCCCCGCCGAAGCTCGTCACGAGCCTCGAGTCAACATCCAATTCATCGAGTGGCTTGGATCCGGCTGGCAGCCAATAGGTGTCTTTCGGGGATACACGCCCGGGCAATACGTGCTGAATCGGGGCATCGGTGAGGGGGTGCTGGCTTGACAGCTTGCGCCCTTGGCAAAGAGAATAGAAAGACGGCTACGAAGCTGAGATTGCTCCTCCCCCCTGAATCCACCGTCGACCACGAAACTGTCATCGACGCGGCCGTTAGGGCAGGCGTTAAGCGCTTCTTCCCTTCCGAATACCGCGTCAGGACCCATCACCCCGCCAACAAAGTCCTGATCGCCACCAAGAGGTGGTCCATTGTCGAGTATCTGGAGAGGACCCAGGATGTCATGAGCTGGACCGGTATCATGTGCAATCCCTGGGTCGACTTTGTCCTCTCCCTGGCCGGTGATTCTGAAAGGTTTCACACCTCGGGCCGACATACTAACTGAAGTGCGTAGTGTGTTGTCGACGGGCTTCTTGGTTTCGATGTCAAGAACCGGCGAGCGCACATCTACAACGGCGGCGATGTGCCATTTTCCACTCGTCTCCGTGACCTGGCTGCCCAGGCTGTGTCAAAAACTATGTTCTTTGTTGATGTGACCCGGATGCCTTACTCTGAGAGGAACAGTCAGTATATTAACGATCAGAGGGTAGCCAGAGGGAAGAAAGAATCAACCATGTCGTGAGGCGTCAGAAACCTCAAGCCACACTTGCCCAATTGTCAAGGCCGCAAGGTGAGTAAAGAGCCAATGACCCTACCTGCTACGACCCAACACTACGAAAACCATTGGGGGTATTAAGATGCTAATACTGTGTCAAAAACCGCGCTCTTTGCTATTGTGGCCAGGCTACCTCCCTCTGAGAGGAATAGCCATTGAACAAAAACTATCGTCAAAACCTACAGCTTGGCGCCCACGTCTGCTTTGCTATCTAAAACACTGCTGAAGCCCCGATGACCGATAAACGTCTCTGAAGGATCCCATTTGCTCCTGATCCCGAGCCACTTCTTGAGTGCAGAGTCTGTCATGACCTATTGTTGAAGTCAGCATGCATTTTCCAGCTATAGAGCTCTTGACCACACTTGCCTTTGGCTTTCTATGATTCACGTTAAAATCGGCCACATATACACCACACGAGACCTTTTCTGCCTTGGTATACGCGTCGAGCAGCCACTTGTCCACGGCCGCATCCTGCTTGGGATCTTTCCAGCAACACATGGTCGAGACATAGGTCTTCTGAGGCAAGCTCAGAGCCTGGTCCGCCTCGTCAGGGTAATAGTCCATCGGACAAAAGGTGCCGGATGAGAGACGAGACGGCAGGTCGTATAAAGCCGGGGTGATGGCATCGATGAGCTGTGCATTTAGTGATTGGTATGTATCTAGGCATCAAGCGCGGAGCCACTTACCTCGTCGTCGGACGCTTTGGGGTCAACCAGGATGCTGTCAACGTTCCATCTCTCACCATTTCCCTGTGGCTGGAAGCTCTCCTGGAGGCCCCAGAGCTCTTCCCAGGTTCTCTCCACCAACGGGACAGTGGTGACGATATACTTCTTGAACTCGTCAGGTACTACGTTCCAGGGGCTTGCCAGGACTTTGGCTTCATCAAAAGAATCGGCAAAGATGGTCTCGTTGATGGCGAAAAAGACGCGCTTGGCGGCCGACTCGTGGCCGCCATTGGGGTCGTCCTTGTCGGCGTAGAAGGTGCAGTAGAACAGATCCACGCCGTACTTGGGCACCTTCTTGGACGTCTCGAGAACCCACTTGAGCAGCGGCTTGAAGATATCGGTCGAATCAACGATGATGGTGGTGTCAAAAAGTCTTCTTGTCGGGATCGTGCTGACCCAGATCCTCGTGATGACTCCAAAATAACCCTGCCCGCTGCCTGGGGCTGCCCAGAATAAGTCTGTGTTCTGTGTCTTACTGGCAATGACTGTCTCCCCCTCCGAGGTGACAACTTCCAGCTGCGTGACCCAGTTGGAGGCAGTATACCCCCATCCGCGGAGGAAACAGCCCTGCCCACCCGCGAGTAGGAATCCACCGACGGCGACGGACCGCGAGTGACCGGCGGGGAAGAATCTACCGCGGGCTTCGAGATACTTGGTCACATCCGCGACCTTGTGGCCAGGACTGATTGAAGCAACCTTGGTTGCAGGATCGTATTCGATATCCTGGTTCAGGTTGCGTGTGTCGATGAGGAGGCCGCCGTCCAGGAGCGCGCTGCAGAAGAACAGGTGCCCGCCGGAACGGACGCCAATCTTCCAGCCATGCTCGCGTGCCCTCTTGACAGCGGCCACGACCTCGGCGGTGGTTGTTGGACTGGCTATCTCGGTGGGATGGATGTCGGGGACGCGTTGGTTGAAGAACTTGCGGCGAAGCTGGTCGTAGCCTTCAGATGTCTGAGAAAGAGTGCTGGGTAGTGTGGCCATGATGATGAAGAGAGAGAAGACTGATCAGATGCTGTAGATGTGGTTTCAGAGGCGCTCTTGTTCCGGTCGTCATTGGAATGTTCCAAGATGCACGTCATTTAAAGCCAACTTAGTGGACATCTCTGCTGGCGGAAGCGCCGGCGCTTGTGGATGCAACCCCCTCCAAGAAGCCACCTGGGCGAGGGAGGCTGTGTGGATGAGGAAACCCACCAGGTCGCCACCTTGAGTTGAGTGGGTTGGACATCAGGGACGCCAATGACACCACGTACACGCCATCTCCCGAGCCGACAGCTCCGCCGCAAGCTAGCTTTAGCCCATGTCATGTCATTCGTCAAAGATGGGAATCAGACGCTGTAGCTCGACGCGTTAAAAGAGGACGCCGCACGCGTGGTCCATGGCGTGCCATGGCCATGCTACAGTATCAACATGGTCCTCTATAAAGACTCCATCGTCTTAACAAGATTATGTCTACAGAGTAGTTCAAGCTTATCGAAAATTGGCCAAGCCAAGTATGTGCCATATCTCGACTAAACAGAAAATATACACGTTTCATGAGGTTCTTCTATACGTTACGGAGAAAGTCGACTCTACAGACAGGACGGTCCCAAGTATTCGTTTTTCGTCTGTTTCATCCCATCTTAACTCTCGTCATTGGAGCAACTTCTTCATCCCCCTTTGCGCCAACATAGTCGTCAAGGTTTCCTAACCTGATGGGTTGTGCGTTGCGGGCTCGACCCCAATCTTCTTCAACTGTTTTTCCAACAACGTGAGCATACGAACAAGAGTATGGAAGCATGAAACACTAACCTCGGCGATAACATCATATCCATAAACAAAGTCTTGTGCCCCTGGATCAATCCTAATAACTTTGTCAGCCTCATATCTCGCCGAGCCTCGGTGACACATACCAGTAGAATGGATATCCAGGCTGCTGGTCGTAGAGTTGAGATTCTGCAAGCTTATCCCTCGCTTCTTGCTCGGGGCCATCTGGCAAGTGGTTGGTGTATCTCTACGTCACGCCTTAATCTCCTACCCTCTCTCTTGACTCCCCCTTTGCCAAGGATCGCAGACTTACCTGCTTCATACTCCATTTCTGCAAGGCGGTGCTCCGAGGAACTCTCAGGTCTTGATACGTCTTCAGAGCGTCAGGCAGTTGCTCTCTGTTCCTTACCTTTGAAAAGAGGATGCCCAACGCGGCCCCGTCCTCCAGGGCAGAGCCAGCTCCCTGTGCCATGTACGGCAGCATCGGGTGGCAAGCATCGCCCAGGAATACGACGGTGGCTTCTTCGTTGTACCAGCGCTCCAGTTCGTCAACTATGCAGCATTAGGCGGGGCTGGCAGCCAAGCTTCCGTGGCACTCACGATGCATCAGCTTCCATTTCTCTATCTTGTTGACCTGGGACAGAAACTTTTGCAGCCTGGGATAATCGGTCAGCATGTATCGTAGGCGGTGGCTGTCAACTCACAGCGGATCCCACTTGTCGAAAATCTCCCTCATTTCGCAAAGGTCACCTGGCATCTTGGCCACATTGTCTGGCAGATTGTCCGGAACCAGAAGGACAATGTTGGCCATGGTGTTGTTCCTGAGGGGGTAGTAGATGGCGTGGCATTCTGGGCCAACCCATAAGCACACCCGGGGCTTGTTCATGAAGTCGAGCAGCTCCTGATCTTGGATATCTTCGGATTTGAGGACAATGCGATACGCGAGATCCCCCGTGGCTATGGGATGGCTGGGCCTACCGAGAACCTTGGATCGGGTCTTGGACCAGAGTCCTGTTGTTGCACGTTAGCTTGACCATGTGAAACTAGGGGGCATCTCACCATCTGCAGCTATCACCAGATCTCCGGTGATCTTACCACCCTTATCGGTTGTCAACTGTGGGATGGCAAGGTCCACATCCGTCACCAGAGTGCCAAATTGGAAGCGGACCCCAAGGCTCTTTGCCCGCTCAAACATTGCGAACTGTAGATCGGCTCGGTGCATATCCCAGTAGTGAGACTGATACTTGTCGAGCATCTCGGCGGCAAAGTTCTGGCGCTCGCCGAGAAGTTTGCGGCCGTCGAATCGGCGGACAAGGAACTCTTCCGGGCTGCTCGCCAGCTCCTCAAGGAAGGGCTTGAGTCCCCATCTGAGAAGCAGCCGTGTGGCATTCGGTGTGAGTTGAAGACCTGCGCCGATCTGGGCGGTCCAGCACATCAGCGTCTATTGTGTAAGGAGGCAGGCCCCATCCCAACTCACCTCGGCTAGGACGGGAGCCGATTCCACGATGAGGACATCATGGTCGGGCGACTCTTGCTTGACCGAGAGGGCGGCGGCGAGTCCACCCAGCCCGGCTCCGATGACGACGATGCTCAGGGGCATGGCGAGTACGGCAAATTCTGTCGCTTTGTTTACTTGTTCTTTGTAGAGATACCTATTTGGGGATCAAATGCTTCCAAATGCTTGCCGTGGTTTTATAGGAAATGCCTCATGTTTGGCCATGGAACTAGCTCCCCACCCTGGTGGGTGGGACACTCGCTCTACCACGGTGATTCTGGGCCGGCCACTCGGTTACAGGCCCAGACTCTCAGCCTTGCACCACAAAGCAGCTTTATCCACCTGCGTGCGTGCTGTATCTTATTGATCCATCTATCCATCTATATAGCCAGCGTAGCCTGTAATACTTTGTCCCGGCTAAACCCATTCTCTCACAAAGCTACGTCCTCACAAGCTATTCTTGCCATTATTACAACTTCCATCTCGACAGCGGTTCAACCATGTCAACACTGGCCGGCAAGGTTGCTTTGATCAGCGGCTCCTCGTCAGGATTAGGCGCCGCCATCGCCCGCGAGCTGTTCAGCCGCGGGGCATCCGTGGTCATCAACTATCCCAATCCAAGCGAGAAAGCCAACGCAGACAAGGTTCTCGAGAGCTTCGGCGTGCCCGGCAGAGCTGTCGCTGTAGAAGCAGACCTTTCAACGCCAGAGGGGCCGCGGGTGCTGGCTGACGCGGCGGCTGAGGCCTTTGGCAAGATAGACATCCTGGTCAACAGCGCCGGCATCAATCGTCCGACGTTTCTCGACGACCCTGATGATGCCAAGGTCGACAAGACGTGGCATGATACTGTCAACCTCAACGCCAGAGGCGTCTTCTTCTTAACCCGTGCCGTCCTCAAGCACATCTCGCGCGAGAACTCGCGCATCATCAACATCGGCAGCTCCGCATCCCGCACCCCAGCACCGGAATTGAGCATATATGCAGGCGCCAAGGGGCTCGTCGAGGTCTACACCCAGTGCTGGGCGACAGAGCTGCCTCGTAAATACGGATGCACCGTCAACGCCGTGGCCCCTGGCCCTGTCGGCACAGAAGCCTTTTACGCTGCCCCCAGCTTCGTCAGAGAAGCACTACAGCCCATGGTGGACGGTACACCCGTCGCTGCGCGCGTGGGTACGGCCGAGGAAATTGCATGGGCGGTTGCAACCTTGGCTGAGGAGAAGGCGGGCTGGATCAACGGGGCGTATATACCCATCAATGGTGGATCTAGCATATTTTAGACCAGCTACCGTTGGTAGATAGTTTTGAATAGGACGGCATACAATAGATCGATTGATTGCTTGACTGACTGTAATAAATGTGCTATAGGAGTGAGCTATGTGGAAGTGGGATCGGTCGTGACAATGCCAACTCCCGATGAGTCGTCATTGACGCTCATAAGTTAGACATGGCCAAGGAATGCGCTGATAAGGCAATTCAAACGCCCAGATTCAAGTAGCCTCGGATGTTGCGCAGAAATCTTTAGACATCTCACATAATGGAACGTATCGGATTACAGGACCATTACAGAGAGAGGCTCGTCATTTTTCATATCCCATGGTAACCTATATGCTTGGGCACTACTGTAATGACTGTATATGATGCTCTTGCTTGGGATACTCACCCGAACGTCCTCCTCCCATTAGCGACCGGGATTTGTAGTAGTGTCTGAGGGGCACTGCTGTTTTGACAGACAAGTAGAGCCTTATTTGACACCAAGACAACTGGAAACAAGAGAAAGTCCATCGACCAAAGTCAAAGCATTATTTTCCATTCGCTCTCCGTGCCTCGCTCGCCTCCTTGGCGGCGTCGACTTCCTTGCCATCCACCCAGCTCCCATGCAGGCCGTCCATCAACTTGAACGGCAGCTTAATCTCAGCCAGTGGTCCCTTAGTGATGTCCGACGCCTCAAAGAGCAGCAGGACGTTGCGGCCCTCACGATATCGGTCGGCCAGGACGAGGATATAGCCGTCTTCGTAGTCGGCGCCCTCGTATCTGGGTACAAAGACGGGCTCCTGGAACGTTGAATCGTCCCCGTGGCGGTACGATTGCAGCTCGCCCGTCTCAAAGTTGTAGCACACCAAAGTGTTGAAGCCAACGTTGCCCTCGGCCGTCTCGTGGTCGTTGACCTTGATTTGGTATGTAGGATCGATCTTCAAGATCCAGACACGTGAGTACTTCTTGCCGAAGAGGCGGTCGTCGATACGGCCAAACTCGTTGATGCCGTCGACGAGCACGCCCTCAGGGTGGATCATCTTGTCGGTGCTGCCGTTAGGGTCGAACCGGTAGCGAAGGATGGGTGCTTTGACTTTCTTGGGATCGGTAAAGAACCTCTCACCCTTGGTGTTTGGGAAAAAGGGGAAGTGCAAGTCGGTCCAGACGTTGGCATCCAGGACCAGCTTGCCGTCCTCCTCGTAAGCGTTGATGGTGTGCGAGTAGCAGCCCTGGGGCGTCTTGAACCACTTTGCATCCTCGGGCTTGGCGCCTCGCCGAGGAATAACACCCAGTAGTTGGTAGTCGAGATTCTCGTCCCAATAGAAATGGTCGCCGCCGCTCTTCATCTGCTCCAGGCTGGCCTTGAGGCCGTTGATAGGGAACACGACCCAGTTATCGGTGGCCCAGAAGTCGTGGATCATGCACGGCCACGGCGCCTGGAACCACACCTCGTCTGAGATCTTGCCGTTCTTGTCGACCGTGAAGGAGCAGATGTCCGGGGACGCATCTCCCGCAGCCTCGTACCCATAAGAGACCAGCTCCCCCGTAGTGGAGTCTGCCTTGGGGTGTGCAGTGTGCGTCGGGCAATGGAGCGTGCCATGGTAGTCGATGTAGCCGAGGGTCTCGAGGGTGATGGGGTCAAGCTCCATGGGCCGGGCGTCCTCCTTGAGCGCCATCAGCTTGTTGTCGTGAAAGACAACATGAGTATTGGCCGTGGTCCCCTTGAGAACGTTCTGGACGCGCGGGTCATCCGTGTACTTGTTGCGGTACCGGCCAAAGAGGGCCTGCCTAGCCTCTCGCTCGGCGATGAGCTTGGGCGTGCGCACGTAGCGCTGCTTGAAGTCGACGTGGCCATCCTTGATGTAGAACGAGCTGACGTTGCCGTCACCGTTGAGGGGGATCTCGGTTTCGGCAAAGATGGGTGGGAATGCGTGGTCTGGCTGGACGCGGTAGAAGGCCCCGTGGATGGTACTGGGGATCTCCCCGATGACTTCGAGTTCGTAGGCGTCTGCCTCGAACCGCAGATGGTCCTCGTTCCACTTGCTCATGGCATAGTGCTTGGGGAAGCGGGTGCCAGGGACTCCTGGAACGACATGCGCCATGGTGGTGAAGGTGGGCTTTCGCAAATAGTTTCGAGACGCAGCTGTGGTAGATATGTAGACAAGCAGTATCGACAAGTCCCGAGTACCACGTCTGGTTCTTATATCAACGGGATCATGTCCTCAGCGAGAATCATGTTTCCACTAGAGAATACAACTGCTTCTTCCTTGTTCCCAAGCGTCATAATCTATCCGCTGGTTCCGTGTGAGGTGGCATCTCCACGCCACCCCAGAGTGGGTAACCTCGCCTCCCCACCATGGCCTTACGCTACGGAATTAATGCACATGGGTGCCACCCGAATAGCTAGAGTTCTTGAGCCGTGAATGATGGCGCGGCCGGCATTTTCATTCGGCTGCTTCAAACCCATAAGGACCTGGCTATCCTTGAAGAGTGGCTTGACTGAAGAGACCAGAACTCAACGAAACCAAGACCCAAGATCCTTTTACTCTTCATTTACTCTCAAACACTTCATCACACAGCCAAACACTTCCAAATGGTTCAGTGGTACACATCTCCCGAGCTTCAGTCGCATCACGATGATGCGTTCGGATCTCGGAAGCCAGGGACACGGACCCTTCCCCCAGGCCACGACGAGGCGAGCTTCCAGCGTGTCCTGGATGAGTTCCGAGCCATCGTCGGCCAAGAGAACGTCATAATCGGTGAGGCGCTGGTCAACTTCCGCGACCCGTATCCCTTGTTTGAGGAAGGATTCGAGGCATCCGCTGGATTATGGTCGGGCCCTTCAATCCGAATAATGGCAATCAACTGACAATACTCCAGCCCAGCCTCTGTCGAGGAGATCCAGGCCATCCTCAAGATAGCCAACCAGCACCAGGTCCCCCTGTGGACTTGCTCGCAGGGCAAGAACTTCGGGTAGGCTTGGGAGAGAACCCCTGTCCTGTCATTGATCATACTGCTCACTTTTCGCAGATACGGTGGGCCTGCACCTCGGGTTGCTGGCTCTATGGTGCTCTCTCTCCAGAGAATGAACCGCATCCTAGAAGTCAACGAGAAACTGGCCTACATAGTGTTGGAGCCTGGAGTCACCTTCTTCGATGTCTACAACTACCTTGTCGAGAACAAGCTTGATCTTTGGGTCTCCGTCCCGGCTCTGGGCTGGGGAAGTGTCCTGGGCAATGCAAGTCAACTCTCTTTCCCGGTGGTAGTTCTCTCTGCTGACTGATGCCCAGACTCTGGACCGTGGCCATGGCTACACAATCTCGGGAGATCGCCAGCACTTCATCGGCAGCTTGGAGGTGGTGCTGGCTTCGGGGGACGTCCTCCGGACTGGCCAGTGGGCTGTGCCTAATTCCCCCAGCGCGCATGCCTGCCCCAACAGTTTCGGTCCCCAAGTCGATGGCCTCTTCCTACAGAGCAACCTGGGTATCGTCACAAAGATGGCTGTGGCCCTCGACGCGGCCCCGGCATCTTTTATGGACGTCAGGGTCCACTGTCCCGAAGTCGAAGACATTGCGCCCCTCATTGATGCGCTCCAACAGCTGGATCGTGAAGGAATCACACAGAGCCACGGCATGATCACTAATATCAACCACTTTGCCTCTCATGATGCGCCCAAGCATGAGCAGCAGAGCGTGCCGGGGCCTCTGACCCCCGAGAGTATCGCCTCCCTGAAGAAGAAGTACAACACGGGGTACTGGCGATGCCAGGTGTCCCTGTATGGGCCCACACAGCTGGTGGTCGCCCGTTGGAGCAGAATGCAGGAAGTTGTCACCCAGAAACTGCCCAACGCCTGGGCCGAGCACACGCTCTACGAGGGCAAGGATGGCAGGCCTGTAGACAACAACCAGATCGGAACACTGGCTGCAGGTGTTCCTTCAATGCTCGCCGTCAAGCTCGCGGACTACAACCTTCCTGCTGATGGGACAGGAGCGGGCGGACACATCGACACGACCCTTATCCTTCCGTGTGAGGGCGACACTGTCTTGGCATGGTTCCGGAAAGCAAGGGCCATCATGGAGGAGCAGGGGGTTGACCCATTCATCGGCTGTCACGTCTTCTCGAAGTATATTCTCTTTGTTCAGGAGTACGTCTTTGACAAGACCAGTACCAAGGCGCGTGAAGGTGGCCGCAAAGTGGTCAAGGCTTTGCTCACTGAGGCGAAGAAGAATGGCTTTGCCAATTATCGATCTCATGTACAGCACATGGGTAAGTTCCACTGGACCTTGACACTTGGGGGCAGATTTACTGAACATTTCCAGACGCCGTCCAGAATCTGTATGGGTTTAATGGCCACATTTATAGAAGATTCGTCGAGACTCTTAAGGTATGTCGCTATCGCAGCCGCAAGATATTGCCTCTAACTTTCCATCACCAGGCTGCCGTGGATCCAAATGGTATCCTATCTCCCGGAAAGCAGGGCATCTGGCCGCTTAAGAATCTGGTTCATCTACCTTTGCGCAGGACTTGAGTGTTGGGGGGGGGGGGGGGCACAATGCATGCATGAATCAATCATATAATAGCATAGGTACCGTGTATATCAAGCAAGTGCAACATACAATCATGTTCGCAAGAACCTTGTTGCTCTAGCTGTTTCACACGAGCGTTAAGCGCGACTTGTAAGTTCTCGCTGAAGCACATGGTCGGTAAATGTCCTAGACTCACACGTCTCATGCGACATCGTAGAAGGGGAATCTTGTACAACGCGGGCAGACCCAGACTACAATCCGGTCTATCGCTCTGACTTGTGCACCTTAGTTACAGTCTTCGGTAGAAGCGTCGGAGACTTGTAGATGAAGTGTAGACGCAATGCTTGGAATCAATATTCTTTGACTTTATGAGACAATTCACTTGACACGTAACCCATCACACAGATCGCAACTGGCCAAGATCATTGATATCTCCGGGCAAAGAGAAACTCAGCTTCAGACTTGTGTTAATAATACATTCCCTAATAGTAGAGCGTACCGTCGACTACCTGCACACCAGCCCCAAGTGTGCCAGCCGACTTTAGTGCCTCGGCATGACGCAACGCCGCTACCTCAGTTTCTGAAACGAGGACAAAGTCATATTGAAGCAGTTTCGTAGTCTCTGATACTCCATATGCTTCTGCGAGCCCTGGCGCCTCAGAAACCTTCTTCAAATCCACGATGAGAGACTCCTTGACGCCAAAGACAGCGTCAGAGGTCTCGTATGGGTCACCACGGATATAGAGTGCCCTGTTGGCGTCAGCAGAGACTCTGCGTTGCATGCGTGGGTATAGCTTACGTTATCAAAGGGTCGTAACCAGCCTTCTTGAACTTGAAGTGCATATGGCTTGGTCGGTAGGGATGTCGGTTGAGAATCTTGAGAAGCTGGCCCACTGGCCCGTCGTCGGGGATGGGATAAGGGACGGGTACAATGGCCTTGAAATAAAACTTGCCTTGGTGGTCGCTATGCAGTACTGCTCGGTTATCAAAGCCTTCGCGATCTGCATACTGCACATCATAGAAGCCCTTGGAGTCGGTCTCCCAGACGTCAACCTCGACATCTGCTAGTGGGTTCCCCTGAGAGTCCTTAACTGAGCACACGACCAAGAGGGGTTCTCCCTCAGGATCATGAGAGATGGTATGACCGGAAGCCACATTTTCAGCCCCGTGGGCATGAAACGGGCCGAGAACAGTCCCCTCGGTGGACGTAGGCGGTTTAGGATGATCGATAGAATCAACCAGCAGAGATAGTCCCAAGACATCAGATAGGAGAATAAATTCCTGTCGTGTGTCGCTGCAAATCTTTCCGGTTCTGGTGAGGAACTGGATGGCTGCCTCCCACTCGGTTGTGCTCAAACGAGTCTCACGCGCAAAATCATGAAGGTGGTGAGTGAGCCTCTCGAAGAGGAAGCGCGTCCGAGGGTTCTGGCAGGTAGAGTTTATGGCCACGACATTCTCGGTGATGTTTTCGGTTGTGAGATCCTTCAATGGGGGGATATCTGGGCGAATGTGCGACATGGCGGCTGTTCTACTCGGGCAGTTGACGAATCATGGATGTGCTTCGAAAGGGAGGCTATTCACGCTTCAAGTATCAAGTATCAAGTCGATGAATTTGCATTGTGAATCTCGGGTGGGCAAGTGACCGACGCCTTCGTGGAGCAGGGCAACCCCGCCGGCGGTGGGGATGGGTCGGTGGGTGGGTGTCATCGAGGAAGATGACATGGGGTATGGCACATGGAAAAACCGGGCGGGTAATTATACTGTAGTTGCGTAAAAGCCATCTACCGAAACTCATTGCCGGCGTCAAGATAAATGCAGGCGGATGGGCATGCCGCTCGACTCATCTAGAGGAAACATCATTGTCATCGCCACCATCGACTCTACCTCTCGTGGAAATGGAGTCTTTCGTTTACAGCCCCCTGCCTCATAGGGTCATCTTTGGACGAGGTTCAACCCGCCAGTTTCCACAATGCCTCCAGGAGCTTGGCTTTCGTCGACCCTTGGTCCTCTCGACTCCCCAGCAAGTCGACCAAGCCAAACAAATCACCACCATCTTGGAGCCTCATGTGGACGCCACTTGGATTTTCTCCGAGGCTACGATGCATACTCCTTTGGATATCACCGAGAAAGCCCTCCAGTTCTGCCAAGAGAAACAGCCTGATGTCTTGGTGTCGATTGGAGGCGGCAGCACCACTGGTCTTGGGAAAGCCATCAGCTTCCGCAAAGCGCTACCATGCACAACCACTCTTTCGCCAACCCCACTCTTTCGCCACGCAAAAAAAAAAAAGCACCACCAAAAATCAACAACTTTACTTACACAGAACTTGACCAAAATGATAGATATGCGCAAAAATTTTCGTTTTATAAATAATAAATGCACATATCTATTGAATCCTGGGTCTTTTGATAACCCGCCCTGATCGCGTGGTTGGTTGATGGGGTATGGTTTCCTCTCTGACTTCAATGACCGAGCCAGCCTCCGATTCTGACTCCGGCTCGCTTGAGCTGCCACATTCCACCACAACAGGCATAATTTGAGTCTCCTCTTCGGCTATGGCCTCTCCAGCAGCTAGAGTCTCGCCAAGAGTCATAAAACGCTTGTTAGGATTCGGCACCGCCTTCCTCTTCTTCCCTCTCTTCAGGCGAGCCAATTCCTCCTCTAGGCTAGCAATCCTCGCAGTATGCGCCGCTACCGTCTGCTATTGAGCCTCAAACCCCTTGGCTATTACGTTGTACCGTCTTCGTGTCTTTGGCGTTTTGTTTAGCCCAAGATCGCGAATTTGGCGGCTCGTCTGTGGTGTATCGTCCGAGTCAAAATACGGCCTGGGTTCGGGAGTCGCTCTTGGGCTACCATTTGGCCTATCCTGTTGGATTTCTGGATGCCGCAGCGCTTTAGCACGTGAGATCGGCCAATTCCCAGTAACCCTCCAGCCGGAGAGTATATTCTTCTTAGTCATTCCAACTCGACGCGCCTTGGCGTAGGCCCTGATGAAATTAACCTTATCCATTGGAGTAGAATCAGTCAATGAAGCGAACTTTTCCAACTCTCGTCGATATGCGGCTTTGGAGGCATTGAATACTCCATTGTCCAACGGCTGGAGCCCATGAGAGCAGTGTGCTGGCAGATAGCAACAGTAAACGTTGTTCAGAAAGCACGTGGCCATCCATTTATCCTTCCGTCGCTCAGTAGTGATCTTAGGCTAAAGAGAATGAAGAACATACCGTTGCATGACTCCCATGACCATCTAAAATGATCAGTCTCGCGTCGGAGTCGTCGGCAGGCGTGGTCTGGGGCAGATAGACTCTTTCAAGCCATTCAACGCCAATATGATCGTCAGTCCACCCGTTAGGCGAAGTTATGTAATACCAGTCTGCTATCGTCTTGAATTCCTCAAGAAACCACTGTTTCTGGAGTTCTTTCCCCTTGAAGATTATGCCAGGGATTAAAGCGCGGCCATCAGCAGTGATAGCCTCGATAAATGAAGTCCAATTCCGAGTCTGTGGTCCCTTGAGAAATGCCTTCCGCTTTGGGTCCGCGCTTCCAACAACCAGGCCATCTAAGCCTAAATAAAAAGGATTAGTCGGTCAGATTTCAAGCACTAACAAGGTATACAGATAGATGCTTGCCGAAACCAGTCATAATACCCCCTTCATCAACGTTGACGGTGTTTTCAGGCTTAATCCAGCCATACTGGCCCTCCCTGATATCAAAGTACCAGTGAACTGCCTTGGGCGTGAAAGCGTCGAACCTTTTAGCTTCCTGGCGTCTACCCATCTTGGTCTTGAGGTCTGTGCGGCGATTGATAAATCTGGCCACCCAATTGCGTCCTAACTCGGGATGTTCGCCCTGCCGTCTCAACAAGCCCATGACGCAAGCGCGGATCTGATCGTGGGACGGAGCATAGCCCAAGGATTCCTGACGGAGTATCCAGAAAGCCAATCTGTCCTCTTGATCCTTGGACAAACGTCGGCGAGGGTGAATCTGCTCTTTCACGGCTCCCCGGCCGTTAAGTCTGTCGATTAGAGTCCTTCGGGGCACTCCCCGTCTCTCAGCCGCTTGAGAGGGTGAAAAGCCATTATCAGTAATATCCAATATAGCCTCAGCCATGTCGTCCTCTGTATATTCCCATCGAAGTCGCGAGATAGGCATTTTTTTGTCGCTGTCAAAGACAAAGACCAAAAAACACGAGAAGGAGCGGTGAGCGGCTTGGTGATCGGACTAACAATATTTCAATAGCACGGCCTGCATATATCGCGTACCCCACACAACATTACGGAGTCAAAACAATCACCTTCAATCATTTCTATAATCAATAGAGGTAACTTCTTTTACGTAGCTATTTATTTTGGCCAACTTTCGTGTAAGTGAAGTTGACGAGTTTTGGTGGTGCTTTTTTTTTTTTGCCTGGCGAAAGAGTGGGGTTGGCGAAAGAGTGGTTGTGCATGGTATACCACATCTCCATCCCAACCACATACGCCGGTAGTGAGGTGACTCCGATTCTCGGGGAGACTGTCGATGGCGTCAAGAAAACCCAGACCCATCTGTCAATCCTCCCCAAGACGGTTATATACGACGTTGACTTGACTCTCACGCTTCCATTGTCCATGTCGCTTACCAGCATCATAAATGCTCTTGCGCATGCCGTCGAAGCCCTTTACGCTCCTAACCTCAACCCCATCGTCAGTCTCATGGCGGCTGAAGGTGTGAGATCTCTCGCAAGAGGAGCATATGAGTTGCTTGACGATCCCAACTCCCTTTCAGCTCGATCTGCCTGCCAGTACGGAGCCTGGCTCTGCGGAACATGCTTGGGCAGCGTTGGAATGTCTCTCCATCATAAGCTCTGTCATACATTAGGTGGTTCGTTCAATCTGCCGCATGCTGAGACACACACAATCATCCTCCCACACGTTTTGGCATACAATGCGCCTCGAGTCCCCGAGGCTATGAAGATTCTTGCCGGTGCGTTGCCGGATAGCCATGGTGACGCTTTACGCGGCCTCAACACTCTGCTCCGCAAGCTGGGTGTTCCTCGAAGCTTGGAATCCATAGGTTTCAGGGAGGCGGACATCGCCAAGGCAGCTGATCTCGCCGTCAGCAAGTCTTACCCCAACCCAAGAGAGATCAACAGAGATCTGATCAGGGAGGCCATCAGGAGAGCGTGGGCTGGGGAGGAGGCAAGGGCAGATTTGTAGAACGAAATGGAACGGGGCCAGACTCGAATAGGGCATCTTTGTACAACGGCGGCTGAAGGGATAGGGATGGCCCTGTACAGCTTTTAATAACTTAAATAAATATTGTGCGTTAAAGTCATGTCAGTTGGCGATTTGCAGTAATCCCACCCAAACCAAGACTTCAGGCAGTACAACATGTTGATTCACTTTGAAACGTACAAATTGGGACTTCTTGGGAAGATTATTGACTAAACATAGAAGCCAGGCGTGCTCTCGAACCCTCTTCGAAGTTATTCTATACACCACACAGCCAATTCTCGTAGCCGTCAAGCGGCACATGGCTTTCTCTCCATCGCGTGCAATATTGTGCCGTCTCATTCCCTAAGGGTTCCATCTCTGCGGACAGTACCTACTCGATGTTTGCTGCCTCCGAGCACTCCCTCCGGACGAGGGCCGCGTGAGCCGGACTTCGAACTGTGACCTTTACCTCGTACGGCTTCTCTGTTCCGATCTCAAACGGCCTTCCAACCGGGATCAGATGTCCTGGAACTGTGTGGAAGTCGAAGCAGTACATGACACGCGCGATCAACAAGTGAAGGCTGTTGCTGGCGATGACCCATCCGGGACATACTCGGCGGCCTAGTAGAAACCCATTGTTTAGTGGCATGGCGGTAGAATGCGTCTCTCGACTCACCTGCTCCAAAAGCCAAATGCCCCTTGATCGGCTTGTCTAGGTCCTCGTTCAGGAACCTCTCGGGCCAGAATCTTTCCGGCTGCTCGTACTCGGATGCATCCATGTGCACGCCCCAGCTATTCCAGATGACATTGGTCCCGGCTGGGAGGTTATACCCTTCGAAAGAGTCGTCCTAGATCAAAGAATGGGAAATTTCAGGAAACGATATGCTTGAGAAACTGGTCAGCCTGATCCCGAATGAACATCACAGCAACACGCCCTCAGAGAGCATGCAACGCAGCGCTTGCAGAAGGCTCCTTACTTCCATCGAAGAACTTCTTTGCTAATAGCTTTGATGTATGGCAAGCTGGCGATATCGCTCGCGACCGGGAGTCTCTCGGCGTTTGCACCACAGATCTCGTCCAGATCCTTGCGTGCACGCTGCACCGAGTCGGGGAATAGGTAGCGCTGCCCCGGCCATGAGCTGGTTCAAAGCCACGAGCGTAGTATCGGATCGAGCTTTTATGAGGGACCCCGCGAGAAACACCGTCGACTCATAGCCAAGCGTCTTGTCTCTGCCGAGCCTCTGGAACTCGGAAACGAAGCAAGTCACATCCTTGCCCTGCCGCTGCCGCTCGGCGAGACCCTCAAACTCTTCAGCGAAGTTCCTGCGTCGAGGTCAGTAGCTGCCTCCAATTGAAAGCGCAACGTGATGGTATACTTCTTGGGTTGTTCGAAAACACTGTTTCCCCATCACCTCCATGGCTGAATTGAGCGCGGGAGGGGAATACCGGTAGACGCCAGGAACGGAAAAGAATCGATCAAGTTGGAGCCGGGTTTGAAGATCTTCATGATCTCGTTATTGGTGTCAATGATCCTATCGATATTTGGGTCTCCCAACTTGGTCCTTCGGCCAAACACCATGCTCATGATCAGGGAGCTGGCATATCGAGCGTGAGCCTGGTTCCACAGATCCGGCTCGGCAAGGTACAGGTAGAGCAGCGCTCGCGACTCAACATCTTGCAGAGGGGCAAACACGTTACGATTTCCAGGGCCAATAGTCTCATGGATGACCTTTCGCTCCCACTTCCAAAGGTTGCCGTACGGCATGAAGACGACGCGTTTGCCGCCAGAGGCAACGTCGCCGGGCATGGGCAGGTTCTGCCGTGAAATGTATCGCGCCCCGCGCTTGTCGAGCAGTTCGTTCGTAACGCGCTGAGAGTTCATGAATATCCAGTAGTTAGAGCCCACCTTGAGCGTGAACCTAGAGGAGAAGAGTCATCAGCGCTGGCTTCTCCGTGACTATGGGCAGTACATTTCACCATATGTCTTTGCCAGCCGGTGGAGGTAAAGACGTCGCTCTGCCGTGTCGGCCGGGATCTGCAGCATGCTCCCAAACAGAGGCACTCCGGGTACGAGATTGGAAAGCTGTATTTCTGATGGAACCGGAACTAAAGAACCGTGCGGTACAAAAGCCATAACAACAGCAACGCGCTGCCAACCGCCAACGTTAGCGGCTGTCCTTCCAGCAACTCCATGGCAAAAGAAGAGAGATGGAAGATATTAGAGCTGAGGTGTAATTTCTCAGTAAACTCTCTATCTCCCACATTTGTCGTATGGTATTTATGGACCAAGGGCGTGTTACGGACCATGGCAGTGGGTAGCGTGTAGCACTCAGGGTGGGCAGCTTTCCGCGCCCATGTAGCAGAGACGCATATGCCGAAGTGTTTAAAGCTAATACCCAAAGCTTGTTACAAGGTAGCTGTAGATCAAGAATAGTTTTATCGCTGTCTTATCGAGTCGCTACGAGACGAACTCTGTTAGTACCGGTAGCATATGGCCGTCAACGAGATAATGAAGCCGTATCAAATAAATCCAAACTACTGGAAGCTGGCTCCCAGGAGATCAAGAAGACCACGGAGGCCCTGATGACGACAGTAGATAAGGTCCGGCATGGGTATCACCCACCCGTGGTGGAGGAGTTCCCCACCAACTCTCTTACCCACCCTATATCCACCCGGAATCGATAATCAGCTGTTCCGCTCTAACAAAGTAGCAACTACTGTGAACAGCTGGTTGGTGAGTTCATCATAAACAGGGCTAAATACTCCATAGATTCATCGTGCGTCGACAACTCATTCGAAGCACCCTTCTCAGTTATTCTCATCCTCAAAAAGCCATGGCCTCAAGTGACAAAGCTAACGGCTCGTCTACGCAGACGAGCGACACGGTTCCTTTCATCATTAACGGGAAAGATGTCACCTCAACCTCGACCTTTGCGGTGAACAACCCCAGCACCGGCAAGGAGCTCTGGAATGGCTCTTCTGCCTCAATCAGCGAGGCGATCGGGGCCGTCGAGGCAGCCCAGGCAGCCTTTGCCTCATGGTCTCAGACCAAACCGAGTTTTCGAAGAGGCATCATGTTCCGCGCGGCAGACCTCTTTGTAAGCAGAAAGGAGGAGCTATTCTCCTATCAGAGCCAAGAGACGGGTGCGGGGCGGCAGTTCATGGAGATCAACATTAATGCTACGGCGCAGATCCTCAGGGATATTGGCGGCAGAATTGAAGCTGCGGTTGAAGGGTCTGTTCCTGTGACGGCAGAGGAGGGCTCACATGCAATCATGGTCAAAGAGCCGTATGGCGTCGTTCTCGCTATTGCCCCATGGTATGTAAACACCCCTGCTTCTGTCCGTACAAACCAGGACTGATGACTTCGTCACAGGAATGCTCCATACGTGCTGGGGGCACGATCAGTTGCGTTTGCCCTGGCAACAGGCAACACGACGGTTCTCAAGGGTTCCGAACTCAGTCCACGCGTGTTTTGGGCCATTGGCGACATCTTTCGACAAGCTGGCCTACCGGACGGTTGCCTCAACATCATCTATCATCGACCGGCAGATGCGGCTGCCGTCACAGAAGCGCTGATCGCCCATCCAGCAATCAAGAAGATCAACTTTACTGGCAGCACCCTTGTCGGAAGCATCATCGCCAGCTTGGCAGGTAAACACGTAAAGCCGCTTTTGCTGGAACTGGGTGGGAAGGCCAGCGCCATAGTTCTCCAAGACGCGGACCTGAAAAAGGCCGCTGCCAGCTGCGCAGTTGGCGCCTTCATCCACGTACGTTGATGCTTCCTCGCTGCTACTTGACTGCTCACAATTACCTGCAGGGTGGCCAGGTGTGCATGTCGACGGAGCGCATCCTGGTGCACAAGTCGATTGCGGAAGATTTCAGCGCCGCTCTCAAAAAGGCCACGCAGAAGCTCTTTGGATCCGAGGCTCCACCGTTTGTGCTGATCAATTCCACGGCCGTGCAGAAGAACAAGCGGCTGATTGCCGACGCGGTCAGCAAGGGCGCGGTGACCCTGTTAGGCAATGCCGAGGCCACCGAAGACCAGCCGACCAAGATGAGACCCATCATCGTTTCCAACGTGTTCAAAGACATGGAAATATATTACACGGAATCTTTCGGGCCGACAGTGTCTCTGATGACGTTTGAAACGGAGGAGGAGGCTCTCACGGTCGCGAATGACACCGACTACGGACTTTCGGGGGCCATCTTCTCCGAGGACTTGAAAGCCGCCATGAGGGTCGCTAGGAAGTACGAGTCCGGGGCAGTCCACATAAACTCGATGACTGTGCACGATGAAGCTTCGTTGGTGCATGGAGGAGCCAAGAAGAGCGGCTATGGAAGGTTCAATGCTGCGCAAGGCTTAGGGGAGTTTCTCAGGTACAAGACCATTACCTGGAGGGAGTGAACGATACGATCATGATCGCGAAGAGGTAGCCAGCGTAGAGCAAGGTATGGCTACTGTGTTCATATTGAGTGCTCGGGGTTGATGTCCGTCCGGAAGCCCGACATGCAGCGATGGCCAATGATCAGAGTCCGATTTGCGGCCAACATAACATGACAGGTGGGCCACCAAGACCCACCTCCTCTGCACTCATGACTCGTCAGCTCCGACCTCGGATAAGCAAGCCCACGAGCGACCCACCCCCGCAATCTTGTTCCCCGCATTTGCATTTGGAATTTGTCAACCCCAGACTCTTCCTTCTGGTGAATATCTCGCAATTTCCCACCTTGTTCAGTGAAAACCAAGAACCCACCCAGCATCTATCTTACCCGCCTGCCACCCGATGGACTGACTCTTGACATGTCTGGCCAGGATAACTCTTCTACGCAGCCAGCTAGCCGTGACCATGCAGGTAAATCCCCTAACCGAGACGGGTACGGCTTCTCGTGCCCCCAGTGCAATGCCAAGTTTAATCGCTTAGCTCACCTACGACGCCATCAACTGACGCGTAAGTTGCCCCTTTCTCGTCGTCGCCCACGACTGACTCCCATACCTGTCTGCAGATGGCGGCGAGAAGCCGTACAACTGCCTATACTGCTCTGTAGCCTCGTCGCGAAAGGATGTTATCGTCCGCCATACCCGAAACTTCCATCCCGGCGTCGCCAACGGAAGTGCGAGGCGCTTCCGAGGCAGGCGCCGGACCAACTCCCACCCTGGAGCTTCTGGGCCAAGGGCACGGGGCAATGGCTCTACACGGACATCACCCGCTACCACAACAGCCCGAGGAGACAAGGACCACCACTTAGAAGGAGTCAACGATGCGGCCGAGGAACATCGCGAATTCCCAGCAAGCAACGAGGTGGACGGGTCCCAGAGCAGCCAGGAAAATCCACTGGAGAGTTTCCTCCCCTCACATACAGACCTGTTCCCTCCCTATCTCCCAGAGAGCCCTCTGACGTTCAATGCTTCGTTCATGGAACCCGAGCTCGTCAACTCCAACCTGTCTGAAATGATCGACCTCGACACACTGCTGGCGAATGCCCAGGAATTCCTGCGTGAAATGCCAGGCAGCAATGCCCCCGAGTTTCCGGTTTCTGTCTTGGAGCCGCCGGGGCCCTGTCTCCCTACCTCTGACCAGAGCAAGAACAATACTACCGAGCATAACTTGGTCGCCGACGATAATAACTGTGCAAGCGCCTGGGCAAACCTTGTCAAGTATCCGGTCCACATACTCTCGTCTGTCCGATTCCCTTCCAAGTATGGCGTCGGCCGGTTCGTGAGATCTTTCTTCGAGCATATTGCTGCGCACATACCGGTCGTCCACGAGCCGACCTTTGACATTGCTACAGCGCCATGTAAGTGTCATGATCGATAGTGGAATTCAGTCTTGACAGATGGTTCGATTTAGCACCCCTATTGCTTGCTACAATGGCTTGCGGCGCCGTTTATCTCGGTGAATACTCTACTGCTATTTCTACGCACGCCGTCGCTGTCCAACTCATCTTTGAGGTAGGAGAGATGTCGCAAGACCATCAGAACTCCCCTTTATTAACAGACAAACCAGCATGAACGAATGGTTGAATCCAAAAAGGTCGATATCGAGACCCTAACCTGGATGTTACAGACATATTTGCTATTGGGCTATTTTGAGATTCATTGCGGCATGGAGGGCAAGGCAACCCACGCGTTTCCACATTCCATCAAGGTATGTTCCTCCCGCAAGTGGTGGCATGTTCAAGGCTGATGCTGTGATTGCAGCTTGCGCAAGAAGCACTCGGCGAGCTCAAGAGGTATCCGATCACGACGTACAGGGATTGGGTACGCCAGGAGTGTATAAATAGGTATCCGCATTCACCTTGTTCACACATCTACAATGTTGACATGACACTAGGTGTATCGCAAGCACAATCCTGATAGGGGCCTCGCTTGGTTCAAAGGAACGGGAAGAATGGCTTGCGTCCCCCGTCGTCGACGCCAGATTTGCTCTACCGTCAAGCACCGCAGAATGGCAAAAAGACGAGGCCAGTCTGGAAGTTCCCGCACAGGTTCTGTACAGCGACGATGCATTGAGTAGCATCTTTGCCGGCCAAGCACCCTCCCTGCCAGTCAGTGAATTTGGTCTCGTCACTATCATATCCGCAATACTCTACCGGGTCTGTTCCTTCGAGATACTTACAAGCTCTCACCACGTGGAACTCTACACCAACTTTGGCAAGAAGATGGGACGGTCAGTGCAAGTACTTGACGAGCTTCTCAGGCGCCGCATGGGTGAAGCAGACTCTGGAATGGCCCCGGATCCTAGCGTGCACCTCGCCAAGTCTTTGCTGAACTCGGTCTTTTACCATCTTTACGCTAGCAGTCCACTGGCAACCATGAAGAAATTGCTCTGGTCGCCTGCTGCACTGGATAACCCAGAGCAAATTTCGCACCTTTCAGCCGAGGCAAGCTCACCTGAAGTTTACAAGGCGCTTTTCCGTGCAGCAGATCAGCTACGATCCGATTGCCGCCTGGGTTTGAAGTATCTAAGAAGGATAGGACCGATGAGGTTCGGGCCCGAAGGCGCGATTGCCTCTTACGAGGGAGGTATGACATCTCGACTTCTACCCCCTGCTCAAGCTTCGTTCTGCGGCTGACGAATAGCCAGGCCTCCTCCTGTGCTGGTACCTTCAATTTGCACAGTCACGTCTCCCCCAGGTCGAGTTGCGCGACACCCTTAGCGCACTGATAAATGAAAGTTTTGTAGAGGTTGCCGAGCTGCGATTGGAGGTCCAAGACCGGCTCTCGGCCTTGCCCCTTGCCGTGTCCGTTGAGTTGCTCTCAGACGGCTCAGTGTGGAAATGTAAGAAAGAGTCTCTGTGGTCAATGAGTTTGAGACATGCTAAACTAACACTTTTGACAGGGCCTTCTTGCGTGTCGCAAAAATTGGGATTCCTGATGAAGAAATTCAAAGACGCGGACAGCACCATTCATGTTGCAACGAGCTACCCTCCTTAGAGACAATTCAGGGACGATCAATGCTACTGTGCACCCAACTATAACGCTACAGGGCAAAAGAGTAGGCATTACTCGTATGAGTAACGATCAATAGGGTGTTTCATAGCCTACAGCACGATGTCTAGGGGTTCGTATGGATGGATGGTGGCGTCATGGGTATGGTGGCCAACACATGAACCCTTTACGTAGGAAATTGGGCGGTATTTGTAGGAATAGTAAGGACAAGGCATCATCCTCTTGTAAACATGATACTAGCACAAGTTGCAATGTAATACACACACTTACTTTCTTCCATCCGGCCAACTCCATCTTAGGGTGGGTGGGCACAAGCCAGGTGGGTAGGTGGGTGGGTAGTAGGTGGCGCGCGACGATGCTCATCAGCGCTTCCCGCCTCCTCCTAGTTCACCTACGAGCATCTGGGGCGGCATGGTTTCTCTATAATATCATCATACGCGTGGGACGTACCGGCCGTTGATTGAGCTCACGATTGATGCCCATCGATGCTCTGACATAGCAACATGACCACACGCAGGGAGTACGTGTTTAAAGTGGCCAACGGGGTCCCGATAGCCGCAGACGTTTATTTCAAAAAGGCTGTGACAGCTTCCAAGCTTCCAATCGGTGCGTAACCTTTGTACTGTTGCTCTATCCTGCCTGGTGCTCTGACGCATTGGGCCACACAGCTTTGCACTTCCACGGCGGAAACTTCACCGTCGGCTCAAAAGAGTTGCTTGTCCGCCACCAAGCAGAGAAACTCGTCGATCTGGGCTTTGTGGTCGTGTCCGCCAACTATAGACTGTCTCCCACTGTTACAGTGTTTGAGGGGCCCGTGAAGGACGCGTTGGACGCATACAAATGGTCGCAGACCAAATTGCCTGAGCTGCTTTCGGGCGATGCTGGCGTCAACGTGGACGGCTCGCGAGTTGTAACCTTGGGGCACTCCTGCGGCGCCACCCTGGCGCTTCTGATGGTGTGTGAAGAGACTTGAAGATGAGCTGTGCCCACCTTTGACTGTAATGACTTGTGGCATGGGGATGAGTATGCTACCATCCAGTACCCCTCTGCCGATAAGACCCCTCTACTGATAAGCAAAAAAAAAGTTTCCCCATACAAACTGCTAATTTTCAACCCCCTCACAAAGAGCCACCAGAAATACGAAAAACAAGTCAATTCCTATTTTTCCAGCTTGGAATCGAATATATTTTAATATAGTCTTGGTCTTCTAACTGCACGGCCTGCGCGCGTGCGTGTGTCAGCTAACTCTTCCGCCTCCGAATTTGAGCCCTCATTCTCTTCCACTCCTCCCACCTCGATCACCTCTTCGACACCCTCTGTCTCTTCAATCACTTCGTTTGGCTCAGAAATAGTGTCACCGGTCACTAGAGACTCGGCCAGTGTCATAAACTTCCTGTTGGGATTCGGTATCGCTTTCCTCTTCTTGCCTCTGCTCAGCCTCCCGACTTCCTCCTCTAAACTGGCTACTCTTAAGCTTAGAGAAGCGATCTTTGACTCTTGTGCTTCAAAACCTTTCGATATCACAGAATAGCGCCTTCTTGTCGAAGGGCTTTTGTTCTTACCTAGATCCCTGATGTGACGGCTGGTCTTTGGCGTGTTATCAGAGTCGCGTTGCCCGTCGCTGAGGCCGTCTGATGCAGGTGTAGTTTCCTTCTTGTCAGGCTGGATCTCAGGATGTATGAGTGCTTTCCGTCGAGAAATCGGCCAGTTTCCAGTCACTCTCCAACCAGAAAGGATGTTTTTCTTCGTCATACCCACTTCTCTGCCTTTGGCATAGGCCTTGATGAAGTTGACCTTGTCCACCGGCGCAGAATCGGTCAGGCTTGTCAGCTTTTGGAGTTCTTTGCGATAGGCCGCCTTGGATGCATTAAATGGACCATTGTCGAGTGGTTGTAGGCCGTGGGAGCAGTGAGCCGGCAGGTAACAACAATACACGTTATTCAAAAAGCACGTAGCCATCCACTCATCCTAGATTTACGGTCAGCGACATCCCCGGCCCAGGTGGCCCGGAAAAGGCGGATACGAACAGATACATGGCTTCGATGACCATCTAGTATAATAAGCCTCGCATCTGACTCATCTTCCGGCTACGTTTGGGGAAGATAGACCTGTTTGAGCCACTCGACCGCGATATGGTTGTCTGTCCAGCCGTTATCGGACGTGATATAATACCAGTCAGCCACTTCCTTGAGCTCATCAATAGACCACTGTTGCTGAAGCTCTTTGCCTTTAAAGATAATCCCCGGCTTCAGAAGACAGCCAGTTGCAGTTGCGGCTTCGAGAAAGCTAGTCCAAGTACGGGACTGGGAGCCTTTGAGGAAGGCTTTCTTCTTGGGGTCGCTACTGCCGATAACTAAGGAATCCAAGCCTATATTGGCAGCTGGTTAGTTTGTCTCATGAAAGAAACGACAAAATACTCACCAAATCCGGCCATGATGCCGCCCTCGTCAACATTAACAGTGTTCTCAGGTTTGATCCAGCCATATTCGCTCTCGCGGATATCAAAGTACCAATTGACGGCGGTCGGGGTAAAACAATTGAACCTCGACGCCTCCTGGCGTTTTCCTATCTTGGTCTTTATGGACGGATGTCGTTTCATAAACCTGGCTAGCCAATGTACGCCGATAGGCTTTTCCCTGCCTTGCTGTTATAGGAGGGCAGCGACGGTGGCGCGAACTTGACTGTGAGAAGGAGCATAGCCCAAGGCCTCTTGTCGAAGTATCCAGGAAACTAATCTGGACTCCTGAGACTTGGATAACAGCTGGGCGGGATGGGTGACCTCGGACTTTGGCGGTACACCTCTTAATCGGTTCGAAAGAGTCGGCTGAGGGATGCCGTGCTTCTGGGCGGATTGGTTCTGCGAGAGACCGTTATCTGTGACATCCAATATTGCTTCAATAACATCATCCTCTGTGTAAGAAGCTCGAGCTATTTTTCAAGGCGATTATGGAAGGCCGGCGCAGATAAAAGTCCTACAAGCTTTGGGGAGGAGTGTTCGTGGAGGAGGCATTAATAGAAATTTTGCGACAGTTCCATGCGGCCAAACCGCCCATATAGCGTAAGCAACAATAGCATAATACGAAACAGCATGAAACTCTCAATAAGACACAACTTGTTTCACGTAAATAACTTCAATTTTGGCCAAGCACCGTGTAAGTGAAATTGGGCATTTTGTATGGGGAAACTTTTTTTTTGCTTATCAGTAGAGGGGTCTTATCGGCAGAGGGGTACTGGATGGTAACACATGAACTGTCTAGGCCGGCCTACCTCGTCCACCTCTTGCGATTCTCGACATGTACGGTATCAAATACCTCTCAGATCAGGCATATCATACTCCCTTGCCTGCACCCCCAGGTAGCCCCAAACTTGACCAAGATTTCGTGGGTCTGATCTGGAAAGATGTCCCTCCCCCAACCTATGCTCCCCCTCCGGTGGGACCATCTGGGCCTGATTTCTCGAGCTATCGTGTGGCATGGATGTTTGATGCGATGGGAAAAGGAACGCTGTTCAAGACAGCTGTGGGAGACGACAACTATGACCGCGTGGACCCGGTTTCGTTATTCATCAAGGCTCATTTCCCTCCCACCTATTTCATCCACGGTACCCAAGACAGGCTGGTGCCGGCAAGGCTTTCGCAGCGCGCGCACGATGAGCTCAAGAGCCGCGGGGTCGAGACTGAATTGGCCCTTGTTGATGGAGGACAACACGGCTTCGATGAGAGTGCGCAGCCTGGAGACGGCGTGTTTGGTCTTTTGACAAAAGGCTTCGAGTTCCTCAAGGCTCATGTCTGAGATTTAGGCATTCTAGGAAAAGTTAGAGATGACCCAACGAATGATAGCAATCATGAATAGAATTGTCCGTTGCTTGCGTCCACGTCATGAGCAGCATCAACATATAGGTACTGCACGTGCGCCCCGTAACTTGGCACACCTGGAACCAGATAGACCTTTCCCACATCAGCTCTTTCAGTTGTGTATAGTATCTTGATCCTATCGTGGTATACGTATGAGAATTCAAGTAGTACTCACGAGCACGAGTAAGCCCAATTACGCCAGATGACTTCAACAGCTGTGCAGGATGGCATGGGGCCTCATGCCTACGGGGCACGGGTGGATGGATTGCCAAAGTTAGGTACCCACCGAGGCTTGTTGGATGGGGTCGATCTCTACCTAGGGAGGGTTACTCAGTGGCCAGCCCAGCAACATGCAATATATCATCTTCACATGCTTGATATATCCTGCAAGGGAGCTGATAAGCTGATCCCCTGCCAAGCTCTTGCTCCGTCTCTCTTTGGCATACTTCATCTGCACGCCTTAGGAGAGCATCCTCTAAGCATCACAGTCGCGCCCGTCATGAACAAAGCCACCAATCGCCCAAGAGCCAAACGAAAGCGAGTCTCCCGGGCATGCGACTATTGCCGTGCCCGGAAGCACAGATGTGATGGCCGCCGCCCGGCCTGCTCGCGGTGCTCTGCCACCCACCAACCATGCAGCTACGGCTCGGACATCAAGAAGCGCGGGCTGCCGACTGGCTATGTGCGAGCTCTTGAGTTGCTATGGGCCCTCGTGTTTACTGTAATCCCCAACAGTACAAGCATAGTCCGAGAGCTCATGCCAGAAATCGAGTTTGCCCTTGATCCTCGCGGGAGGCTGGTCATGGACAGTAAGCTTATCAAGGACTCGGATATACTGAAACAGGCTTGGGAAGACAGTGGTATCCAAGGACAGTTGGACCACATCTTGTCAAATGTCCAGGAAAGCAGCAATGCAGGCGCAAGTTTTGTGGCTGTAGAAAAGAATGAAGGCTCTACCTTCAACCTCCCTCCTCATCTCCGGTCATTCGAGCCTATCCAGAGTGCACCGGCTGATGGAGCTCGACTCGGCTCGGGTCGCGCAGACACCGACAGTCCAGAAACACCGCCGTCTCATCAACAGCCGATGGCGATCCAGGCTCCGCCACACAAAGATGCGGGATCAACAACCTTTCCTCAGAATGCCCAGCGCCTACTCGATATACACTTTGCCCATACCCATTGTTGGCTGCCCATCGTGCAGAAACACAAGATGCTAGAGTTACTTCACTCGCCTTCACGAACCGCTCTCGCAAAAGGGGGAAACCTGGCCACTTTTTGGGCGGTCCTCGCCCACTCGTCCCTTCAAGAGTCTCGGGACCCTCTTGGCCCGGCTAGCTATCGAGCCTCCCTCTCAACGCCCGAGCAAATCTACGCCAAGGCAAGACAACAGATACCAAACGAAGAGGCACGGGCACCCGGTTACGTCCAGGCTTTGCTCATCTTGAGCCTCTTTAAACTGGATCAGGGAGAACTCTCAGCTTCTTGGCATCTGATTGGCCAGGCTGTGAGAATCTGCCTTGATTTGGGGACGTTGCCTCTCGACAGAAACGGCCCAAGCACTGCAAGTGGCAGCGACGACAACCAGAGCCGGCTACTCCTAAGCTGCTTTGTGCTCGATACTGTCGTCTCGTGCCAGTTGGGCAAGCCACCCCATCTCAGGACAGCAGATGTTCAGTCCCATCCCATCCCGGCAGAAACAGGCCCGGATGAGTGGGAGCCGCGGACCGTGTGCTCTGGCAATTCCATCAACAGCAGCTCGATGCATCAACCATTGCGGGCGATAAGTATCTTCAACCGCTATGTTGATGTGATTCGGATACTCAACGATGCCATGTCAGATCCAGTGGTATCGGATGAGCTCTGCGTCAAGCACTCGTTGGCACTCAGCCGCTGGCTTGATCAGCTTCCACAACACTGTGTCCTTTCATCATTGTCAGGTCAGGACCAGCTCGAAGTTATACAGAGGCTATCGCCACAACTTGTCAATCTGCACCTTGCCTTCAGGAGCACCGAGATGTTTCTCAGGGCACAACAGGCTCTGGTCTCACAGCATGGACTGCCGAGTACGCGAAGTGCGGAGGGGATCGGCCTCTCAACCATGCATCTCATATCAATGTTTGCAAAGAATTTCGGAATTTCTACTATGCCTGCTATATTCACTAGCTATCAGGCCATTATTGGCGATGGAAAAGTCATCAGACCTGGCCACGCGGGCTCGACTCCCAACTCGTATTGTGCACGGCCGGATCTTGCTGGAAACCACCAGTCCCCGGCGTTGAGTTGCGAATTCCCCCCTGGTTGCTTGCCAACACCGGCAGAGCATCCCGAGTATGCTACGGCTGGCACTAACGATTCAGTGTCATATGTCGCCCCGTCACTGTCATGCCACACAGAAGGTAGGTCGACCACAATTCCGCTCGGGTTCGTGCTAACAAAGGGACGCAGCAGATTCGACTTCCAATCTACACACTCCGGCAACAGACCTGATGCACGAACACGACAAAGAAACCTGGAAGCAGTTATTTGGAATCTTAGAATTAGGTGAGGCAGGTATTTCAAGCCAGAAGTACCTCAGGGATCTCGACTACTTGAATGGAATGGGATGGTGAGATTCAACAACATGTTAAAGTTGGAGTATGGTATTTCCATTACCTACGTCAACGATATCCTGGCGTTCCTGGAAGATTAAGAGCACAATTATGGTGACTGGGACTGGATAGATTGTATATTATATCGACAAGTCTCAGACCGGAGTAAGAGTTTGTATCTGAAAGTGGTAATCATCATAGGTATCGTGAACGGGGTGCGAATGGTGAGCTCGAACCGAGTACGGGACCCTTCAGCAGCCAACCCCATTGTTCAGCCTGACCAACTAGATTGCGTGTCAAGGTCTTCAAAATCTGTATCAAGAACGCGTTCAACAATATGGCGTGGGGAAAGTGGATGGGATGGGATGGACGGGTGGCATTTTCTCGCAAGGTGGCAATGGACTCCACCCTCCCTTTTACGATGGCGGCCCGAGATTCTCGGTGGTAGTTGGTGCATGTTCCGAAATGTTGGGCGCTTGTAGTTCATGGGGGCTGGCCAGGGCATAGATAGATATTTGGCCGCCATTTCTTTTCTTCCGATGCCTCTATTGTTAGTTCGATATTCTAAACTCTCACTTCTTTCATCTTCCCCCAATCCCACCCAACCCGCTTCAACATGAGTCCCAGCTCGACTGCAACAAAGAATCGCGGCCTATGGCTCTCCTCGTTCGACAAACCTTTGGAGCTTGTTGAGCTCCCCGTTCCAGAGGCAACAGCTGGCTCAGTCGTCGTCAAGGTCCTCAACACGGTCGTGTTCCCTTACGCCGAGGACATCCATCAGGGGAGGCTGCCTGTCTTCAACCTTTCCCTTCCCCTGGTGCCGCATCCAAGCCATATCGGCCGGGTACACGCCATCGGATCGGATGCCGTCCTCGCCAAGCCCGGCGACCTCGTCTTCTTCTCGGCTCCCATCTTTGCGCGGGACGACCCTGACGTCAGTATCATCCAGGGTCACCACGGCGGAGAGGGGCCAAGAGGCCGCAAGCTCATGCAGGGAGAATGGCGTGATGGCGCCCTCCAGGAGTATCAAAAGGTTCCGCTCGAGAACATCTTTATATTGAACGAGGACCGGCTGTGCAAGCAGCTTGGTTACACGCCTGCGGAGCTTCACGAGATTTCCTTTTACACCATCTCTGCCGGAGCGTTATGCGAAGCTGCCAACCTCCAGGCAGGCGAGACGATTGCACTTGGACCGGCCACTGGAACCTTTGGCGGCGTCACCTCTGATATGGCACTCGCCCTGGGCGCCAATGTCATTGCCATCGGCCGCAGTGAAAAAAACCTCGCCCGCCTGGCGGAGCAGCTCGGAAACCACGAGCGATTCAGCTACGTTGTCATGACTGGTGATGATGAAGTCGACGCGGCCGCGATCCGGAAGGCTAGCCCCGATGGGCGCGGCGTCGAGGTATACAACGACTGGGCGTCGGGCACCCTGACGGGCTCCCCTTACTTCTCGGCTGCCATACGCGCTGTGCGGCCAGAAGGGAGGGTCGTCCTCAGCGGCGCACCATCTGGGTCCATCTCGGTCCCGTACACGCTTGTGATGCACCAAAACATCAAGATCATTGGCAAAGTGATAGTCTCAAGAGGAGGGATAGACTCGACCATCAAGATGATAAACTCGGGGGTTCTCAAGCTCGGCAAGCGTGGCGGATCAAAACACAAGGTGTACACCTTGGAGGAGCATCACGAGGCCTTCCAGGACGCGAAGCAGAACAGTGGTTTCAGAGTCTACACCAACATTGCTCCTAACCCGTGGTAAAGTCTTGTGTACTTGTCTAGGTAGCTGTGCTTGTAGAGGTTCAACGAGACGAGAATAACACGATAGCGTACACGAGTATCCTTGCCAACCTGCAGTGTGGCCTGAGCCATATACCATCCATCCGAGGTGAATCTTGTCTCGTGAATGATGTTAAATGAGAATAATTGCGGCCCAGCTAACCGGCGTATTCAACGCTTGCAAAAGGGCTGTGGTGTTGTTGGCCCTTTGGCGCTTGCTCTGAAAGGGAGAGCATAGCAACGAACCCTGTCCCCATCCTCAACATAATATTGGCATCTCGGTAAACCCAAATGCCGCATAACGCCGAAGAGAGCTGTGCATAACAGTTTCCTGGAGTGGAAACTGTATACATCAACATCATGCTGGTATGAATGTGGGGTTGCAATGGTGCCACCCAATGCCACCCTGGGTGGAGAGTCTAGATGCCCACCGAGACGCAGTCCTCATAACCCCATGGGGAACAGCGCCGCCTTCACTAAGCTTAATAAAGCCGAGTGTCACTGAGATTATTCCTGGTTGGTCAGGCTTGCACAACCGGCTGCTCGCCTTCTCGTCGTTTGTTTGCCCTGGTCTGCGCGTGTGTCGAACCCAGCCGTCAGTACATCAAAACCTCTCAAGGCAAGATGCCGTGTGCCGACTGTTACAGGGGACATGATCATCCCGGTCCCGTCCACGGGCGTGAGACCAAGCTACATGGCCACGATGTCTACATTGCAGAGCCTCAGACCAAGGAAGTTTCGCAGAACGGCCTAATTGTCGTCCTCTCGGATGCGTTTGGATGGGACACGACCAACCTGCGTGGTGTTGCTGACAGGTACGCGGAGCGGACTGGCTGCAGAGTATACCTCCCAGATTTCATGCATGGTTAGTCCGGGGTTGCCTTTCCTCTGCATTGTGATTGTGCGGCTGACACAGTCTCAGGGACCTCTGCACCTGCATCGATAAAGGTGGTCATGGATAGAATCCTCAGTGAGGGAGGCCTATGGGGATGGCTGGTAAAACCGTAAGATGTCCACCATGTAAGCTCTGACAGTTCTGACACCAAGGCCCAGATGGCTCGTGTTAAAGGCCGCGTTTGTCATGGTACCCTTTAGCATTCGAAACAACCCCGAGAAGCGCTATCCGGGCGTCCGGAAATTCATGGATGACGTACGCTGCGCTGAGGCAGCAGACCTCAAGGTTGGCGTGGTGGGCTTTTGCTGGGGCGCATATGGTATCACGCACCTGGCTCACGGCGACTTGGCGAGCAACGGCAAGACGCTCATTGATGCAGCCTTCACTGCCCACCCGAGTGAGATCAAAGTTCCCCAAGATATCGAGGGGGTGAAGCTTCCCTACAGCATGGTCATTGGCGATGTCGACTTTGCCTTGCCTCTGGACCAGGTACAGCAAGCGGCTAAGATTCTTGAAAGCAAAAAGAATGTAGATACTGAGGTGGTCATTATTCCCAATGCAAAGCACGGTTTCGCCGTCAGAGGCGATCCGAGTAACAAGATTGAGAAGGAGATGGCTGATCAAGCAGAAGATCAGTTGGTTAGATGGTTTGCCAAATACTTGGTCTAGATAGGAAGACGTAAAGAGTGTTAAGCAAGCTAGATAGCTTTTGGCATATGTTTGGCTAGGCGACTAGCAATTAACTCGGTCATCCAAGTATTAAGGTATAGTCCTTACAGATGAGTTAAATCAAGTAAGCTATTACTATATAAGTGCCTCTTAACAACGTGATGCGGTCGACGTTACTGTATGACACTGAGTTAGCAATAGAGAGCCGGTCTATATAAAGAGGAGAAAATACTCATCTCTTAGATATTCAAGTTATCCACCAGCCGTACAGGTATAAAAGTCACTACCATGCCGAAGCAAAGACCTATTATTAAACAGGGGGCGGCTCCTAGCAAATTCTTGCCAGGTTCCATAGATCAGACGTGGAAGATGCTACCTTGGTAATAGGCTCAAAGTGAGAACTGGGCTCAAAAATATCACGGCCGAGTCCCTTCAAGCACCCCCCTGACATCCTCCTCGAGATTCTCAGCTGGAAGTCCCAGCCTCTCGGTCCAGTCATTCTCGTCCCTCGTATCCCCAAGGCCAAGAAACTCGCCCTTCCCATAGGTGATGCACTGAATGATATCCCTCTCGGCAAATAAATCCTTCTCCATAGATGGACCTCGACTCCTAAAGCGACGCAAAGCATCCTCATACAAGTCTGCGCTGTTGACGTGATGCCTCTCAAATGTTCTTCCTGAAACCTTCTCCACTGCTGCCAGAATGTCTTTCTGGGTGAGTATATACGAGTGGATGTTGACATATCGGTTCGCAGAGTCCTGGAAATGAGTCGGGTTTGAGACGATTCTGAACAAGGCAAGCCCTATTGTGCGCAAATTCGTGGTGCCGTAGGGTGCATCTCCGCCATCAAGGAGGAAGTACTTGTTCGGAGGCTCGTATCCATGGAAGGTATTCTTTAAAGCCTACTCAATGTCAGCGAAGACCGGTCCCCTGGATGAAGTGAAGCAAAGCATTTACCTCATCAAAGAAGGGATTGGGAATCAAGGCCGTCCAGGTTATGGAACCTTCCTTTGTCTTGAGATGCTCAATCAAGTTACGTTTCTGCTGGAAGTACGGCATCAACGCAACAACCCTATCAATGTAGGTGCGGCAACCGAACTCAGACGGAAAGATTCTCTGCACGCCGGCGACAATGGCTGCGTCAACAATACGCTTCTGAAGGGGCATGCCGGCGTCTCCCAGCATAGAAATGACGACATCTTGGCCAACAAGAGCGTTTTCCAGCGACGCTGGCGTGTAATCTGTCCGAATGACGTTGATACCGACCGGAAAGCTTGCCCCGGAGTCTGCTCGAGAGAGGGCAGAGATGGTTATGCTGGAGCCTTGGCTGGCTTGGACCAACGAGTTGAACACCATACGACCTGCTTGGCCGGCTCCCTGTGATCAAGGTATTAGTTTCCCAGCGTAAATACACTCGCGAGGCTTACTAACTCCCAGAAAGATAACATTCTTGACTGTTCCTGGCGACATTGTACTTGATAAGCTGGGCGGGGATAGGTCGCTTCTTGTCGTGGTCCACTAGATCGCCAAGACCGTCGTTTTGCAGGCACTTTGCTATTTATTTCGCTACCCAAGGCCTGTAAGGTGCAATGTTAGATCCAAGGTCACCAGGATCGCCACCAGGATCATCCCCAGAGCCACTTTACCCACCGGGCACCACCAACGCTAACGCACACCTTGATCCTATGGGTGAAGGTGGGGAGGGGAAGTGCTGAGGGACAAAATCTGGTTGCCACCCAAGACCCGCTCATAACCAGGGAAGAATGAACGAAAAGGGCTACTTGGTGGGGGCGATTTTGAGCCCCCACCAAGTATACTTTCGAGACTGGGAATGTCCCACTTGAAGGCAAGTTGCCAAGGAGCCAAGGGAAGCCACTCTAACTACACTAGATCCTGGGCGCGCTTTCTTGCATGCTACCCTTGCCCAACTCAGGGCAGGCTTGGTAAAGACAAGATTTACTTTTGAGTGATATTTCCGGTATTTATAGCCCTTGCTTCCACCCTTACACATGTGCTTTGGTAACTAATTTCGGCTCCTCTTATATACCTAAACTCAATAACTTGATCACTCTCACCTTGAAAAACTCTATTCCCTACTCATTCACTTATCATGGCCGTCACAGATGAGGCTCTGAAAACCGCAGTCGACCAGGTCTACGCCGACCTCAAAGACCAACCCCAGCATTCCCCCTCGCAAGTCTCCATCGTCAAACGAATCATCGAACTCCACCTCGTCGCATTCAAATATTACGACTTCGAGAGAACCCGACAGCTCGTCGACGAGAACTACAAACAGCATAGCGTCTTCGTCGGCGATGGACAAGAATCCATCATTGATATGGCGAAGATGATGAAGCAGTGGGCTGCGAAGAATTGGTCAAGACCTGAGGAGCCTCATATTCAGATGAGTATTAAGAGAATACTTGTTGATGTACCCTACATCACGGTGCATCATCACTCTCGGCGGTGGGAGGGAGATACTGGGAATCATGTTATTGATATCTACCGGCTTAAGGATGGTAGGGTTGCAGAACACTGGGAGAGCGTAATGGATATCGTTCCGGAATCTGAACTGAAGCATAACAACGGACAGTTTTAGTTGTGACAAGCTATTATCTTACTCTAGCATATGAATCGCTAATTTCAGACGCCGTCGCCGTTTCAAGGTTAATTAATAACTCTGATAAACTAAGAGCTTTGCTACAGCTGCCTGGGTAACAAATAAAACAATAGCTTAGCTATTACTAGTCGGAAGTTTATTAACTTTGCAGCTTTATTTAATCCTTATAAAAGACCTAACTAGTCTAAAATACTTCTAAAGAACAAGTCATCCAGTGCCTGACAACCCGGGACTACCATGCAGTACCCACCTACTGCTAAGCAAAAAAAAATGTTCCCCATACAAAATACCCAATTTCACTTACACGGTGATTGACCAAAATTGAAGTAATTTGCGTGGAATGAAGCTTATTTTATTGATGGTTTCATGATATTTTAGATCATCGCATTGCTTTTTAGATTACGAATGCGGTATGGTCGCCTATGACTAATGTAAAATTTCTGCAAATGCCTCCTCCTTCAATCGGCCTCCTCGACTCTTCATGGAATTTTTATCTACACCAGCCTTCCACAATCGCCTTGAAAATGCCTCGAATGTCTTATACAGAGAATGAAGTTATTGAGGCCATACTGGATGTCACAGATAACGGCCTCTCCCAGAACAAATCCGCCCAGAAACATGGCATCCCTCAGACGATTCTCTCGGCCCGATTAAGAGGTCTACCGTCAATCTCCGAGGTCACCCAGCCTGCCCAGCAGTTATCCAAGTCTCAGGAGGCCAGATTAGTCACCTGGATACTTCGACAAGAGGCCTTGGGCTATGCTCCTTCTCACAGTCAAGTTCGTGCCACTGTTGCCGCCCTCTTGAGACAACAGGGCCGGGAAAGGCCTATCGGTGTGCATTGGATAGCCAGATTCATGAAACGTAATCCGGCCATCAAGACGAAGATAGGGAAACGCCAGGAGGCCTCAAGATTCAATTCTTTTACTCCAATGGCCGTCAATTGGTACTTTGATATCCGCGAGAGCCAGTATGGCTGGATCAATCCTGAGAACACAGTTAACGTCGACGAGGGCGGTATCATGGCTGGATTTGGTGAGTAGTTATCGTTTTGATCATAAATCTCACTAACCCATTGCGAATCTAGGATTCCTTGGTTATTGGCAGTAGCGATCCTAAAAGGAAGGTGTCGCAGGGTAGGCATGATCTTCACGGCCTCATGAAACAACTGCATTAGTAATCTAGCCGTATGCTTTAAGTAACTCTGCGGGATGGAGTACCCCGCACAAGAGACAACCTCAGACAACAATCAATCAACACACTGCTGCTGCTCATTATTCTTTACCTGATCCTTGATCCTTTCAGCACGCTCAGTGCGACAGAAGGCCTTCCTCAAAGGTTCTCAGTCCCGCGCTTGGACTAGCTTTATTGAAGCCGTGACTGCAGATGGCCGCCTTCTGAAACCAGGGATTATTTTCAAAGGCAAAGAGATTCAGCAACAGTGGTTTGTCGATGAGTTCAAGAAGATAGCCGACTGGTATTATATCACTTCTGAGAACGGCTGGACCAACAACCATATCGCAGTTGAGTGGCTCAAAGAGGTCTATCTACCTCAAACCCGGCCAGAAGACGAGTCCGATGCTAGGCTTATTATACTAGATGGCCATGGAAGTCATGTAACGTACATGATAAGCGAGCGGCGCAGACAAGCGAGCGGCGCACTTTTCCCTCCTACACCTAACTTTCCACTTCGTCAATCAAATCTTCGCCACCAAGTATGTCGCAATCAAATACTGAGGCAAATACCCTTCTTGCCCTTCAAGCCCTCCAAAATGACCCAAAATTAAGTCTCCGGCGGGCTTCTAGTATCTATGGGGTCAAGGAGCAGAGGCTACGTCGCCGGCAGAATGGCATTCAATCTCGACGCGATACCATTCCCAACTCGCGGAAACTATCCGACCTGGAAGAACAGATCGTTGTTCAGTTCATTCTCGACCTAGATTCGCGAGGATTTCCCCCGCGGCTGCGTGGTGTTGAAGAAATGGCCAACCGACTGCTCGCAGACCGCCACGCGTCACCTGTCGGCAAGCGCTGGGCTTCTAATTTCGTCAGGCGACACCTAGAGCTTAAGACGCGTTTTTTTCGTAAATACGACTATCAGAGGGCCAAATGCGAAGATCCAACCATTATTCGCGATTGGTTCAGGCTCGTGGAGAACACAATCACGAAATATGGTATTACCCTCGCCGATATCTACAACTTTGATGAGACTGGCTTTATGATGGGCCTTATTGCAAGCGGAATGGCTGTCACGGGCGCAGAAAGGCGTGGAAACCCGAAATCAATCCAGCCTGGAAATCGGGAATGGGTTACAGTCATTCAGGCGATTAATGCGGAAGGCTGGGCGATCCCGCCCTTCATCGTGGTTGCAGGCCAATATCACCTCGCCAGCTGGTACCAAGAAAGCAACCTCCCGGGCGATTGGGCTATTGCGACGACTCAAAATGGCTGGACCGATAACAATACAGGTCTCGAATGGCTAAAGCACTTTGATCGGCACACAAAGGCCCGATCAACCGGTCACTATCGTCTTCTAATCCTCGATGGGCACGAAAGTCACCACTCGGTTGAATTTGAAAAATATTGCGAAGAGAACCACATCATTACGCTTTGTATGCCGGCTCATTCGTCTCATCTGCTCCAGCCTCTTGATGTCGGGTGCTTTGGACCGCTCAAGAAGGCCTACGGTCGGCAAATAGAGCATCTGATCAGATGCTCTATAACCCACGTTTCTAAGACCGAGTTCTTTCCAGCCTTTTACGCCGCCCACCAAGCCGTAATGACAGAAAGCAACATCAAGGGGGGTTTTAGAGGGGCCGGGCTTGTTCCTTTAGACCTGGAAAGTGTCATATCAAAGCTTGATGTGCAGCTACGGACTCCAACACCCGTTGAGGAGGAGGCTAGCCTTCCCGACCCTTGGGTCTCAAAGACCCCAAAGACCGTCCTTGAGACTAGTTCTCAGTCTGAATACCTCAAAAGACGAGTTAGGAGACATCAGAGCAGCTCTCCAGCATCTATTTTAGAGGCTATTGAGTCATTTTCTAAGGGAACGAAGGCAATAATGCATCAAATAGCACTATTGAAGTCTGAGAATCAGATCCTTCGACAGGCAAATGAGACCCTTAGCAAGCGGCGTAGAGCAAAAAGAACCCGCCTGCAGAATAGAGGGAAGATGACTGTAGATGAGGGAAGAGAAGCAATTGATCAAATGGATGTTGATACGCAGGGAGTGGCCGAATCGTCGAGGAGTGGTGGTCAAGGAGAGTCGGCGCGAGCGAAGGAAAGGCGTTGTGGAACATGCGGCAAGACCGGTCATAATACAAGAACATGTCAGATAGTTGTTAACACATCTGGGTAATAGTATAGCGATTTATTTCAATTGATTAAATGCTATGTTGTGTTATTATTTGAGTTCTTGCATTGAAGGTTAGGAAAAGTGCGCCGCTCGCTTGTCTGCGCCGCTCGCTTATTGTCGCACTGAGCGTGCTAAAAGGATCAAGGGTCAGGTAAAGAATAATGAGCAGCAGCAGTGTGTTGATTGATTGTTGTCTAAGGTTTTCTCTTGTGCGGGGTACTCCATCCCGCACAGTTACTTAAAGCATACGGCTAGATTACTAACGCAGTTGTTTCATGAGGTGTGAAGATCATGCCTACCCTGCGACACTTATCGATGGTGCCCGCAATTACGTCGTAATTCGCTTAGACCACGTGACAACTTATCCCCCGCAAAAGGCGGCCCGTGAAATCGTGTGCGCGACGCCTGATAAGTGCGTTTGATAAGTCCCCCGCAACTTATCTAGCTCCGGACGGAAAAACGACACCACATAGAAAGGCCTCGATCGACCGAGATGGCCGCAGACGACTCGTACACGGCCGCAGACGAGCGCGCCCGCGCCGCCCGGAGGGCGGGCCTCCAGGCGAAGAAGGACGAACAGCCGGCGAACACGGCGCGGAGTTACGCTGCGAAGCAGCGGGAGTTGAAGGCGCGTCCTCCCCGGCCGCCCCCCTCTCTTCCCCCTTTCCCTTCCCTCTTTTTACGCAGGAGCCCCATGGACGGCTAACAGACGAAAACCTATAGGCCTGGTGCCGTACGCCCCGGGCTGCGGCAGACGGCTCACTCTATAGCTGGCCCGACGGCGAGCTCGTAACGCCGGACAAGCTAGCGGCGTGGCTCAAAGAGGATATCCTCTTACGACGCGTAGCGCCGCCGCAGAAGAAGCCACGGGCACGGGGTAGGGGTAAGGGTAAGGGTAAGGGCAAAGGCAAGGCGGTACAGTTACGGCAGCAGCTTGAACAGGAGCAGCTCGAGGCCGCGGCCCTGGCAGAGGCCGAAAGCCTAGCCGAAGCCCGAGAGGTCCCCCTGGTCGAGGCCGCCGAGCTGCTCGCAGACGACCGCGAGGGCTACGTGCCACCCACGGCCCTTGCGCCGGCTGCAGCAGACCTTGCCGAAGGATCTCTGCTTACGAAGGGCACTATCGACGCCTATATCGCGGCCGTTATCGAGCTCTGGCGGCTCCAGGTAGCCCACGGTAACGCGAACACGGAGAACCCCAGGGGCGCCGCCGTACGGGGCTTCCTTGAGCAACGGGGCCGACAGCGGGGGAAGCACGACCGCGCCTCCTTTAAAGACCGCGGAACCGACGGGATCCAGGCCGGCTATCCGCACGATGAATGGCTCCGGATCCAGGATCTCCTTCTCAGCGGGGCCGCATACATGCCGCAAAACCTCCGTACGCGAGTCGACCTCCTATTCGGCCACTACTACCTCCTACGAGGGGAGAACCGCCGTAAGATGGAGCTTGCGGACCTATCCCTACTCGACTATCCGTCTTCAGAAGGCCCAACCCCCTGTGGCTGCCTCGTGACCCTTCTGCGAGACGGTAAGCTGAACAAGACGGCAAAGAAAGAGTTCATGGGCGCCCTCCGGCATAAGGACCCCTTGCTCTGTACGCAAGGGGCTCTGGCACAGCTCTTCTTCTGGCGCTGGCACGTCGCCGGCGAGTCGCCCCCGTCCTTCCGGCGCCGCCAGGACTGGTATCGGATCAAGGTCCTTGTTGGACGGGACCGCGAGCAGGAGCTCTCGTACCCGACGCAGCTTTAAGAGACCTGGCGTATCTTCGGCGCCGCTGGCCTTGTCGCGTCAAAGAAGACTCACCTCCCGCGCAGGGTAGGCGCCCAGGACGCTGAGACCCACGGCACGTCGCTCGCCCAGATCTCGCAGGCCGGCCGCTAGAACCAGAGCGTGCTCTGCCAGGCCTATCTTACGCACCTACCGCGCCAGTTCATACGTATCGTCGCCGGCTTCTCGGCGTCACCGGGGGACTACTTCCTCGCGCGTGCGGCTAATGAACCCCCGTACGTCTTACAAAAGCAGCTCTGGCCGTGGATCGAGGAGTGGGAGCCTCGCTTTGAAGCGCGCGCGCGCCGGCAATGCTGGGCAGAAGGCGGCCTCGACGACGACGACCTAGCCGCTGACGGCTTCCTTAAGCTTATGCGGCGCCTGCGCATAGTACTCTTACAGGACCTGGCTGTCTTGCAGCCTCGCTACCCGTCGCTGCCCTTCTTCGCCTATGCCCCTTTCAACGGGTCTGAATGGGACGAGTTCGCCGTCGCCGTTCGCTCCGACGCGGCAGGGGCTACGGAGCCGTTAAGCCTGCTCGTACAACGCGCCCTGCCAGAGCTAAGCGGCGTGTTAGAGAGCACGCGCGAGGCCCTCTTACAGAATAACCAGCGACTCGCCATCCGGTTAGAGGCCCGGCTAGAGGGAATCCAGGGCGGTCTCGATTCCCTGCTCCAGGGCAAGGTCCCAATCACCTTTACCGGCCACTTTGGAGCCGGGCCAGCAGTGTCGCTGGCGCCGGCTCCGGCTCCAGAGCCTCCAGTACCAGGTATGCCCGTCGTTGCAGCCCTGGCCAAGGTCTTTACAGTGCGGGACGTCTGGAAGGAGTGGGAGGAAGGGATTGCAGGTCAGCCGGCCGTACGGGTGCTAGAAGAGACGTGGGGAAGCCGCTGGCGCCCGGGGAACGGGATCAGGGTGCAGTTCTGTCGCCGGAAGGTGATCTGGGACGAGCTCTTGGCCCGCACGGCGTCCGGCAAGAGCGAGGAGGAGGCAGTTGCAGAGCTAGAGCTCTTACGCGCCGGCCGGAGCTTGAATCGGCTCGTCGACGAGCTCAAACAGCGCCGCCGGCGGGGCCAGGGCCAGGGCCGGATACGGGTACAGGTAGGGACCCCCGTGCCCGATGACCCAGACCCGGGACCAAGGCCGACTCGGGGCCAGGGCCATCGGGGGCGCTGGGCTCGGCTAGGGAGGAGGCGGACCGCCCCTCGTCGACAGTAAGCTGGCCGTCAGGTAGGATCTTTATATATTTATAGCGGTAAACTAGTCCGTATCTATCTATCTATCTAGAAGGCGTATTTTTTTTTTTTTTTTTGAAGATTAAGGAGCAGCAGGATCAGCGCATTGCTATGTCGTAGTCCTTGCAGCGAAGCCTGGCCCCCCAGCCACTGCACACGCAAATATCTCGGCACCCGCTCGCCTATACAGCGTCGCTCTTGAACCAAACGGACCGCCAGAGCGTAGCAGTCCTCCAGCCCTGGAATTGCATCGATTTGGCTCCTAACCGTCGAGATATTCGCGTGCGCAAAGCTATGCAGGATCGTCCCCATATCGAGTCATGATTTAGTGGGCGGGAAAAGGCGGTTCGAGAGCTTAATGTCAAGGATGAGAATATCTGGAACTTTGACGAGACTGGCTTCATGGTCGGTTACCTCCAAAAAGGGACCTTCCTATTTACTTATTACGATGTTGAGGATATCATTCTAACCGAAGCACACGGCACAGTCTTGCTTACAGTTGTTGAAGCTGTATCTCTCACTGGAGAGGTTATTGACCCGTTTATTGTCATCCCCGGTGTCGTCCTTCAGGTCAAGTGGCTCACAAATAACCTCCTGTCGCACTGAGCGTGCTAAAAGAATAAAGGATCAGGTAAATGATAATGAGCAGCAGCAGTGTGTTGATTGATTGTTGTCTGAGGTTGTCTCTTGTGCGGGGTACTCCATCCCGCAGAGTTACTTAAAGCATACGGCTAGATTACTAACGCAGTTGTTTCATGAGGCCGTGAAGATCATGCCTACCCTGCGACACCTCCCGAAAGACACAACTCTCGCGACTTCGCGAATATTGCTGCCAAGCTTGATGAGACTAGAGCGGACTGCTTGGACGGAACCCATCCGCAGTCCGCGCTTTCATAGCCCTACTTATATTTGAGAATCATGCTAGGCGCCAATCGCCACATCTCTACGACAGAGATAAGAAGATTTCTTAGATGGCCCGAAATCTGTCATTGATCACTTGCAAACGTCGTTCATGTCGTTCTGTCGGGTCCGGCGCCCGAGAATTTGGTCATCGACCGATTACCAATGGCTCCAGCTAGTCAACCCCCATTCTTCTGAAGGGCGTGCAAATTTCTTCGCTTGTCGAATCCCCCCTTCCACTGAAGGGCGCGCTTGACATTTTGTCGGCACGGAGCGGCCGAGGCATTCCCGACGGATGACGGCTCTGGAGTGACAGCGGCCGACCCACCCTCGAAGCCCCGCATCTCCTCGGTGAGACGGGATAAGATAATAGCTTTCATACTAAAGAAGCCTCAAAGAGACCCTAGGCTATGCTATGGATGACCGTTTCCTCCTCCTGCTTGTTAGCTATGGTTGTGAACGACAACGATTTCGTAGGTTTTGTTGGCCGCAATGCGAAGCGTTTTGATTGGATCAAGGCCAATAGTGATGGACTGCGAGTGGAAGTTGCAGGGCTTCGATTGGTCCGGCGGCAAGAAAACGGCTTTCGGTCCTCATCTCTTCGGTTTTCGGCTTTCGGCCGGTCCGCGTTGCCTCCGTGGCTAATCGCCTCAACCATCACGAAAGCCCTCCCGATGATAGCGTCATTACGCCCACCGGGATCAATTACTTGAAGTTCAATCCCACTTTACACTGGCGGCCCTTGACAGTCGCCTACTGAACCCTGTACAACCACATTTGAGCTTGAATAGCATCGAAGGGCATTATGAGCCATCAATCTACGAAAAAATCTTTCAACGATGACAAAAGGTTTCACTCCGTTGCTACTGAGCTTGAATAGCTCGACTGCTGACCATTGAATCTGTAGAAGACTACGAAATCGCCTGTCACAACAGGCCTTTCGGCGCCGACAAGCCGCGTACTTGAAGGAACTCCGCGAAAAAGCCGATTCGAATAACAGACCTCCGTGCGAAACGATCGAAGCCTTGCGTGTCGAGAACAGCCAGCTACGACAGCAGCTTCTTGATGTCCAGGCCAAAATTGCACGATTAGTTACCACCATGACGGAGATCTCTGGCTCGGTGTCTTCTGTCCTTGACGAAGCCAGCCAGTGCCAAGTCAAGAACCACCATAACGACGCGAAGTCAACACCCGGCACCGAAGAGAGCTCTGGAGTTTCAGCTTGGGGCGGGTTTGACGATGATCTAACGACGTGGGATATATCTAGCCAAAACATCACCCAGAGTTCTCGAATGGATGAAAATCCTCAACATCCTCAACAGCCCAGTGTAAGGGACGACTGCATACGAACTACTGATAACTTACCACTTGAAGAAACTGGAAGTGTAGTGCCAATTGAATCATCTCAAAACGATGCTGGTGGCCTAACCTGGCAGATACCCAATATTTGGACGTTCGACTACCAAATGGGACCCCAGGCCTATGACAATGCACTATCAAGAAGCCAAGAATCCGCCCTGGTGCGCGGAAAGCTCTGGTCAGAGACCAACTCACCCTTCTCCGATCACATCGACGTTCTCCAGCAACTCCTAAAAGCCAGGCTTGAGCTTTTCAAACCACGGACAGAACAGTCGCCCCATCTGTGCGTGCCGTAAATGATAGGAACAGTGGAGCAAATAATATTAACAGGGTGGCAGGTTCTACACCCGAGTCCTTATGGTGCTGTCCCTCTTCAATAGCATGACGCGGCCGGACGTGATGGCATGGTATGCCAAGACCAGATTCTACCATATCGTCGACTTGACCGCCTGGAAGGTACACCCCTGCACGCAAACACTCAGCAAAGTCTTCCAGCCGTACCGTCCCACAAAACTCCAGCTGATTAGCCCTCACCCCAACGTCATCGACTGGATACCGTTTCCGTCTATCCGGGACCGCCTGATCCAATTCCACGCGTCAAACCCCAAGATCGACCAGATCTTCTGCGACACAGTGAGCAGCTACGTCGTCGAGGCTTGGATGTCGGACCTGGTAGCAAACGCCCCAAAGACCCGGGCATACATCCGCGTCAACGACCTCGTTGACAAGATCCCCTCCACTGTCAAGTGGAGCGAGGTCGAAACACGCAACGTGCTGCCCGCGCAGGACTCAGAAACGCTCTTCTTAAGCCCCGAATGCTCACAGGCTGTCTTCAAAGCACTCAACATGAACCGCGGGGCAGCCTACTACAAGATCGACCCAAGCTTCTTTGGGAAGTATCCAGAGCTCTACGATCACGACGTGGACATCTCGGCACAGGGCATCCCGCTCAGACCGCTCCTTCAGACTAACTTGAGCAGCCCGAAACGCCTTGACTCTCAGACGTTTGAGATTTATCGCCATTTTATTGACTTTTCCATTGATGCGCCGGTCGGTATGTCCTGATTTTTGGAGCGGATTTGTCCTTTGTGTAACGGGGGTGTTTCCAATCGCGGTGAACCCTAACCGATGGGTTCTGGTGTTGGAGAAGTGGCTTGTATGATGGTGTTACACAGGCATGTTGTCAAGCTCCGGAGACCTTCGCTTACTGTTGGAGGCCAGGATCACGATCATCGTGAACGACCACAACTAGCGTCAGGCAGCAGGCTGCTGCCTATGATATCGGCGGTCTGAACATAGGTATAAGAGACCGACTCTCGTCACTCCTTTAGATAAAAAAGGAGGCGCTCCTTTTAATCCTCAATCAACACTGATCTTTTGTTCGATGTCTGCATTCATGTATCGGTGCTAGGTTGACACATGTCACCTCAAGGAAGATGACATCACGATGATACCAGAATTGTCAGAACAGCAAGTCTAGTATCTTGGCCTGGTCTCTTCAGATAAAAAGAAAAAGACGGACAGAGATCACGATCAATCAATCATCCTTGGGTCTCCATCTTCTGATCACTTACTCCATCTGTCACGACCATGACATCAGTATCAGTATTTATTACGCCCGGGAGAACGGATCTCATAGGGCCGGTGGCTACGCTAAGCTGTCTTCACTTCCCCCGCTATTCGTCCGGACCACCCAAGAGAGCCCCACTCTTCTTGCCAGCTCGTCTCTTTTCCAGCCTCGCTTGCCTGACTGCCTGACAGGCCTGCTTGAAGGCCGATTCCTCCAAGTGTTCAGCATCCTATCCCCAGCAGCTGAAGCATGGTCTGTCAACTTGAGGCTGTTCAATGTTAGTAGTCAGCTGTGGTGTTAGTGTTTAGCATGTTCTGTTTCCCTTTTTCACCTCAGTCTTCCCGTCGCCATTGCAAACTTGACTGCCGCTCGCACCGCCTCTAGGTTAGGTGCCCATTTGGGCCCGTCCGACGCCGACTTTCCACCCAGAAAGAAGGAAAGGTTTCCCAACATGCTTTGTCCCGCTTGTCGCATGACTTCACGTTCGGTGTCCCATCTCGAGCATCTGAAAAGGAAGTGCTCCATTGTCTCTGGTGCGCGTCCGCACTCACACACGTCCGACTCTGCGGCTCCTATCTTGCTCAGGTAACTGTTGATCCTTGCCATTCCTGTACGAAGTTGCGAGAGCACGTCGGCTTCTCGTCTTTTTAGGTTGTCGTAAAGCGCTTTCGTATGCTTGCCCGGTAGGGCTCGGTCGACCCGCTTGGAGTAGCCGCCCACTCTGTCGGGTAGTCTTCGTTGCTAGTGCAGCTGCGCTGCTACTAGCCTGGTCCGAGTGGAGCGAGCCTGGTATGGCAGCGATTGCGGCGTGCATTCTGCTCTGGTTGCTTTCTGCGCTTGTCTCTTCGCCTTGCGGCCGATGGCGAGGTCATCGTCCCGGGATAGTATCCATACCATTCTGACCCTGTTACTTCCCTTTCCCAATCGTTTGATGTGCTCATAGATCTGTCGGATGGTGCTCTGGCCGGATTGCTGCCGTGGTCGTGCGATCGCTTTCAGTGACGACTGGCTGCTTGACAGCACCGTGAGTTCTCGATGTTACAGCCCATCGGGCATGCAACGCAATGCCATCGCCATCGCCTCCAGCTCGGCCGTGTATGGGTTCTGGTCGTCTCGCGACCCGAGGGTGACCGAGTATCTGGCCACTATCTTGTCTGTCCGGTCCGGCGATCTGTATGCTACGATGCCACCTATACCTATGAGCCCTTCTCTGTCGGAGGCACTGGTCGCAATGACAATGTCGTTGGCGCTTTTGGCTGCTGTTATCGCCGCGTCACGATCGGCCTCGCATACCGTCGACACACGGCTGTGCCACGGTGGTACCGTATAAGCCTGGATCATTTCCATCCGCTCGATACCGCTCCCTTCGTGCGCAAGTGCCAGTCGCTTCAACGGTGACATGTATCTTCGACTCACTGACACCCGGAGTGTTGCGAGCGGATGCGTCTTTGGCAGGGTCTGGATGTTGATGTATGATCTCGAGCCTGCCTGGGCATGTCGCTCGCCTACCGTCTGAATGCTAGCTTCCGCTTCCGCCACTGCTGTCGCGACCGTTCGAAAGGCGCCTGTGATGGCTCGTGCCCCCATCTTCTGAGCCCTGTTGAGCCAGGTCAGCTCTCTTTCACCTCGTGCATGCGACCAGACGGCGGAGGCGTAGTCCATGGTCGGCGCAACGGTCGCCACGAAGAGCTGTCTAGCCGTACGCGGGGATAGCATCTTCAGTCTCCTCAGGCACATGGCCGCCGAGAGACCCTTGGTGGCGGCCTCGGCCATGTGCTTCTTGAACCTAAGCTTCGTGTCCATGACCACTCCCAAGATCTTGGCCTTCTGCTTCGGTTTGACTTCTTCCCCTTTAATCGTAAACGGTGTGTGGCTGGTGCGCTCGGCGACGCGCGTGAAGTGCACGATGGTTGTCTTGTCGCACTCAAACGTCGCTCCGCTACGCCTCTCCCACGCCAGTGCACGGTCGATGATGGTCTGTATGCCGTCTCTGTTCGCTTCTGCCGTTGGACCTGTGACCCAGGCTGAGTAGTCGTCGACGAACGCGATCGAGCCTCCCCTCGAGTCTATCCTACTCTGCACCAGGTCTGCATTGAAAAAGAGGAAGAGAACTAGCGACAGCGGTGAGCCTTGCGGGAGGCCCACCTGCGGCAGCTCCTATAGCTTAGAGGTGTAGCCGTTCACCGTGATGGTGGCCCTGCGGTCCGAGCAGAACGCATCTATCCACTTGACCAGTTTCTTGGGTATACCTCGTGCTTCCAGCCTCTGCATCAGCCTGTCCTTGAACACACCGTTGTAGGCTCCCTTGACATCAAAGCTGACCAAGCTGACCACTTTGCGGTTCCGCCATGCTTTGTAGACCTGTTCCTAGAAGAGCAGCAGTGCCTGCTCTGCCGACCGCCGCTTTCTTGCGCCAAAGTGGTTGGTGGGCAACAGTCCGTACGTTTCGACGGCGTACGAGATGCGGTCCGCCACTACTGCTTCGAGAATCTTGCCTAGTGTCGACAGCAGCGAGATCGGTCTCCACGATTTTGCTTTCTTGTAATCATCTTTACCTGGTTTCTTGAGCGGGATGATCTTGGCAGTCCTCCACTGGTGCGGTAGTTGTCCTTCGCCTAGTGATGTACGGAACAGATGCAGCACCCGCTCCTTCACCGCTGGCCACAGCTGCTTCCACACCATGGCCGGCAGCCCGTCTTGCCCGGGGGCTTTCCACGCTTTGGCTTTCATGACCTTCTCCTCGACCTCCTCCATCGTCAGGTTCGGCATGGCTACTTCCCTGCGCCGCGGTCGTGGGCCTTCGTCTTCTATGCTGGCCGGTAGTGGTGGGAAGAAGACGCTGAGGAGCTCTTCTGCTTGTTCGGCCTTATCCTGCGTCGTCGTCCCGTCTGCTTTTCTCAGCGGAGGCACTTTATCGCCGTTCGTTTCGTCTCCGGGTTTCAGGTACTTGGCAGCTTGCCAGATGGTGGTCCCGTCGGCGAGGAAGTCTTCCCAGTGCGCCTTCTTTTGTCTTCTGATGGCGTCATGGTACTCTTTGGCCGCTTCCTTAGCTCGGTTTTCTAGGTTCTCGCTTCGCTGACCGGCCCGACGCCGGGCCCTTGCCAGGTTCCTCCAGAACGTGTACGTTCTACGAAGCCTCGTGAGATCTGTTGTCCACCATCTCTTTGCGTATGGTGACGGCTTTGCTCGTGGAACTAGTTTGTCGATCGCATCGAGGACCACCTCCATCAACCTGTCCGTCTGCGTCTGGACTCCGCCGTTCTACGGGAGTGGTGCGAGCCTATCGTTCACTCTCTCCCTGATTGCATTCCACGGTGCGTTCTTGAACAGCAGCCTCGGGCTCGCTGTCCTCTCAGGCGTTGTGAGGTCAAACTCGGTTCGGATCGTCCTGTGGTCTGATCCGCGTTCGGTCGGGTGGATGCCGCAATGGACCATCTCATCTGCTAGCTCGGTCGATGCCAGCATCAGGTCGATCGTGCTCTCGCAGTCCGCTCCTTCCCACGTCTTCGTCCCTCGTGGTAGGAGGCTGAGCAGGCCATGCTCGTCCACGAGGTCGATGATCGGGCTCGCTTCGCCTTGCCTCCTGCCTGTCACCTCATCGCCTCCCCAGAGCTGGTCGTGGCGGTTGAAGTCACCGGCCAGGATAACGTCCGTTCTTTTCCCCGTGCTGTTGCGAAAACTTGTGATTGTCGTGTGCAACTGTCTCATGGTAGTGTGCAAAGCGTCTTCATCTTTTCCTGCCACGTACACTGACACCACCAAGACTTCTCGGTCGGGCCATCTAAGTATCGCCCCGGTCAGGTCAGCCGAAGGGATGGGCACCTGCTCAGTCTCTAGATCGCTGCGTATCCAGAGCATACTCCGGATCGGCCACTGCGTCTCGTGTCTCTTTGATGGTACGAATCTCGTCCAGTTCCTGCGGTGGCTCGGCGTCGTCATCAGCGTCCCATCGATGTTCAGCGCGTATGGCTCGGCCACCGCCAGTACTGCATAGTCCTGCAAGTCCCTATCGTTCATCATGCTCAGTGAAGTAAATAGTGTGACCGTAAATAAGACGATATCATATTCAATATCGTATTGCCTGCACGGTATTTTTATACCGTGCAGTGCAAGCAACACCGGAAACCGTGTAATACAGTGCATGGTCGTTCAAATATCGTATAAATATGATATCAAATATAGTGCAAGTACTATGTAATACGAGTAATACGAGGTCTCTCCCCATATATGAAGCATTATGAAGATCCCGATTTACAGGGCTTTTTACTAATGAAGTGTAACCTGGTTGGGCCGTTGATCTGCACTCGGCTGATGCCGATAGTAATAACGCCACCAAATAAAGGCCTCGCCACAAACTCCTGAGTGTTTGAGTATGTAACAAGCTCGCCAGCTCTCTGAGAGCTTTCAGTTCTTCTTTTCTTCCATGCAATCAATTTGTTGGTTTCCAAGCACGCTTCTGGACGAATAAGGCCTGTGCCCCTTATATGAAGCGTGTCAGCTCCTGAATTTTCCCCTACTTCATCAACAAGTCTTATTCTACGAAATAATGACTTCTCAGCGCTCAGGCATTAGCGCTTCCTTCACGGCTACATCATCCCAGACTTCCCTAGCCCCTGATTCGTCGGTTATCAGCGACAACGGAGATTCTGATGTCGGAGAGACATCTATTTCGCCGTTGTTGACCTCTCAATTTAAGAAGAAGAAGCGTACGTCGAAGATATGGGATCATACGCCCTCCGGAAGGAATCAGATCGTCCGTAATACGGAAGGTCAGATTATATGGCGTTGCAAGTACTGTAAAGGGAAGCCTGCCGAATATCTCGAAAATGGAGGCACGGCACACATCTACAAGCACCTTAAATCTCACACTACTCTCGATATATTAACGCCTAATGAAGAAAGGGCTGCTAAAACAAGGAATCACCTTGAGGAAGCCTTCTCACGGATGTCTCAGAACACGAATCCCCTCAAACGCCGTCGACACGATGACGAAACGACAGATCTTGACGCTGATAAGTTTGAGCAACTGTATGTAGAGTGGATTGCAGACTGCGGGATTGCACTTCGTATGGCAACAAGAGAAAGCTTTCGAGCGTAAGTGCTCTAATATACTTAATATTAATGGTTCATATACTAATCTTATGCCCTTTTAGCTTGCTCAAATTCCTCAATTCTGGAGTCCTCTCGATTTTACCTACATCACATCAAACGATTCGCGAGTGGGTGATGCGAACGTTTGAGACGCAAAAGCGACGTATACGACAAGTTCTCCAATCAGCTATCTCGAGAATACACTTCACCGTCGATGTATGGTCCTCTCCAAATAAGCTTGGTATCCTTGGTATTGTTGCACACTTCATTGATAGCAACGGCGAACTAGTTTCATATTGTGTTGCTTTACGAGAGGTACACGGCAAGCATTCAGGAGAGAATCAGGCCCATATTGTGATGAATGTCGTCGAGGACTACGGAATTGTCACCCAGATTGGATACTTTGTTTCAGACAATGCAGACTCGAATGATACGTTGATGAATTCTCTACAGAAATGTACGCCTCTATCAATTTATTGAGAGAACAATACTAATGATTAATAGTGTTAAACGAGAGGCACAATATCATATACGACGCGAAACATCACCGCCTTCGTTGTAACGGTCATACCATCAATCTAGCGGCGCATGCGTTTATGTTCCCAAAAACCGCACCCGACGAAGCCCCTACGAAAAACCAGGTTAAAAAGGACACTACGAGCGAATATATCAAGCCTTCAGACGCTGATATATTGAAGTGGAGGAAGGCTGGTCCTCTTGGCAAGCTCCACAATACCGTTGTCTTTATCCGATGTAGTCCACAACGGATACAGAGGTTTAAAGAGATCAGTGAGAAAAAGGGTCTTCTTCGTGACAACGATACAAGATGGAACTCAAAGTACTACATGATTGAGAGAGCCATTGAGCTCGCAGATCAAATTGATTACTATTGCTCAAAGGAGAAGGACCTTAAGCTTGATTCGCGTATGCTATATATCCAATTGAGAGGACAACACTAATAGTTTCTAGTTTCCGAACAAGACTGGGCTGAGCTGAAAAAAATTTGCAACTTCCTCAAATCATTCACCGATGCCACCAAGGCTGCAGAAGGTCACGCGCATACAATCGATCGAACGCTACCCATAATGGACTTCCTGCTTAGCAAATTTGAGGCTGCACGAATCGAGTACGCAGATGACGCTTTTATGGCGCCTTGTATTGATGCTGGATGGGCGAAACTCGACGCATATTACACTCTTACAGAGCGGTCATCTGCTTATGTTGCAGCTATTGTCCTCAGCCCTCATCGAAAGTGGCACTACTTTGACACCGCCTGGGAGGAACATCCTGAGTGGATTGAGAGCAATAAGAATGCCGTAGAAGATCTCTGGAAGTCTCGTTACGCACCAGTCGCCAAGTCAGCGGAGTCGTCAGCCCAGTCCTTGGTTGAAAAGCCACTAGTGAAGAACTCGTTTCTTGCATGGGAAGACGAACATGAGGATCCCGAGCTTCCTACCCTATTTGACGAGTATCAGAACTATATATCAGCCCCAAGAATCAAAGTCAAGGATGTACGAAGGTGGTGGCTTGAGGATACACAACAAACGCTCTATCCAAACCTTTCCAAAATGGCGCTCGATCTTTTGTCAATTCCTGCGATGTCTGCTGAGCCAGAACGTCTCTTCTCTGATACAAAAATCACCCTCCAAGATCGCAGGAACAGGTTAGGGATTGATATAATTGAGGCAATTGAGTGCATAAAGTCCTGGTCGAAGACTCACAACTTGGCTTGGGTTGACGACGCTGAGCTTGTCTTGGATACAGCTATCATTGGAGAAGATGAACAGCAGGGGTCTTCTAACATTATACCTGATATTACGAGCAATAGATAGTATGCAAGCAATTCAAACTCACAATGCTCGAATCTGTGGAGGTTTCTTCTGACCTCTAGATCTACTTCATTCTCACACCTAAGCAATAGGAGTGACGTTAAATTAGTCAATTATGTAGCTTAAGTAAACCCTTAACATACGCGAGCGAGGTCTAGGAAAACGTTTTCCCGAGCGTTCTCGTTGTCTAGCAATAGTATAATCTATATGTTGGCTGTGAATAGCTTCATCTTGTTACGGTCCGCGAGACGATCTTGAACCTCAACCTTACTCAATTTGGTTAGTTTTATGCTTAGGCCATGCGGCTCTTCGCACGCCGTGCGATATGATATTACGATACGATATTGCTTAAATATAGTGGAATACCGTATGCCGTGCAGTGCACCGAATTCCTAAACAATCCAGTGCAGTGTGGCGTTGAAAAAATATCGTATACGGTATTTTGCACTATTTACTTCACTGGTGGTGGAATTTTTTTTTTGCCTGACGAAAGGGTGGGGTTGTCGAAAGGGTGGTGGCGTATGGTACTGCCTCATACTGGTGGCTCGTCAACCAAGGTCAGCCCGCGAACAGTTGGGGATGCTGCATAGTCTAAACTGTATGTTTGTTATAACCACATCAACCAAGTCATCTCGTTCGGCTTTATCGCGATTCTAGGTGGGGAGGCTGTGGGACAATATGGTCTCCATTGGTTAGTGATATTGATCTACAGAAGCAAGTCCTTTCAAAACAGCTTGTGCATAATAGCTTCATGCCAAGCACTTGACTGAATCAAATGATTACTTGGAAACTCTGGGATTCTCGCGTTGGCCTAGACAGAGTTGGAGTTATCCGCGCAAGACCAAGCCTTGGAACCCCCGTCAGCCTTGTACGAGTCAACGATCCCAACCACAGATCCGTAAGTTCCGCCGATCATCAGGAATGTTCCAGATACAATGAGCGTGACGTTTAAGGCCACTAGGAACATCCACTTGAGCGATCTATCCTTTCCTCCATTCCAATTATCATACAGCCACATGCATCCAAGCGGCTGGAAGCACATCATGGTCCCCAAAAGAGCGCCAATGAGAGCGACGAGGCTATTGAAGACAGGAATACCGCTGGCGATGAGGTATGCAACGATGGCCACGGTGAAGACGCAGCCAAGCCAGGTCGCCCAGTGGGTAAAGGTGTTTGCGGTCAGGTGCTTCGTTCCTCGAAGGATTCGGAGAAAGAAGTGCTTGCTCGCCAGCTTTGCGTTGTTAGTGACTACGTCAAATGTTCTGTGGTTATCTGATACTCACATGGGTACTCAAGGTCGAACTAACACACAACCCGGGGAGGGCAATCCCATAGCTGATTTGCTTGAGGAGCTTTCCTGCCGACCCAAGAGCAGGGGAGGTAACCAAGGACCCACAGAAGTAGTAGACGATAATGCCAATGATGAGGTAGGTGATTGTTGCAGTAGATTGACAAACAATCAACGCCTTGGTGTAGTGACGTGGGTTGCGCATCTCAGCCACGATTGCAAAGTAGAAAGGCGTGCCAATATAGGCGAAGATAAAGGTCGAGATTGCCGTGATGGCTTCAGTGAAGCTGGGGCTGCCGATAACTTTCCAGTCGGACTTCCAGGGGCCTTTGGGCGCGCCGTCAGGACGATCCTGAACCGCGACGGCGATAGTGACGACAAGGACTGGTCGCTTTAGCAACAGTTCCATTCGAGACTCCATCCCGCGACAGGGATAAACACCTACTTGAAGTAAGGATGGAAACCAACCCGGCCCATGCAAGAAAGCTGATCCGGCCGAGGGTTCGCAAACTAGCGAAACAAATGACGATGATGGCCGCAACTGCGACGAATACGGCGGTGCATGTTCCGTGAATGGAAACAGCGTTGAAAGCAATCGAAACACTGAGCATGCCAGAGCCCGCATCAAAGATGAGGACTGTCACGTAAGCATAAGTCAATAGGTACGGTTGGCGGATATCTTACTCGCACTTACATAGAATAAAGCAAAAGCCCATAATCTCACGACCAACGCGGCCAAACATGATTCCAGCTGCATCGTCGATACCATAGATCTCGCGATGGTTGAGCTTGAATCCTCCTATGACATAGCTGCCCCAGGTCGAGAGAGCGGCGATAACCACCATGCAGATGACGCCGGGGATCATGCCGAGGACATCGAACGCTGCGGGGATGGATAATACCCCTAGGCCGATCTGACACTTCATCATGATGACTGATGTCCCGATCCAGCCCACCTAGAAAGCAGGAAACGTGAGTAGAGGGTCAGCTTACGGGAGAGGAGAGCCGACTTACATTGCGGTAATTGGGGCCACCCTCGGTGATTTCTCCAAAGACGGCGTCTTGGATCAGCGTAGGGTCGTCAAGGACCTCGCCGTTCTTCGGGGAAACCATGGCTAGGCCCTCGGGGTTTTCTATCTTCTTTTCGATTTGGGTCTTCATCTTGAACGCTGCAGAGGTAATGGTGCTTGTTCGAGAAGAGAAGGAGATGTTTGATGAGCAGATCGTGGAGGGGAGAGAGGCATTTATATCATTCGAGCAGTGCAATGCTCAAGTTCCCCGCGCCTTGGTATCCCCATATTCCAGGTTCCCCGGGGACCACGTACTCCAGGTTCCCCAGCTTGTTCATGCCGGGGAAGATGGAGCCCGCCCATCCGTCACCTCGACTCAGTAGGGACTAGTAGATGGACAAGGGCCTGTCCATGTGTCTCTAAAGCACCCCAGTGGAGAAGCCATAACGTAAAATAATGCGTTTGAGGGCTTTCTATATCATTTAAGGGCGAAAAGGGGGCCACTTGAACTAATGACGGTGGCTATTGGCCCGATCTATCAGGATGGATCAAAGGACGGAGAACGGGAGACCCTCCTCGGGCCGGGTTGAAAGAAATGATATTGAAAATGCGCCCACGTGATGCCTTCGGAGATTTGAAGTTGTCCGAAGACGGGCCAGACAGAGGGATCAAAGCGCTTGAAATGGTCAGGCAAGTTATGGGGACTATCAACGTGTTTCTATTGCCAAAGTGAGCAGGCTCGGTTATGCCTGAAGGCAACCCACAAGTCAAGATCCGACGCTTGTCATTGCCTTATTCTTACGGACCCATTGGTCTTGTCGCTTGGAGCGTAACTTGCCCCTTGGCAGATGAGCGACCCGGACTTATCTACTCCTTCCTAATTTTTGGCTACTTTTGTGGGCTTTCTTTTGCTTTACGTTGGTGAACGTGAATAGCATCCTTATGATGCCCGGGTCTTGAGGCTGTTTGATTGAAAACATCACATGGTGGCCGTGAGATAATTGCCGTGCTTGGTGCTATTGGCAAAGGGTGGCAAGGAAAGGTAGATTGTGCGGGTCAACATCACTTTAAGAAGATAAGGGGTGGCATATGACCAAAAAGGAAAACTTGAAGCATCTATTTGATCAATCTTGGTAACTAATTTTCTAGTTCTGGATGTAGAATCTTGAGTGAAAGTTGATAGTCCAAGGCCTGGCTCGCCCAACAGATTTAAAGCGACTTCATCACCCTGACTCTAGTAGTAGCCCACTCTGTCCACTTTCCACTCTTCTCGTTTCACAAGGCCAAATCTCTACACCTCTAATTGCTACTCAGATTACAGCCTAGAGTGGCAGCAATGGCCAGGCTTCTCCTCCTCCGTGTATAGAACGCTCTTGTTCTTCTCCTGAGTCGACACAGCCACGTCCAGGCCAGGATTGCCAGAGAAGAAATTGACAGGCTTGAGTCCGACCATCATCTTTTCATTAGGCATGACCGGCCAGTCTTCAATTCGGGGGTTGTGAGTTGAACCAAAGGTATGCCAGATGACAATGTCATTGTTCCTCACCGATTGCGAGATCCCGGTGCTGTTGCGCTTCGAAATGCGCGAGGCAATGCCGTCACCGCCAGATGATTGCATCGTGTGCTTTCCAGAGGGGAAGTGATCATCGTCTTCGTATCGCGTCACCCAAACTGCATGCTTGCCAAACTCTGAGCGCTTGGCGTGGAAAGAGTCTGGGTGCGAGAGAAGCATCTGGCTGTAGGCGGGCAAGAGCTTGAACCCCACGGGCGTGTTCGTGATGGGGTTTATCTTGTTCTCATTGATAAACTTGAAGACGCGGGCCTTTGTGAAGTCAAGATCGAAGCCGCCCTCCTGCTCAATGATCTTTTGCTCTGTCACGTAACCGACACCGAATGGGTTGTGTACGGCTGGGTCCCCGACAGGCAAGGCTTTGGATTCCTCGATGGCCAGCGAGTTGGCGTGGCCATCCACGGCAGGGTCGATGCGGAGACTGAAGATGTGCTGGTGATAGGGGGCCAGGACTCCCGGTGCAACGACTGTACCATAGGGGACCTTTTCCTTGAGACCGACTTTGGCGGGCACGGTGGATAGGATACCTGTGGCGCGGACTTCGTAAAAGATGGAGGCATCCTGGCACAAGTGGAAGGCAAAGATGTACTCATAGTTGCTGACGGTAATGATGGTCTGCAGCACGAGAATGCGAGAACGAGTCACCACGGCGTTTCCGGTTCGGAAGTTGGTGTGCTTCCACAAGATGCCATCGTCCTGCTCATGGCAGCAAATGACGTTGGGCATCTTCATGGGCTCTCCAGAGCTGGTGTTGTGGTAGCCGTCAAAGTACTTGATGGTCCCAAGACAGTCGCAGCCCAGTTGTAGGTTGTTGGCGTTGATACCAGCTCCGTCGTTGCCCAGGTCAAAGGCGGCTTTGCGGGGATAAGGAGCGCGGGGGTCGCCGTAGGGGACGAACATCTCGGCAAGGGACAGGCGATAGAAGAGGCTTCGGCCGTCGTAGCAGATGTCGTGGAGAGTCATGCCCTCACGGTAGTTGAAGCCGACCCGGAAGCTCCACTTCTCCCAGGTCAGGTGGTTCCCCCGGATCTTGAAGGATGGGCCCTCGGGCTGGATGACCTGGTATGGCTTGGTTGTGGTCCTGGGGCTGGGTCGTAGATCAGGGTGGTATTCACTTGCGGCGGTGGCGTGAATTCTTTGTCGATCAAAGGGACGGGCCTCGTTGTGGATTCGCTCGATCGGCGTAGTAGGCAGACGGTAGACCTTGGTGACTTGCAACTGCTCCGAGACCTCGGCACATACGTCCAGTGGGTAGGCGTAGTAGTTTGCATCCGGATTTTCCAGCAGGCGGAGATAGAACCAGCACTACTCACGAGTCAAACTTTGAAACTGACGAACAGGTCGGGGGCTGACTTACCATGGTGACACGCTGGGTCATGTCGTTCATTCCGTCGGTCGCATATGCCCAAGGCTCAACGACAACGGTGGCACCTGCGGGAAGGTTGAGGCTGCGGATCTCGTCCTGGACTCGGCTGTCGGCCAAACAGGCCTCCTCGACCTTCCTCATGTAATCCGAGTCAATGTAGGAGTGCTTGCCCTTGTGGTGCTGCTTGGCCGTGACGCGGCTGTTGTCGAGGTCGACCAACAGCTCAAAGAGCTCATGATTGCCAGTCTTGCTTTCGAGAACTACCTCGACGCGCGCACATCGTGTCGGAGGCTGGCTTGTTGGTTGGTTGCGATGCTCCTTCTCGAGGAAGAGGATCATTTCCTTCTTGGGGGGCTCCCTCAAGGTGATGACGCGGAAGTTGATGTCCCGGCCAGCAAAGTGCGGCCGGACAATTTCTGCAGCCTGGGAACAAGTATTAGTTTGGCAATTGACGCCATTGGGTCAATGGACACTCACCCTAGAGATCTCATCGGGCTGGAGGGGGTCGAAAGGGTGGATAGAAAGCGCCATGATGATGGAATACGTGCTAGTCAACTACCTACGTGGGATGATTGTACGCCAGGTTGATGAGTAGATTGTTCCAAGGTAAAGCTAGAGGAGAAAATAAACCCAAGGTCTTATACCTGCCACGATCCCGGGACCGGCACCGAAACTTGAAGGCAAGAGGATTGTCGAAGCAAGAAGCCGGTTCCCTCTTTGCCTCGACAAGCTTTGAGTGACAATGATCAGCCACTCAAGCAAGTCATACTGCAACTAGAACAAAAAAATTTCAACTCGGCTATGCCTTTAGAGGTGCGGCCGTGAGACAGCGGAGTCACCTCCAAAGGTATGGGTCAGTGATAAGATACCATTTGGGCTCCACGCAAGTGCCCCGGAGTCACGGCTTTCTGTCTACTTCCGGTGTGGGGTACGGAGATCGGACCTCCAAAGGAAAGGCGGCTGTGGAGACGGATCGGTCGCCGAGAGCCGGAGTTTGACATGACCTGGGCGGAGTCCGGCTACGGTCCATACAGGCCACACCGGCAATTGACTCTGCCAATCGCCGGTTGGATGGGAAAGATTGATGTTATAAATCGTTCATGGGTAACACAAGTGGTAGACTTCCTCAATCACTCAATCCCACCGCAGAAACCATGTCTTACCAGTTGCCCTTCAAGCTCGATCAGCCGTCTCTCTTGCACCGTGATGCACTTTTGGACGGCGAATGGGTCCAGTCACAATCTGGAGAAACATTTCAAGTCGAAGGTAAGATCCTGGGTCGGATCAAGAATCAGGGAACACGCCTAACAGGAAACTATAGACCCAGGGACCGGAAAGGTGTTTGCAACTTGTCCAACCAACAAGGCTCTCGATGTTGATGCATATGTTAAAACGTCGCACGAGGCCTTTTCCAAGTATCGCCACGTCAATCCCCGCGTCCGAGCCAAGATACTTTTGAAATGGCACGACTTAATTGGTGAGGCTCGTGAAGACATTGCCAAGCTCGTTACCTACGAAACGGGTAAGCCACTCGCAGAGGCCCGTGGCGAAGTTGACTATGCCCTTGGCTTTGCTTGGTGGTTTGCAGGGGAAGCAGAGAGGATCCGAGGATCTATCGCTATCCCCTCCATCTCGGAGCGACGTACCTTTGTCGTCAAGCAGCCCATCGGCGTGGCCGTCGCACTTGTCCCCTGGAACTTTCCAGTTGCCATGATCATTCGGAAAGTCGCCGCCGCTCTCGCAGCGGGCTGTAGCATGATCGTGAAACCGTCACCAGAAACGCCCCTTAGCACCTTGGCGCTTGCCGACCTTGCCCTCCGCGCTGGCGTTCCGCCTGGTGTTCTCAACGTCATCACAACGGATAACGACAATACGCCAGATGTAAGCGAGAGTCTCTGCAAACACCCGCTCGTCCGCAAGGTGACCTTTACCGGCAGTACGGCGGTTGGCAAGCTTATTGCGAGACACTGTACCGACGGCCTTAAGAAGGTCACACTTGAGCTAGGTGGCAATTGCCCGTTCATCGTTTTTGACGATGGGGACCTTGAACAGGCTGTGTCGGCCTTGATGATCCTAAAGTGGCGTACCGCTGGACAAGCTTGCACTCATGCCAATCGGGTCTATGTTCAAAGTGGCGTCTACGACAAGTTCGCAAGCATGATCCTCGAAGCGACACAAAAGCTTCGTGTCGGTCACGGCGCCGAGTCGACTACCACAATGGGGGCTCTTACCACTCCCCGCGGCATTCAGAAGTTGGAAAACCACATTGCCGACGCTGTTTCCAAGGGAGGCAAGATTCTCTGTGGCGGGAAAAGACCAGACCATGATGGTTATTTCTTCGAGCCCACCATCATCTCTGGCATGACCTCGTCCATGTTGACGACGAATGAAGAGATCTTTGGCCCGCTTCTTGGCTTATACAAGTTCAACACAGAAGAGGAGATTGTCAAGGCTGCGAACGACACCTCCATGGGTCTTGCGTCCTACTTCTTCACGAGCGACACGAGCAGAACCTGGAGGCTGCTCGAGAGCCTCGAGGCAGGCATGATTGGGATGAACACGGGTAACTCTTCGGGAGCAGAGTCTCCTTTTGGGGGCATCAAGGAATCGGGGTATGGCAAAGAGGCTGGAAAGGACGTTGCCATCGAGGAGTACCTCATTGCCAAGACTGGTACTTTGACAGTTGGGTCAATGGCCAAATTGTAGTTAGGTACTTTGTCACGGCCGTATTAGCTAGGGGTGAGATATTCAGAGAAATACATTCCTTTTCTACATTTCTCGCCTTTATTGTGGCTTTGGGTATGTATGGAATATGGTTAAGCAACGGTTCAGCACTTCCCATACACTCATTGGATCGTCCTCTTCATCAACAACATGACACTTTCCTATTCTACACATCCTCTTGACGAAGACTGATGAGTGCCCATCCGATGATTCTTCCATACAATAAAGCCAGGAAATTCTCTCATTGCCAGCGCAAATTTGCCTCTGGGTCATTCAGATCCTGTTCTTTGTTAAAAGTGCAATTCCTCTGAAGCCACTGGTGAAAGACAACACAACTAGTTTCCAGGGTTAACCTACACAAGAGGCCGTGTCTCCACATAGAACTGGACTCGTAATTGAGTCTCCGGGTCCGTGTGGGGACGGAGAATGAAGTTGAAATTAATCCCGCCTCCGGTCCGGCCCGGCGTCCCCGACTGCACGCATTGGTAATTGGCATCGTAATGTGGTTGAGATGTTTGCTCCGCGGCTAGCCGGGTCGAGCCTAAGGTAGCTAGCCAATCTACTACTGTTGGACCCTTCGGTGAAGGAACCGATGTGACGAAGCGGTCGTCCCGACCCTACTTGGCCATGGGTGGGGGTAACACGGATTTCCTCTCGTGGCAAGAGTTACAAACTCCGATCACACACAACAGTTTTCAAGCCGGAACGGGCTTGAGAAAGAGATGGAGCCGGCTTTCAGTGAGGGGGCGGAGTAACCTTTGGAGGTTAAGACTATATTAAAATGAGGGCTGCTGTCAATCTCAATCGTACCATGCTTACACTGTTCCCTGATTCCCCGGGCTCTGCTTAACCCTTGCTTGCATATCATTCGCTAACACCAGCAAGGACATGGCTACGAACTGGCAGACCATTTCCCAAACGGCACAGGCCAATCTGTTACAGTCGATTCCCCCGAGGTGGAGGATCGATGCGACGGCATACAGCCAACTCTCGGATGTTACTCGCGTGCCTCTCACATGTGGCCTCCTCAGCCCAAAACAGATCGAGATTACCGAGCTCACAGTCACAGAACTTGCAGGTTACATACGATCGCGCGCATTAAGCGCGACTGAGATCTTGGAAGCCTTTGCCGGACGGGCTGCCATCGCCCACCAGCTTGTAAGGACATGTTTGCAGAACTGACGCGGCGTGTATTGATGGTGAAGCAGGTCTTTTGCTTGACCGACTGGTTCTATGATGAGGCTTTGGGGTATTGCAAGGCTCTCGATGACATGCTTGACAGCGGCGGTGAGCCAATAGGCCCTCTGCATGGTATCCCGGTCGCTCTCAAGGTACGGTGTACGCAAATTACTCTGCTTTCATGGCTGAACAGTCTGAAGGACACTTATAGCGTCAAGGGCCATGTTACGACACGTGGCTATGTCATCAATAAGGCTGAATCGACCCCATCGGACCACGACTCAGACGTTGTGCGAATCTTGCGCGAAGCAGGTGCTGTCTTCTTCTGCAGGACCACTATGCCCCAGACGGGGTTCATCCTGGAAACCGTCAGCAACCTTTGGGGACGCACCCTCAATCCCTTCAATAGAAACCTAGGTGCTGGAGGTAGCTCTGGAGGAGATGGTGCCTTGGTTGCCATGAAGGGTTGCCCCATTGCACCCTCGTCCGACATTGGCGGCTCTATTCGCGCACCGGCTGCCTTCAACGGGCTCTACGCTATTCGACCTACAGCGATGCGCGTTCCAAAGAATCTGTGGGAGGGCACCATGACTGGGCAGATGTCCATCAGGGACTCTGCCGGCCCGGTGTGTCACTCGGTCGATGACGTCCGTCTCTTCACCCGCTTCTTAGTTACCAACGAGAAGGCTCGGTACGACACCAATGCTATTCCCGTCCCATGGAGGGAGGTTACATTGCCACAGAAGCTATGCGTCGGCATCATGAAGTGGGACCGGGTCGTCATGCCCCAACCTCCGGTGCTGAGGGCCATTGAGCACAGTGAGCGAGTCCTCCTGAATGCTGGATATGAAGGTCTGGCGCCGAGAGATCAACGGATTGCAGTGGGTGCTAACTTTTCCAAGTTGTCGAGTTTGAACCCCCGTTTGACTGCTGGGAGCTGGTCAAGTGCTTTGTATGACCTCTGTTGCTGAGAGTGAGTACCCGGGCTAACCATTAATAGTTTGGCATCAACTTCCAAATGGGGGGACAAGACACCATCGTCAAAGTTACCGATGCCGGAGAGCCCCTTGTTCCAGCCTTCGCCGACCTCCTGAAAGTATACAACGCCATGTCTCTTACTGCCTCTGAATCTATGCAGGTGCGCCATATCTCGGCCAATCCCTAATTGACGGAGCTGACGTTTCGATTGTAGCTCAATCTCAAGATGAGAGCCTTCAAGGTTCACTTTGCGAATGCTTGGGACAAGACAAAGGACTCGACATCCACGGGCCGGCCAATGGACGCACTCATCTGCCCCGTTGCCCCCTCGGCAGGCATTCCTCACGACTTCAACATTTACTGGGGGTACACTTGCATGTACAACATACTCGATTATCCTTCCACCGTCTTGCCAATTCCAAACTTCAAGATTAGTTCAGAGACCGACCCTCCCGACCTGGCCTACAATCCCTTGACTACAAATCCATACGACAAGGCCAATCATGAAATGTGTAAGCTTTCTGTCCACTTGCTTGGTACCTCTGTTCGATGTGGGCTAATTCTCCACTTAGACGACCCAGCGCTCTTCTTGAACCAGCCGTCGACTATTCAAATCGTGGGAAGGCCGTTTGATGACGAAGAACTCATTGAGATCACTGCTGCGATTGACGAGCAGCTACGAAGCGGAGAGGCAGTTTCCTCCAAGCTATAGACATAGTTATAAAGCAGGAGCTCTTCAGTCCGAGTGTAAACATTATGAAGAGCCTGGGGCTCGTTGCCAACTATGTCGACCATTGCTCCTCGAACGATGAGTTTAACCAATATCGCCATACGTGTAGGTGCCAAATTGAAGGGAATCCTAGCTCAGGGGTGATTCTGAGAGTGACATCATGTTTCCCCAGGTAGAAATGCAACTAAGCCAAATTGAATTCTCATGCTCAGAAACTCCGTTCACGTGGTCGGTCTCATTCGCTACTAACATATCAAAGCGGGCCCGGATTGCTAGTCCGCTCACGTGCAACTTCCTCCATCTCCAGAAACCCAAACGTTTCCCATCCTGCAGAAGACCCGGGGAAACACTTGGCTTTCCAACTCCGTCCCCCAGATCTCCACGCCGTACTAAGAATGAATTCGCAGTCCAGGGTAACCGAGCCCAAGACCCGGCGGGCCTGCGAACCCTGCAGGTTGCCTACACTGTACGTCTCATGGTTGCGTGCAGCTGATTGACCTCTGTGGGCAGGCGAAAGAAGACGAAATGTCCGGCCGAGAAGCCTGTTTGCTCGTTTTGCACTCGTCTAAACCAAACCTGCTACTACCTCCCTCGCGATCGGCGACCGAATGAAGGGAAAGGAAGTCGTGTGATGAAGGGGTAAGCCTCTTTGTTCAGAGACATGTTCAAGTTAACATGCCGTTCGCAGGTCGTCCAAAGAGCGTGTCAAGAACTTGGAGTCGAGGGTGGGCCAAATCTATGACATTTTGCAGTTCGTTTTCTGCGTCACTTTGTTTCTCTCTTATTTTTCTCTAACTTGACTTCCTCGCCAGATCTCTTGCCGATAGAAACGATGATGCCGCCGCGGAACCAACCATATCATCCCTCTCCGAACACGGACCCAGCTCCTCGATAAGCGATGTTATCGTCATACCCGACCCCTCAAACTCGTCCATCAGCCCGTCCTTTAGCGCAGATGTTTGGTGAGTGCTGGGCTTGGTCGACTTGCGCTCTGCTGACAGTTCAGGTCTCCTTCCAACTCAGAGCCCCCGGCCCAAGTCTTGGATTATCTGGTTGACGTCTACCAAACCAAGGTCTACTTTCAGCCGCTTCCATTATTAAGTCCTGCCAATCTGCGTACACGGGTCCCACACTTCCCACGTTACCTCCGATCGAGCTTTCTGTCATTATGCCTCCGCCACTCGGAAAGTTACTTCTATCGCGATAGGGAGGCGCAGGCCATCGACTTCTACACAGCTTCTTCCCAAGAAAGCGTAATGAGCTTGGCAGCCGAGGGAGTAGCAACGGCCGACGTAATACAGGCTCTTTGCTTGCTAGCATTGGGCGACATAATGGGTTCGTCCTCCTGATGCTTGGCTTGTCCTTTCGGTTCTAAACGCAGAAGCAAACAAACAAACCCGGGCTTGGATGTGTATCGGAGCTGCTGCGAGACTAGTATCTCTGCAAATGCTGAGTAGACAAGGCGCCTCAAAGATCTCTGATGATGATGAGACCTTCTCTAGATGTTACTGGAGCGTGTTTACCTTGGAGAAAGCCTTTTCTCCCACCATTACTGTTCTGGATCGTCTCGACAACCCACCTCCGCTCCCTCCCAGTCCTCCTCTTCCTGCGCCTGTATCAGACCCCGAAGATGAAGGCCACCTTATTACTTCAGACAACAGCGACCCAGGGATCGTCGCGCCTAGCATTCAGATCATCTCAATATGGGGAGACATTACAGCATACCTAGGCGCAATTCGGCTTGGGAAAACAGAAATACCATGGACTTCCAACTCGACCTACTCACAACTTATGGTGAGGCTCCAAGAATTCGAACTAGACCTCAGCCCGCCTCACCGGTTCGAAAACATCCTGGTCAAACGCCGCCCGCCCTCGGAGCTCCTCAACTACCGAGAGTACTGGACGCCGTGGACGATAATGCAGCTATCCTCTCACGCAGCGCTGGCAGTGCTTCACCATCCCTTCATTCACCTAGTGGCCCTGCGAGACCGGTCTCGCAAGACACAGCCCAAAATCTTTCTACAACAGGTTGTAGATCAGGCGCTGTTTCACACCGGCTGGGTGATTCGGCTGCTGCAGACGTTTGAAGAGATGCATCTTGAAGTCAATGATCCTGTCATGGGTCATCAGGTTGCAGCGACGGCGATTATTCCTTGGCTTTTCCAGTTTGCGCAGGACCAGCACATTGCCGAGAAGGCTCGCGAAGGTCTTTATTTATGTGAAAGGTTCCTTGAGCGCCTCTCTCTTCGCTGGCCTCACATCCGCTACAAGGTTAGTCTGCCATTCGTTACACTGAGAGACTCCTGATGATGAATTGGTAGCTACGAGTCCTCCGTGACCTTCATTCCGCGGCCGAGAATGGAATGGATAGCTCCATAGTCACTTTCAACGCCACGAGCTTCTGGAACATCCTGGACTCACCTCCTTCCGACTGGAACCCTTCCGAGGCATCAGCATCACCGAACAAAGATCCAAATGCCACTCTTCAGGTTACCACCAAGTTTGTCCAGCCGTGGGTGGATGAGCACTCGGGGCAGAAGATGAGCCAGGTCGATCCGCCATTCTTCTCGCCAACTGCAGGGAGCGATACGATAGGGCAGGTCTCCCTGGATGACTTCTTTTCGCAGTTTGCGATTAATGAGGCGTTGTGGACTCAACCAGGCATTGGGAACTCGGGCCTTGTATAGAGTTTAAGTATAGGTGTTTGAAGGCTTGCCTTTGTTAATATCTACATGCCACATTGAAACAGCTGGCTTGCCTTGTGGCCCGTGGTGTGCAATGATATTGGGAGCCACAGACGACATATAATATCCAGGTCAAGGTGTTTTCTAACACTCGACTTCAACGCTACCTAAAGCTACCATGTGTTCACAAGCACTCCCATTGCCGTTACGGTTGATGCCCCCTTTTCGAGAGGTGCGACGTCATAATAACTGGCAATGCCGTAGCGACAAGTGTCAGTCCTCACTTCACTCTAAACTCTGGTGAAGCTACTTTCCCTCAAGTACGGGGCAGCTTCCGTGATCCTACTTGTAGTCCGCTTGCCTTACACGGTGGCCTCTTCCTCACGTCTTCTGACACGCATCTGCGTCGAGGGGTCACCGGATAGGTTGAAGCCGTGCTTGATAACATCCGGCGGTGCTTCGCCAACCAGTTTAAAGTCATACTTGATTATGAAGGAGAGAACGGCAATCTTGGCCTCATTGGAGGCGAAGAAGCGCCCTGGGCAAGCATGTTGACCGTGACCAAGCCCAAGATAATCTGGGCTTGTTGAAACGAGTAGAGCGCTGTTCTGCTTTTCAGGGTCCTCGCGCATCTTGAGGAACCGATAGCCATCCCATTGATCTGGGTTAGCGTAGACCTTAGGATCCCACATTTTATGAGATAAAACAGTCAAGGATGAGTCCTTGGGGACAAATATACCGTCAGAAAGCTCTACATCGGCAAGAGCAAGACGGTTCATGGACACTAAGGAAGATTAATATGGCGTTAACCACAGGGGAATGGCAGGGTGAGGGGTACTAGATGGTACCAGGGTTGAAAGCCACTCCACTCAATCCACTGGCTGCTCGAGTGGAGTGGGTAGATCATAATCCACTGAATATCTCAGTATAGTGGATCCACTGGAAGCTATCGTGGATTGGGTGGATTGGGTGGATTGGCAAGTGCCTCTATTCTTGATGCCATGATGGTGAAGCTATTCCCGAAGCCCTTGCCCACGTACGTCCCTTATTCCAACTTCCACGTGAGACTTATCTCCAACTGGCTTCCATCTCGTCTTGAACGCCCACCACCTGAGTGAGCCACTTTGTTGCCCATCCTTCAAGCTGTTGATCTGACATCTGAGCCAATTCGAGGTTGACTTTTTCTTCGTCTACCGAGATAAAAAAGGGATCTAATTCATGAATAATACCTGCCCTCAGCCATGAACGCAATACCTGGCACATCCCGATAATCTGGGCTTCAAGCCGGTGGCGCAGAGGGTTCACCATCCGACCTGCTGCTAAGAAAAGACGCTCACACTCAGCAGACATTGGTTGTATCGTGAGAAAATCGAGCGCCATTCGCGATAAGTTTGGATACTTGAATCGCTTCTCGTGCCAGTAAGCGAGAGGATCGTCAATGGAGCCATCGCCACTTTCGCAGTGCGTAATCCAGTGGAGGTATTCGTCTTCGCCTAGCGTGAGGCCATCGTGACCTGCTTCTGGCGCTGTGTAGCGGTTTCGTTTAAGGTATTCCTGGAACGGATTGTCCGAAGTCTTCCGCTGCTTGGGAACTAGCTCAACGGCTGATAGCTCCTCTCCAGGCAATACGGCCTCCCGATACTCAAAACGCCAGACATCATGAACCATGTTTTTTGCCTCGTCAATCCACTCAGGGCGGTCAGTCCAGTTGCGTTCAGACCATTTCCATCGGTATGCCGGATGGAGCGCTAGGCCAGTGTAGTAGATGGGCGTCTCGCTTAATATCTCGTAGTACTCATTCAACTTCTGCCAGCCCAAATTAATGTTGATCCTGAAGTGTTCAGGATCAGGGAAGTCCTTCGCGATATCCTTAAAGCGTTCAAGCTGCTCGAGAAGGAATTCGAAGCCTTGAATAACGTCCCAAATATTGCCATATGACCCAGTCCACCCATGCTTCCGCTTGCGGATCTGGCCGTCGCCTTCAAGCATTTTGATCGTGGCTTCGTAGTAACCAAGGATTTGCGCAAATAATTCGACTACCTCTCAGTCCTTATCGGATAGCTGGTTCTCTAGCTGGCAAATAAAGGGCAATGTGAGCGACTTCTTAGGGCCGCCCCTCTTGGTCTTATTCTGTTGTTCGAAGTCGATTCGATGGTGGGCAACGAGTCGCTCGATATAGTCGCGAAGCAGTAGAGCTCGTCGTATCATATATAACTGTGATAGCCATCTAGTATCGTTATCCAAAATAACATCCAATGGCTTTCTGGCTTTGAGTTTGGGGTCAGTTGACTTGTTGAAGGCTTCTTGTTGAATATTGCGAAGCATGCCAGTCAACAAGTCAGATCTGTGGATAGCTACCACAAGATTGTGCAATTTGCCTGCTGGCCCCTTCTTGCGCCAAATCAAGTGTTCTGCTTCAGTAAGAGGCTCTGCCCCTGATATCCGCCGCTCAAAAGCGTCAGCATCGTGCCCGAATAGAACGGCTTTGGCGGAGAGGTTCAAGGTATGCCCAAAACAGCGTCCTCGCCTGCGGGCCCCTACGAAGCCGAGCTCTCCACCAATAATCTCCATAGCGGTATCATTGTTTTTCGCGTTGTCAAGCGTGAAATAGCCAATCTTGTCTTGGATCTGATACGATTCAATTACGTCGAGGATTTCGGCGGCGATATTAGGCCCAGTGTGCCTGGCGCTGACTTCGGGGAGCCCGAGCGTAATCTTGCAAGGTTTGTTGTTTTCGTCCCTAAAGAAGCAACAGATACCATATAAGGCGTGCCGGTTTCCAGACCGCCAGCCGTCAAAGGACATGTGGATAAGGCCAGGCGCCTTGCTCAAGGCCTCTATCACCTTCTGCTTGTGTTGTTCGAACGCGGCGACGATCTTTTCTCGAACCGTTGTATGGGTAATATTGGCTTTACGAGCCGAAACTGACGGGTTCAAGTAATCGAAGATAGCATGGAGTTCTGCCTCCTCGGCAATTGAAAAGGAGTGATTCCTGGCCACGATCCAGTCGATCAGAAGCCTCCGGAAGTGTTCCTTGTCGAAGCGTTTGATGAAGTCGTTCGCAATTGCTTGTTCTCGTGGGTCGTGTAGATCGAGCTTCATGGATTCAGCGAGAGTCCGCTGCCCCGGAGGCTTTCTGCCCTTAGAATTCGCCTTCTTTTCAGCAGTTCCTTTGGTCATCCCAGGAGGAGCGCGAATCCCGTGGTCGTTGAACAGATGATTGTACGCGTTGTGAATGCCATCAGCTTCGAAATGACGCGGATGTGGATTATTCTTGCGAATGCACGCTCGACATATCCATCTGCGGTCGTCTTCCTTTTGGATGTCATATCCAAATTGCCAGGCCCAGCAACGCGTCTCTCTGGCTCGCTCAGAGGACGCCCAGCCTGGGAAATGCCTCCAGAGCGTACGTTCGTACTGTTCATCGCTTGCGGAAGAGGTCGTCAGAGTCGAGGCAGGGGTCGAGGTTGAACGGGTAGGATACGGCGTCGGGCAGGGCGTTGATTCGGCAGCGGACCCGAAGCCGCTGTCGGAAATGTCGAAGCAGGAATCAGGCGAGGTCATGGTAAAATAATCTCTTTGTCATGTCGAAATCGCAAAATATGATGCAGTGATGGGTTAACAACAGGCCGTCAAGTAAGCGCGCGTGACGCGTCCAACGCGGTCAGTTGGCACAATAGGCCCTTATCCCGCAGATGTTTCAGATACTTCCTTTCAAGCTAATTTGTTGTGGACAAGCACGTAGCCAGTGTCATCTTGGGGTCGCGTAGTAGATAAGTCCCTAACAGCCTTCAAATCACGAGCTTGACGCGAGTAGTGTCGCTTGCAATTTTTCGCGCAGTATTAAGAAATCGAGGGATCTGGACGCGTTTTTCGAATTAGCTTGCCGGAAGTTATTTAATAGTATAAGTATTGCGTTATAAATCCAAAATATGGACAGTCGAACCTGATATGTACTAGAAATGTCGTTATATAACAGGAAAATATATAACTCTTAATGGCTCTCAAGACGATATGGCACTCACGGAGCAAAGCTTAAATATACCTATCGAGACTTATATTGCCCTAATGAGAAAGCCAAGGACATTCCAATGATACTTCCTGAATTTTATGCATTCTAAAATTGCGTTTATTTAGAAGCTTCATGGTGGTTTTGACATAGGGTAGCAACATTATAGAAACGTAGGGGCACATCAGGCTCTGTTAGAGGCATTCTGCCAAAATATATAGGCGCCCTTAACTACCCCACTTCTAATCCACCCAATCCACCCACGACATCGTCGAGTGGATTCGGTGGATTAGCCAATCCACTGGAATTTTGCCAGTGGAGTGGACAGTGGAATCCACGAGTGGATCCACTACGTGGATTGAGTGGAGTGGCTTTCAACCCTGACGTCCCAGTCCTTATCTGAAAGCTGGTTTTCGGGTAGGCAAATTCGCGGTTGAACAGCCGACCTCCGCATCAGGCCCGTCCTTTTCGACCTATTGTCCTGCTCCCAAGCTTGTTTGTGTTTAAGAATCATCACATCGAGGTAAGGACGGAGTTTGATCGCGCGGCGGATCATGTAGAGCTGGGACAGCCATCTGGTATCGTTATCGACGACGATGTTCAGAGGCTTCCTCGCTCGAACTCTCGGATCGATAGATTGGTCCATATCAGCCTGCTGAACACCCCGAAGAAGGTAAGTCAGCACATCAGATCTGTCGATGTCAACAACGAGGTTGTGGAGCTTCCCGACTGGTCCTCTCCTCCTCCAAAGATCGTGTTCAGTTTCAGATAACGCTGCTGCGCCGGAAAGCTGATTCTCAAATGCCTCTGGATTGGAGCCAAAAAGCAGTGCTTTGGCAGAGAGGTTGAGTATGTGGCCAAAGCATCGACCTCTGCGCTTGCGTCCATCGAAGCCCAACTCTCCTCCGATTACAGCCATTGCTGAATCGTTGTTTTCGGCGTTGTCAAGCGTGAAATACCCGATCTTATTCTTTATACCATATGAATCGATAATCTCGAGGACTTCTGCTGCAATATTGGTGCCAGAATGGCGAGTAGAGACCTCGGGTACTCCAAGGACGATTTTGCAGGGATTGTTTTTCTCGTCTTGGAAGAAGCACATAATCCCATATAACGCGTGCCGATTTCCGGACCTCCAGCCATCAAAAGAGACGTGAATTAGGCCGGGAGAGCTCTGGAGGACCTCCATAACCTTCGTCTTGTGCTGCTCATATGATGCCACGATTTTCCTGCGAATAGAGGTTGCGGAGAGATTGGCGTCACAGAGCTTTACGCAAGGGTTCAGGTATGCGAAAATCTTCCTGAGCTTGTCGTGTTCTGCCGTTTCGAACGACAGGTTGGCCTCCACGATCTATTCCATTAGAAGTCGTTGGAAAAACTTCTTGTCGAAGTTCTTAATGAAGCCATTCGCAATTGCTTGTTCTCTAGGCTTATTGGTATTAAGCTTCATCAGCTCGGCGATGGTTGACTGTCCCTTGGCCTTCTGGCCCTCTGCTCTTAGCTGCGAGGCTGATTTCGTCTTCCCTTCAGGCGCACAAATCCTGTGGTCGTCATAGAGGTGGTTTAGGGTATTCTGGATGCCCGTTGATGTGAAGGTCTTTGGCTTAAGAATGTTCTTGCGGATGCAAATTTTGCAAACCCACTTCCGGTCGTTGCCTTTCTGGATATCGTACTCATACTCCCAGGCCCAGGAATTAGTATCTCTAACCCTTTGAGACCACGTGAAGCCGGGGAAATGGCGCCAAAGAGATTCTTCATATTGCCGCTCTTTGGTAGTGGAATCTGGCGAGGTGGACTTAGAACGTCGTGCTGGCGAGAATGGCGTGAAAGCTGTAGAAGGCGCTGGAGACGACCTAAAATTTCCATCATCGTCAACAGCAGTGATGGCGTCAGAATCTGATAAAATACTCATCCTGAGCTAGTTACGCAATGCAATCGGTGTAACTGTTGAAATCTAGGTGGAAGTCAGAAGCAGAATTGAGGGCAGAACAGAGGCTAAAAGGAGGTGGCGTCCAGGGAAATTAGGTGATCTGCCATACGTACAAGCCACACATAGCCTTAGTTAAGGTACCTTACGGGTCGCCGTTAGGATTTATACCAATCCGCAGTTACAGTCACTAACAGTGGCTAGTAGACCCACTTTATATCAACGAAATCAACGAGATCCATCAATTTCAAGGTAATATTGAGTTGGGCAGCTTACTAATAAAGTCCTCCATTGAGTTGGTTGAGTTGGCCGTTGATCAACGAGTTGATCAACTCGTTGATTACGTTGAGTTGTTTGGGTCTCTGCTGACTGGTATCACGACCAAAAAGGTCCCCACACGAAGCAATCTCTACAAGTTTTTTCTCTTCTCTTTTAATCTCGCCCACCACTCCATCGTCAGGAAAGATTGGTTCTCAATAGCTGACATCAGCATACTCGGGTGGACTATCGGCCGAGTTACCGTAAGCTGGCGGGACACTCGGCTCAACGAGCTCTGTCAAAACAACAGGTCGTGTCATGCGTAGTGTAGTTTCAGCCCTTGGTGGCGACGTCATCCAGGGGGACTCTGGCAGCACAAAATGCTTTTCTAGGTGAAGCTCGACGAGAAGAGCGTGTGTCACTTGTGGGCCGGCACTCTCCTCACATGCATAGATAGTCTCGGAGCCAACTCGGTTGAGATTGTAGTCGAAGCCGAAGGTAATGTGAGGTTGGGATTCGTTTGTGTGTTCTTCCCATCCGTGACGAAGACTCTTCTTTCCAAGAAGCCGGGTTTCTGACTGTTGACTTGGGTCGTTATTGGCCCCCTGACTAGTCGCTGGGCTTGTCGAATGACGAGGACAGCTGGGGAGGGCGACGGAAACAGACTCTTCAAGTTTCCAAGTAACCTTGTGAAGTTTCCACACCTCAAGTCCGATGGCTAGACTTGAGGTGATGTTGTCGATGCGAAGTGAGACCGAGTTAGTTCCAGTAGGGAGGATGACACTGCTGAGACACAATGTGGCTATCATGTTGGTGGAGTTGAAGTTGTAGATATGAAATTGTTTGGTTGATTCGGCTTCAAGCATCCGCTCCACTTTGATGATCCTTTTTGAGATGATGGGTTCTTGTTCTGTGCAAATAGCCTTGGCGTATACTTCGTATTCTACTGTTGCAAGTGGCGTATCCATGGAGATGGGAAAGTGGCTGGGGATGATGAAGGATATGTCGAAGTCATGCTGCCCTTTAGGTAGTGGTGTCAGGGTGGAAATGGCGCCCTGTTGGGATATTTGGATCAAATCCTGCACACAGCTGGCGCAATTCTTTTTTCGAGGACGTTTATATCGCACATGAAGTTGTAGTGTAACATCGAGGCTTTCAACTTGTATAGCCTCTTCCGCGTTGAATAATAATCGCCCCGAGACGTAGGCATCGCTGCTACTGTTGAAATATCCGTGCAGAATAGCGGTGGGAGTTTCAAGCTCGATTTTCAGATTGGTTTGCCGACTCGGGGTTTGGTTCGGCTGCCGTGTTGATAGCAGCCGCCGAGGGTTCCAGGGAGACATTGTGATGAGGGTAAAACTGAGGATATGTGATTGATGCCGAGACATCCGAATTGATCCAAGAGCTCATTTTTAACATGAAGCTAATGACTCTTTACTAGAATGATTTATAATGTGCAACGCCGATGTTGAAGATTTGTTCGCCGTACCTGAGTCACGTTGACTCGGCGTCGGTGACAGGCGCCGAAGGCCGCAGCAACGGACTGATGAGCTTACCGTATTCAATTCTACTGCATCTGTCAAAAGTAGATTTTTGATCTTAAATGGGTATAGCATCAATTCTGTGGGATGCGTATTGCCCGTATAGCCATTTGCGGTCTCAGGTGACTCACCTCGGGCCGGGGACCAAACCGCTCTTGGCAGCGGTGACAAGGGTGAGTAATGAGGGCCTTGGTGAGAGATTTTGCACGAGAGGACTCAATTTTGAGTCTTCTAGCAGCGTCCTCGGTATGCTTCAAACACGTCACTGTTGTGGTCGAGCCAAAGTAGGTGGTAGGTATGCAGGCTTGCGTATATCTATTGCCTTGGACGTATGTGGTAAAGACAGTTTAAACGATATTGAACCAACAACACAGCATTCATAAATACTCCCACAGGTCAGATCTACCGTCACAGTTCTCTTCTACATAGCCGTCTCTCTATTCCTTGGGGCCCATGCCAAGCTCCTTGATCATCTCAGGCCAGCCTGAGTCGGTCGAAAAAGGCTCAACCTCGGACTTGCAGACCGTGTTATTCTTGGGAAGCTTGCCCTCGCTCCAGTAAGCCGCGGTAGCCTTGATAACACACTCGGAGCTTCGGCGGAGAATCGAATGCTGCCGACATTGTTAGCTTTTCACCGATAGACGGTCAAAGGGGTCACTTACGCCGGGGATGTCAAACTCGAGAAGTACGCTGCCCTCAAGGGTCCCTGTGAGGTTACGCGCTGACGCCAGGGGAGTGATGGGGTCAGCAGTCTGTCCGATAACGAGTACTGGGTTCTTCGTCTTGGCCTTGAAGTCGCCCTCGAATCGTTCCTTGGCTGGGAGCTTCCACCTGGAGCATCGCATGACTTCGTCCTCAAGAACGTCAGCGGCGAATCTGCTAGTATCCCACCGCTTGTTCAGTATGCCTTTGAGGAACGAAAAGGTTCTTTCTTCCGCGCCCTCTTCTCTCCTCTCTCCGGAAAACCAACGCCCGGATCGCATAGCGCCCAGTCCTGTTTGCGCCACCTTCTCATGTGCCACTTTAAAGAGCCACCTCCTTTTTTCCGGCCTGGTCTCTTCAGAAATAGAGACGAGGAGGGTGTTTGTTGGCACCTCATGGGAAGATGTGTCACGATGGATACCAGATTTGTCAAGACAGCGTTACAGATCTGTTGCAGGCTCAGCAGGTCTAGTATCTTGGCCTGGTCTCTTCAGATATAGAGAAGAAAGAAAGAAAGACGAGGAGGGAGAACGAACGTCTACAAGATCAGTCAATCATTCTCGGTTCTCTATGAGCCATATACCGGTATACCGTTCTCCATATTCCAAAAAATACGCGTCTCCATCTTCAGATCATCTACCCTCCATCATTGTATGAACAAGCGTGTCCGACAATTCCTGGGGCGGGCTCATGTTCCACGCAAAAACCAGACGCAAAATCTCCTCTCTGACGTTTCCATCTCCTACCACATTCCATACCCCCCTCCTCCAGCGTCACAACGTTCAGAACCCCTCGATGCAACCATTCCCACACTCAGCCATCCAGCCCGTAATTCCTACATCAAATAAGTAGGGGTAACCCTGCCTAGGTCGTTCGTATTCTCTCAATTCTCTCGAACCAGCTTCCTCTTACTGGTGACAGCACCTGATTGACGCTTTGTGAGCTCATCCCAACATCACACTGCATGAAGTTCATGAACTCTCGCTGCATAACCTCTCCCTGGGGCTGCACCTCTACAACTGGCCTCCTGAAGCCATGATATTACGGGAGGGCTACTATCTTAGCAAGGAGCTGCCTAACTTCCCGGTTAAAATGGCATCGGCAATTGATCTACAATATCTATTATCTGCATGGCTGCATATATTTATTTGGGCCTCGTAGCCGTCGATTTACATCCGGGCCGGCATCACTAACAAGTCTAGAGATAGCGATTTACCTACTTTACTCTCTTGCTCGGCGCACGTCCGCTTATACCATGTCGCAGCCGCCCAGAATCGCGATCGATGGTATCCGTGGTACGCTAGACGACTGCGCCCGTTCGCGCGCTCCGGCCGCAGATCGTAGAGGTCCGGAAACATCTCAATCAACCGTTCCATCATCGTTTACGGATCGACATGTCGCCCAGCCACGAGAAGGGCAGGCCGCTCTACAGGCTCTCCACCAGCCCAAGAAAGAGCCAATCAGAGTTCCACTTGACGATATCCGCCGTACCTGGGATGATCTCAAACGCCAGCGGGTCGAAGATCGGCGTCGTCACACGCAAGCAGTCCCATCTGACGAGGTCCGCCGGACATTGGATGACCTAGAACGCCAGCGCGCAGAGCAGCAAGGGCGTCGGACACGGAGGGTACGGCGCCAGAACACCGTCATAGTGTCTGAGGAAGAGATCGCGCGTACAATTGCAACTATCACGCAGCAACGGGTTGAGGCACGGTTACGAGAAAGAATGCGAAGAGCATATGCCAGTAGTGAGCACGACGGTCAACAGGCGCCAGAGACCCGACAAATGCAGATGCCGGCTACTTTACAGCCGATTCCCAGCCCTCCCGAGCGGCTAGGCCCGCGCGCCCCGCCTACACGAAAGCGCCCTAGGGGGCAACAACAGGGACTTCTGACGCCGCCTCCCACACAGCCAAGCCGCCCCCCGAGAAGACAACGACTGTCACAGGAGACCACACAGGAGACTACACAGGAGACTACACAGGAGACTACACAGGAGACCACACAGGAGACCACACAGGAGACCACACAGGAGACCACACAAGTCCAACGAAAGTCCCTCGAGTCCATTCTACAATACCGCGAGGCCTGCTTTCGCGAAAAATATGAGGCATCAGTAACAAGATCCTGGTGCAAGGAGGTCCCCCTCGTCCTTCAGGTAGAGACTTCGAAGTCATTCTACCAGGCGTTTACGGATGAAAAGACGTTGCCGATTTCGCATTGCGTCTTCTGCTACAGAAAGCATGCGCCTCGCGACCTCACTACCATCCAGTGGAAGAGGCAGTTGACGCCCTCCTTGCTGCAGGCCACGAAGACTCTTCAGCAGTGCGAGAAGTGCCTGCCACAGGACGACGGTGCTGGAGTTCAGGTGTGCCGCGAGTGCCGCACCGGCTTGGAAAATGGAAAGCTTCCGAAGGTCTGCTCGGTCAACAATATGGACATCGGATGTGAGCATCGGTACCCTGAAGAGCTCGATGGCCTCTCTCCTGTTGAAGAGAGGCTAATTGCTCTCCAGGCCCCTTTCGGCTACATCACAAAGTTCACCGTCGACAACAAGACCCCGTCGGGACTCAGTTACCGGAAGCATGTGAAGGGCCATATCGTCGTCTTTCCGAACAAGGTCGAGGACCTCGTCGCTACAGTTCTCCCCCACCCTCTTCTGGAAACTATCGAGAACATCCACGTCTCTTGGAGTGGTTCGAGCAAACCCAGCTCGGCAGATGTTGGTCATCTTCTCCAAGTGCGCAAGTCCCGTGTAAGGGCTGCCTTGTCGTGGCTCCAAAAGAACAACCCACTTTACGAGCACATCAGAATCAACCACGGCGAGATAGACGATTGGCGTTACGCGGAGGGCTCTAATGTTCCCACCCTCATCATGGATATGATGCAGAGGGAGGAGCCCTCGGTTGCTGAGAAGACGCAGACGGACCATATCGTCCCAGATACCGATCGAGGGTTGGAGGAGAACCGGTTCGTGAGTATTGAAGAACTCCTCACCACCTCGGCACAAACCGGCTCCGGCAACGACCCCTGCCCTCCGGATGGTACCCTGTCGATCGAACAGCACCATCCCTCGCCTCCAGATGATGCCGACGGCAACGATGAAGTCGTTTATGGGACGTCATCCTCCGGCATGTTTCCTCTTGACGGGCCAGCCGCTTTCGAGGAGGCCGATAAGCTGTCCTTCCTAGCCGACGCTCTCCAGACGAGTCAGAGTCGAGATGCCGACGACGCTGAGCCATGTACCATGCGCCTTCAGACAACAGGCGAACAGCCGTTCATCAGAGTGGAGCGCGGTGCCGACTTCGCAGATACCCTGCACGAGGACTTCTTCCCGCGGACCTTCCCAAAGCTCTTCCCGTGGGGGAGGGGTGGCCCAAAGGCCCTGGGGGAGGCGAATTCCAATCAACAAGATGCTTCAGAGCCTGCTCGGCGCCGTTCCAATCATTCGCTCAACTACTGGGCCAAGTATGTTCTGCAACGACACGGAGGCCGGTTTGCCACCCATCCCATCTTCTGTTTCTTGGTCTTCAACATCCTCCTCCGGTCCTCCAACCGCCGCATCAGCATGGTCCGTATGACAAAGGGCTCTTTTCAGGAACTTGAACGAGTCTATGGGAGCTTGACGACGGACCGCCTAAAAGCCGCCGAGAATGAGATGCGAGAGACGAGGAAGACGACTGACCCCGACATATCCTTCCTGCTCCGCGAGCTGTCCATCTTTGGCCACGCACAGCCGCTCTCCAACGAAACTAGACTCTTGATGCGGAAAAAGATACAAGCAGTGAACATTTGGACCGGTATGCCTGCCATCTGGATCACGGTCAACCCCAACGATATCAACAATCCGGTCAAGATGTGGCTCTCCATCCACAGGCTCCACGAGCATGGCACGGCAAAGGAACTCTTAGCCGATCTTCGGGGGAGGTATGACAGGATCGCCCTCAGCACCATGGACCCAGTTAGCGCCGCCATCTTCTTCCATCGAGAAATCTCGCTGTTTTTTGAAAAATACGTCAGGGCGGGCCAAGAATCGGTTTTCGGAAAGATCAGCCATTACTACGCAACAGTCGAGACGAATAACCGAGGCAGTCTACACTTGCATGGACTACTCTGGTTAGAGGGTAATATGCAGTTGCCTTCCCTGATCGATAATATGGCGACACCCGAGGAGGAAGAATACCGAGCCCAAGTGGTTCGGTATCTAGACTCGGTATTTCACGAATGTTTAGATGAAGAAGCTGGAAAAGCTGTCCGAAAGGAGAGAAAGCCAATCGATCCGGTCGAGGGAATTATGCACGACACCGAGGCTCTCACAGCGGCGTTCGACAACGAGTCTAACTACATTGCGTACTGTTGCCAGATGCACTCGCACACCTACACATGTATCAAGTATTCTCTCAAAGAACTCGTCGGAGAGGATATGCACAAGCACAAACACAAACGGACAGCTTACCGGTTCAAAGCGCCTTGGAAGATCGTCGAAGAATCCGGATTCACGGAGGACGGCTTGCTCAAGATCCGGCGAAACCACCCGCTCGTCAACCGGTATAACAAAGCAATGGCGGTCGGCCTCCGTCACAACCACGACATCTCGATGATCTTGACGAGAACCAAGGGACTCGCCATGGTATTTTACATCACGAACTACGCCACCAAACTGGACACGCCCATGTGGAAACGCCTTGTTTTCGCCGCTGATGTTCTTCGGCAGCTTCGTGAGTCTGCTTCGTGAGTCTGCGGCGCTGAGGCATCCCGAGCCGAATCTTGCTGAACAGGATGCCCAGCGCCAGGCCGTAGTGAACGAGAGTCGTCAGTTTCTGATGAGGGCCGCCAATCGGATCTTTTCCGAGAGACAGCTTTCGGCCGTGGAGATCTGTTACTTCCTGCTTGGTTATCAAACGGACTTTACTAACGTGCCGCACTGGTCCTACATCAACTTGACCGCACTCTATTGGACCATTTTCCGGCGTTGGATACATCTCCGTCGCCAGGCCAGCACACAAACTGACGCTGAAGAGCCATCAGAGACGGTACAATTTCGGGAAAGTGGCTGGACTTTACTGTACCTGGATGCCTATGCCTGCCGAGGCCCAGTTCTGGGAGACTGGTGCCTCTATGACTATATGTCTATGATTACCCTGGAGCGTCGCCATGGCCGAGATGAGGATGACACTCATATTGCGCTGGAAGGCCCTCCAGAGTGCTACGGATGGATCCAAATCCTTCGCAAACCCCCCGACTACGCGGTGCCGATCTTTCAGGGATTCATTAGCGATGACCACATGGACGAGCATCCGGTGTATTTCAAACGGTACGCTCCCCTTGCTGCCCCATTCACCTCCGAGCCATCGCTGACATTCTGTGCAGCAACTCTGTTCTCCATCTGGCCTTGTTTGTGCCATGGGAAAACTTCCTCTCCAAGACGCGCGGTGATATCACAGAAATATGGTCGAACTATGCAGCTATGCTGTGTCCCCGCCTGCGATCCCATGTCTCCAACATCTCCCTCCTCAGAAAATCGGCTGAGGATGCTCGCAGGGATGCAAAGCTCTGGGCCAGCCGGTCGGAAGGCGACGACACAGTGGATGTGGACTCTCCTCTGGATGACGGCGATTTTGGCGACGAGCCCACCTCAGCAGAACCAACCATGGCAGAGCATCACCAAACGTATACAGCTCTCCTCCAGACTCTTCGAAGTGCCGTGCGAGACTCTGACGCAACGAGAGATTCCCCAGTCCTTCAGAGCCTGATCCGGGATCTGTGCTATGAGAACCCTGTCGAAGAGGATCGGCCTTTCATCCAACGTCACGACAACTTTTACCAGCAAATTCGCCATAACCAGAATAGTCCCTTATCCCAGCTCCCTATTCCTTCTGCACAGGATCTTCAAGCTGCGGCAAAGGCACTGGACATGCTGCATCTCCGGATGCTCGATGGAATGGAGGGCGGCCTCCAAGGTGGTACAACCTCCATTGGTGACGCCGACATCGACGATCTGCTTGTTCGGCAGTGTGACACGGACATTCCCATTCCGAGACAACTGGATGACTCGGCCGTACAAAGTCCCGGAATGTTTGTTGACGTTGGCCCTACCAGAGGGTTCGGGGAGCTGGGACTTCTTGCCGCGTCTAGCTATACGCTCAACGATCTGCAGAGCATGGCACTTCAACTTGTGTGCCGGTTCTTGGACAAGTATATTGCCAATCCTGACTCGGCTGGCCAACATCTTCAGTACGTCGGAGGTCCAGGCGGTACTGGGAAGTCCAGGATCGTCGATGCCTTGCGGGACATATTCACGGCTAAAGGTCAGCAACATCACCTCCAGGTTACCGGTACATCAGGCAGTGCTGCTGCCCAGATCGGCGGCACGACACTCCACTCGGCCTTGGGACTAGACACCCACCGTTCTCACAACAAACAAAAGCCTCCGATGTTCTCGGAAGCGAAGAAATGGATGTGGAAGCAGAAACTGGTCCTCGTAGTCGACGAAGTGAGCATGCTCGGGGGAGCCACTCTATTCAACGCCAGCTGCCACCTCCAGGCTCTCCTTGACTGTGCCGATAAGCCATTTGGAGGCATTCCCGTTGTTCTCTTGATGGGTGATTTCTATCAGTTCGCCCCTGTGCTCGAGACAAGTCTCCTGGTGGACCGGATGGTGGATCTCGCTTACACGGCGTTCTTGGGACAAGCGACCATCGCTCACCACCGTGGCCACAGTCTGTGGCTGTTGTTCAAGACAGTTATCCTCCTTGAAGAGCAAGTCCGCGCGCGAGACGATCCTCAGCTAGGCGCCCTTTTGGACAGAGTACGGGCTGGAACCCAGACCGTGGAGGACCTTGACCTACTCAACACCAAGCTCGTGGACCGCTCCCAAATCACCTTCAAGGATGGCTTGCGCGCCATAACACCGCTCAACCGCAACCGATGGAGCCTCAACATGGAAGCCGTGGTAGACTGGGCCCGCTTTCACAGGAGACATATCTCGGTCTTCGTCTCAACCCACACCTGGCGCAGTCGAGCCTTATCCCAGCAGGAGGTGGCCCAGACCATGGAACAAGGCGACAACTCCAACTGTAAGATCCCTGGAGTCTTCTTCTACGCCCAGGGGATGCCTGTAGTGGTCAACAAAAATACATACACCGGCTTAAAAGTTGTGAATGGGGCAGAGTTTGCGGCTGCGGACATCATTCCCGATCCGAAATCCCCGGGCTACCATCTTGCGGACGACGTTACCATCCATTTTGGTCCGCCACTGGGCATCTTGTTAGAGTCGCAAGAAACAAAGGATTTAGCGATCCCAGCCCTCCCAACCGGCACCGTGCTCATCCGGCCTACCACGCATACCCTAGATCCAGCCAACTCACACTACAAGTTCCTATCCGGGAAATGCGCTCGGCGAGGGCTGCCAGTTGTCCCAGCCTTTGTCCTCACTGACTATAAATCCCAGGGCAAGACGTTTGAGGACGTGCTCTTGGAGCTGCGAGGAAACCGTATGATGAATGGTCAGCCTTCGAAATGCGACTTTACCAGCCTCTATGTACAACTATCCAGGTGCAGAACACTACAAGGCATCAAGCTTCTTAGTCCCGTACGGCCGCAGGATTTCATCGGGAATAAGCCAGACCAAGGCATAATTGATGCCATGCAGAGGTTGACGGATCTAGCAGCAGAAACAAGACGATTATTTGAAAGTCAGCAAATCCTCGTGTAGGACAGCGCTAGATACAAAGACAACTTATTCCGAACCCAGAAGGCCCTACATCTCATAAGGCGACCTCACCGCTCGCCAATCATCCGGATCGTTGTCGCCTCCGGTTCCCGGCCGTAACTTCTTCTGCTCTTTGCAGTAGTCTTTCCACCACTGCTCAAATGCTTGTCTATTATACATATGTGCCGGTGCACCTTCTCCCTCTCCAAAGAGATCCAAAATGTGATCGCAATACATCCCCACGCCTTCCAGATGCTGCGGTCGCAACGGCTTCTGATCCTTTCGCGCCACCAGCACCGTGCCGACGTAGGACTGCCAGCTCGGGGGCGCAAACCCGGATTCATGGTCGATGTTGAGATATGTGACCATTTGATTGTCGAGATCGGCCCGGTTTGCAGAATGAGTGCCGACCCGGTGGAAGACTAATGGAACCTCGATGAGTCTTGGGATAGGAGGCACAAAATTCGAGAAGATGGGGTGATCCGCCTCGATCATTGTCACAGACCAAGGCGCGAATCTGGTTCTCTCAACATCGCACCGGACAATGATGGCTTGGATGGGTCCTGGGGTGCTGCTTGTGACTGGCGCTGCTACGGCCGGTACACCTGATTGTGGGGCTGTTGGCATGGGAGCTCGGGGGGTAGGGACTGACGGAGGGGATGTTTCTGGCTCTGAATCCGTGTCCAGGTTATCCCATTTCGAGTAGTCAATAGCCATGGCGAATAATTTAATGCAATTTAATGCTATTCCCTGAGGAATACGTAGATTAAATCGAAAAGGTAAAGGAACACATACACGAAACAGCAATGCTGTCGAAAGCGGGGTTTGAGTAGCAAGCGCCTGTGCGCCGCGTTTAAAAGCGCGAATGGCGAGAGGCAGATCACACGCAGATCACACGCAGACGCCACCAACCCCTTGATCCAATCCACCAATCCCTGTAACCACAACACAGGCGGCTTCTCAAGGGCTCGGCTCGTTCCGAAAAGGCATTGGCGGACCCCATAGGGGACCGGTCTCCTGTGCCTTTTGCCTTTCGGAACGAAGAGGAGAAAGGTTCTTTCTTCCGCGCCCTCCTTCGTAAACTCGGGCCGCTAAACGATCCGTGCGAGCTGCTCCACAGATCCTCCCCTTTCTCCACCACAACCCATGCGCCATCTTTGGGGGTTGAGCCACAATTTGTGCCACCACGCGAGCCGAGCCGCTGCCTGCCAGAGCTGAGACTGCTATGTGTTTTGATCCTTCGGATAACGTACATGATAAGCGAGTCGGAAATACAAGCAAGTCGGAAATTATACTGTACAGCTAAAAGTACAAATATTAGATTTTCTAAAACTAGCTATATAATTAATAAAAACTAAAAAAAAATTACTTTTAGACTTCTTAAGAAAAAAGTCATACAATAATTTTTTTTTAGATTTTTTAAAAAAACTATTAAGCTAATTAATATTAAAAGTTTTAAAAAAAACAGTGCGAATATGCTTTTTCTTAATAACTATTTAAAAATATATATATAAAATTTAGAAAATTTTTTATATATAAGGACTTACCTAATAGAGCTAGTCTAAGATTTATAGCTATTTTAGGCTAAGCTTGAATTTTTAAGAATTATTTTAAAATCGCGATTTAAGGTATAAATTCTAATTTCCGACTCGCTTGTATTTCCGACTCGCTTATCATGTACGTTAGTCTCTATCCGGCTCGGATAGGTCCTATCCGTGTGACACTATGAATTGAATGAGCGGCCTGATCTACCTGATCTTGACGGGCCACGCTTTGCGCAGTTGCCAGCTCCAGGAAAAACTGTTGCTGTGATAGAACGAGTGTCAGACAATTGGCTCCACAGGGATCATTGGTGGCACCAGTCAATTGATGAGAATTATCTATCGAACAAAGGAAATTGAAAAATTGAACAGCCATGTGTTCGGGCACAGCTATTTAATATTTAAGTTCATGTCGTTAGGATTGGAATCCTTGATACGACAAACCGGATGTGAAACCGGATACACGACACCAAAGTACGGGCCGCGTTTCATATCCAGTCGCACGAACCTAGTGGTGATACGCGACAACGAGCTACAGCAGTGCATTGACCCTTCCCTCGTGCTCTCTTGGTCTCTCAAGACCAGTTTCTTCGACGATGGACACGTTTACTTCTCCCATTTGGCCCCCTATCGGTCCGGCATGGCGCCATATTCTCTGCCTATTCTTTTTCGCTCTTCACAGAAGCAGATCCTGCTGTTCCCGCTTACACCATGCCTCGACCAGAGCCAGTGAAGGTTCCGCTTGAAGAGATTCGCCGAACGCTGGAAGATCTAGACCGCCAACGCGCTCGAGACCGAGCTCAGCGGGGCTTCAAAGCCACCCAGCCACGAAACCGGCCGGGCGGAGCCTTCGTTGACGAGACTGCCATACAGGCTCTCCGAAAATCCCCACAGGAGCCGGTTAGAGTCCCTCTTGACGAGATTCGCCGTACGTTAAGCGACCTGGACCGCCATCATGCCGAAGAAAGAGCCCGTCGGAGAGAAGAACGTCTTCCACAGGAAGCCTCTGTCCCACGGGTCCGAGGCGGGAAGTTTATGTTACCTCCGGAGGAGATCGCCCGCACGATGAATGACCTAGACCGTCAGCATGCCGAAGAAACAACTCGCCGAAGGCGAATAGCTCGGTCCCGGGAGGTCATGGAATCAGATCTCCGAAATGGGAAGCTCAGAGTACCCCTTGAGGAGGTTAACCGTACAATCGACGGTTTGGATCGCCGGCATACCGAACGCACAGCCCATCGGAGAGATGGGGGTCGCCAGCAAGAAGCATCGAAGCCACAGACCCAGGGCGAGAAGGTCATGGGACCCCTCGAGGAGATCACCTGTACGTTGGCTGATCTAGATCGGCAGCATACCGAAGAAAGTATCCATCGGAGGCAAGGAGAGCGTCCACAAGAGGCCGTGGAGTCGCAGCTCCGAGACGGCAGGCTTGGACTACCAGTTGAGGAGATCACACGTACATCGAAGAACCTAGACCGCCAGCATGCAGAAGAAACACTTCATCGGACGCAAGGCACTGTCCGACAGGGGAAGATCTTATTACCTCCCGAAGAGATCGCTCGTACATTGGATGAGCTGAACCGGCGGTACTCCGGAGGAACGGCCCGTCCCCGCACGTGTGATGATCTGGACCGCCAAAGGGCGAGAGATACCGAGCTGGTACAAGGGCCAAGCACCCCCGAACCGACCTTCCGTCCTCCGCAGACGCCGCCTTCCCGTAAGCGCCATCGAACACAACAAGAAGGCCTTCTGACTCCACCGCCCTCGGGGCCAAGCCGCTCCCGGAAAAGGCCTAGGCTGCTGGACGAGACCGTCCAACTCCAGCAGCAACCCCTCGATGAATTTCTACAATACCGAGAGTCGTGCTTCCACGCTAAGAGGGACGCATCATTATCAAGATCCTGGTGCAAAGAAGTCCCCCTCGCCCTTCAAGTTGAGACTTCGAAGTCGTTCTATGAGGCCTTCACCGACGAGAGGACGTTACCCATTTCCCACTGCACTTTTTGCTACAGAAAATGCCCGCCAGCCAACATTACTACCATCCATTGGAGGACGTACTTGACCCCCGCGTTGCTGCAGGCTACGACGGCTCTTCAGAAATGCAAAAAGTGTCTCCCACAGGGCGGTGACATGGGGGTCGATATTTGCCTCGAGTGCCGCGGCGTTTTCGAAAACGGAAAGCTGCCGAAGGCATGTTCGGTCAACAACATGGACATCGGGTGTGAGCATCGTTATCCTCGTGAACTCGATGGCCTCTCTCCTGTCGAGGAGAGACTGATCGCTCTTCAGGCCCCTTTCGGCTATATCACGAAGTTCACTGTTGATAACAAAACGCCGTCTGGTGTCAGTTACAGGAAACACGTGAAGGGTCACATTGTCGTATTTCCGAACAATGTAGATGACCTAGTTGCCACGGTGCTCCCTCACCCGCTTCTTCAGACAATCGAGAACATCCACGTGTCTTGGAGCGGGGCCAACAGACCCAGCCCGGCGGAAGTGGGGACGCTTCTTCAGGTGCGCAAGTCTCGAGTAACCGCAGCCCTCTTGTGGCTACAGAGGAACAATCCCCTTTACAGGGACATCGAAATCAACCTGGATGAAATACAGGGCTGGCAGTACGCGGAGGGCTCGACAGTTCCCACCGCTCTCATGGAGCGGATGCAGAGGGAGGAACCCTCGGCGGTGGAAAAGACACACACTGACCCAATCGTCCCGAATACCGATCGCGGATTAGAGGAGAACCGTTTCACAAGCATTGAAGACCTCCTCACCTCGCTACAACCAGACCCAAGCGACGACACCCCTATCTCAGTTGCCAATGCGTCGATGGAACAGCCTCACCCACCACCTGAGGATGCCCATATGTCTGCTCCTGACCCAGAGAGTCTCGACCGTGACGGTGATATCCTATACGAGACGTCAACGTCCGGCATGTTTCCTCTGGATGGGCCAGCCGCATTCGCTGAGGCTGATAAGCTATCCTTCCTAGCTGAGGCTATCCAGCCGAGTCATACTGGACACGGCAATGATGTTGAACCTTCCGCTATGGCTGTCCACGCAGCAGGAGACCAACCGTTCATCCGAGTCGAGCGGGGTGCGGATTTCGCGGACAACCTGCACGAGGACTTCTTTCCACGGACCTTTCCTAAGCTTTTCCCGTGGGGGAGGGGGGGCCCCAAGGCGCTGAGCGAGCCGGACGGCAATTTACATGACGCTTCGGAGCCAGCAAGGCGCAGTGGAAATCACTCGCTCAACTATTGGGCCAAATATGTGTTGCAACGCCATGGGGGCCGATTTGCTACGCATCCAGTGTTTTGTTTCTTGGTTTTCAATCTCCTCCTCCGATCCACGAACCGCCGTATCAGCATGGTCCGCATGACGAGGGGCTCTTTCGACAGATTGGAACGGGTCTATGGAAGCCTGACGGCGGACCGCCTAAAAATAGCCGAGGAGGAGATGCGAGAGACAAGGACCACGACAGATCCGGACATATCGTTCTTGCTTCGCGAATTGTCCATCTTTGGCCACGCACAGCCGCTGTCCAACGAAACTCGACTCTTGATGCGGAGGAAGATACAAGCAGTGAACATCTGGACCGGTATGCCTGCCATCTGGATCACGGTCAACCCCAACGATATCAACAATCCGGTCAAGATGTGGCTCTCCATCCACAGGCTCCACGACTACGACACGGCAAAGGAACTGCTAGCCGATCTCCGGGGAAGGTATGACAGGATCGCCCTCAGCACCATGGACCCAGTTAGCGCCGCCATCTTCTTCCACCGAGAAATCTCTCTGTTCTTTGAGAAATACGTCAGGGCTGGCCAAGAATCGATTTTCGGAAAGATTAGCCATTATTACGCCACGGTGGAGACGAATGACCGAGGTAGTCTGCACTTACATGGACTACTCTGGCTGGAAGGTAATATGAGGTTGCCATCCTTGATCGATGAGATGGCGAACCCCGAGGAAGAAGAATACCGTGGTCAGGTGGTTCGGTATCTAGACTCGGTATTTCACGAATGTTTAGATGAGGAAGCCGGGAAAGCTATCAGAAAGGAGAGAAAGCCAATTAACCCGGTCGAGGAAATAATGCACGACACCGAGGCTCTCGCAGCGGCGTTCGACAACGAGTCCAACTACATTGCGTACTGTTGCCAGGTGCACTCGCACACCTACACCTGTATCAAGTATTCTCTAAAAAGACTCGTCGGAGAGGGTGCAGATAAGCACAAAAAACGGACAGCTTGTCGGTTCAAAGCGCCTTGGAGGATCGTCGAGGACACCGGATTCACGGAGGACGGCCTGCTCAAGATCCGGCGGAACCACCCGCTCGTCAACCGGTATAACAAAGCAATGGCAGTCGGCCTCCGCCACAACCACGACATCTCGATGATCTTGACGAGAACCAAGGGACTCGCCATGGTATTCTACATCACGAACTACGCCACCAAATTGGACACGCCGATGTGGAAACGCCTTGTCTTCGCCGCTGATGTTCTTCGACAGCTTCGTGAATCGGCAGCGCTGAGGCATCCCGAGCCGAATCTTGCTGAGCAGGATGCCCAGCGCCAGGCCGTAGTGAACGAGAGCCGTCAGTTTCTGATGAGGGCCGCCAATCGAATCTTTTCCGAGAGACAGCTTTCGGCCGTGGAGGTCTGCTACTTCCTGCTTGGCTATCAAACGGACTTTACTAACGTGCCGCAATGGTCCTACATAAACTTGACCGCACTCTATTGGACTATTTTCCGGCGTTGGATACACCTCCGTCGCCAGGCCAGCACACAAACAGATGCCGAAGAGCCATCAGAGACGGTACAATTTCGGGAAAGTGGTCGGACTTTATTGTACCTAGATGCATACGCCTACCGAGGTCAAGTTCTGAGAGACGTGTGCCTCTAAAATACTTCGAACACCCGTTAAGTTGCCAAGGCAAGGGACTTAACGGCTGAATATCCAGCCCGAAGGGTAAATACCGTATACCCGCTATTAAACTCTTCTGGGGGAACCCCCTAGATCCCCTTTTCGTCTGCGGCGATAACCAGCTGTTTAAACCACTTCAAACCTGTGGTAGGGAGTTGACTGATAGACATAGGGGTCCCTCTACCACTTCCTGCCAGGCCCAATCAACTATATACCGTATATCGAGTTCCCCTTTCCCTGTAGCTTATAGGAAAACGTCATTTAGTCAATGTACCGTGGTGGATACGGCGGATCGATCAGCTGTTGAGCCTGACGACGTTGTTGGTCAGCAAGGCGCATCTTCATCCCTGCTTTGTAGTTAGCCATAATCGCAGTACGTAGGAAACGCAGGCGTATAAACCTTCCGTGGGCGTGTGGTTATAGAGGCTGTGACGATCGAAAGGCGCCTCAAGCAGTAGGCCTTTCAGCGAGGTAACTCGTGAGACAGCAACATAACTAATACCGGCCTGGAAGTCGCGTGTAGCGAGGTCAGTAACTATCTGATCCTTCGTTAGGCTCTGGCACTTGTGAACAGTGATAGCAAATGCCACGATCAGGGGAAACTGCTTGCGAGCGCAAGTCTCGTTGCCCACTAGGAAATCACGCGTGACTAGAAGGATGGGTACGATTTTCCTGCCCTCGTTAGTTGTTAGATACGGCGGTCCATCGTAGCTATCGAAATCCACCATAATAACGGCCGGAGGGTCTTCCCATGGTTTGGCGCCTTCATTCCAGGCGATATCGTATACAGTACCCTGGGCGCCATTCACTAGGCCAGCTAGCTGCCATAAATTAGTCGTGAGCATTACCCTGGCGCCCTTAGCAACAGGAAACTTGTTGGATAGATTGCCAGCATGGTCGCTTGGCGCCTGCCCCGCGCCGTTGCCCTGGTTCTTTGCCTCCACCTGTATTGCCGGGGCGTTGAGGTGCATCATATGCTCGTAATTGTATTCGTTGACGCGGGCCTTCGTAGAATACACCCGCATAGCGGCCCTGAATCTGTCAACCTCGCTCTGCGTTAGCTTGGCCTGTACCCGATTGCTAAGGAGGTCCCAGGACGGTATAGATAACTTAACTTCACGCAGTTCTTGCAAGGCCTGACGGAACCGGGCCTGATCATCGCCAGTCTGTCGTTGTACCGTGGTCAGAAAGACGGTGCGGTCAAATAACCGGTAGGCCGCCTGTCCTCTCCTTTCCAACGAAGAGAGGCTAGTGCTAGTCGAATACAGGGGCTTTTGCCGGACTGGTGGTAACTGGAAGAAATCGCCCACAAGCAAGACGCTCACACCACCAAAGAACTCGAGGCTACGCTGTGGAAAGGCCTGCCGCAGGCGGGAATCGATCCGCGCCAGCTGCTCAAGCCCTAGCATGCTCTTTTCATCAATAACGAGGTATCTAACGTGCCGTAGGCGGGACTAAAGGGCGGCTGCGTCGGCTGGAGGAAGGTCGGCAAAAGCACCACCTACTGGGAGGCGTAGCAAGGAATGTATGGTGCTGCCCTGTATCTGGTTACTCGCAACGCCTGTTGGGGCTACGCGGCAAATAGGGCTAGGATTCGGTAGGGCAGCCGCCTAAAGATAGGAGGAAAGTACCTTGATAAGGAAGGACTTGCCTGTACCACCACCACCGTCAACGTGGAGAAGGATTTGAGCAGGATTTTGCACGTGGAAGTGGCCCATGAAGGTGTCGTACACTAGCCGTTGTTATGAGTTAAGCTAGTCACGCCAGTGAGGGCCAAGGACCTCCACATCGTTGGCTATAGGGTGGCTAGCGATAAGGTCTTTCCAGTGGCTATCTCGAAATTCCGGATAAGTGCCCACATGCCGTGTCCAGTCGTAATTAACGTCGATATTGCGGCGGCCAAGTAGGTCAAGACCTTCCTGGGTAAGGGGGTTATCAGGTAAAAGGGCGGCGAGGCAGATCCAGTCTTCGTCATCAAATTCCTCCTCCACAGGCAGAGTCTCGTACTGATCTTCTTGGGGTTATAATCGAGCCTCTTTTGGCCGGCCGTAATGGTCATCACCATGGCTGTGGTGCTGCCAACAATAGGAGAAGGCCTTAGCGTGAGAATTAAAACGCTAGCCGTCAAATGTGAGGAGCTCATCAAACCGGCGATATGGGTAGTTCAATGTTAGCTTTACGCGGCAGTAATCTAGCCACTATTGACCTTCTGGATCAGCCTGATAACGAGGAAAGTAGACTAATACACGAGGCCTGCCGTTAACGTTGCCCGGCTGCCATTGCTTCCACATGGAAGGGTTCCTAGAGCGGAAGTTCCAGTATTTGAGAAATGAAACATATGTCAGATCCTCTAGGTCTTCTGGGCGTTGACGGTACTTTTCGTAGACGTTGGGGGCCTCGTCAACCTCATCGCCGTCGATCCGTAGGGAGCGGGAATGCCTATCAGGATTACGGCAGTCAACGTGTAGGCAGGTTCGTGAGCCCTCCTGTAACGGCAGGCCGAGGAGCAAGTGGCTAACCTCCTGCTTCGAGTAGTCTCGCTCAGCAACTAGCTGATTTAGGAGCTTTGACGTGAAGGAAATCAGGGGGTTATGGTCCTTGACCCGGGGCATCAGGGCCTTCCCAATCTGAGCAAACGACTCGCTCTTCTTTTCCGACTTAGAGCAGTATTTGGCTGCGTAATCGATCACCTGCTATAGGCTCGTGCAGGGCGAGACATCTGTATTGGCTAGCCACGCAACGGTAAGCAAGCGGTTATAGTGATTAATCTAGCTATCGTTGCGCTCGCCCCTGAAGCTCCAGTGCTTAGAATAAGGAACCTTATCAAGGGAGGCTAGTAGGCGCTACGCGTAAGGAAATCCAAAGCGGCACTCTACCTGCTTAGTATGCTTATTGAGCTACATACAGTAGTTATTGCAGCGGTGGCGTTGCACGCGGTTGACTACCATTGATAGGAACTAAACGGTGAGGGGATAATCCAATAGATTACTAATCAGGGGATTCCCTTCCCCAGGCGCCTATATCCGCCGAGGCTCTAGGTTAACAGCAGATACGTGATATCCCCAGATTCGGGCGAATCGCTCCCGGGACTAACCATTATCAGGATCTAAGTCTAGGTGACCACTTAGCCAATATAGGCCATAGTAGTAACTAGAACCCCTGCCCTGCCACTCATAGCGACCCCAAAAGTCCGTTAGGTTAAACTTCTGCTTCAGGACAAGGGTCCTAAACAGCGTATAACGCTTATGGAAGTAGTAAGCGGCAATGTGGGCGTTGTCTCTCAGTAATTGCCGGGACAGGGCCATCCGCGCCGCCTCAGGAGCTGCTTTCCACTCTTGAAATCGAGGCATATGACGATAAAGGGACTCCCAGTGGTAATCAGCCGCACTTACTGTAACGAAAAGGCCAGGCCTGCCTAGATTGTAGGCATATGCCTCCAATTCCTTCCTTTGCTTATACCAATATGGCCGGGTGCCCCTGATTACGGCGGCTTAGCGCGTGATCGACTGGATCAGGGCCTGAGCCTCTGGCTCGTCAGGCTTAGCCATCGCTTCCTCTATGTCAGCGCGCGTAAGGGGTTGACGGCGGCCTTCGTATTGCTTAACTAAGTAGTTGCTTCGCTTTCTGACCTGCGCACGTAACAGCGTATTGAGGGCGACGAAAGGCCACGTCTTATAGCGGGCAAAACGTCCGTCTTGCCATCTCATCGCATGGGCAAGGTAGTCCTGGTACGTGATGCTCCGTAGGCGAGGCTCCACGAAGTCCGCCTTGCCGTCAGGGTAGAGAGTAGGGAACGCAAGCGTTAACAGCGGCTGGGAACGGTTGAATTCGTTGATAGGAGTCCTGCGAATGGAAGGTAGTGGCATCTGGTGTTAAGCCTGCGCGCTAGGCGGCATATGCTCAAGATCGGCCATACGCTCGGGGTCGGGGGTACCATAAAGGAATCGGGACTGCAGGGCGTTTAATTCGGTATCGGTAACCTACAAATTCGGGATCGCCGATGCGTCTGCATCGCTAGGATCCTCTTCTACAGCCTCCTCAACGGGGCCTTAGGGGACCTCGCCGTCAGGTATGTCAGCCACTTGGCAAGCGATAGAAGCAACTATGCTGCCGTCAAGAGGAAGCCGTTGCAAGCGATCCTGCCTCACGACGATATCGCGATAGCCCGGGTGGTGGCGCTATAGGTAATGCAGCCAGGCCAGCAGACATGAGCGGCGTACCCGGAAATCGCGAGCGAACTGCTGCTGCAAGCGAGGGTCGCCCTCCATATCAGGAGGCCGCAGGAGTACGATGTCTAGCTCTTCAGGTAGGACTAGGAGCTCTTCAAATAGCCTACCAACATTGCGAAGGAAGTGGACAACGTGACCGCGGTATTTATATTGAGCACCACGTACCTATAGGACCTTCACGTATACGTGAACCCTAGCAATCAGCATCTCCTCAACCATTGTTAGGCCAGGTAGATTACCGGGGACTTCCCCGAAGTCAAGGTTATTCGCAGCGCTAAAGAAGTAGGGCTCGTTAGGGGTTCTCTCCCTGTCTCGACTAATGCAGCGGCTGCAGATTTTCAAGCTATTTCTCTTCATATCGAACCAATGCTCCCGGCAGCGAATGCAGCTATGCATCTGGTCGTCATTCAGGGCAGTATAGAACTCCCGCACAAGGGCCTGATCTTCCTCACTAAGGGCAGGCAAGTTAAGGTCCCCTGTAAAAGGTGGATCAACTATCTGATCAAACTGTCGCTCTTCAGCATGTGCGCTTTGACGTGTATAGCGGCCGCGACGATGACCCTGTGGCAATAATGAAGGAGTGGTAGGGAACGATTCCTGTGGTATAGGCGTTCCTAGCACAACAGGAGGCGTTGGAAGAGTGCCTTGAGGAATTGGCGTTTGAGGAATCGGCGTGCCCAGAACTACTGTTGGCAGGCAAAGGGTAGGAGGGATAGGGGAAGGTCCCTCTACCGCGCTTGGGGTAGATGGCCCCAGCAGAGGTCTAGGCGGTCCCTGGAGAGCGGGCGCCAGGCCACGGAATAAAGCAGGTGCGGCAGGAGGTTGTAAGCCGTGCACAGACGCAGGCGTTGGCGCAGCCCGCCTTGGAGGCGTCAGGTTAGCTAGAGAATCGGTCCTTTTCGTGGCTCGGCGTGGCGATAGCCTTGAGGCGATATTCCGCATGGCGGCAACGGCGGCTCGGGATCCGGTTTCCCGTTCCCTTCGGCGTGCCCTACAGCTAGCACACTCTCCTGTAAGCTTCGCAGGGTCCTTGACGCTTCGAAATTCGACTTCGGGCAGGTCTTGCTTGCAGGTACGGCAGTTCCGAACCGCCTGGGGTATATCGTCCTCCATCTGACCGTATATATATCCACCTCATACCCACCTAGACTGCTAGATATCACTCGGGCAGAGAGGCTTTGCGACGGCTTACGTCCAATACCATGATAGATCTCGATAGAGAGGTTGTCTTTGAGGTAGTTAGATCAGGTCTGAATGATCAGGGAGGAAACTGCACTGCTTCCCGGAGGCGGGATAACCGAGGAATCTTGAGAGGTAGGCCGGCTGCGGAGGTAATATGTGAACCTAGATACCGTTAGCAACCTGATGGGTTTGATTTGATAGATTCGACGGAAAGGGAAGCAGCCGCCACGTAGGTTAGTGTAAGGAGCAAGGGGCACGGGGCTTATTCAGTCAGAATCGTGCTTAGAAACCCAACATATTGATTGCATTGAAGAAAAGAAGAACCTGAAAGCTCTTGGAGAGCTTGCCAAGCTAGTTACCTTGTCAACGCTCAGGGGTTTGTGGGCCTTCATTTTGGTGGCCGACCAATTCGTGCACGAGTTGAGCACAGGCCAGGCCAATTGGCCAATCAGAAGAGGTTTTATGGTCTTCTTTCTGACTGAGTAATAGGAGAGGCAACCCGACCACGGGTTGCGCAAAGGCCTTGAGGAACGAAGATGGCTATACGGAAAAGCCAAGTGCGAATCTTGGTTTTGAGTGGTGTTGGCCATAAATATACACGCGGGGAGACCTGAACCCTCTCAGGGGTAATCCCGGCAGCGTCCTCGAGGTAGTGTAGGAAGTAAGGGGTCATGAAAATACAAAAGAGTGAAAACGTCATGCAATGGAGACGCAATCTTGCATCTGCAGAATCATGCATCTAGCATACAAATGATGGAAAACATGCTCTGTAAGGTATATGTGGGAAAAGACGGAAGGCATCAAGATGTATGGGCGATGCCGGGCCGTGGGCTATTGTGGGGAAGGAGCATCAAAGGCCGGATTAGAAAATTCACAAGAAGGTCTGCATGCCCAAGGATGGGTAATGTGGGCGAGGAGGGATATTAATGGTCGCCACTGCTGGATAGACAACAGCTATCTCAGTCAATTTATTGCTATACGAAGTGACTAATTATTGCTAGGCTAAGGGGATTTTTCCAATAGGTTCTTAGACAATTTCCTGATACTTCTTTGGGGGATGACGGTTACGATGTAGTCGGGGCAGATCAGGCGAGAACGCTGTGATTGAATCGGACGCAGGCGCATCTAGACGACAGGTAGTAGCAATATCTGCCTCCGATACATCAAGTTCATCTTATGAGAAAGCCGAAATCGCGGGGGATCCAACAGGCTCCTTGCTCTAAGAAGATAGAATAGTGCTAGAAGAGGCCGGGGACAGACGTCGTTTCTTCGTAGGGGTCTAGCCGTAGTTAGGGTTTATTCGCTTAGCCGGTGGTGTAGTCGGTTCAAGCGAAGCAGAGGTGGGAGGAGTAGACGGGATAGGAGGAGATCGGTGAACTATTGGTTTTAGTGGCGAGGCAAACATAGCTTTCGCATCCCCAAAGGCCATAGGGCCGGAGGATAGTTACTTCGGTGGGGTAGAGAGTGATAGGGCTACGGAAGCCGACTTAGACGTGGCCCTGTCGAGAAAGGTCCAGGTATCTAGCACGACGATAAAAACGTAGTCGCGGTCAAAGCCGGGCGGGTGCACCATGATATTATGGTCGAGCAGGCCGACAACTTTGCCCGTGCAAGTGAAAAGCGCGTTAGTCTGGAACTGGGTGTCCTGTCTCTCGACCATTTTCTTGCACAGGGCTGCCCAAGGATTAGCGTGGATGGGGAAGATGACAAAGACCTGGAATAGATGGAAGCCTTTGAAGGGAGTCTTGTCAGGCTTTCTAGGAGCAATGAACGTAGAAAGTTGGACGAAGCCACAGCACTTTAACTGGACGCCGTCGAGTCCTGGAATAGACTCCTTTCGTAGTAATGTGCGGCCGGAACCGACAACAGGGCCAGTGAACGCGACAACGGGAGGGACAGCGGGGAAGTGGTCTACAGAGGCAAAGTTTCGGGGGAGAATGCTTTAGCTCGAGTCAGGGCGGGATGCCAAGGTCAGTTGTATGCAGCATGCTTACGGCTGGTAGCCCTGATCACGGATAATAAGAGCCGGAATGGTGTATTATGTGATGGCGCCAGTATCTGACTCTGGACCATCTCGCTGTTCAATCTCCCAGGTCAGGGTGTACGGGTGAACACGACCGTTCATGAAGAACCATTGCTCGGTCCATTCTGATGCAATGACTTATTTATTATAGATAGAAAGGTTGGTGCTGAAGAAGATGCAGGCGGAGGGGTTACCGGGGTCCGACCGAAGTTGCGCATACTCGGGGGTCAGAATCCAGGGTGGGGCAGGTAGGAAGACCCTCGCCAATGCCTCTGCGTTGAGCCCGTTAATGCGATGCTGGTCCTGATAGGCAAACTTGGACGGGCAATCTGGCTGGACGAAAAGCATCACGGACATATCACTGCCCGCGTTTGTCTGGCTCTCGAGAGGTTTACGCGGGTTCGAGGGGCTATTAGGGAAGGGAGCGGGAGGAGGCATAATACACTGGAGCAGTGGCTATCGGAAACGAGCCAAGAATACCCGAGACGAACGTTGGAGGCAATAGGACGGTAGATACCGCGGTAGGGAACGGCAGAATAGGAAGTAAGAGAGGTAACGATGGCTTGGTTTCTATATGGATACAGGTAGACGCAGTGGTAGTTCTCGCGGGCCGCAGTATCTGGGGTGCGGGGTTCGGCAGATCAGAGCCCAGACAACGGTCCGGGAAAGCTTCAGGTTTCAAATAGATAAAGAATGCGGGGTTTGGATCATGAGCAAGGTCGATCTGGAAGCAGAGACGTCATCGAAAGTGATGTAAGTCAAATGTCAGAAATGAGATATGACTGTAGGGGATGGAGTAGTGTCTTTTTCTGTGAAGCTTGCGAATGGAGGCGAAGTGCCGATATGGAATCAGCTGATATCGGGGTAGCAACGGTTTCAGCTTAAGTGTGGCACCAACTTGAAGGATAGGAGTTGCGGCGGCACAAAGGGCAACGTCGGCAGTTGAGCAAGAGTCTAGGTTGTAGGCATACAGGAAGGGTTATAGGTGGTTAAGGGGACTATTGACGGACCGCTCGGATACTGCAGGAAGCAATGCCGTATTAAGGAGCATAATCATCATCATCCCAGAAGCGAAATCATGCAACTAAAGAGGGCCCGACGCGGAAATCTTGTGATCTACCGTCCGCCTAGAATCATAGTCATGGCTGATTCTATCCCTTCAACGAAGATTTGCAGGAACTGCAAACAGGAGAAGCCGGCAGATCAATTCATTTCGAAGACAAAGTCTTCCCTAACATGTGGAAGACTTACGGCTAACTGTCTCGGCTATAGGAATCGGCAAGCCTCACGCGCCTCTAAGCGCACTGCAGAACAAGCTGAATTATCCCCAATAGGTCGAGAAGGATTGCCATTGATAGACTTACAATTACATACACCAGTTAACTCACCAGTAGCGAAGCCACATAGGGCGGTTAACGATCCCCCGCTTTTTCGCCGGAATGAGGCACCCACGGTTCGGATTACTCAGCCCAAGCAATCAATATCTAAAGACATTAGACGAAGCGAGCTAGCAGCAGCAATTACACGGGGTTTGCCCAAGAGACGTCGGGGACGGTATCGGCGGCCGAAAGCAAGACCAGACACTAGCCGAGACGAGCCTCCAAGGAAACAAATCCGAGCTGGAACCCGAAAGCAGAGAAGACGAGAGTTACAGGCCGAAGACCTAGCGAGCGCGTTGCGCTTCTTGGAGGACGAATTTGCCGCCAAGGAGGGTTTGTCCAAAGAGCAGACGTAGTATACGCCAATACCACATGAGAGAAAGGTATCGACCGTGCGAGCCTTCTACAAGGAGTTTCACGATGTAGACACTTTGCTAATACGGACTTGCATGCTGTGCTACCGTAAGCGCACGAAAAAAGAGTTAAGAGATATGACATAGGACCAATGGATATCGAGCTGCGTCGAAAAGGACAACCGTTCGCCATTTTCATGTCGGAGCTGCTTTCCCGTGGGCGAGACCTTCTCGGCATATGGAGAGTGCGGTCGTTGCTTGAGGCGGGGTGTTCTGTCGCCTGCGGCCCAGCTTCACAGACGTATTGGGTGTGAACATATGTTTCCCGAGGAGCTGAAGGGCCTCACGCCGGTTGAGGAGAAGCTGATCGCGCTGAACTCATGTTACGGGTTCGTCACAAGGTACAGCATTGCGAGTAGCCAGAAGCAGAGTGCCCGGTATCCGAAGCACATCAAGGGCCACATCACGGTGTTCCCCAACAATGTGCAGGAGCTGGCCACAAAAGTGCTTCCCCACCCGCTCGTCCAAGTGATGGAAGAGATCCATGTCTCGTGGCAGGGTGCGGAGAAGCCAGCACCAAGCGACCTGTCAGGTTTATTATCGGTGAGGCGACGAGTCGTTGAGAGGGCCCTCGTCTGGCTGAAGAAGAACAACCCGCATTACGCCGAGATCGAGATTGACGCGGCGGAGATGGAGAGCTGGGGCGCGCCGCCGCATGGGGTGCCGCCGCTGGTGTACGATCGCATGGAACGGAATGAGCCAACAGCATGGGAAAAAACGCGAACGGCGCAAATTGTTCCTCCAACGGAGCGTGGCATGGACGACGAGGGATCGTTGGAGATCGAAGAGGTCCTCGCTCGTCTTAACCGAGGAGAAGACATACCCAGCGGCGACACCCAAGGGCCGGGGCTGACCGAAGACGAAGGTGGCCACGGGAGCGAGGCCGAGTCTGGTCAATTGGGAAAATCGATCAACGAAGTCACATCATCGGGTATGTTTGCCCTGGACGGACCGCCGGATGTAGCCGATGTGGAGAAGCTCTTGTTTGCCTGCAATGCCGTGAACGGGGATACGGCGGTCGGGGGAGCCAAAGCGGGCCCGACAACACGGGTGGAATCGGTGGAATCGGCGGAGATACGGACAGGGCCTGCTGACGGATGTGAGCCATACATTCACGTTTCTCGGGGCGACGAATTCGCTGACACATTCGATGCCTCGTTCTTCGCGAAGACGTTTCCCACGCTATTGCCCTTTGGCGTCGGGGGGCCACGGTTGGTGGAAGAAGCTGCCATAAGCGTGGGAAGAGGTGCCGATATGCGCGGAGCAGAGGCGGCGGCGCAAGACCTCGTCTCGTCCCGTAGCATGAGTCTGCGAACGTGGGCCGACATCACGCTCCAGCGCCATGGTGGCCGATTTGCGACCCACCACATCTTTGCATTCCTTGTGTTCAACATGAGTGTACGGTCGAGGAACCGTCGCGTCAGCATGTTGAGCGTAAAGAGGAAAGATTTCCGCAAGATAGAGCGCATAGTACGGTCGCTCTCGGCTGACAGGTTAGCAGCGGCAAGGATCGAGTTGGAGAACTCAGGAAAAACGACTGACGAGGGTGTGAAGGAGCTTTTGAGAAGTCTTTCCTTGTACGGCTTCCGCCAGCCTATGTCCAGAGAAAATCGCTTGAGTATGCGGCGGAAGATACAGTCGCTTGTTCTTCGTCATGGCGTGCCGGCGATCTGGTTCACGCTCAATCCAAACGATATTACGAACCCGGTAAAGCTGCGACTTGCAGCATACCGCACCAGCGAGCCTGACGCGGCCGAGGCTTTCCTGAAGAGCCTTGGCATGTCGTACAAACGCCTACGGCTGGCCATTTCGGACCCCATGAGCTCGGCCATCTTCTTCCACCGGGAGATGACGTTGTTCTTTGAGCATTATATCAAAGTGGGAGAGGAGTCGGTATTCGGGCGCATCATCGACTATTTTGGTGCTGTCGAGACCAACGAACGAGGGGCGCTTCATGTCCACGGGTTGCTTTGGTTGCATGGAAACGCGCACTTGAGTTCGATGATTGCCGATATCGACGGCGAAGACCAAGCAACGTACCGTGAACATATCATCCAATACATAGATAGTATCTTCTCCGAGGTACAATATAGCCCTAACTAGGCATATCATTGAAGAAGATGCAGCGGTCGGGGCGGGGGCCAAAGCTAACATACCTATGAGGTAGGACTTGGACCAGGAAGGGTATTGCACCCTCCAAGCGGAACGGTCGGTGGCATCGGACATTTCCTCCCTGCTTGACAACAGGGAGCAATTTTCGGCCGCATTTAACGAGGAAGCGAATTTCTATGCCGGTGCGACACAGATCCATACTCACAGCCCAACTTATGTCAAGTACTCCTTGAGCAAGGGCAAAGGAGGAGGAAAGAGGCGTGGCCTTTGTCGATTCCAGGCGCCATGGAGACTAGTCGAAAAGACTGCCTTCACGGCAGACGGCGTGTTGCAAATTCGAAGGAGGCATAGCATGGTGAATCGGTGGAACAAGGCCATGGCCGTGGGGCTTCGCCACAACCATGACATCTCCTTCATAGCGACGCAGCGGAAGACCATGGCCCTCATCTATTATGTCACAAATTACGCGACGAAAGTGGAGGATCCGGTGTGGAAGCGTGTGGCCGCCGCGGCAGAGCTCTTGACCACATCAACGGGTGAAGGGACGGCCAACGGATGGGGGAACGGTGGAGGAGGTGCTACCGATGACGCCGTCAAGGGGAACAGGACGCGGCAATTCTTGATGAGGGTGGCGAACCGCATATTCACGGAGCGATCACTATCGCAGGTCGAAGTCATCGCCCACCTTCTGGGATACCCGACCGAGTTCACCAACAGCAACGATTGGACGTTCCTAAATGTCTCTCTGCTCTACTGGCACGTCTTCCGACGATGGCGACACCTCCGGAAAGAGAGCGGAGCAGAGGCTGCAAACGATTCCGTGGACGAGTCGATAGTTGTGGAAGAAGCAGGTGAGAGGATTAGCTATGCTGAGGCATACCAGCACCGGGGAGACGTTTTGCGAAGCCTGTGTCTATATGACTATGTGTCGCTCGTTAGACTCAAACGAGTCGGTAAAGATGAGATCGCTGGCGCTTGGGGAGAGGTGCCATTTGAGAGCGAGTGGGAGTCTAGAAGAGGCTGGTTGCAGGTGCTGAGACGGCCGGGAAAGCACGCCAGCGTCTGCCTTGATGGCTACCTAAGCAAGGATTTCGACCAGGATAACGAAGAGTCGTGCTATCGAAGGTGGGTCTGCCGCCGCCGACGGAGTATAAAAGGTCGTGTTAAAGAGACTAACCTCCATGCTGAAGAGCAGCGGTGCAGCATCTTGCGCTATTTATGCCATAGGAGTCTTTCCTGTGCGAACAAACGGGCGACATCAACAGCATATGGGCGCGGGCTCGAGAGGCACTTCCTCCCAGAATATCATGCCTCGTCGATAATATGCAACTACTCCGACGGTCGGCCGAAGACGCGAAACGCGACGCCAGGCAATGGGCAGCCTCAGCCGGCGACGCTGACTTCACGGCCGCACGTGCCGGTGAGGAAGGAGAAGGCGAGGCTAGTGAAGAGGCCGCATCGGTGTACCAGTCTAACAGCATCGGTAATACAACGCATCTGATTAACGTTATGAGAAGTGCAGTAGGCGCCAACCAGATCACTGCCGGCTCGCCAGAGCTCATGGCAACAATAGAGCAGCTCTGTCGTTTCCAGCAGTCAGCACTGAGCTCGACTGCTGAGCTCCAGGCCACCGTAATGCCCGAACGGGGAGAAAGACGGATAAGCATACCAGAAGTGGCATTTTCGGGGACGGTTATACCACCGCAGGATCAGGTCAAGGCCATCAAGTCGCAGCAGATCCGTGCCTCCAGAGAGAGGGAGCGAATGATCCAGGGCATACAAAATATAGCCGGGGCCAATAAAACTAACCACAGTGCGGCGGTGCGAAGTGTGCTCACTGGTTTCGGCGAGGAGGATATCCAAATAACGGCAGCCGACTTAGAAGAGGAGACGGCAGGCGAGGCAGGTCCGCGCATAGAAGTCGACTTTGGTGCATCAACGTCCTTCCTTGAGGCAGGTAAGGCTCTGGCAGCGCGGTTCACGCTGAACAAGAGGCAGACAATCGCCTTCCTCATTATATGCCGCCAGCTCGACTCGATACGATGTAGCGGCAGAGGCGATGTCGGTCAGCTCTGCGAATTTATTAGTGGAGAAGGTGGAACCGGCAAGTCACGAGTCATTGAAGCACTCGTCGAGCTCTTCGCATCAAAAGGTATTTCGAACTGTCTGCTGATCACGGCGACGTCGGGGACTGCCGCAGCGCAGATCAACGGCATCACGATCCACTCCGCCTGCGGGTTCACCAAGGACCAAGCGGCGGGGGGCGCGAACACGGCCAAGGATCTCGACGGTATGCGACTGCCAAAACAGGCTGAACGATTTGTCCATGGCCAGTCTCGTATGGACTGGCAGGAGAAAGACCTACTAGTCATCGACGAAGTAAGTATGCTGGGGGCTCGGACGCTACACGCGGCGAACGAGCAGCTCTGCAGGCTCCGCGGGTCGCAACAGGATTTCGGAGGGATCCCCATCGTCCTTTTCTGCGGAGACTTCCACTAGTTCCGTCCGGTACAAAAGAGGTCGATCCTGCTGCCGAGCGTGGCCGTCTCGTGGGACGAAGACAACTCGTTCAAGGCCGAGCAACGGCACCAGCATAACAAGGCGCACGCGCTGTGGAAGAAGTTCACGACGGTCGTCATGCTAGACGAACAAGTACGCGCGGCCGGAGATCCGGAATTACAGACACTGCTAAAGCGGATCCGGTCGGGCGTGCAGGACCGCACGGATTTAGACCTCCTCAACTCAAGATGCTACCGGGAAGGCAGGCGGATCCCGTGGGAAACGGGCATCACCGTAGTGACGCCGCTGAACCGGAATCGGTGGAATCTAAACATAGAGGCGGCCTTATCGTTCCGGATCCAGCAGCGGTCGATAATACGCATCTTCATATCCGAGCACAAATGGAAGGACGGCCTGCCGACGGAGGAAGAAGCCATCATGATGCTAAACCAGGGCGATAATAGCGCGGTCCCAGTACCAGGCGTCTTCATGTTCGTGCCAGGGATGCCCGTCGTCGTGAACCACAATACCCATCAGGGCTTGAAACTTATCAATGGGGCCAGTTACACGGCGCTTGACGTCATCCTCGACAAGGCGCACCCGGGCCATCGGATCTCGGCCGATACGATGGTCCACTTCGGGCCGCCGGCGGGGATAATACTGGAGTCGGAAACGACAAAGAACTTCCACTTCGTCGGAATGCCGCCCGGCACGATCCTGTTGATACCCACGAGTGTCAGCATACATTGCCAGCGAAAGCGGCCGTGGCAGCAGAACGACGTCAGCCGAAAGGGTCTGCCGTGCGCGGCGGCTTTCTCGTGCACAGACTACAAAGTGCAGAGCAGGACGCTCGAGCGCGTAGCCCTGGAGCTGCGGGGGGCGAGGACGACAAATGTCGACGGATACATAGTCCCCGCGCAATGCGATCCGTACAGCCTGTACGTGCAGCTGTCGCGGTGCCGGTCGCTGGACGGCATCATACTCATCTCCAAGGTGCGGGAAAGAGATCTGGTGGGCAACCGGGTTCCCCAGGAGATGACCGTGGCAGAGGCCAGACTGGAGGAATTGAGCAAGAAGACTGTTCAGGAGGCTCTGCGGTGGCCGGATGACGATTTTCGAGGTCCAGGGGTCTGACCAATCCCCGTTGAGTGGAGACACGAAACTGACCAATGAGAGGGGCTCTTTTAAGTTTGAGGGCGGGGCATAGACCTTTCGTTCCTCAAGGCAAACGCCCTTCGGGCTGAATAAAGAACAAGGCGGAACAAGCGGAGGAACCGCTTAACTCATTCTTCCCAACGCTGCCGACGACGATCGAAGACGAGGGCCTCCGCTTACATGCCAGATCGTACCTTAGAATAATTAGAGTAGAAGTTGATAGCAGTCGAAAATGAGAAGATAGCTCGGGTGTTGGAGAGAACACAATGCCCTATTTGTATTGGAGACGAGAACAGCATCTTGTGTATCTTCTGCTATTCAGGCGAGCAGACTGACCACTGTCTCGTGATTGCCCGCTTTCGCCCTCGACAGCGGTGTCCGCCCCCATATGTCTGTTGAGTTCCGTTTAACATCACGATTTGCGAGAAGCAGCCGCGCCATTGCCACGTGACCCCCAGCGGCAGCAAGGGCCAGCGGAGTACTTCCCCAGCCATTTTTTACGGTGGGCGATAGGGGGGACTGTTGCAAAACTCCCTGTCAGTCCCTTTTGAGTCTAGGCGCCCCGCCCCTTAGTCATCCGAGTACTTCGGGTCGGCATGGAAAATGTACTGCGGACTAGCAGCGAGCCCGCGCGTTCATATTCTCTGAGTCCGCCTCCACCTGCAGCAGCAAATGTATTAAACGAGCCCAGCAGTCTACATAAAACTGGCTAGCACATTGATACGCACAACGCAATACTCTAAGCCCAGTCTTGACAGAGGGATTGATATTGTCCAGGCGGATTCGATTGAGAGACGTTTTTTTTTTTTACCAAACAGTTCTCGTTTGCCATGCTCATGGAATCCGGACAGCAGCTGTACTAAGACGAGCAGAGCGTAGGTCGCCCAGCCTCCTACCCTGGAAGCAGCACTGGAAATATGTATATGCCGACACTCTACAGAGAATGCAAATGCAATAATTCCGACGCCCTCGGGATTGTCGAGACAATTTTCACAGCCCAATGGCCCCAGTTGGGGCCGGGAGTCGAAATCTTGACCTCCATCTTGCCCGTGGCTAGTTTCTGTGTGCAACCTTCACTTCATGGTCCTCGCCCTCCAAGCGTTGCGCAGCGTCTCGAGGCAGCGACAGGGCACCGCAGTGATCCCGCAGTAGATGAGCAGCGGACTAGCACAATAACCTCCTGCTAAATTGAGCCTAGCGTTCTTCATCCGCCATGGCAGAGGACATGGTCGTTTTGTTCGACATATATTAAAAGCTCATCTCCAACAGCAGTCTGTTTACCTTTTCTTCTTTCACCAGTTCTGCACTCTTCATTCAAGCGAAATGGGCCCTCCAAATATCCCTCCTGAGCATGCCTATTGTATCCAAGCCGGAAAGAAGCACTATGATCTCTTTACCACCATATACATTGGCGCGAACTATTGCGGCCGGTGCGGCTTGGCCAATCCCTTTCGATCCCAGCGTCGGGCCAGGTCGAAAACACCGGCACTTCCTGGCCCATATGATGAGGTGGTCGAGGTAGAGGACTCTCCACCACGGCCGGTCAGTCCAGCAAGTCGGCTGCTGCGTGACAGACCGAAACCAGTGTCATCCATCGGCATTGGGTGCGCCCAGCTACTTCCCAGCGAAGTGTCTGCCACTGGCGCGGGGAACACGCGGGCACGCATACCTCCCTCCGAGGCATCAAGCGACCATCGGTTCATGACTGTCGCATCAGCGGCCAGTCGCGCTATCCAGAACTCCAAAGGCAGCACCAGAAAGCCGGCGACGCAACGCACTGGCTACCATTGGGTTCATGTCAGCCTTCTACTTGTGAGCTTGGAGGCCAAGTACTTCAATGGACTTGCAGTGGAAGTCCCAGAGACGGTGCTGCCACTGAAAGATACGGTGATCAAGTTTTCCACAGTAGATCTGCTGACTTGGCCCTCATTTACTGAGACTTTGTTTGATCACCTCCGTCCACTTCCACCCACGATCGATCCTACGAACAAAGATCTCTGGACCGTTTCCTACGCTTCGAACTTCTCTGGCAAAAAGATCGTTACCGTTTCCAATACCGACAAATACACGACGCCGTCGAGCATGCTCGCATCGGGGCACTTTTCGAATAACCAGGCTGGGCAGTTGAAGGTGCTAGTTGTCCTGACATCTACGGAAGTGGTTGATAAGCAAGAGCCGGCCACACCACTGAGGCCGGATGAGTACTCGACCCCCGTCAAAGAGGGCAAGAAGCGGAAGGTCAAGCAAGAGGGTACAAGCCCGTCCTCTGGGCGCCAAAAGCGTGTCAAGCAAGAGGCGCGGATTAAAGAAGAGGCGGATACTACAGAGGTGGGTCAGGTCAAACAGGAGATACATGTCAAAATCAAAAAGGAAGAGCCTGTTCCAACTTCCCACTATCAAAGCCCGACGCGCGACGAGCCTGAAGATGTTATCAAAGACTTCGTTGGACATGGAGGGGTGGTAGATCTAAGTGAAGTGGACGATCCACTTTGCGATCTTGTGTTTGACAATATGTCTGATGCGAAGGGAAGCGAGGGCGGGTCCGACCAAGAAGGTGAAGTTGACGAAGATTGTGAGGAAGTGACAGGTTTTGTTCCAGAGTTCGTAAGAAACCACCCCACTGCATCACCGAGCCGAGCACTGACCCTAACAGACAAACTCAGAATTGATTCGTCGAACCGTTGAGGAAACTCAAACACGACTGTCCGACACTGATGTTCCTAGAGCCCTTCCGCCAGCCCACTCTACACGCTTCAAAGGGACAAAAACCCCCACGACGTTCGCCGTTCGATATAAGAAAAGGAAGGATTGACTACTCTGGCTCCCCATTTGAACTGTCGCTTTCCTCTCCGTCATCACTTATTCCCTCAATGTCATTTCCTTCCTCGTCTTCAAATCCCAGCTCAACAAGTGGTTGCTCTGCTGGTTCTCCATCTGCTAGCTCTTCTTCTTGGGCTTGATCTGCCCGTTCAAGTAATGCTTGCTATATGCATTTAGATTGGTTACATCGCAAAAAGACAGTGTGCTTACATATTCGGCAACTCCCCCAGTTGGCGCTTTGCGGTATGCCAGTATAGGCTGCCGGCCACTTTCGATGTGTTGAATAATCCTGTCCCGGAGACCAAGATAGAAACGCTTGAAGGGCCGTAACTTGTCCGGCTCCTGGCTAGTCCCAAGGACAACCTGATCATAGCCCATTCCACGGAGAACTTGGAGACACCAATCCTTTGTCTCCGGTTCCAAACACGTGCTAATATCAATATCCGCCAATGGTCGCTCCATTTCATGTAGAACTGAGCGATCTATGGGGATACCCCAGTTGCATGCCTTGTCCGGGTCGGGGTAATGGTAGTTCATCCAGGGCTGGCCGTGAACCACGTGCGGACGGTTCTTTTGAAGGCGTATTCGATGAAGATTCCACGCCTCCACAAAGTCGAAGAGTTCTTGGCGTAATACATCTTCGAAGACGGCGTAGATGGCAATCTGATCCTCCAGCATGTCGCCGTCGAAGTCGCCGTCCCTGGCGAGCTCCCCAAAGTAGTCTACCCACTGCCGGGACGAGACATGAAGCATACGCTCCCACCAACTCTCAATCTTGACATTTTTCGTACTTGGAGCTGCCTTGTATGAATCCTTCAATCGCTTGCCTTGCTGGAAGACTTGCCCATGCCATTCCACTTGTCCGTCCGTGGTCAATACAAAGTTCCAATGGGCTGCTGCGATCAATGGCGTTTCGCTGCCCCTGTCTGCTTGCAAATACCATGGCCGGAAGCCATAGGCGTCACATGCCGCCAGGTACTGCTTCAGTACGCTCAAGGCAGTTGTAGCAGAGTGGCCAACGTAGAACCAGATAATGTTGCGCGAGTAGGCGTCGATGGCGGCGTATATCTCGAATCCGTACGCCTTGAGCTTGTCATGGCCGTCAATGCACCACTGGTAGTTTGGCCCCGGGACAAGGAACTGTCCCTTCTTCCTCCGAAACATCCTTTTTCGGAGCTCGACCTCATTTGGGAACATGATTTTGTACATCGCAAAGAGGGGGTCTCTTGGTACCCAAAGCTGCTTTTGCTGACGTAGGTAAGGCTGGAGAAGGCTTTTGCCATACCCCGAAATGGCGTTGGACCGTCGCGTCATTTCGATGATGGCTTGCTCTGTCTTTTCCAATAACGCAAGTCGTTCTTCGTCGCTATTGAGCCTGCGTACCCAGCGGCGGTCCGGGTGAAGCCTGATGCGCTTTAGGCCTTCTTTCGTGACCGGCCAGCCCTGCCTCTGTAGAACGCTGAGCGTTTGCTTCTCCGATAGTCCAACGCGGAATATCAGGTCGCGCGTCGCCTCTATCAACTCCGGAGTTTCTCTGGTACGGGCTTGCTGCCGCGGCAGATCCCATTTGGCGATTCGGCGAGAGATTGTACTGAGATCGACGGCGACATGGTAACGCTTCCGAAGCTTATACTTGATCTTGCTTCGCGAGACACCGTTAAGATAAAGAAATGTGACATAGTCACGGTATTGATCGATCGGGTTCGGTGGCCGTGCCATTTGCGTCGGCGTTAGTCGAATGTGTGGGCATATTTCTTGGTGTTTACACCATGAAATCATGAAAGGGGTAGAGCGGCGACGACCTGGTCTTTGTCCTGAGATGGGCTCACCGCAAAGCCCCGCAGCGGTGTTGACACTGGCCCGCAGCGGCTTAGCGTCAGGGGCTGTTGGTGGAACGCCACCGAGGCACCAAAAGGATCAATGCTTCTCATTTGGGAAGGTAGTACTACTGAGTGCCACCGGTAAATCGGAGTAGTCTTCAACCCTTGGTACTGCAAATATTTACAGAACCCAAATTTGTTTCAGTTTAGTTCCTTACTTCCCTCTGCATCCTGTGGAAAGGCCAGTGGTCGTCGGCGCTGTCATGTCCACGGCTGATTTCGTCACGGCGGGCGGCACTGTAGCCGCTGAAGCGACGAATGCAAGTTCGTCCATGAAGCGCACAGGGTTTATGCGGCCCAGCGCCCGCAAATCCACAGGCAAAATTACCGTGAGATCTGGTCAGTTCCTTTTCTGACAGAAGGACGGCAGCTCACAAGGTTGTTCGAGCAGAAGAAGAAGCAGACGAAAAAGGTCCCTCCCCTCGGCTCGGTGCGAGACTTTCCATGTCGCGCCTGCGTCACGCGCGCCACCAAGGCTCCCGGTCATGAATGTGCCTCCCAGGACAGTATGTTGGATTGCCTTAGAAGTATACGACTGTTATGCTGACGAGCACGGAATAGATACTGGTGCTGCGTGCTGGGACTGCGCAAAGAACGCTCACACGTGCAAACCGGTAAGGCATCTCTGCTTGTGTAGGGCGACGACTCATTGATGAAGTTGCATCTCTAGGTCCCTGTTGGTGCTGTTGGTGCTGTCCGTGTCTTTTGGGAGCTGAATCGGCAGCTCAAGCGTGCAAATGCCGATGCAGATGATGCCTGGCGAACTGCTGCACAGCGCGCATCACAACAACTACGAGCTTGCGGCGGTGGTGCGGCTCTTCCTGCCACTCCAGGACCAGCTCCCGCTTTGGCCTCGTTTGGCGAGATAGCCGAGAAGAGCCCCGAGGAGCGAAAGATCATGGCACTGGAGACCATTGCCGAGGCCGCTCGGCTCTGGATTGTGAGCGGGATCAAGTCGTCAAATACATTTTCACTGCTAACTCGACGCTCAGTAGCTCAACAAGCCGGACGAGGAGGAAGAGGAAGAGGAAGAGGACAGTTAAGCGTTGGTGTCTCCCGATTCGACCGCCATGGTGGCGGCTGATCTGTTGTTGGATTGCGCAGGGGTGCTGCGTGCACTTGACGAAAAAGTAATTATTGTACTGATTGTAATTATTCTTGGTTAAATTATTCCTTTGAGGCTTTATATCCTTGAGTGATCCCATCTAGGACTTTGAACCTTAATGGTAGGACTTCAAACTTTAATCTTGATCCTGAAGTTAAGGGGAACTCGCAGTTTCTTCCAACGATGTCTGTAGAACGGGAATGAAAATGCGCTTTGCTGGTCCGCTGCGGCCCCGCTGCTTTACTTGCATCTGTTGAAACGCGAAAAAAAATGCAGGTAACCTACGCTGAGGTACATGGAGCAATGTACTGCGGGGCGGGGTGTCCATGCCGCTAGCCCATTTCGATACTTTCGAGGTGGATTTTGGGGTTTTGCAACAGTCACCCCTATAGCCTGCCGTAATTTTTTACGTCAGCCCCAACATCACTACGGGCTAGCAGAAGCTTAGCAACTGCCTCATGCCCCCCCGCTGCCGCCTTCCATAGTGGCGTCCGCTCCCAAGAATCCCTCGAGTCGGCTTCCACATCTCCGCGATCTAGTAGCATCTTGACTGCCGCCTCATCGCCCCCCGCTACCGCCTTCCATAGCAGCGTCCGTCCGTTCTCATCCTTTGGGTCAGCTTCCACATCGCTGCGATCCAGCAGCAGATTGACTACCGCCTCATGTCCCCCGGCCGCTATCGATAGCGGCGTCTGTCCGTTCGCATCCTTTGAGTCGGCTTCCACATCGCTGCGATCCAGTAGCATCTTGACAACCGCCTTGTGCCAGTTCTCTGTCGCTATTGATAGCGGCGTCTGTCCGTTCGCATCCTTTGAGTCGGCTTGCACATCGCTATGATTCAGTAGCATCTTGACTACTGCCTCATGTCCCCCCTGTGCCGCTATCCATAGAGGCGTCCGTCCATTCTCATCCTTTGAGTCGGCTTCCACATCGCTGCGACCCAGGAGCAGCTTGACGACCGCCTCATGTCCCCCCTGTGCCGCTATCCATAGTGGCGTTCGTCTCCTCGCATCCCGCAAGTTGACCTGACCCGCATTGCAGCCTAAGAACTCCTTCACCGTCGATTCGAGCCCTCGTCTGGCTGCATATAGCAGAGGCGTTGTTTCTGCTTGTCTCACTCTAGAAATTTTCGTGTCCTTTGGCTTCCTCGTATGTGGTGCATGTGGTTGTTGAACACATATGGCTGTCTCGGGCCAGGTAGAACCACGCTGATGTAGCAAGTGCAATTCCTCACTCTGAACCCTCCTAAAGTATTGCTTCGTCAAATCCATAGCTTCGAGGTAGATTGCGATTGGCTTTTCGAGGTTTCCAATTTCCGTACAATTGAGGACGGCGAGACTGAAGGGTTGGGAAGCTTCATGAGGAATACAACGGAGTTTCAGATGGATACCTTGATTATCAACGGAAATGGGGCCGCTGAAGGTATGGAAGCGACCTAAACGGACGATATTATGCGATTTTTCAAATGCGGCTGGAGAAGTTGCCAGGAGTCCGCCGTGATTCTCCGTCGATCTCCAGGCAAAAAGGCTGAAATCGTCCGAGCTCTTCATGATCTGCTCCTGGATGCGGCAGCCTATAGAGGTCACTGTTGCAAAACCCAAAAAGCACGTTCCAACTGACAAAATGGGTTAGCGCGAATGCATTGACGGCCCCACAGTACATTGAGACATGTACCTTAGAACCATGATTCCTTTAGTTTGACACGCAAGAGTAGGTTCGGCAACAGCAGCGGGGTCGCAGCGGACTAGCGAAGAGCAGCTTCGTTGTACGATGGATATAAAGACCCCCTGTTATAGCCCCCGCCCCGTAACCACCCTCCACATCGGACAATAATCAAGACTTAGTTATCTTCGTCCTCTCCATCTTCATCCTCCTCCACGCTCTCCTCGTCTAGCTTGTTAAGTTGCTAGGCGTTAAGTTAATAGTGGAACTTAGCTGGCGAGTTTGATTCACCTACAGTCCAGAGCCGAGCAGCCTCAGCAATAGCCTCCAACGCTGCAACCTTTCGCTGCTCGAGAGTCTTTTCATCTGCTTCACCACGTGGAGCCAGAGCCGGAGCTGGAGCGGCACTGCAGGCACGAAGCTGCTGTGCTGCACGCTGCGCGGCGGAGCGCCAGGCATCGCCAGGATCCTCGCTCATGTCGTCAATCTGCCGGTTCAGCTCCCAAAAGGCACGCACAGTAGCGACTGCACCAGCAGGGACCTAGATAGCAGCTAATTAGCAGCTCACTAACCGAGAGCTGGAGAAGACTACTTACAGGCCTACAGGTATGACCATTCTTTGCGCAGGCCCAGCAAGCGGCACCAGTATCTATCCCATATATGTTGGCCTGGCAAGCTTAAATAGCAAAACAAGCTACTTACTGTCCTGGGAGGCGCACTCATACCCTGGGCTCTTGGTAGCGCGAGTAACGCAGGGGCGGCAGGGGAAGTCACGCGCAGAGCCAATGGGAGGGGCCTTCTTCTTTTGCTTCTTCTTCTTCTGCTCAAACAGAGTGTTAGTAGCGGTCTCTTGGCTGTATAGCAGCTGACTGGATTTACCATAATTCTGCCCGCGAATTTGCGGCCACTAGGCTGAACCTTTCCTTTTTCCTTGCTGTTTTGGTTCTGGGAGGGATCCCCACCCGCTGAGACAGAGGCCGCCGCTCCAGACATCGGGGATCGGCAGCGATAACGCTGCTAATTATCAGCTTATTCGCTACGAGAGCGGTGCTCATGGGAGGCCGCTCAATGTATTTGGCGATGATAATAGCGCAGGGGGTCCAAGCTAAATAAGTATATTAAAGTTATACTTTGAAGGCGAGGAGCCAAGCACACTTCTTAGCCACATGGTGGAGAAGGAGAGGGAGGAAAGAGGTTGGAAGGGATTTAATGTTTTTTTTAAAAACTTGCAGTCACTTCCAAAGGTGGGGTCCTAATTGTTCCCATTCCCCAATAGTGGCATTGCATTTCGTCTGATTCACTGGTTGCCCAGTCCGCACCGGGCCAGCTATTAAGCCGCTGCGGGGTAGTGCAAATTAGCCAATTCGCCCTGCTTAAATAGGGGCTCCGTCCTAACAGTCCACCTTTTCCAACACCAAGAGATCACCCCTACCTACATACTCACCTCCAACGCCATGGCACGGCCACCCAGTCCCATCGATCAGTACCGTGACTATATCACCTTTCTATACCTCAATGGCGCCTCGCGAAGCAAGATCAGGCATAAGCTTCGGAAGCGTCACCATATCGCTGTCGACCTCAGCACAATCTCCCGGCGGATAGCCAGCTGGGGACTTCCGCGTCAGCAATCACGTACCATTGAGACGCCTGAGCTTGTAGAAGCTATCCGCGACCTTATCTTCCGCGTTGGCCTTACCGAGAAGCAGACCTTGAGTGTCCTTCAGAGGCAAGGCTGGCCCATCACCAAAAGAGGTTTAAAACGGATCAGACTTCACCCGGACCGCCGCTGGGTTCGTCGCATCAATAGCGATGAAGAACGCCTTACCTTATTGGAGAAGACAGAGCAGGTTATTGTCGAGATGGCGCAGCGGTCCAATGCCATTGCAGGATACGGCAGAAGGTTTCTCCAGCCATATCTGCGCCAGCAACAGCAGCTCTGGGTACCAAGAGATCCCCTCTTTGAGATGTACAAAATTATGTTCCCAAACGAGGTCGAGATGCGCAAAAGGATGATGCGGAGGAAGAAAGGGCAGTTCCTTGTCCCGGGGCCAAACTACCAGTGGTGTATTGACGGCCACGATAAGCTCAAGGCGTATGGATTCGAGATATACGCCGCAATCGACGCCTACTCACGCAACATTATCTGGTTCTATGTTGGCCACTCTGCTACAACCGCCTTGAGTGTGTTGAAGCAGTATTTGGCTGCATGCGACACCTATGGCTTCCGCCCGTGGTTTCTGCAAGCAGACAGGGGCAGTGAAACGCCATTAGTCGCAGCAGCCCACTGGAACTTTGCTTTGGCTGCAGGCGGATGCGTGGAATGGAATGGACAGGTCTTCCAACAGGGCAAACGATTGAAGGATTCCTACAAGGCGGCACCGAGTACGAAGAATGTCAAAATCGAGGGTTGGTGGGAACGCATGCTTCACGTCTGTTCCCGACAGTGGGTAGACTACTTTGGAGAGCTTGCTAGGGATAGGGATTTTGACGGCAGCATGCTTGAGGACCAGATTGCTATCTACGCTGTCTTCGAAGGTGTACTACGTCAAGAGCTCTTCGACTTCGTCGAAGCGTGGAATCTACACAAAATACGCCTCCAGAAGAACCGTCCCCACGTTGTCCACGGCCAGCCCTGGATGAATTATCATTACCCAGACCCAGACAAGGCCTGCAATTGGGGGATCCCTATCGACCGCCCGGTTCTAGGCGAAATGCTACGACCCCTGGCTAGTATCGATATCAGCACATGTCTAGAGCCAGAGACGAAGGAGTAGTGCCGCGGTGTCCTCACAGAAATGGGCTACGATGACATAGTCCTTAGCAATCACCAGGACCCTAATAAGCTGCGTCCATTCAAGCGCTTCTACCTTGCCCTTCGGGACAGGATCATTCAACACATCGAAAGTAGACAGCCACCTATGCTAGCGTACCGTAGGGCTCCAACTAGGGGAGTTGCTGAATATATAAGCTACCGCGTCTATCTGCGCATTAAATTGTCTAACTACATATAGGAAGGATTACTTACACGAGCAGATCAAGCCCGACAAGACGAATTGGAAGATAGGGAACCAGCAGAACAACCACTTGTTGAGTTTAGTGTTAAAGACGAAGAAGGAAATGACATCGAGGAAATAAGTGATGATGGGGAGGATGGTGACCGGTCTGATAGGGAACCTAAGTAGTCAATCCTTCCTTTTTCTGGGTCGAGAGGCAAAGGTCATGGGAATCTTTGCGCCTCTAAAACGTATAGACTGGGCGGGGGGAAGTCCTTCAACAGCACCATCCGCGTATTGTTGGGTTTGGGCTCCTTCGATGGAGTCAGGGATGACTGCCGACTGCGGGCTTACCTGCTGAGATCAGTATTTCGATAGGCAAGAGCTTAGTCTGGTTGCATACGAACTCCTTGAAAAGACTTGTCTCGCTCTCACAGTCGACCTCGTCCTCTTGGTCTGCATCACGCTCATCTCCCTCCCCATCAGAGACGCTATCAAGCATTAGCTCGGTGACCGCGTCTTCGGATTCGCTGAGGTCAACCACATCCCCCTTCACAACGATGTTGTCGAGGATATCGTTACGGTCCTCATACGCCAAGTTCAGGTAGGTGGAAGCTGGAACTGCCTTTTCCTGCTTGACCTGTTCCCTATTCTTCGTACCATTGTCCTGATCGATCTGCCTCTCTTGCTTGATACGTTTCTTGAGCCTAGGAGCTGGGCTCGAATCCTCCTGTTTGACCTTCCGTTTCTTGCCGTCCTTGGCCGGTGTTGAATATTCATCTGGCCTTAGCGGTGTGATTGGCTCCTGCTTGTCACCCACGTCTGTCGATGTCAGGACGACGAGCACCTTTAACTGGCCCGCTTGGTTGTTCGAAAAGTGCCCAGAAGTGAGCATGCTTGAGGGCGTCGTGAACTTATCGGTATTGGGAACGGTGACGATTTTCTTTCCGGAGAAAGACGAAGCGTAAGAAAGCTTCCAAAGCTCTTGGTTGGTGGGGTCTATGGTGCTCGGGAGCGGATGTAGGTGTTCGAATAAGGTCTGAGTGAACGAGGGCCAGGTAAGGAGGTCTGCCGAGTTGAACTTGATCACCGTATCTTTTAGAGGCAGCACTGTCTCTGGGACCTCTACCGCAAGACCATTGAAGTACCTGGTCTCCAAGCTCATGAGTAGGAGACTGATGTGGACCCATTGGTAGCCAGTACGCTGCCTCGTAGGCTTTCTGGTGCTGCTTTTAGTGTTCTGAATGGCTTGACTAGCCGCCGAGGCAATCGCCATGAACTGCGGATGGGGAGGACCGCTTGACGGCTTGAAAGGATGTTGGCGTGCCCGTGTATTCGCAGTCACCCCGTTGGGGACAGACACTGCGTTGGGGAGTAGTTGTGCATACCCAATACCGGCAGATGACACTGGTTTTGGTTTGTTGCGCATAAGCTGACTTGCCGGGCTGACTGGGTGTGGCGGAGAGTCATCCACCTCAACCACCTCATCATACGGGCCAGGAAGGGCTGGAGTCCTAGACCTGGCCCGGCGTTGGGATTGAAAGGGGTTGGCTAAGCCGCAACGGCCACAATAGTTTTCGCCAGCGTATATGGTGGTAAAGAGATCATAATGCTTCTTCCCAGCTTTGACGCAGTAGACGTACTCAGGGGGGATGTCTAGGGGTGCCATTCTGTTTGAAGAGAGACGTTGAGAAAATGGAGGCAAAAAAAGAACCAAACTGACGTTGGGAACGAGATTTAATGTTTACAAACCATAACAATGTTGCCCTTTGCTACGGTGGATGATGATCACTAGACTGTCCTGAGCATGAGATCGCCGCGCTAGTCCGCTGCTGACCCGGCGCGGGGAACACTGCGCTAAGCCGCTGCTGGCATATCACGCTGTGTGCTCACACATAGATGTTGGCACCTGGAGTGAAAATCGCTTATGCAAGAATTGTGCCTGTTACTCAAATGGAGTTCGCAACGCGAGTCTCTGAATTGAAATTTGAGGCTATAGAAAAGGGGACGCTAGCATATACACGTCCACAGCTTTTGAAGCTGGACAAAAGTGATTATCATCCGGCACAGCGCCGTTCGACTTGCAACCACAGCCAATGAAAATCAGGTTGATTACAATACCGTATCGCTCGCTAAGAATTGCTTGAAAAGAACCAAACTGCTTAGACCACATTGTGTAGATCGAGATTCTAGAACGTCGCGCGGGCCCGTTGCTACTTCGCAGTATTTGCGATGGGGGTTGCTTGGGCGGGACGGATATGTACCGCGCGGGCCCGCTGCTGGTCCGCAGTACCTGCTCTACTACTCATGCCTAAGTATCTGGACTAATAAGGTGTGGGGTGATTTCTGGCTTAAGAGTGGGGAAGGGACCCAAAAGACAACTGACAGGGGGGTTTTGCAACAGTGTTCCCTATCGGCCTCCGTACACGTCTGCGTTTCGGCAACGCCTCAGCTCGGGGGTCCCATCCCCAAAGACATAGACCTCTTCTTCACTTTGCGCCATTACTCGCCATCTGGGGACGAGTGCTTCTACACTGGGCTCATGGGCGACCCGGCTCCCCTGTGCAAGGGCTGGCAGAGAGTCAGTCTGCGCAAGGTCAACACGGAGCATCCCCTCCACCGCCCGGACCGTCCTCATCGCGACTTCTTCTCGACCGACGTGCTTCCAGTCATTCCCGGCGAGGTTTACGTCGTCGATGCCGAGCTCTGGCCTACCAACGTCGTCGTGCGGCCGGGTGAGGTCATCGCACTAGAGGTCAGCAGTGGTGATACGCAAGGATCTGGGTTCTTTACTCATCAATCTCACGAGAGGTATGCAAACGGGCCTCAAATCTGGTCAAGATGATTCGACTAACTCTTACTTTTCAACAGAACGCCTGAGATCATGGGTGGTGATAATTACATTCACTTTAGCTCTCGGTATACCAACTGGGTGACTCTGCCAATCATCCCACCTAAATAAGGGGATAGAGGACAAGACTGTTGTTACGTTAGACTATACTAGAGGTTTTTAAGTCGGCAGTGGTATCCACGGGGGCAGCGCAATAGAATGCCTTCTTATATATCAACCTTGTATGGAACCATGTTTAGCCGCTTGGTAACCAGTAGTGTTGGTCTGTTATTAATCTCTTGTCTTCTCCTTGGGTGATGATGATGATTATGAGACTTCTGAAGGTTTAATGATGGCAACACTTCCAAAGACGCATCTCAGCCACAATATACACATGATTTTCTTCTCCTCTCGGAGGGTGCCCGGCCACAACAGCAAAGAACAGTTCGGATACAACAAACCCAAATACCGCATAGCACTATCATCTATTGGGGCAATACCAAAACTGAAAAGTTAACATGATGGATGCAATACCAACACTCTCTGTGTACATGTCACGCTCTTCAGAGGTTCGAGGCCAACGGGAGCAACCATGGTCATCAGCTCTATTCTAGTCCATAACAACTTCCAGTGAATTCCCTGGCCTGTGGCAAGCCTACAATCAATGCTCTACTGGTCGACGATAAACCCATCCTTGTGAGGCCTCATCGAAATAGGCTGCACCAACGCCGGTCGAATTGTTTGCGCATCATCGAGAAGATTGACGCCAAGCCCAGGGCCCGTAGGAATGTCCACGAAGCCATCCACCACCGCAGGCACATGATCAACGATATTGGCCCCGAGGTGTGAAGTTGTAGAGGTAAAGACTCCCGCCTCAAACCCAGTCGCATACTCCTGTATGGTAAAGTTTGGGATCGAGGCGGCGAGCTGCAGGCAGGCAGCGAGACCAATAGGAGATAGTGGGTTATGCGGTACAACCTGGAGACGGTGAGTCCCTTTCAGTGGAGAGAGGAGCGGTACGCAGCAGCCTACCTGGATATGATGGGCCTCTGCCATGGCAGCGACCTTCTTGGCGCCGGTGATGCCACCACAAACAGCCACGTCGATCCGGGCATATTCCACGGCATTCCTCGAAAAGAGAGCCTGAAACTCATATATAGTGCAGAAACGCTCGCCAGTGGCGATTGGCACGGAAATGGCGTTGGCCACACGCGCCATGGCATCTGCATTCTCCGGCCGGATCGGGTCCTCGACAAACATGGGGCGAAACTCGGCGATGGCGTTGGAAAAGGTGACTGCTTCGGCAGGTGTGAGTCGTCGATGGAGCTCAATAAGCAAATCCACCTTGTCCCCAACAACCTTGCGCATCCTTCTGACGTTGTCGATGGCATTGTTCATCTTGTCGACGTGAGTTTTGAAGTACACCTGATCATTGCCCTCATCTAGAAATGGATTAATATGGCCAAAGGCAGTGTAGCCTAGATCCATCTTGCGTTTGCACTCTTCCAACACGGCTTCGATTGTCTTCTCGTAGATGTGACCATATATACGAGCCTTGGTCCGGCACGCGCCTCCAAGCAGCTCATAGATGGGAACACCAAGAGACTTGGCCTTGATATCCCACAAGGCAATATCGATACCGGAGATAGCTGCGTTGATTGCGAGGCCTTGGAAATAGCTGAACCGATGCATGACATTCCAATGATGCTCAATGCACGCAGCAGGCTTGCCGACGAGATACTCAGCGAAGCGGGTGACGACAGTGGCAGAGGCTTCGATGTGACCCCAGATGCCACACTCGCCAAATCCGACGACCCCATCGCTGGTTTCAATGCGCACAAACATGAATTGCCCAACATGGAGCGGCACCACTGACTTGATGAGTTGTTGACTCATCTGTTTGGGCGGAGGTACGTTAGCTGTGGAGTCTCAACCACCACAATCATGGAGAATTCGTTTACTTGCCTTTGTAGCTCAACGTCTTCAAGATTATGACACAGTTGGATTGTTGGAAATCAGTTCCAAGGAAAGGCGCGCTTCCACGAGCGTCTGCTGGAACTTTGATGTTTCTCTAAAGCCCGGTCCTAGAATAGGAAGGATCAGTAACTTGCAGCAGGAAGAACAATTAGAGAAAGTATATTATAAAGGCCCAGGTTTAGAGACTATTGCGAATCGGCTCTCCACAGAACGACTGCATCAAGGGACTAAGGATGTCGCGTGGAGGTGGGAGTGAATGTTGATGTTTGTGGGGCCGACGGGAATAACCTCTCCGTGACAGCTGAATGCTCGGGCTAATGTTCAATAGGGAGTAGTTTTATTGGGGTTGCCTCACGTGATGACCACACTGCACAATAGACTTCCCGGCTCGGAAGGTTCACTGAGGGGTTTTCTTCCCTCCTGCAACTGCCTCACGGGGAGTCAATTGCTCGCCTCGGCAGGTGTCTCGTCATCTCTCACGCGGTCAAGACTCGACTTTCACCCCCCCCCACCTTCCCTCTGTATATAGCACTACTACAATACACAGACACTTGCCTCCCTACGAGGGAGCGCGGACGGGCCCTCTCTGACGCTGCGGTCTAACACGCTTACGCATAAGACCGCAGTGACAGGTGACCCGTTGCGGCCAAACTACACACACTCTGTCCCTCTTGACTGCATGAGGTCACCAATAAATGTTCTTTTTTATCAACTACCGCAAGCCCCGCCGTTGACGCCGTGCATGAGACCATCCACACTTCTCCACGACCTGTCAGCCTCGGACATTCAACTTTAATTAACTCATCTCCACTCCTTTGCTGCAGCGGGATCCTCGTTCTTTACTCCTTGAATCCTTCATTGGCGCCCACGGCCATCGAGTCAGGCAGATGAGACAGCATGTCCACCTCAATTCGGATACAACCCCAGACCAAGGCCAAGACCAAGGGTGGCTACACTCGTCAACGCCGCGGTTGCCTGACCTGCCGCCAACGAAAGAAGAAATGCGATCAGGGCTTCCCGATTTGCGGCCATTGCTCGCGTCTCAACCTCGTCTGCGAGCGCGAGGCGCCCCGCCGCGTTCAATCGGCTGCTAGGAGTCACTTTACAGACCGCCAGCTGGAGTCCGCCCATGCCGCCCGTCGCGCCCGAAACCGTGATTGTAATCATGGCCATGAGGTCTGGAGGCTGACTGAGATATGTGGTCCCCTGGATCTGATGCGATTTGGTGACGCTGATGACTTTGGGGACCTGGGCTCTAACCGGCGGGCTATGATGAGGTACTACACGGCCACTCTTGTGTTCATGCTGACGACCAATATTGAAAATAATTGTTTCCTCTCTGGCAAGCACAATCTAATTAATCCTCGATGAATGTATACATGCTAACCACGTTGCCAGTTCTGCTGCCCATGGCCTTTGATTGTCCACCCCTGGTGGATGTCCTTGTAGCCTGGTCATCGGCCCATCTCGCCCTCCGCAGCCCTGAATTCCGCCATATATCTCTAGTGCATCGAGGCCAAGCGCTAGCCAAGATTGGCTCGTTACTGCAAGAGGAGAGTCTTTCCGGGGAAATGTGCCTCGCAGCGGCCATGGCCATGTGCTCCATGGACTCCATCTCGGATGGGACCAGTGGCTGGACCCTCCACTTATCTGGCGCCGCGGGCACGATCCAGTCCAAGCAAATCCTCACGTCCCCGGCTCCCAGGGACAGGTCTACAATGCTGCGCTCCTCTGAGGGCAAGTGGCTGCTGCGGAACTTTGCCTATCATGATGTCCTAATGAGCGTGTCACTGAATCGGCGACCGCTCCTGGCCGGGGACTACTGGGTGTCTACAGATGATACACTAGCGGACCCCTACTTTGGATTTGCATCCCGTATCCTATTCTTGATCTCCGAGATAAGTGTTCTCAATGCCGACCACACCGAGAATAAGATGCCGTACGACGATGATTCGGGATGGGGTTCAGAGGCTAGGTACTCTGGTCACGAGGCGTATTGGGATAGGGCTCATGAGATCGAAAAAGAACTCCAGGAGTGGAGTTGCCCATGCGCGGTCGCCGAGTCACCGGTAGCCTTGCTGAGTGAAGCCTACCGCAATGCTGCGCTCATCTATCTCAACCGGTCCACGCGACGCCACTTTCCCGAGGCCGCAGTGACATCACAAAGTCAAGCGGGGGACAATGTCTCTTCGATTTGCCATATCGCAACAAAGATGCCAGAAGGGTCACTAGCTGAATGTACGTTTCTCTTCCCTCTCTTCATGGCAGGAGGTGAGGCGGTGGAGGCTGGCCATATTGGAACCATTAGAGATCGGTTGTGCACTATGAACAAATGGAGGAAGTTTCGCAATGTTGAAGCCTGTTTAGAGGTGCTGGAAGAGGTCTGGATGGGGGAATCGGAAGGGCTGTCAGGGTTGGCGAATAGTGATAACTTGGATTGGCAAGACGTTGTTACACGTCGCGGCTAGCAGCTTGCGCTGTCGTAATGCGCCGGTATGTATTAATGAAATTAGGGTTTTCACGGTATACCTATTTGATAGCGAGAACCTTATAAATTTCACCGGGTTTAGTGTATATATGCTTACTATGGTGGTTCCGGGTGGGTCAATTCGCTCGCGCCGTTAACGCTGTTGACGCCGTTGACGCTGGATATGTCTGTTCTGAAGCGGCCATAGCTAGCGCAAAGCTAACGCAAGCCGGTTACCAAACCAAGGTTATACCGCACGCGACACCTGAGTAATGCAGTGGCAAACTTTGCTCAAACCTGCTCAGCTGATGTCGATCGCCAGAGCGACCTCTTAGTGGATAAACGGAAAGAGTGAGCTGTGAGCGTTGGGCCATCTATAAAAGCCAGGCCTTCACCCCTTCAGAGAGTAGAACTCCATCGCAATCCATCACTCCGTTTCATTCAATCAGCTGCCCGCTTTCACTGAACAAATTACCCGCGATTGCTGCCGCTGCATTCGTGTTCGTCGCGGGAACGCTATCCCAAACCATGAAGTTATGGAGTTTCAAATCTTCGGCCCTCATCCCTATTGTGGGATTGGCTGTGCAGGTCGCTGCAAGCGCCAACGCCACGTCTGATCCGGCCATCGATGTAAATACCTGGCCGGCACCCAGGTATCAGGTCCACATCGATAAAAGCATTATGGTTCCGATGCGGGACGGCACAAAACTCTCTACCGATGCCTATCGGCCGATGAAGGTGCAGGAAAAACTGCCCGTCATCGTCATGAGGACACCATATAACAAGAAGCCCTACCGCGATGACAAGGAGAGCGCTCCGTTTAGGTTCGCAGAGCAGGGGTATATTGTCTTGGTTCAAGATATGAGAGGGAAATTGGAGTCGGAGGGGAATTTTACGATATCGACTCCTGACGACATCGATGGTTATGATACGGTCACATGGGCTGCTACGCAGGCGTGGTCCTCCGGGAAAGTTGGTACTTACGGCTGTTCCTATTTGGGCGAGGCCCAGATCGAAAGTGCCAAATTACGAAATCCCCATCTTACTACGATGATTCCCCAGGGTGCCGGGGGGGCGTCGCGTTATTTCGGGCAAATCGTCGGGGGCGCGGTGGAACTTGCGACGGCGGTGGGATGGTACTGGAAATCGGGCTCCAAAATCCGTCTTCGCCCGCCCCCGGGTTCGAACGACGACTTCTGGGCTACCGACGGCGTCAATTTCAATCCCGGCTACGTTCCGCCTCCCGCCAAATATGACGAAATGTTAAACAATCTCCCAACGGTGGAGACCTTCAAGAAATTCGGTGGGCCGAAATCAGACTACGAGGCAGTGTTCGAAAACCGGCCCTCGTCGCCGTGGTGGGAAGCCCGCCCCTACGTCAACAGTTCGGACCGGTTTGATGTTCCGGCACTTCACGTTGATTCTTGGTATGATTATGGCGTCGCAGACGTCCTTGATCAGTTCAATCTACTTGCCGAAAACGCAGTTAGCGAGACAGCCAAGAATAACCAGTTCGTCATTATCTCTCCTACGACGCATTGTTTGTCGGAGACGGCGGCTGAACAGACCGTCGTTGGCGCCAGGGATTTGGGCGACGCTCGACTGGGATATTACGGAATATATTTGAGCTGGTTCGACCACTGGCTGAAAGGCATCGACAACCATGTGATGAAGATGCCCAAGGTTCAAATATATGTAATGGGGAAGAACCAATGGCGCGGCGAAAATGAGTGGCCGCTGGCGCGTGCGCGGCCGACCAAATATTATCTGGACAGTCGGGGCTCTGCGAACAGTAAGAATGGCGACGGCGTCCTTACTACCCAGGCACCGACAAGATCCAACCGGGATGTCTTTGAGTACGATCCCGGCAATCCCGTTCCATCGCTCGGTGGCCCCATGTGCTGCACGGGGAAGCCTAACACCGAGGGCTCATTCGACCAAGCGTCCACGGAGGAGAGACGTGACATGCTGGTCTACACAACCCCCCCTTTGACTGAAGGAGTCGAAGTGACTGGACCGTTGAAAGCTGTCTTGTCGGTATCATCCTCTGCAAAGGACACGGATTTCACCGCAAAACTGGTCGACGTCTACCCCGATGGAAAGGCCTATAATATTCAAGAGGGTATCCTCAGGGCTCGATATAGGACAGGCTTCGAAAACTCGGTTTCGATGAACCCCAGCGAGGTCTACACGATCGAGGTCGACATGCAGGCAACCAGCAATTATTTTCCGGCGGGTCATCGAATTCGACTTGAAATATCAAGCAGTAATTTCCCCAGGTTCGATAGGAACATGAATACCGGTGGGAACAACTACGACGAAGCGAAGGGTGTGATCGCTCGGAATACAGTGTGGCACGGGCCAAAGCGTGAATCATATGTGCTTCTGCCAATTGTTTCATCAGAGGGGTAATGACAGATAGCGGTGCTGTCATGTCTGGATGGCGCCCATTTGGCAAGGTGAATTGAGAAACGCATGCCATCACGGTGTGACGTTCGGACTCTAACTCTGAGGGTAGAGATGGCGTTGGTTTTATGTTGGCAGGTGTCACATCGTATCACTAAGGCTTCTCTGACACACGGGCTGTCTAACCAAGAAGGATCAAACTTGCATGAAACAGATAGTGATGAAAACCCCGTCACAGCTGACGAATACGACCCTATCCAAGGTAGGATAAAACAGACCAACTTCAGACATTCATTTAGTTAGAAATCAATAGCTTCAACGCACAGTCTAAATCCCCCGTCAAGCGTGACAGGAGGCGATCAGGGCGTCGTTGAGCAATAATAGTATCACAGTCGCAGGGGCTAGTCTTGGGAACTGGTGCAAGGCAAGCGTTGACTATGTTATTGATAGCTGAGGAGCTTAGAAAGTAAGTCTAGCTAGGGAAGTTTGAGGGGGTCTATATACTAGAGGATCTTGGCAATGAATCGCTGTATCCTTTGTCGTGTTATATTACTATATGGACGCAGTGTTGAAATATAAGACCCAACAGGCTCCTAGGTCCTAACCCTTTTTGTTTCAACACGCAGCACAGATTATATCGTATAGGTTATGTGCAGATGGGTTATACTAGAACTGAAGATAGCATCTTGAGAGGAACTATAAGAAGGCCTTTGCTAATCCAGGGGCTAACTAAGGATTAGGTTTTCGAGACCACAACGAGAGTTCGTGGCCTTTTATAAGGTTTCTAGGTATCTGGTTGCTTAGAGAACACGGTGAAATAGCTTTTATCGTCACCAGACTCTTCGTCATGTTGTAATTCACCGTCAAAGTCGACGACCTCGACGGCGATTTTGGGAGAGCGCGTGACGCTTTCCTAATCGGGTTAGCACTACTTCAGATGTTGATGCTAGGGAGGTGCCTGAGGCTACCATTCCTCCGCCCTTCAGGGGAATGAGAGCTTCATACGGACATGTTGTTGGAATGGGCCTAGGATGAGGGTGCCGGGAGGGATCCAAGGGTGAGATTACATACCTCAAGGCATTCCTAGCCACCCCTGCTAATTACACTAAAATTTCTATGCATCTAGAGAGAAGTTGCAGTACATAGACCCGGCAGGATCCCCTCGTTAGAAGCCTGCCTCAATAGCTCAATTGACTCAATCTCTTCTGACCACACCGGCTGCTGCACCCCCTTAGTCCCCTCATCTGAGACATGTTACACAGGCTTCCACACCACCTAATATCACAATATAAAACCTTGATTACTGCAAACTCAGGGTTTATCACCAGTCAACAAAGCAACAAGGCGTGCCCGATGGGCGGATGATCAGGAACAAGATCCTGCAGTGCTACGTCGTCGGATCTTACAAGCGCAACGCGCACGAAAGTACCGACAACGTCAAAAAGCGAAACAAGACGGTAGAATCACAGACTATCAGGCTCAATCATCGTCTCAAGCTGTGGAGTCAGCGACGGAGAACGGGCCGCCGGGGCCTGGGAGCAGCGCACAACCCGAACCTAGCGAGTTGGGTCAAGACGACATCTCTGCTAGCGACACATTTACTAGTCTCGGCTTTGAGGGTGGTAGCCTCAATATGGACAACATCGAGCTGAATTCCTATCACGATGACGAACCAGTCAGGCCTTCACCGCACAGACGAGCGCGAAGCCCGAACCGAAGTTCAGAGTCCAGAGTTGTATTCTGAAGAGGAAGCGAATTCTCGCAATGACATTACCCGGGCTGATGTGGAATATGCCACAGAGAAGTTTATTCAGCAGTTCCTGGTCGGGATCCATGGTTGCGGCACCCAAAAGCATCAAGAATCTCTGGCAGCGCACATCGAGGCTGAGGGAGCATACAACCACCATGGCCTTGATCAACTGTTACTCCGTGATTTTCTCCATACACTTAACAAAGGGAACTTCTTGTCTCAGCAGAACCATAGTGACCCGGTTCATCCGAGTCCTAGCCAATGGCAAGCGTTGTTCTCCGGTTATGCAGGCCGACATTATAAGGCAGCCCTAAGCCGGCTTGCCCAGGGTTCAAAGCCACTATACTCCACTACACATCTGAGGATATGGAATTGATGTGGATGATGACTAAGATCACGACGGTGGTATGGATGGATATGTATCCATTATGGATGTGAATCCACAATGTGGAAAGGATTTCCACATAACGAGCAAGGGAATAAATCTGTTGCATAACTCAACCCCTGACATATCGCCATCATTCCTTCGAAGGTTCTGCCAGTATCTGATCCAACTGCCCGATCAATCCTGCACGTAGCCAACTGCGTAAAGTCTGGCACAGGCCGATGGTTGAAGCATCTAGCCGATTCCTAAGCCTCGTAACCATCTGCCCGGCCACTGAAAATAACCTCTCACTATGTCAGACAATTGGCTCGATAGGGATCATTGATGGCACCAGTCGATTGATGAGAGTTATCTAAGGAGCAATTGTACTATACAAAAGAGAAAGACGTTGCTGTCTTATATAGAAGACGGAAATCCATGTGGAACGGAAATTCCGAGTGGAATTCCGGAAATAATCCGGTGGGCTATGCCGTATGTGCGACAGGCTGATATGCGACACACTATCTGCTGACATAGGGGCCACAGTCAGTAAATCCAGGGCCATCCTACCCAATTTGGGGTACCTGAGCCGCCTAGTGTGCCAGTACTCGTATGGATCAGTAACGAGGGCGTCAGAATCGTCGATATTGCGTTGCCACTGATCGTACTCATCGAGATCTAACCCACTACTATCCACAACCCCTCTTTCGGCATACCCCCTCTTTCGGCAAGCAAAATAAAAAAAGCTTCACCAAAACTCACCAACTTCACTTATACCAGAATTGGCCAAAGTAAATAGCTACTTAGAGGACAATGCCTCTATCGATTATAGAAATAATTAGAGTTAACGACTTTAGCTCTCTTAGGCTGTGCGGGGTACGCGATCTATGCATGCTATGCTATGGAAATAGTGTTGGTTTAATCATCAAACTCCTCACCGCTCTGTTCCGTGTTTTTTGACCTTTATCTGCGACAACGACAAGAAAATGCCTAGGTCGAGACCTCGATGGAAATATACAGAGGAAAACATGGCAGAGGCTATCTTGGATGTTACTGATGATGGCGTTTCACCTCCTCAAGCCGCTCAGAGACGGGGAGTGCCTCGAAGCACTCTAGTCGACAGACTTAACGGCCAGAAAGCCGTGAAAGAGCAGATTCAGCCTCGCCGACGTTTGTCCAAGAATCAAGAGGACAGATTGGCTTTCTGGATCCTCCGTCAGGAATCTCTGGGCTATGCTCCGTCCCACAATCAGATCCGCGCTTGCGTCACGGGCTTGTTAAGACAGCAGGGCGAACATCCCGAGTTAGGACGCAATTGGGTGACTAGATTTATCAAGCGCCGCACAGACCTAACGACCAAGATGGGTAGACGCCAAGAAGCCAAAAGGTTTGACTCTTTCACGCCTAAGGCAGTTCATTAGTACTTTGATATCAGGGAGGGCCAGTATGGCTGGATCAAGCCTGAAAACACCGTCAACGTTGACGAAGGGGGTATTATGACTAGTTTCGGTAAGCATCTATCTGTATACCTTGTCAGTGCTTGAAATTTGACCGACTAATCCTTTTTATTTAGGCTTAGATAGCCTGGTTATTGGAAGCGCGGACCCAAGGCGGAAGGCATTTCTCAAGGGACCACAAACTCGAAACTGGACTTCATTTATCGAAGCTGTCACTGCTGACGGCCGCGCCTTAATCCCTGGCATAATCTTCAAGGGGAAAGAACTGCAGAAACAGTGGTTTGTTGAGGAATTCAAGGAGATAGCAGACTGGTATTACATAACTTCGCCTAACGGGTGGACTGACGACCACATTGGCGTTGAATGGCTTGAAAGAGTCTATCTGCCCCAGACAATGCCGGCCGACGACTCTGATGCGCGTCTGATCATATTAGATGGCCATGGAAGTCATGCAACGGTATGTTCTTCCTTTTCCTCAGCTCAAGGTCACTACTAAGTAAGGGAAGGATGAATGGATGGCCACGTGCTTTTTGAATAACGTTTATTGTTGCTATCTGCCAGCACACTGCTCTCATGGGCTCCAGCCGTTGGACAATGGAGTATTCAATGCCTCCAAAGCCGCATATCGACGAGAGTTGGAGAATTTCGCTTCACTGACTGATTCCACTCCAATGGACAAGGTCAATTTCATCAGGGCCTACGCTAAGGCGCGTCGAGTTGGAATGACTGAGAAGAACATACTCTCCGGCTAGAGGGTTACTGGGAATTGGCCGATCTCACGTGCCAAAGCGCTGCGACACCCAGAAATCCAAGAAGATAGGCCAAATGGCAGCCCAAGAGCGACTCCCGAACCCAGGCCGTATTTTGACTCGGACGATACACCAAAGACGAGCCGTCAAATTCGTGATCTTAGGCTAAACAAAACACCAAAGACACGAAGATGGTATAACGTAATAGCAAAGGGCTTTGAGGCTCAACAGCAGACGGTAGCGGCGCATACTACGAGGATTGCTAGCCTAGAGGAGGAATTGGCTCGCCTGAAGAGAGGGAAGAAGAGGAAGGCGGTGCCGAATCCTAACAAACGTTTTATGACTCTTGGTGAGACTCTAGCTGCTGGGGAAGCCATATCCGAAGAGGAGACTCAAAATATGCCTGTTGCGGTGGAATGTGGCCGTTCAGGGGAGCCGGGGTCAGAATCGGAGGCTGCGTCGGTCATTGAAGTCAGAGAGGAAACCATACCCCATCAACTAACCACGCGGTCAGGGCGGCTTATCAAAAGACCCAGGATTCAATAGAGAGATGCAACTATTATTCACAAGACGCAAATTCTTGCACGCGCCTATCAATTTGGCCAAGTTCTGTGTAAGTAAACATGTTGATTTTTGGTGGTGCTTTTTTTTTTTGCCTGGCGAAAGGGTGGTTGTGCATGGTAACGCTTCCAAATCCCAAGGCGTCGCAGGTATGGTTCGATCACACGGCCATCAAGATCGCCCCGAGACCTCCGATAGCAGCCCAGACACGGAATTGCGCATTCCTTCCGGCGCCGGCGACAGTGAAATGAGGGGGCAACGAAGTGGTGGCTATGATGCTGTTGGATGCAGGAGTCGTGGTGGAAATGGCATTAGTCGTAATCACGGACAGGGCATCAGTCGAAGTGAACCTTTGCGTTGCCAGTAAGAGGATTTCAATATGTTGCATGTCAAAAGTGCTGACTGTGTAGGCTGGATGATCTTTTGGAACGGCAACAACCTCAAGGTTTCCAACGTCTTTGTCGTCATTAACTCTGTGGCGCAGCTGTACTACGTCTCGAGGCGTCTTCCCCCCATGGACACCAGCTCCGCCAACTCGATCCTCACTCATATTGTCTCAAAGACGTTTGCGGGTATTGGGGTCTTGGATCTCCTGCACAACTTCTCAGCGGCCTACTTTGTCAGCACACAGCCCTCTGCTGCTGTCAAAGTCGCTATTGGTGTGGGTTTCGGCCTGCTTTCAGCCGCTAGTGACTGGATCTTTGGCGGATGTCTGGTCTACGACCTTGTTGCACTTGCTGTTGGCCAGTCTGTGTATGGAAATGTCGGCTGGAGTAGGCTGTTGGGTATCTATGCTGGAGGAGCTGCCGCAATTGTAGGCATGAAGAACTTTTCAGGTATGATGCCATTGGAGTACGGAAGATGATGACATGAAGCTAATACTGCAATAGACCACCATATAGTACAGGATCCCGATGGGGCTATGAGTCGCTTTGAGGCCGGCGATATGATCCCCTTCATTGTGAGAGCCTACATGGACGGTCATGGGGTTGCATTCGCCCTGATCGTGGTGTCAGTCAGCGGCAAACGACAACACATTCTGTTCTTTGATTGTATGCTTGATTCATTTAGCTATTAACTAGAGAATCGATATCGTCTTACGTTATTACTCTATGTACACTTTATATCTTCTCTTATCTCGCAACCAACTCTGCCGCCATTCTTCCTCTTGTGTTACAATTGCTATTTCCTAACCCCGCTGCGAAATCCGCACCGTTGTCTCGTTCTTGACCATGATCCCACCAAATATCGAGCCCAAGTCGGGTTGACTGGCACCGAGATGACGAGACCCAGTGATGGTCGAGGTATTATTGCCGAATCGGTCGAGGGCGTGGCTCTCAAAGTCGGATACCGAGCGGCGGCGGTCGTCGTCCGAGTCGGCTAGCTGGTGCGTCGAGCTGGACTCGTCGTTGGCCTTGGACTTGTGTATCGTGTCGAGGCGGATCGACTGCTTGGTCTGGCTGCGGCTGTAGTTGTTGGCGTAGCTATTGGAGCTTGCGCCGGTGTGCGTCTGTGGGCTCTGGCAGCAGAAGAGGTATTTGCAGGCGGGTCGGATCGTGGGGAGGCAGGCTGACACGTTGACGAGGTTCACCTCGACTGTTGCCCAGATGACAATGGTGCAAATGTTCCAGGTCAGATCGGGCGACTTGTCGTTGAACTGCCTGGCGGCTACAATAACCACGATGGCGGCACCACAGATGCTTGGTCCAGTCAGCAGCCAACACAACAAGCATAGTCTGCTTATCCACTTACAAGAAGCCAAACGTGAACATGAGCATGATGCCAATCTTTTGCATAAGAGGCAGCTGCAACTTTCCAATCTCCATCATCGGAAGGACCAGGATGGCGATATCGATAACAGCATGAACCAGGGTCGTTCCGAAAAAGAACTTTTTATCCTCGATAGCGCAACTCCCACCGGCCGAGGAATCCCAGAATGCGTGGACAGGAACGCAGTGGAAGATGCCCATGAATAGCTAGCAGCAGTCAGCTTCGACGTGCCTTTGTACCAGAGACTTGACTATGTAGAACACCTACTCGGAAGATCATCCAGACAACCGAACACCCAAAGAGAATCTGGATTGGAAGCCGAATACTAGTCACATTAAATATGCGCCAGTACAAGCTCAAGATGGAGAGCTTAGCAAAGAATAGCGCGGCCGCGTAGAAAAGCTCGGCGATAAAGAGCAGGAGTTTGCTTTGATAGAGGACCTCTTCCATTGGTCGATCCGTGATGTCCTGAATGTGAAGTCCTAGGCCGCCGGTAACCCCTCGCCACCTATCAGCATCGTCATGGGCCGCGCATGTGAAAAGGAGAACCTACAGTACGGGATGATGACGATCCAGGCAATTGCCATGCCCTGCAATACGTTAGCGAGGAGCGGGTAAAGGAAAACAAACATACATAGCAGCAGATTGCAAAGTAGTCATCCCATGACAGCGGAATCCTCTTGAGCCTGCGACTCAGAAGACGCAGGCCCATGACAATCGTCGCGATTGCGAACGTGATGAAGACCGCGGCTTGGATCTCGACCTGCTTGGACTCTTTCTCTGTCGAACTCATGCTGGGCCAATGGAATATGAACGCGCCGCCAGGGCTGGGGTTTGAAGACGTCAAAGGCAAAACGGGCCCTGACAGACCTAAAGAAGCCGCAGGAACGAGATGCAGGAACAATACATGGACCAAACCATGTGATAAAGAACTAGTCATGTATAATGATAGAGTTTGCCCTTGGCGAGATCGACGTTGCTCACCAGGTGGCATCGAGTCAAGAGAAAAGAAGCAAAGTGGGCTGGGGGACAAGAGCCCACGATGATCTCAATCGTGAATTCCCACCATCCAATGGACCGTTGCTACATTGTGACCGTTGGGTGCCTATCCGCCGAACCTACATTAGACGCCGGCAAAGAGCGATCTTGAACTAAGACGATGGCAAAACGTGCAAGGGCCTCTGGCTGTTCTAAGCAAGACCCTGATGTTACTCCCCCGAGGAACCCCTGACGCTACTTTGCCTAGTCAAGAGCCACAGCACTCATTGCTCACCTGTTTGGGAAAACACCTCCGTGAGCCGTCTCCCGAGGCTCTGACTCTAGGGGAGCTATTGGCACGTACGTCATTGCAGATCAGAGCTGAAGAGATCTCTTGTCTTGCACTTGCCGGGGGACCCTGCAGCCACCAATATGGAATACCTCGTATCTTGGCGTGTCTGGGGCTGGTATGTGGAAGCGGCGGCTGGGGTTGACCACGTTTCTTGTCTCAGAGCTTACAGGCCAATTATCTCAAAGCATTAAAGACAAGAGCGTATCTCTCTTCGTTGTCGCTCAGTACCAAACACCGTATTTATGGGTAGCAGATGTCAAGACGGCAGATGCCAACATTATCTCAAAACTGTCTTCATTATTGTTCTCGCCAGGCCTCGCAATCTCTATTTCGTTAGCCCACTGTGGCTTCCCACTTCCCGGACAGTGCAAGCCAGCAAACGGATATGAGGAGAGCATCCGCGGCAGCTGGCTACGGATAACGCCTCTGGTCTTCGGGCATGCTTGCCTTATTCAGATTGCTCAAATTACCAACCTCGGGCTAGCGCTCCTCGGCAGTTGCTAGCCCGACGCGGGGCCTGGTAGCTCCGGAGCAACCAAGCTTCGACGGAAGGTGGCCCTGGGATGGAGTAAAGATCGTCATGGCCGTTGTCGCACTAACTCGCTGGCTGGCGGTGAGACAATGCGGGCGGCGAGTCAGGGTCATCAGTTACGCAGCGATGTCGACTGCGCTGAATCTGTCGCAAAGGAAGGGTGCCCTTTTGATGACTGCTCTAGATCTTCGTCGTCAAATGCCCATGTGGCTTTCCTAATTGTGCACGTCGAAAGGTGTGTACAGGGTCCAACCCGACAGGTTTCACCTATATAACGAGTTGGACCATATCGTAACATCCAATGAGAGATGACATACGATACATATATCAGCGAGGTTGACTATAAGTACAGACCCTCCTCCCCGCTGATGTCAACCTCTCGTGTCCCATACATTGCATTGATTTCGTGAATTGCTCAACGCCGCCCCTCATGACATGATGCCCCGTGATGGCGTAGCTGAGGCATTAAGCCAAATACCAAGATCAACAGAGCTATTGTTATACTTTGCTAGTTTGGACGATCTCTTCGGTTGGCAGCTCGGGATGTCTTCCGTTCCCACCGCACAAGTGGCCCCAGCTTTGGAGAGGAGCTCTCAGGGGTTGGAAACGTTATTTAGAAACTAACGGGAACGCACCTATACTTATTTAGCATGGTGCTATTTGAATGAACACAATGAGTCCCGAATATTTCCATTAATTGCCAAGCTCCTTGTTAACAAGTAGGCAAATCATGTCCGGTAGAGACGATACGGGAGGGGCTGCAGAGCAACCCAACAGAAATAACAGAGTAGTATAGAGAAGATACTAAGCCTCTTGACCTATCAAGGAAAGAACAGACACGCAAGTTGATGGAGACGAAACCCACTTTGGAACCAGCCTGACCCCTGACACATATACCACCTAGCCATAGCATCTCAAGATTTGCTTTCACGTAAACCCCTATCAGCACGGCTGAAACGCGATTGGTGTTTTGCAGAGCACCTCCCCTTGCCAGTTCTGCAACGTTCGCCCTAGCGCCGGACGCAGGTGCAACCCTGGCAACAAGTGGTTGGGGACATAAACCTCGGCAGTTTGGAGGCTATAAGACCTGCGAAACGGGAGGCGAATGCAGGTAGTCAGGCACTAGACACCAATCCGAGACTATCAAATCCAAGAAACCGGCAAATATTGACAACCATGGGCGTGTATACCAAGTTAGCCGACGGCATCGACGAGGTCGACATCATCATCGCTGGCGGTAAGACCTCCCTCCCCACCCTTTCCCACATCGATCAACGGGAATTAAACTCTATTGCGTTCTACTAGGTGGTGCGGCAGCATGTGTCGTGGCCGGGCGACTGGCCGGGGCTGACCCGTCGCTGTCGATTCTCGTTGTTGAGGGTGGACCTGATAACCGTGGCGTCCAGAACATCGAGCATCCCGTCTTCTTCCTAGACCACCTGCTGCCTACTAGCAAGACCACCATCTTCTACAAGGGCAACAAGGCTGAGCAGCTCAACGGCCGCGAGCCCATTATTGCCTGCGGCGGGACTCTTGGCGGCGGGTCGTCGATCAATTTCTCCATGTACACGCGTGCCCAGCGCTCGGATCTCGATTCTTGGAACACGCCTGGGTGGTCTACCAATGACCTTGTTCCCTTTTTGCAAAAGGTACGGTGCTCTATAGTGATGCCAAGACGTATCAGCACTGACCGACCTCAAAGATCGAGACATTCCATGGCGAAAAGAAGCACGAGTCTCATGGCACCAGTGGACCTGTTCAAATCAGCAGCGGCACATTCCGCTCCAAGAACTCGGAAAGCGACTTTATCCAGGCTGCAGCCCAGGTTGGCTGGCCGGAGCATGATGACCTCCAGGTGCTGGATGCCAACAACGGCTTCCAGCGCTGGCACCGCCATGTTTCGCCGGAGGGTAGACGGCAAGATACCGCCACGGCATACCTTCACGAGAAGATGAACAACCAAGCCAAGTACCCTAACCTACATGTCCTCGTCCAATCCAAGGTTGTGCGTGTTCTTCTTGACGACGACAAGCGCGCCGTTAGTGTCGAGTATACCCCCAACCCTGCCTTCCAGGTCGACACCAACACTACGCAGCACCCCAAGTTAACCATCAAGGCTTGTAAGCTCGTCGTGGTTTCTTGCGGTGCTTTGGGCACGCCACTGGTACTAGAGCGGTCTGGTCTTGGTGATCCCAAGGTCCTCGAGAAGGCGGGCGTCCCCGTCCAGGTTGACCTTGCAGGAGTCGGGTCCAACTACGAAGATCATCAGCTCATTCTCTACCCATACAAGACCAACCTCCAGCCCCATGAAACAATTGATCGGGTCTTGAGGAACCCGGACAAACACCAAGAGCTTATTGACGCCAAGGATCCAGTCCTAGGTTGGAACTCGATCGATGTCTCGTCCAAGCTTCGGCCTTCAGATGCTGACGTTGCTGCTCTCGGACCCGAATTTCAAAAGTCGTGGGACAGGGACTTTAAGAACCAGCCAGACCGACCCATCATGTTGATGGGACTCGTATCATGGTTAGTCACTGTGTTTAACGTTCTGAATACTAGATGGCTGACGAATCACAGCTTCCTCGGAGACCCCTCGTCGGTGCCGGAGGGTCAGTACGTGACTATTGGCAATTATACAGCCTACCCCTACTCGCGTGGCCATATCCACATCACAGGTCCCGAAATCACCGATGCACCAGACTTTGACGTCGGCTTCCTCAACGATGAAAACGACATTGACCTGAAGAAGCAACTGTGGGCATACAAAAAGTCTCGCGAGATCATGCGCCGCACCTCCATGTACCGCGGTGAGCTCGAGGCTGGTCATCCTCAATGGCCTGCCGGCTCCAAGGCGGCTTCTCCCGAGTTTGACGGCAAGGACGTCGAGTACTCTGCCGAAGACGACGAGGCTATCGAGCAGTGGATCCGCGGCCACGTCGAGACGACTTGGCATTCCATCGCCACGTGCAAGATGGCGCCCAGGGAGGAGAATGGTGTTGTTGATGGACGGTTGAATGTTTGGGGCACCAAAGGGCTGAAGCTGGCCGACTTGAGCATCGTGCCCAAGAATGTTGGGGGGAATACGGGTAACACGGCCATGTTGGTGGGTGAGAAGGCTGCCGACATCATCATCAAGGATCTTGGTCTATAGTTGCACAGCCGGGATAGCACTCTGAGAGGGTATGAATTTTGAAAGAGATGGGATTGCGCACAGAAGGATATGATATCTATGAGACCCGGACTGCGCCACACAATCTTTGATTACCGGAGAGCCATGGGAAGTTGAAAGTACCTTCCCAGTCAGTCAACTCCGGGACGCTGGTAGACTCAAAGCACCAACAAGGTGTACGAGAGGAAATAAATATTTGATGCAAGCAGTTGATTGGAATTTTTAGCCAGTTTAGCCCCACAGACTTTTTGGGTCCTCTAATTAGTCCTGCCCAGGTCATTTGTTCATCCCCTGGATTGCATAAATCAGACTCGTAATCAGACCAGACGCATGCTACATCATCGGCGTTCATCGCCAGGCAAATTATCGGTAAATAGCTACATTTCTTTCGTTGTCTTTGATTCTTTATGGGCCTTCTTTTTCCTCATAGTCATGTAGCTAACAATGAAGTCACCTCGGTCGTATTCGCACTTTCTAGACTACCCTGGAGAAGCCATTCGTTCTCGGCCCCCGGTCAGTTAGTAGTCCGATTGTAGTACTTTTGGGGCCCGCGGGAGGTTCTTAATGAATTGTTTTTCCCTCAAAGCTACTAGGACAAGGGAGGCTTTGCGGCCAGTTGTGTGTGGGCAACTCAATGTATATGGTGGGACGGGGCAAAAGTGCTGTAGAAACAGTTTAAGTAGTCAACTCTGCGTAAAGTCTATCTAATACGGCGGCTGTATGTCTTATCTTCTATAGGCACCTTCACCTCAGCTACAATATCCTATGCTGACCTCCCAAGCATGAAACGGTAAACTCCCCCCCGCACAGCCCATCGACGTTCCGCCTCATCGTAGGTGGCAAAGTCTCGGTCTTGAATGGGAATCCGTACCACCTGTGACTCTTGCGGTTGCAGTCTAACCTTTTTGAAACCGGCGAGTTGCTTCTTTGGGTCTGTCTTTGGCGCATTTTCCTTTCCAACGTAAATTTGGACAAGCAATTCCACCAGCCACAGCGCCAGTGTTGGTCACTTGAACGCTTACGTCGAGCGTGTTGTTGTTGGTCTTTTGTACGCTAAAGTCTTGCAAGTCAAAGGATGTGTAGGAGAGTCCGAAGCCAAAGGGGAAATTGATCTTGTCGTCAGCGAGGAGGTCGAAGTGGCGATATCCAACAAAGACGCCTTCTTGGTATGTGACTGTCAACTTTTTGTTCACGGACTGGCCGGGAAAGTTTCCGTAAGCGGGACAATCGCGGATATCTCGGGGGAACGTGCAAGGTAGGTGGCCTTCAGGGGTAGTTCGTCCCGTAAGGATGTCGGCAATAGCATTGCCACACTCTTGGCCAGGGTACCACGACTGGACGAGGGCCTTGATCTTGTCAAGCCACGGCATCGCGATGGGAACTCCTGTGGAATTCACAACGATGACATTGGGGTTGACCTCGGCCACAGCGGAAACAAGCCGGTCCTGGCTCCCATCTTTGGGGAGGTGGAAGCTGACCTGATCTTTGCCCTCAGTCTCCCAAACCGGCTCATGCCCAGTAAAGACGATGGCCATGTCGGTCTCCTGGGCGAGGTGCACTGCCTCGGCCGTATAGTCCCAGTCGAGCTGGAGAGCAGGCGCAAAGCCAACCTGAAGACCAACGTGGCCCTCCAGAAGCCCCATGTCCTCGACCTCGCCCTCTTTGGGAGTCGGCGGAGAGGTGTGTGCCGAAATCTTGTACTTCCTGCCTCCATCCAGATGGACCTTGATTGTGTTTGAAAATGCGCCGCCAAACATGAACCCCATGGCATCTGGATAGTTGTCGGTTTGCTCCTCGACGAGTTGATCGTCGATCAAGAGCTTACTCGGCCCAAGGCCTGCGCACGAGAAGTAGTACTCCCCCGTCTCGTGGACCTCGAATAGACCTTCGAGGCTGACGTCGCAGTCTCTAAAGCCGACCGAGGCAAAGACAGAGACAAACGAGTCAGGGTGCATCTGCTTGATCTCGACTGGGACAGGATTGTTGGGCTCGTATCGTTTGTACGTGAAACCGGGATTGCCGTCCAGGTCAAGGACGCCTGTGGTGACTGGAGGCAAGTAGCGAAGCGTATCGGCACCTGAGCAGAAAGACAAGGTTAGCGACTTTTGACTCTGACAGGCTCTGTGCTTAGGCTCAGCATACCTTTTGCGTAAGAGAGTGCAACTTGGTCGCCGAGTGCGTTCTTCAGGGCGTCCCAGGGAGTAACCTTGTAATGAGCGACGATCGAGGCGCTGCCACCCCCATGAGCTAGTGCCGTCTTTGCGTGCCCGAGCAATGCGATCTTCTTGCCGTGTAATTCGGCTGGCTTTAGTGGCAAGATGTTTGCGTCGTTCTTTAGGAGAACGAGACCGCGAGAGCCCACCTCGCGGATAAGCGACCGGTGTCTCGGGTCGTTGATAGCCTGCTCGTCTGGGATACGAGGGTCACGGAAACATCCAAGCCGTTCTAGAAAGGCCAACAGCTGCTTCACCCGCTGATCGATGGTCTCTTCTGTCAGCTGTCCGGCCCTTATTGCTTCAAGAACGGCCTCTTGCTTTCGCCATCTTGTTGGACCGGGCATCTCGAGGTCGAGCCCGGCGTTGAGGGCGTCCGCCGTCGAGTTGGTGCCGCCCCAGTCGCTAACCACCAGCCCTTCCCAGCCCCAATCGCCCCGGAGGACTTGCTGGAGCAGGTACTTGTTGGAGTCGGCATGTTCGCCGTTTAGCAGATTGTAAGACGTCATGATGGCCCACGGGTTGGCCTCCTTGACTGCAATCTCGAACGGACGGAGATAGATTTCCCGCAGCGCGCGCTCCCCAACCACAGTATCAACCGTTAGACGCTGAGTTTCTTGCTCGTTGGCCGCAAAATGCTTGATTGTAGCAGACACGCCTTGAGATTGGAGCCCGTTGATATATTGAGCAGCGAGCTTCCACGAGAGAAAGGGGTCCTCAGAGAAGGACTCAAAGTTGCGGCCGCCGAGCGGATGGCGATGGATGCACACAGTCGGTCCCAGCAGGCACCTGGCGCCTTTGGACCGAGTCTCTTCGGCCATGGCCTCGCCAATGTCTCTAGCGAGATCCGAGTCAAAGGTTGCGGCGATGCAGCACGCCGCGGGGAAGCATGCTGCCGTCGTAGAGTTGACAAACGAGGCCCCGCGGGCGCCATTGGGACCGTCCGAGACCTTGACGGCTGGAACACCTTTGGAAGGGATTCCCACGGTTTGCCAGTCGCTTTCTCCAGCGAGGAGAGAGATCTGTATTCGTTCAATGTTAGGCCAAGATACATATGATACAGAAAGCTGAAAGTCCGATGAGCAGATTGGGCCATCAGGCACATGGGCATTACCTTTTTGTTCAGCGTTAAGCTTCCCAGGATATGGTCGATATCAACATAGGGCGGTGTCATGGTCTGATTGGTTTTGGCACTACGCACTGATAACAACGGCTCAATGCCTCCTGGCGAGCGGCTGACGGGAAGGGCGTATTATGCCCAACAGCCAAGGAGAGGTTCCGAGCTAGTGCGAACAACCTGCGTCATTGTTCTAGACAGAAACGAGAAGCATGTTCCTCGGTCGTGGAGCTATTGCCTTGAATAGGTGGTTCAGTCCTATTTGTGCGCAATCATCTGCTACTCTGGGTAATGGATAGCAGAGGGCCCCATGCCCGCGTGTCGCAGGGTAGGCATGATCTTCACGGCCTCAGGAAACAACTGCGTTAGTAATCTAGCCGTATGCTTTAAGTAACTCTGCGGGATGGAGTACCCCGCACAAGAAAAAACCTCAGACAACAATCAATCAACACACTGCTGCTGCTCATTATCGTTTACCTGACCCTTGATCCTTTTAGCACGCTCAGTGCGACAGAGGGCGTTGCGGCATCCCCCATCTAGCCGAGCCCAGGTAGGAAGAAGTGGTAGCAAAAGAAAAGAAGAGAAGATAAAAGAGGGAGGGGGCGCAAGTGCGTCTCGAGTCAGTCTCGTCTAGTAGCGAAGGCAGATCTTATCAAAGAAGGCGCTTGATTTGGACAGCTTGACGAACTTGGTGAAGTCTTTTCCTATTGCGAGGTTTACTGCTGCATTCGGTGAGGGTGCCGTCTCATTCGATGACGCGGCGGCACCTTTCTGCAATAGAAGATATGATCTGGTGATTTGCGTCGGTTGCACAAGCAGACCAGCCGTGCTTCGCTATGGTCAAATCTCTCATGATATGCAGCGAAGTCCCCATGAAGGGATCTCGCTGCGAGTAGATGGTGCAAGACTGTGCGCGGGAGCGAGAGCTCCGGCGGCCAGACTACGGTCGCCCTGAGATTGAATTTCTTGTATTGCTCTGGGGAGGCGGTAGCCCGCCACGCCTCGAATGCTTCTTTGGGTTTCTGTCTTGCGACCCTTCTCAGGTACGCCAGCGTTGGCCGAGCGCCTTCGGGCTCGGGCATTGAGGATGCCACTTTTGCCAGCTTATCGGCTTGTTCGTTGCCGGGAATGTTGGTGTGGCCTGGAACCCAGCGCACCTTGGTAACGCTGTGCGATGCTGCCAAGGCTTGGAACTCGAGGAAGACTTCTTGGGAAGAGTCGGACGGTGTGCCCCGTAGGTGCGTGGCGGCAGCGAGGTTGTCCAGGCATATGATGATGTCTTGTGTTTCTGATTCCCGGAGGTTCAGAGCGGCCTTCAGGCCCCCTAATGCTCCTGCGGCCTCAGCATCGAAGACCTCGGCCGGTCCGAGGCGGCCCGACCCGTCAGAGATGGGGAGATTGTCTTGGTGGATGGTGAAGCCGTAGCTCGCTGCTCCCTCTGAGGATAGAGAGCCGTCTGAGTATACGACCAAGGTGAGCGGATGGAGTAACTGAACCCAGTGGAGGAAGGCGTCGGCCGTTTCCTCTTTCGATTTGGTCTCTAGTGGTGGTATCTGTTCTTGGTTAAAGCATTGCCGGACGAGCTTCGGTCGTGCGCAAGTCGCGAGGAGCTCATCAGTACGACGAAGGCGGGTCCTGAAGCTGCTTTCTGTCGATGCCTGATACCTTCGTTTGATGAGATCGTGGTAAATAGGCTGACTGGGCGGGAGCGTTTGACTTGCTAGAGGGGGCCGTCAGGCTCTGCGCTCGACGCGTTTAAGTCTAGGGTAGCCACCGCGCTAAGCCCGTTTGAACTAAATGTAAGCCAAGACCCTATGTCAGCGACCTACTTGTTAAAACCTCGATGTATTAAACATTCTAAACTAGTTATAGTAACTTAGTCTGTAGGATAAGGATAAATATGGGATAAAGCTCATTCGATTGCGTCGTTCTTTTTCTATTGTATATTTTGGTTTGACTCTGATCTGAGCAAATTTTATTCTCTAAACACCCCGTCATTCTTGGCCCCAACATCGCCATATGAAAGTTGTCGGGCCGGCAATCGGCGGATCTACCGATCGGCGTCGGAGAGTCTAGGCACCGACGCCGATGTGACAGATTTCTAACTTAACGATATCTCGAGTAACTACATGCCCTCTATCAACTTGCCCTCCAGCCACAACGCGCAACAAAAATCAACATCGAATAGAACTACCTCATCACAATGTGTCACAAGCTGCCAGAAGAGCCTAGATGCTATCTCCGAGCTACTTTTTTTTTTTTTTTTTTTTTTTTTTTCTCCACCGATTGGTTTTTCTTTAGCACGGCTCTTCTTCAAGTCCACTGTAACGCGCTCCGCAGTCCCTCGCCGACCCAGGTACCGGATACCTTGACAGGTTTCCGCAGTGCAGTGTGGCTGAGGCTGAACTTGTACCTAGGCATAAGACGGAGCCGGCTATAGTATTGTCCGTGCCCCACCACCATCAAGCGTTGCTCCGAGCAACACGTTTTTCTCGGCTTGATGATGACACGGCGATTTAATCGACCACCAAGCAAGAAATTAATTGCCAAGTTGATCACGAACGACTACGCCCCGAGCCCAATCCTCCAAATTTCGCTAAGTAAAGTCCTCGTCGCCCATGGGATCCCGGCCGTTAATCGATGCGGTAACCGAATGGCTTGAAAACATTCCAGCCTGTGACGATTCTGCCGACTCTTGTCACGCTAGAGATAGCTCGCTCAGTATCCTAGCTTTCAAGTCGCAAAAGCGCAAGCATTCTCATCTTCAAATCCCCTCACCGCCCGTCTCCGAGATCCAACCGCGCCATCACCACAACTCAATAATGCCGTCCCAACCCGGAACGCCTAAGAAGCGCAAGATTGCGACGGCGCCTGACGACCAGGTAGACGATGATACGCCACGACCACTGCGGCTTGCCGACAAGAGCGAAACGCCATCTCTCTCGTCGCTCTCGTCGCAATCTCTCATGGGAGGAAGCCAGCATTCGGGCCGCTCGTCGCCATCCAAGCTGGCGTCACATCTCCGGCTGGATCCGCAAGGACTCGAGACAGTGGCAATGGATATGGATGATGCCGACATGCCCGAGTCGCTCATCAGACTGGTCGCAGAGATGCAAGAGATTAATGACGGGCTACGCGTCATCCACAACAGTCTTCGGGTTTATGTCTATGTTTGAGCTGGCATGCGATATGCGATACTAACTGGTAATGGTAATATGTGCAGCTATCTATCGAAAGGCTCAAGTCAACGTCACGATCATTGGCCTTACTTCGCGGGTCGGCCTACATGGACTCGGATGATGTAGCCATGGCGTCCCCCGAAACCATCGACGCCAGATTCCCAGAAAAGCACCTCAATAATATCATGGAAATTGTCGACATAGCCAAGGAATGCCAGGGCGCCGATGTAGACGAGACATGCTGGAATAACCATGTGCACTCTCCTCTCCTCCATGCTGCTCTCAACCGACGGCCAGTACCGGGCCAACCCATTAGCTTTACGGCTTGGTATGTTTCCCGTACTCGTTTTCTCACGCAAGAATTATGCGCACTGACCTGAGTTCCCCAGCATGAATGCCAGCATGACCGCCAATTATCGCGTATCCCATATCTACTCGTCCAAAGTCGACTATGCTATTTTCATCAATCCCATCCTTGACACACCCGAGCCGACCAACACCCAGAGAGCTGTTCAACATCTCCAGCGACACAGCCCAGAATCATCTGTCAACCACACTGGCTTCAGCTTGCTGCGAGACCGCCCCATTGCCATTAGCATCGAGACGAAGCGGTACGGCGGCCAGGAGCGCAAGGCTGAATTCCAGCTTGGCATCTGGCTGGCAGCGCAGTGGAAGTTGCTGGCAGAGCAGGCGGCTCCAGAAGGACTACGTGAGCTGCCATTTATTCCGGGTATCATCGTGAATGGCCATGAGTGGAAGATGGTGGCGGCGACGTATGCTGACGGCAAGACGGTAAGACCTTCACTCTTGTCGTTCTGTGGGCGCTATGAAGGCTGACATGTTGAAATATAGAAACTCTGGACTAATCAAGAATTCGGGACTACACGCAGTGTCTTGCGGACGTTTCAGATCGTGGCGGCACTACGAAGACTGAGGAAGTGGTCACTTGAGGAATACTGGCCTTGGTACAAGCGATATGTTCTCAAGATTGGATCGGACGAAGGGATTGAGACGATTATGGCGGAGACCAGTTCTTAAAATCAGTACTGGATAGCCACGCGTGTTGTTTCATACTGTTTCATATGAAACTGAAACAGTCCCTGGACCCGGTTTCATATGAAACTATAACTCACCCAGTTTCATATGTTTCAGTCGGTTTCATATGTTTCATATGTTTCATATACGCCCGATGAGTCCCAAATATCTTAGTACCTAACCAAGAAAATTTCGCAAACCAAATGCCTTCAACGCAGTTAGAAACTTGCTAATAGTAAATATGTGTCGCATATCACCACTAGGTTCGTGCGACTGGATATGAAACACGGGGCGTACCTTGGGGTCGAGTATCCGGTTTCACATCTGGCCTGTCGCATAATCCTAACATGAGCTTAAATAGCTGTTCCCGAACACATGGCTGTTCGATTTCTTTTGTTCTTTAGATAACTCTCATCAATTGACTGGTGCCATCAATGATCCCTGTGGAGCCAATTGTCTGACAACTTCTCTCAATTTCAACATCAGCACCACCATCTCAGTACTCGTTCAAACGGCCCTAGGTATTCTAGCACAATTAGCTTATCCAGGTGATTTATCGACCATGGCATCATCTCAGACCACCGCCGCCTCTACGCCCTCGATTTCGGACCAGCCCATTACTGGGACGTCTCTGGACTTTTTCCTCTTCTTCAAAGCAACGTATCCTGATGAGGACACCCAGAACGCCACCGGCGGGTCACGTAAGCGCAAATCTAGGGGTATGGTGATGTATCGATGTCTCCATTGCCCTGCCGATAAGCCCTGGGCGAATCGGAAGCGGGACAACGCATGGCATCACGCCCGGCGGTGCCATGCCGATATTATCTCTTCCCTCGATCGCACGCTCATTGGGGGCAGTTCTGATGTTCTAGATGATGAAAGGGAAGCCAAACGTCCTCGGATTGATGCTATCTTTCTCTCTCGTTACTCGGATGTCTCTCTCCGCCGTATGTTCGACCGCGATCGGTATTTAGATGCAATAATCAGCCTAATCACACGCCGCCGGCTTGCCTTCTCAGCAATTACCTGGGATGAGATGCAAGAGATTATGCTAGCAGCTAATCCTGCTATAGAGGACCTTTTAGTGACCAACCGAAGTGCTCTAATGCGACTAATTGATGCCACATATGAGTTATATTCTTCTCACTTCTCAGCTCATGGCAACTCTTGAAGCTTCCATCTCAAAGATCCATATCCTCTCTGATCTCTGGACATCGCCCCATCGCCATGGGATACTCGCCATCTCTGCGCGATGGGTTGATCAGGATTATCAGCCACGAAGGGCACTGCTAGCGATGCCAGAATGTCGCTATAGCCATAGTGGTGAAACCCAGGCATCTCTAATTATCGATACACTGGCAAAGTACGGCATTGCTTCTAAAGTGGGCTACCATGTAGGGGATAATGCCACTTCAAATGATACCTGCTTGTCTTATCTCTCACGGCGGTTACGAGAAGACTATGGGGTACGATAACCCTTCCCTTATCTCTGGATTAGGATTAATTGGTTGCTAGTTGACGTTTGATCCCTCTAAGCGCCGTATCCGCTGCGTCGCCCACATTATTAACCTATCCCTTCAAGCATTTCTTCTCGCGTCTTCAAAAGAGGCACTAATCGCCGCTCTTGATGCCACCGATGATACCTCAAACGATCAGTTGTTTGCACAGTTCTACGACACCTTGCACGACGCCGGACAGACAACAAGAACAGATGAGGCCCATCAGAGAAGAAGAGCTTCGCGAAGAGGCAATCGTATACTTGAGAACTTCACTGGATGGCAGCATATCGCGCCCCTACGGAAAGTACACAACATCGCGGTCTGGATACGTAAATCTACGCTTCATTCGGCTATATGGGACGATGAAATAAAGCTCCGACTAGGCATAGATAATGCCACACGCTGGAATTCATGGTATCGATTGTTGGATAATTTTCTGCGGTATCAATCCCGTGTAAACAGTTCCTAATTGACCATGATAGAGAGCTTCAAGACGATATCCTGCTAGCTTCAGAGTGGGAGTTTATTGAACGGACGCATCGTTTCCTACAGCCGTTTGCCTCAGCTACGTTGTTGGCCGAAGGGGCGCGATCTACACTCTCCCAATCACTCTCGATAATGGATGTTTTATTGCGACAGTACGAGAAGTATAAGGTCGGTGGCGATGTTTTTTTCTTTTATCTAATTGATCGGCTAACTAATTGTCTTATTTACCCGTTGGTTCATGTGGGCAAGCCCAAGGCGAACCAACTAAGCAAGCTTAGTTGGTCACAAAAACATGGAACACCATCTGAATTAGGTGTAAAATCTGTGGGGCGATGGTAACCGCAGATAAACCGGTAAGATTTTTCGATTTGAAATTTTGCGGGGGGGATTTTTATATGAGGGGTACTTATGTACTAACACTATCGCCCCTTATTTACACCTAAGCTAGATGGTGTTCCAGGTTTTTGTGACTGTTCCATGTTTTTGTGCCCAACTAAGCTTGCTTAGTTGGTCTGCCTTGGAGCTTGCTCCACACATAGACCAACGGGTAGGAGCTTTATAGTTCAAAGGAAAACCATGATCCCCACATGGTACACTGCATCGATATGGGCTGGTTTGTACTTAATAAGTACTACACCTTATCAGACCAGACACCTGTGTATGCCGCCGCACTCCTTCTCGATCCCTCGAAACGAAGAAAATACATTGAGCGGAATTGGCAAGAATCCTGGCACGCGCCTGCTATTGCTGCTGCCCAGCAAATTTGGCTAGATGAATATAATGCCGCGCCAATCCCAGAATCCTTGCGGGTGCCTCTAGATGTGTCCTCTTCATCTGGGAGGCAGCACAACGAGCTGGATGAGTTGTTGAGCGATATTGCTGTTACTGGCCCTATCTTAGACGACGCCGATGACTTCGAAACCTTTATTGATGCACCACAGACCCGGATAACTGGCTCTCCTCTCCAGTGGTGGCTACATCGAGATCAAAGGAAAGCATATCCGCGGTTATCCCGCATGGCAATTGATACCCTCTCAATCCCTCCTGAATCATCTGATGTTGAGTCTCACTTCTCATCGGCGCGGCGTACGCTATCATGGGATAGAGAGAGCATGACCTGCGAGAACCTGGCGAAGGTTGAGTGTGTGGGGCAACTGGATGCGCGAGGGTATCATTGTACCCAAGTCTCACGGTGGCAGGGGCGTTATTTCCAGCGTTGCTGTTGAATTTAGCGTTGAAACAGAGGCAGAGGACTTTCTAGATTAGGGTACTTTCTTGTTCTTTCTTCTAGCCTACAAGAATTATATGTGGTTTATCTGGATATCAACCTTGCTAAAGTGGCTATGTGGCTGTATGGATATCTACCTGGATATATCGATATCCAGATAATTTCTCCCACTTATCTGGATATCGATATAAGGGCCAGAATTTCGGTGGATATCGATATACGCAGGTCTGGCATGAAACCCATATAGCTTGGTGAGTACCATCCAGGGTTGAAAGCCACTCCACTCAATCCACGTAGTGGATCCACTCGTGGATTCCACTGTCCACTCCACTGGCAAAATTCCAGTGGATTGGCTAATCCACCGAATCCACTCGACGATGTCGTGGGTGGATTGGGTGGATTAGAAGTGGGGTAGTTAAGGGCGCCCATATATTTTGGCAGAATGCCTCTAACAGAGCCTGATGTGCCCCTACGTTTCTACAATGTTGCTACCCTATGTCAAAACCACCATGAAGCTTCTAAATAAACGCAATTTTAGAATGCATAAAATTCAGGAAGTATCATTGGAATGTCCTTGGCTTTCTCATTAGGGCAATATAAGTCTCGATAGGTATATTTAAGCTTTGCTCCGTGAGTGCCATATCGTCTTGAGAGCCATTAAGAGTTATATATTTTCCTGTTACATAACGACATTTCCAATACATATCAGGTTCGACTGTCCATATTTTGGATTTATAACGCAACACTTATACTATTAAATAACTTCCGGCAAGCTAATTCGAAAAACGCGTCCAGATCCCTCGATTTCTCAATACTGCGCGAAAAATTGCAAGCGACACTACTCGCGTCAAGCTCGTGATTTGAAGGCTGTTAGGGACTTATCTACTACGCGACCCCAAGATGACACTGGCTACGTGCTTGTCCACAACAAATTAGCTTGAAAGGAAGTATCTGAAACATCTGCGGGATAAGGGCCTATTGTGCCAACTGACCGCGTTGGACGCGTCACGCGCGCTTACTTGACGGCCTGTTGTTAACCCATCACTGCATCATATTTTGCGATTTCGACATGACAAAGAGATTATTTTACCATGACCTCGCCTGATTCCTGCTTCGACATTTCCGACAGCGGCTTCGGGTCCGCTGCCGAATCAACGCCCTGCCCGACGCCGTATCCTACCCGTTCAACCTCGACCCCTGCCTCGACTCTGACGACCTCTTCCGCAAGCGATGAACAGTACGAACGTACGCTCTGGAGGCATTTCCCAGGCTGGGCGTCCTCTGAGCGAGCCAGAGAGACGCGTTGCTGGGCCTGGCAATTTGGATATGACATCCAAAAGGAAGACGACCGCAGATGGATATGTCGAGCGTGCATTCGCAAGAATAATCCACATCCGCGTCATTTCGAAGCTGATGGCATTCACAACGCGTACAATCATCTGTTCAACGACCACGGGATTCGCGCTCCTCCTGGGATGACCAAAGGAACTGCTGAAAAGAAGGCGAATTCTAAGGGCAGAAAGCCTCCGGGGCAGCGGACTCTCGCTGAATCCATGAAGCTCGATCTACACGACCCACGAGAACAAGCAATTGCGAACGACTTCATCAAACGCTTCGACAAGGAACACTTCCGGAGGCTTCTGATCGACTGGATCGTGGCCAGGAATCACTCCTTTTCAATTGCCGAGGAGGCAGAACTCCATGCTATCTTCGATTACTTGAACCCGTCAGTTTCGGCTCGTAAAGCCAATATTACCCATACAACGGTTCGAGAAAAGATCGTCGCCGCG